TCTCTAATTGGGGAAACCTTGAAATTCTGATTATCTCCACCCATGATCGATGTTAACCACGGGAATATCCCCAAACAGATCGAATCTATGATTTAGTGGGAGTCTCAAACCTTCATAAGCACCTGCTCCCGAAAAGGCATAGCAGGCTGCAGGTAGCCGGCCATTGGCGGGTGATGGTGATGAGAATCGGTGCTTTTGTTCTGCACGAGCTCATCAAACCCAGGCAGGCCTTCGTATCCTTTGGACTAGGACCATTGCATGATCTGCAAATCTCATTCAACCAGAGCTTAGTGACTAGACGGGAGACGGCGCGCCACTGATGCCATGGAATATCAATCTTTTGTTCTTTTCTCCGTGAGGCTCTCATGAGGACTCGGACGTTTTCCGGAGCCACTATCGCGGGACCTGACCGAAATGATAGGTCACATTTGGGATCAGCCATCAACAGGGGTTCCTGCTGCATGGAATGCTTTGGATGGGTGATATTCTGGGTACATACAGTACGGATAGATTGTTGCGAGGGCAAATCTCCTCCCAGGGCCAGCTTGCTGTGGCTTTGGGCAGGGCCAGAGGTTGTTCGAGGGGCGCCCGAGTGAGCGGCTCTGTGCTTGGTCTGCCCCCCAATCACTGGCTGCATGCAGCACAATGGAAAGGGGTTGCTTGGCATAAATTCGAGGTTGGACTAGATCTGGGATCCAAGATCTTGTGCTAAGTGCTGCGTGCCGAATCCTGTGTTTCTGGGTTCTGGGTTCGGCGTCCTGCTGCGTCCAGCGTGCTTGCTGCGTGTTATCGATGAAACTTCATCAGGAGAGAATACCACGAAAGGCCCGAGTCTCTCGCGCCCTAGTCCTAGTGCCAGGCTGGGCAGAAGAGTCCGAATTGGAGGTTCAGGAGCTCCAGGAGGCAGTGTTGTTCTGTGACTGATTCCGCAGGCTGATCGGATAGAGTTGTTAACTTATTCAGCTGTTGACTTTTGTACGAGGAGCTTAGGTTTTGTCGGCCGTTCCGGGTGGTAATCGTAAGTCGATTCCCAGCAGGATGGTAGCCAATATAGCGACGTTGATAGGAGTCGAGACTTGAGGAGAAAGAGGGGAAGTGAGGGAAGCAGGCTCATGCTCATGCTCATGCTGCCGCTCCTGGTGATTGTCTCTTGCTGCTGCTTGCGTATGATGCCTCTAATGCTGTTAATGATGGCAAAGCTGATTATGTACGACCCGAGAGGACGCGTTGAGGGGATCCACGTGCTTGAAGAGGTAGCTGGTGCAGTGCTGTGCAGCTAATTAGTTGTCTTTGCAGACCGTACAGGAAATCTCCTGAACGGCTCTGGTTGTTGGCACTTGCTGCGACTTGCAGTTGCGCTTGCATTTACACTTATAACTGCTTGTCCTCCTCTGTAACTCCTCAGTCTCTCGGACTTCCAATCCCAATCTCTCTTTCTCACTTACTCACTTACTTACTCGCCCAGTCGCTCCCACTCCTACCTTTCAAGGTCAGCTCCCCTTCGACGATTTCTTCTCTCTCACCATTGCCGTCCCCACACGAGGACATTGAAGATACACGAGATTTCGGCCAGGAGACTCAGAAACTAGAACCAAAGACTCCTCCACCTTGAGACTCTTCACCGGCATTTCCCACCAATTCTATCTCCACTTCCACTGCCACTTCCACTGCCACTTCCGTTCCCGTTCCCGCTCCCGCCTCGGTCAGCTCCGTTACCAATATCAACAACGCTATCACCATTACTTACCATCACTATCACCATCACCATCACCAAGGGATTTAGCACGGCGTCAGCAAGTTTCGTCATCACTATCCCCCACAGAATCAGCAGAATCATCAGAGCAGCTGAGGCACGGTACTTCACCGGCACAGTTAGCACCAACGTCGGGGTCGGTCGAATCGCAATCCGTTGCTGCCAACCTTCATCCCCAACGACGGGTGAGATGAGCAGCTTGTGCTGACGGATTCTGACTTCCCTGCTACTCTTTACCGTTTTTGCTCACATCTCCTCAATTGGCCCTCGCAACGATCCGCGGACCTGCACGACATCTTCGGTCATCCTCAGCCGCACCCAAAACGCCTTCAGCCAACTTCAAAAGCCGGTAGATCTCCAGCTTCCCATCTCAGCATCAGCCACGCGGAAGCCTGGAAAGGAGCAAGGAAAGTGGGTTGGACTGTCCCTGCATCCATTGGTGTGTTGCAGCAATCATACCATCCTCCCAAGACCATCTATCTCTCGCAAACTTGACGAACGAGGGTCATCTGCGGCCCTCACTCAGCCTTGCTTCTTCCTACGACCAACTCCAGAAACACCTCTCTCAGGAATCAAGCTCCCAGCATACCCGGCATCGACCCACCAAGCTGCTCTTCTCGCCGTCTCTCAACCCACCTATAATCCACCTATAGCCCCCCTTATCTGCCTCCCCCGCCAGGAGCGGGCCCAGCGTCGCATTCTCCCCCCTTCTCAGCTGTGCCCCGTCTAGAGACGAGTTTCTGCTCCCGCCGGCACTGCAGACCCTTCGCTCCCCGCGACCAGAAATAGACCGCAGCGCCGGCGATTTCCCAACGTCCAGGAATCCACAGCAGACGGATATTTGGCCCCCACCGGCTCACTCTTTCACGCGCAAGTTGACGAGTGGCGAGTGCCACACACGCCCTAGCGTCCAACCCATTTGAATACGGGCTCTAGACGACGAGACGGCGACGAGACTACGGTCAAGTCGCGTACATACCAGGTAGTGATAGGACTAGGTTGGTGGCAGTACAGTAGCAGCGGCAGCGGCCGTAGTAAGCTCACCAGCAGCAGCATCCATTGCGACACGCTGCAGAATCAGGTCCTGATCTGATCTAACCTACGCACGCCCTCAGTGGCGCCTACGACAACGTCCCATCGAGCGTCTCTAGATCGATCGGTTGCCTTGTCCGGAGACGACAGCTGTATAGGGCTGGGATCCAATTGTTGGCGAGGGGATCTCAACGACTCAACGACTCAACTCCTGGGACGAAGGAGACCGTGGAGAGTTGTGGTTTGCTTGTGGCGTTTTGAGGCCAGGAACGAACCAGCATTACAGAGTACTTTTCAATCTATTCTTCAGCCAATCTCTACGCTGCAGCTCCCAGCACCTCCTAGCACGCGCATCTGCGCAGGACACCGGCCTGTGCAGCGGACAGCGGCTTGACGTTCCTACGCGATTATTATTATTATCCTCCCCACCGACCCGACCGTATTATTTCCTCCGCTAAGATCCTCGAGACCATATTCCCTTTCTCTCTTTCTCCGCCATTTGCGGGGAGAGCTCAAGAGGCCGTTGCCCACCCAGCCCAGCGCCCACCCCCTTCAATCGTGTTGCAGCCTCTGCAACGGGCTGGTCCTCCCCTCTGATCTGCGAGGCTTCTCTTCATCGCGCCACACGCCTCCGCTGCCCGCGCAATTGCTGGCTCCAGCAGTGCTTCCGCAGCCCATCGCGTTCGAGTTCCATCGAGAACAGAACCGCAACTGTCTTCGCCGAATGAAGGGGGCGGAACCAGACCGCAGCAGATGATTGAAAGTGAGTCGAATCCGATCCGCTGTGCAGCTTGTTGGCTCTCTATATTATTTTCTTGTTTTATATGCCAGGGTTTATCCTCCTTCCTGCCCCCTTCCCCCTTCCCCTTCTGCCCTTGAGCAGCAGCAGCGCTCTCGAAGGAAGTTCGTCATGCTGTTTTTTGTCGCGCGCATAATTCCAACAGATGTGGTACAGGGCACGTCCTTGGTTTCTTCTCCCCCCATTGGTTTCAGCACTGCAAAACGGAGCGTCGAGTAAGGGCTCTGCGCGCGCGGCTTCGCATCGCATCGCCCGTCTAGACCCCGTGTACCACCGCAAATCATATCACCCTGGTTCTGGCAGGTGAAGGTTGGGCTTGAGGTGCACGGATAGCGCCGCAGATCGTTGCACACCCTCTTCCCCCTGCCCCACGCCCACGGCAAGCTCTGGCTCTCACACACCCTCCATTCGCAATCCCTTCCGTTCGCTCAGGGCTTTGCCGGGCTCCTCCAGCAGCCGCTCGGGAAGCGTCTTGTCTTGAGGTCCGTCTACTGACCCGAGTCGAATAGTCCTCCCACCTAAACACTTGTCGTTCAATCACTTCATGTGCTCGCAATCTGGTAACCCTCAAGACCTTGCTGCGTACTCAGGGCACTCGCCCTCGTGTATAATCGGATCGGAGTCAGAGCCTGACAGCTCTTCCAGACAGGAATTTGTACACCCGCCTTCGCTCCCCTCTGACATGGGGCTACGGTACATGACGATTCCTACACCAGATGATGTTCGGTCAGTCTCACCCTCTCTATTGGTTTGCATTTAGGCACGTTGGCGCCCCGTCTGCCCTCTACCCTCTGCTTCTTCGTTTTCTGCTTCTCCCTTATATCTATCCCTGGGCTTCTCCCTGCCCAAGCTCTCGTACAGTGCACGGGTTGCCACAACTCTGCCCATTTCGCAGATGGTCGTCAGTCGTTGCACAACCTAAGCCTCATATCGGAACGATACCTCACGGCCGCAAGAACTTCGATCACGCGAGTTGCCTCCGCTGTTGTGGGAGCACAAAGGGTTGAGCTGGCCGTACCACATACACTGCCCAACAAGACATCGGTGCTACCATACCTTACGGAGACCACGGTCCCAGCATTCCCATTTTAACTTTAAATGCTGTCTTGCAGTCATGCATTGCTGTGGCTGATTGATAGCTCAGATTCCACCCGGATTCCGGTAATTCGCACAGCCCTGTATATTCAATTGAACATGCTGTCCAGAACCCTTCCTCGTCATCGACGTTAGCCTTCTCGCCTTACACCAACCTTTATCAACCTAGCCTGGGCGGATCCACGTATTCGAGCGGTGCTAATTCATACTTTTCTCCGAGCTCCTCTGTTTTTTCTATGCCTGAAATTAAGCGCTCATTGTACGTGAAACCCCTCCCCTATACATAAAAGGAAACAGCAGAATTTCCATGGCCAGGTAATAATGAATTATCCGCGCAGCAATCCATCCGCTGGACTGGCTCCACCAAACCGGTCCCCAGCCTTACCCCACCCAGGATCCCCTATCACAACCCGAGACTTATACACCGGGGCAACACCACATCTCCGGCGAACTTCAGATCTTCTTTCAAGGTCCCCATCGCTTTCGGGAGCGGTGAGAGGCGTGCCATTATCGCCACCGTCGACCAGTGGCTTCACAAGCCCTACGAACATGGAAACCCCTCTTGGCGGGGCATCGTGTCCCCCTTTAGGCCCGACGGAAGTCATATATTCACTTCAGACTTCAGATGGGCAAAATCTTAGACCAGAAATCTTTGGAAGGATCGACAAAGGATTCTTTATGGCCGATAATGATTGGACGTGCTACAGAAGGAATTATTTTTCTCTGAATTGCTCGTTCACAATTCAACCGGCCCTTCCCACCGGAACGATATATCTTGTGGAAAATGGCCGCCTTGGAGCCCAGATCTACGCATTTGCAATGTCGATTGCCGCGGTTGTAGACGGTCGTGAAGGAAAATCGATCGAACTTGTTCAGCACACACCAAAACGGGATAAAGGGCCCCAGGAAAAACCCTCGAGGATGACCCTCTCGCCACGTCCTCCTGCATCTCATAGTATGTACGGGGATAATTCTCTTGGAGGCTCGTCGCGGCCGGGTCTCTACGAAACTCAAGGGTTTGGCCAGAACCCCAATCAGCCTGCTGTTGAAGCTACATTTGAGCGCATTCAATTCAAGAATGCAACGGCCAATAACGGCAAACGACGCGCTGCGCAACAGTATTATCACCTTCTTGTCGAGCTCTTCGCAGATGTGGGCTCTCAGCGCTCCGAGCGCTATGTGAAGATAGCTTCCAGAATGTCCGCCCCAATGGTCGTCCGTGGCCGTTCTCCGGGGCATTATCAGAACGAGCGCAGGGGTAGCAATGCCAGCACCGGACCCGGGGGATCAGGAGGTGCCGGAGGTGCTGGGTCATACTCATCAAGTACGGGCACATCACGGACACCCGGCGACATGAGCATGTCCGGTTCCTCATCCATGCTACCAGGATCGGGCTACAGTTCATACGATAACCGATCACAGCATTACCGGTCGAATATTGCACCACTGCAAATTCCAATGGATCCGGTGCTGTCCGCCGAAGAAGCGAAGCGCATCGAAGAGTCGCCATGCTATCTCTACTACCCCGGCGCAATTTACGAAGGTCATGAAGCCCGACACCAACTCCCAAGCATGGCCGATTTTGCCACGTCCAAAATCAAGCAAGAATATGGATCCAGTGGTTATGTTTTGCCCAGCTTGTCTAGCACACATGAAGGGCTAAGTAAACAGTGTGGGAGGTGGGAAGGCACGACAGAGTCGAAAGGATACTTCCCTACGGCATTGATTCAACAAGAGCTGAACATAAGCTAGTTGCCATCCCATCCGCTTGGCTTCAACCCTTCTTCGAAGAACTAGAGCGCAGGCCACGTCTATTACTTGCGTCCTTGCTTTCTCTGGTCTTCTATCTTTTATATATCTCGCTGAATGCTACTGCGGGAACTTTGCAACTAGGAACTAATCAGGGACGGGAATAGGGCATAATGGCGCAAGGCAAAGATACCAATTTGGGATCAGTGTTTAGGATATGGAGTGGGGCATTTACTGGTGCAGGACTGAGCGAGAAATCGCCTTCTCTCGTTCTGGCGAGGGATAAAAAGTCATAGCAATCTCATCGGCTGAAGTTCGAGGAACATGTTTTGCTATTCAAAAAAATTGTTTTCATTCGACCGCGCATTCTCACGAAACAATCTTAGGAGCTGGCAAGGGATCACATCTTGACCCTCCGATTTTATTGAGGATGGAAGGACGATTTTCCATTCCCTCGTCGGGCTATGAGCCTATGATAGGATCTGATATGATGGCTGGAAATGCGAATGATACGGTACTGATTTGATATGAATTGTGTGTGTTGATGTGTGTTCCGCGATCTCTGCGTGGGCGGTAGATTTTATATTCGCTTTTCAATGTCTGTCATTGTCTTTTCGCCTGTGTGGAACGAAGTAAGCCGGAGGAAGAAGAAAAAGGAACGGAAAAGGAAGATTGTCATAGAGAGATCGGCCAACGATTGATTCATGGATAACTAGGGAATAATGAACAAGCTTAAGGTACTACCGGGGATTGGGGAGGAAATTGGGGAGGGTCAAGGTTCACTCGACATGCGATACGATATTGATGCTGTTAGTTCTAAAATTCACAGGCGGCCCCCGTTGATACCCATCTATCTTCCTATTTCCAACCTTTCGATCCCCTTCTCGTCTTTCGCCTGCCTAATACCTATTACTACACTATAGGATTCAATTCGTCACGATTAACAATAGATTTGTTTTGCTTCAAGTAAATTTGGGATTCGGTTTGTTTGTAGCTCTCAACTGACGAGCTGAGCTCGGTTGACAGATGGAGGGAGGAATTGATGGTTTGCGATCCAATAATATACGGCGTGGGCAACAATCATTGTGCCTCTTTTTGTGGATTTTATTTGCAATGTATGTTGCTAACCATCTATCTTATCTATGTCCTGTTCCTAGAAATGGAAAGGAGGATCCACGATGATTGTCACGACACATCGGCTTGCATCAGCTGCCGGGAGTGATTACTGCCTTTCTGTTCGAAAGCCCTCACTATATATTCCTATCCTTATGATTTAACGGCTCTTTATGAGCGTAAATAGATTTAAGAGTTGAGGTGTTGGTTGTGGAGAATAGAGGACGGGGTTGAGGAGTGTGTTCGTGTTGTGGGTATCTGTTGTTGAAGATACTCTTGCGGCACCTGCGACCAAATGTATCATGCGCTTATTGTATTTATTGGCATTATAGAAGCGATAGGCTGGTATGTCTATGTTCGGAGAGTTTGGGCTCGCATTGTATGAGGTTGGGATCTTGTGGAAGCTCATCTATGCAGGTATATGGCTGATCAGCTATTGATTTTGGTTGTGTGGTTCGTGAATGGGAAGGGGAGCAAGTTCTGGAAATGTAGTCTGTGGGGGGGGAAGGGTGGAGAAGCGCTTGGAGAGGTAGTTACTAGTATAGAGAGGTGGCTACTAGTATGGTTGAGCTAGTCTATTCGATGAGACTATCGTGGAGGTGCTAAAATGCTTGAAATTAGTGTAGCCGATGACAGCCTGGTGTAAAGTCGGGAAGCCTTTGTTCGCCACTAAAACCCTAAATCAAGTTCCCCAGGCAATCAGCCGTTATTGTCAGTTTGTCAATTCTTGTTCGAGATAAATTGTGTGTTGAGGGCATTCGATTTCCTTATTTCGAGTATTTCGTCCCTGGTCCTTTTTGCCATCGACGTCAGATGTAGGAATCTGCAGTGAAGAGTAAACATATTAGCTGTTGTAAGTGTCAAAGACCTCCGACTACCGTAGATTGACACGAAGTATAATGGATCTATGGGCTCAAGACCGTGAGGCACTGAGGATATCCGCCATAATCAAACTGATCAGGCCTCCCCAAGGGAAAAGTTGTTGGGAATGTCTGGAAAGGGTCGAAGACTTACCACTTTGCTTTCCAGTACTAACAGCTCTGAACCCCATCCCTCCTCAAACACTGAAGGGATATGTATGATAGCTGCTCTCGAAATTTCTTGATGAATAGAATTATGTTGATTGACCGTTTGCGCCCGTACTCGGCATACGAAGCACTTATTCGCCGAGGAATTTGTGCAATGTTGGTGTAACCTCCCGCCTCCTATGCTATGCACGCTATGACAGCAGATCATTTCATTCACGACTCTACTCTGTCCAGAATCCCTCGCAATTCTGCATCAACAAAGGAATTGATCTACGTTATTGTTATTAATTGTCTTGAATTATTGTGCCATGCTGTTCGAGTGACTGCCACTGACTAGTGTACTTTGTTTAGTTGGTATTCAAGGAGAGTCAACGAGGGAGGCCAAAAAGGGAAACGAACATCTAGAGTTGCAACTAAAATGGGATTATGATGGGTGAGTATGGTACTGTCGTGGGGAACTAACTGTAGTTTCCGCTTTTGCTTGGGGCAGTGCATTCAGAGCCACATTCGCCCGGCATGCTCTTGTTTGGGCTCTACTGGCGCTATCATCATAGACCAAAAGACCTTCGGCCTGCTGTCAGTCAAATACCTGTCCTTTACTTTCCCTGTCTCTCGAATACAAGGGCAGAAATAAAATCTCGTGATCGATTATCATCATTTTCCTCAAGTATCTCTAGTCCTCACTGCCCGGCTCTATTGATTTTATATTTCAAAAGACTGACACTGCCTCCACATAAAGTTTCCTCCTCGGAAAGAATGCAGCGTAGCATTCTTTACTATTTATACCCTTCTACGAACTTCCTTCTCGATAATTCCGAAGACTGCGATGGCTTCATAGTTGGCATGTCGACGAACTCCTTTTCCAATATCGAATAATGCATAAAATTCGGTGGTGGCGGTGGGTTGCGAAGGAGTATCATGCGAGATAATCTAAGCGTTCAATCAACTACATATGTCATTTTGCATATACCAGTTAATAGAAAGCTAGGCGTTGGATACGGCTGGCCATATAAGTGTACTTTTCCATAACCGCATCGAAAGAAAAGCGAATTTCCACCTCCTCGCACATTCTATTCAAGCTCTACGCTTGGGATCGAATTGTCTTGTAGCTTTCGAGGGCGTTTGGACATTCTTTACACGAGTGTGGGAAACCCATATTTGGATAGGGATTCTTTGTGCAAATGGCTTTACACTCAACTAGCTTGAATTATAGTTTAGTGCCACGGTCTAGCCTTAGCAGATTAGTTCTAGGCTTACAAGGAGCTTATCATCGGGCTCTTCGAATAGCATACCGTATTCAGAAAGTTCTGGGAAATATGCTTCACACTTCTAGTTAAAATAACCTCGTAATGGTTACGACACTGAACTTGTCTCTCTAAGATCTGGTTCAAGATATGGTACCTTTATCCTCTACTCTAAAAGGCTAGTTAAATATCCTTCAATTAATGCTGGGTTTTGTCAATACAACTTTGACACCCGTTTGTAGATACCCAGCATATAAATCCAAACTCCGCGCAAGATATATTTCGCCCCTCTGCGCTTTAAAAAGCTGTACTTAGAGATGGGTTAATACTAAAACCAGCCAAAGGGTGACTGTCAAGCTATAAGTGTAGATTGGCTTATTATCAGTATCAGATTTATAATAATCTGATATACTATGTAGTATATTCATTTCTTATTATCGTATATATTAATATAGCCTGGAGCCTGGAGCCTGGAGCCCACCGTTGAGGGGAAACACCGGTTTACCTGCCAGACTTAGCATAAGTTTTGATACAATATGGAACGACAATTACCTGAAGCGTTTGAATAAATGTGCTGAATAAGTTACTACACTGTTGAGAAAGCCTCTATGTAGTTGCCTATTTACCCCTGGAAGCCTAAGTAGGGGAGAGGATAGTGGTTTAAGTGATGGAAACTGTCCCCCGCCGTGGCCATTGGCACAAGTAGGCTAGTAGGCTGTCATATATATCATGCAACCACATGTTATTAATCCAAGCATCTGTTTTAAATTCGCTGCCTTATTCTGGTGCGTGGAGAAAATTAGATTCATCTCACTGCCAGCGGTTAGAGCCTTGTTGTCAGCGAACAATACTTGGAACATAAACAGAAGATCGACCAGTACCTCGCCTATACCAGTCTCTTCAGACCACATAAACTTTTCAATATCTTCTCAGCAGTTGATATTCCATACACCATCCTTCTCCCACGCAGCACCCCATTTGTCAATGACCCCTCAACCTCGGCAACATCTTATCGAATGCCATGATCTTGATTAAAAGTCTCCTATATTGAAAGTAAAACCGGCTTCTTTTGGGCACTCCAACCACGCTTGGATATTACCACTTCGGAAGCCACCATAAGCCGAGATCTAGCAGCCAACATCGCGAAATCTTCTCTTATCATACCCCACTACCTCATCATATCCTCATCCCCCATCACATCCCAAGTCCACAGTACAATTTCAAACACACCCACAAACTACGTGTTAGTTGGATACCCTGCACTATTTCGATATAATAAACATCGAACGCGCTAGGCAGGTCTGGATTCCTCACCTCCGTCATATCTAATCTTCGTCGACAAACGCACCTCGACTCCAACACTGGTACCAGATCTTCCAGTCTTTACTGGGCACCGTCAGATACCTAGACCCAGCATAAATAGAAATTACGAAGCATCCGCAAGTGTTGCTCCTCCAGCCAATTCTCATTCTCTCATCCCGAGATATCAACTTAAAACCGTCAAGTCATTTGCTGGACAAGATACCAGCTAGTCTAATAACAATAGGGAAGCTGCATGCACAATATGGACCTTCTATACGCGAAGGCCATGGCTGGACTCTCGGATCTGCGTCAAAAGCTCGACGAACAAGACAGATTGATCTCTATTCTAGTGAATGGCCAGGAAACAGTAACCCCATCCACGAATACCACTACGCATGAAGGCGATTCAGAGCTAGATATGGCTTCAGATTTTGGATCAACATTCGATATAGCTTCAAGCGCTGGATCTAGCGACCTAAGTGATGATGAAATTCAACACGCGGTGCAACCTCCTCGGGAGAGATTTCTCTCGACCTTCGCTGACTTGGCCCCTCGCTTACTGGGAGAGGTAGTAGCAGCCATAGTCGAGTGGGCGGAAGCGGAGAGGCTGATGGAAATCGAGGAGGTGCTATATATCGCATCACTAGCACGTTGCAACTGCCAGGATATTACTGAACCAGTTCAGAAGTGCTGGGGTTGTGACTATAACATTTGTCAAGTAAGTATATTTCATATCAATCCCACTATCATACTCACTATCATACTCACCATGTACGTGGCGCGTTGTCAAGGTGATTCACGGTGTCAAGCTGACTCTAGGTGTCAAGCTGGGTTTTACTGTCAATGTGTCAAGTTAATCTATATTGCTCCATGATGCTTCACAACTTGGCACTTGTCAGAACTATCTTGTATTGAATGGCATAGTATACTGACGAACCTTCTGTGATACTAGAACTGTAACTTTGGCCTTAATATCATCCAAGAATGCGAAAAAGTGGACAGCACCAGGGATGCTTCATCAAAGGGCCATCGGCGGGCCGATACGCTTGCGGCAAGAAGGATTAGAAGCTACTGTGGCGATACGGCCTGTTGGGAAAACACGGAAGCATGGAGAGAATCCGGCATCTGTGACTGCGCAGACATGCTATATAATCCTAATAGCAAGCACATCGGCCAAATTTGCCATTGCTGTTATGACGGGCTGATTAAATGCCTTATGCAATGCAATATGCGGGCAATACCCGATTGGGCCCCGCGAAATGGGGAGGATATAGAGCCGCCCATGGTAAGTTACGGACACGGTTCAGATTGCCAAAACCAAATACTGACGAGAGGTAGGAGTATATTTGCCACTGTGGCAAGCCAGGATCAATTTTATATACTCCGGAGATCGTTGGGGGAGTCGCGCCTTATGGCTCCGGCCAACGATGGTGCAAGCTCCGTGGTAAGGTGTGCGCGGCATACACCTTGAATAAAAGCCCACCACAGGTTGCCAACCATCGGTTGGTAAACTCAGGCATAGAGGGGGTGCTTGGAGTTATCAGGACCGATGGGACCAGGTGGTGTGGTTCGGAGAACTCGTTCTCACCATGGTTCTTCGTTGGACCAGGGCAAGCCCAGTGAGAAGCCGCTGACAGCATTGATGGTGCGTCCGAAGAGTAGCGAGGTATATAAGTTGTGACAAAAATGTTTCAATTGAGAGCAGTCCTGCAACTGGCAATGGATGGTCCAGGATCACTTATGCTGCTGTTCAGGCTCACTCATGCTATTGCAATTCTAAATCGTCTAATGTGCAAGTATGCGGCAGCTGGGAGTGGGCGGGGGACAAAGTTCCAAGGGGATTCCTTGGAAGGAAGTTAAACGTTTATGTCTGTTACCATTGCTTGTGATTGAGCTTTGAATTGGAGAAGAAATGGCAATAATTCGGGGCCCTGCCACTTTTGCTCTGTAGGGAAATCCGGGACTAGATGCAGGTTTAAGGTTGTAAGAATATCATATTTTTATCTCGCGGGATATACTTGCGACAAATACAGATTTCCGAATTCCAAGGGAGAATGGCATCAGGCGACTACGCCCATTGTGAATGACTACTGGGGTTTTCCTGACGATGTTGAGAAGTGCTCTTTTGCTTTATTTTATCAACCCGCCTGATGGGCATATGCGTAGGAAACATGTATCCGGTTCATAATAGCACACATTTCCTCTTTGGAAGGGACTTTTTTGCTCCATGTAAACAATGCAACCAGAAAAGGGGGGCGAGTCCAGTGATATCGCTTAAACGGCACTACGCAATTTCGTGACCCCTTTTTCCGCGCACGTGCCAACCACTCGGTTTTCAATTTATCCTGAATATTATCACTCCCGGCTTGAAATGTTTCTGATGGGTTTAAAAGCATGAGACAGAGACATAATGCATAAAAAGGGGATGTGGTTGAACGAAGCGTCTGTCTTAACTGATAGAACCAAAATTCAACGTCGTGGGGATAAGCATTCGACTAAGTACTTGGCTTAGTGGCTCGGCCACTCTAGCATGCTTGTCATTATACACATCAACATCGAAATAAAGGAGCATCAACTTTGACCGTTCTTTGGATAAGCCCAAAAATAATACTGTACTAAAAGTCAGGAATAAAGGCTGCACTTGCAGCAACCAGATGCACCCCAATGAAGGTAAAGGGAGACAGGGCAATGAAGCCAAATAAAAAAATAAGTGGATGTCTATTCAGAGGTGTACGTGAAGTATGAAAGCAATCTAGCAATATCTTGTGTTGAAAAATTGGGTTGATCTATTTACCATCATTGATGCATGTTTTAGTTGATTCACAGAACCCATAACATGCGATTCAGCCAAGGAAGTGTGCAAGAAACCTCCCTTGAATTTCTCAAAGATAGCCGTGGCCATTACTCGACGGTAAAATAAAGTGAAGTGTATATAGCAGACGGAAGGACTGTAGGGGATTCGTATGGGGCGGTTGGTTGGAGGGTGAGTCGGGTGTTACCTTGAAGATAAAAAAAAATAAGGAGTAACGGGCACTAGGATAGAGGAGCCTTAACGGGGACTGAAATGCAAATGTTTGGTGGTTGTTAGAGTGGGGATAGATTAGACATTCCTTTGTAATAAATTATAGAAAGAGCAAACTGCAAAGTCAAGTTGAGCTCGGCGAATCCTTTAAAGTCTGACATCGTCGGCTAGCCAGCTAGCAGCTAGACAAGCAATTGCACATACCTCCCTCATCAACCGTGAACCATAAAAAAGTTCCCAAGTAAGCAATTCGGCAACAGAGATGAGGATAACAAAGCTGAAGTACGAAGAATCACCATTGATGTGGCAAGGTGCCTAGGAGTCGGTGACTCATTACTTAAACTTCAGCGATATTACTACACTATCCCGATAAACCCCAATTCCCGGTGATATAAATCAAGGTTAGCTTTGAGGCTACAAGAATTGGTTGAGCGTCCTAAGGCATATTTGCTGCCTGTGCTAGTCAGCTAATAAACTAAGCAAACACGACTCGTTAATGAGAAGCTAGCCTGCATGTTGTGACAGATTCTGGTTATCAATTTGGTAGTAGCTGACTGATCATAGGACGAGGCAAGCTACTTACGAACCAAAAAAGCGGCATCCAAGGGGGGGCTGATAAACTTTGCTATTATATGGGAGTAAATCCATGTCGAATATCACCCATACGAGTGCAGGACAGCTATTTGATGGTGTCATCATGTTTTCCCGTGTTACTTCAACATAAGGTCCGATCATTAGGATCTGGTTGTATTAGCTCTAATTAAGGGTATTTGAATATCAGATATAGGGGTGCCCGCCTTCGAGAATTCTTCTGACATAAGCCAGTAACATACGCTGGTAAGTCTTGTTGCGATAGTCTTTAGTTTTCTATCCATTCTCTTGATGTGGTTTTAGAGAATAGCTTCTTACCAGTGGCGCGCACAACGAAACCGGCCGTTCCTTATCTGGCCATCTGAAGTCTTGTTAAATAGTGAACTATTCCAAAGTAATCAGCGTTGGACAGTTCACTAGTAGTTAGTAGCCGTGAAGCCGCCGAGGAGGGTGAAGTGGAGCGGGATCTAAGGAAACTCAAAATTGCCCATAAATGCAAAGTGTAGGGGTATAATTGCATGTACAGTAGAATACTTCAAGAAATATAAGATGGGGAATATGTACAGCTTCTCAGCCACAGTAGGATATCTTAGTCGTCCATAAACCAGCAGCAAGCCACTATGGGATCTCAGACTCTCCAAATAGCGTCTGACACCTTGGCCACTTCCGTCATCTGTTTAACATCATGTACTCGTACAATATCAGCGCCACCATGTATAGCTGCCGCCACGGTTGCAGAAGTCCCATACTGCCGCTCATCCGGTCTCGGGACGTCCGTGATTTTCCCGATGAAAGCTTTTCTACTAGATCCTACCAGCCAAGGCAGACCTCTCAAGCCAGGCCAGTCTCGCAATTCATCGAAGCGTCGTAATATCTCCAGAGCATCATCGCCATCCTTTGCAAACCCAATGCCTGGGTCGAGGATAATGCGCCAACGGCGAATGCCAGCTGCTTGCGCCTCTTCAAGGCGCTGGAGGAGTTCTTTGGCGATAGTGGGGATAAGACCTTTCGGCGAGTAATCTCTCATTACTCGCCTTTGCATCGTATTTGGAGCTCCACGCATGTGCATGAGAATGACTGTTGTCCCAAGGCGTGCCATTGTTGGTAGCATACTTGAATCTAGCTGACCAGCGGAAATATCATTGATAATGTCGGCACCAGCTTCCACAGCAGCCTCGGCGACAGATGCACGGTAGGTGTCGACACTAAGCAACCCTTTGTAGCCTGTGGAACGGATCTGTTTGATAGACGGGATAATGCGGGACGCCTCCTCTTCAGCCGGTACCGATACAGACTGGGGAGCAGATGACTGGCCTCCAATATCAATAATGCGAGCACCATCGTCGGTCAAAGATTGAATTGTAAGTTGTAGTAGGGAGGGTTTGGTGCTATCCAGTTCTGCGGTAATGGGTGCATTTACACTGGCGTCAGAAAATGAGTCGTGATTAAGGTTTAAGATCGCCATGACCATGGTTTTGCGATTAGGTTGGAGAGCCCGAATTGGCTCTTCTGAGCGTCCTAAGGGAGTGACAGTGGACATTGGATGTAACTGAGGGAGCGCATCCAGATACTCTTGGACCGTTTTCCATGAAGACGAGGGATGCAACGGTTCCCCCGGAATAAGTCTACCAACCAATTAATGTCACTCTTTTAGTCGTGGGGGGATATAACAACTCAGAAAGCGGCCGAAGAACAAATTCTCGCTCGGGCATACTTGGATGAGGAACCTTGAGCCTCACATGATCTATTATCTGATCTTCATAGAGTAGGATATCGAGGTCAATATTGCGAGGACCTTTGTCGATAATCTTTTGTCGGCCCAATTTTCGCTCGATTTCTTGAAGAGCGTCGAGGAGCTCCATTGGCTTTAGGTCCGTTGCAATCTGCAGGATGGTCAGGTTTCCGGACGGTGGTGGTTTATACGGGGCGTTATATTTTCTGCGTCGACAGCCCCGTGGGGGCGTACTTGAAGGAAGTCCAGGCAAGAAACTCACCTCACAAACACCATTAAGAAATTTTTCTTGATCCATAACATACATGGGATCTGTCTCCCATAAAGAGCTGGTTCTCAAGATATGAATGCCATATGACTGCATCTCATTGCAGGCTTTTTCGATCCAATCCACCCGGTCTCCAAGATTACTACCCAAGGCAACATATGCTCGCGGCGCCCTTTTGACCTCCGGCTGCATTTTGGAGAGAACATCGTCGAGCGCGCGCTGAATCGATGGTGAGAGCTGTCGTGGTGAATATGACGTCTCCTTCTTTCGACCGGCAGCCAAGCTAGACAGGTGACGAGTGGCGACGATGGATATTGTCAACGGAATTGAGGCATTGGACCGTCTTGATCTCGGCAAACGAGCGGGGATGAAGCCTCGCGCCTTGATCAAAACTCGTCTCTCCATTGACAATGTTACACCGAGGTTGGCGCAGAAATGACCGTTGGTCGGGTGGGAGACATGGCAAAGAATGAAAAAGCGCTGGTCAGGGTGTCATCACGTGGTATTTAGTCTGCATTTGCCGCCCCTGCCAGATTAAAGTTGGTTAAGGTAGGGGGCACTTCTAACCATATCATAAACATCCTGCGCTGTCTACATTCAGGATCTAGAGATATACTTCACTCTTTACCATTGCTTCACTTTTTCCTAATCCGGACTCTCACCCTTACCATACCCAATTCGGGTCGGCCCCACGTGTCTGCGATCTGTCCGCATCACCTGATGTCGGCGACTCCTCCATCGCTTCAGCCGTGCCGAGGCAAATTCCCCAGACTCAACGGTCAACACGCGCAAAAGCTGCCGCCCTGGGCCGAGAGAACCCCAGTTTGACTTAGTCCCACATCCTCCGCTTTGCTCGATCCTCATAAAGACACCGACATCTCTTACATCCTCCTCTAAATCCCTTACTATCCCTCTACAACTGCATCTCTGTATCTATCCTCATTTCCTGCTATAACCGGCATACTTGCTCCATTTACCCGCCCATCCAGCAGCAACAGCAAACAACACAACCATGGCTTCACCACGTAAGTCTCACATGCCAGCTAGAGCAAAACAAAACAATGCAATGAGTTAGAAAGTTAGCCAGGAGACTGACTGTGACCCCAGAGCAACTCCGCACTACGACCACCGATCTCCTCAAGATCAACCACCCTGTTATGCTTGCTGGCATGAATGTTGCCGCTGGTCCCAAGCTCGCAGCAGCAGTCACAAATGCCGGAGGTCTGGGTGTTATCGGTGGTGTAGGCTATACGCCAGACATGCTCCGAGAGCAAATCGCCGAGTTGAAGGAATACCTTAACGACAAGAACGCCCCCTTTGGCGTTGACTTGCTCCTTCCTCAAGTTGGAGGCAGCGCACGAAAGACCAAGTAAGGAATCAGATACCGAGTTGTCTCTATCGTTACTGTGCAAAAGTCAAGTTACTAATGCTGGGTCATTGTGCAGCTACGATTATACCAAAGGCAAGCTCGACGAGCTCGTCGACATTATCATCGAGAGCGGCGCCAGGCTCTTCGTCTGCGCCATCGGCGTCCCTCCCAAACACGTCGTTGAGCGGCTACACAAGGCTGGCATACTATACATGAATATGATCGGGCACCCAAAGCATGTCAAGAAATGCCTCGCCCTCGGCGTGGATCTCATTTGTGCCCAAGGTGGCGAGGGTGGTGGACACACTGGTGACGTCCCCACCACTGTCCTCATCCCCGCGGTTGCCGACCTGGTCAAGGGCCATACCAGCCCTCTGACCGGCAAGCCAGTGCAGGTAATTGCTGCTGGTGGAATTTTCGATGGCCGAGGTGTTGCTGCTGCTCTTATGTTGGGTGCCAGCGCTGTTTGGGTTGGAACTCGTTTCATCTTGACTGATGAGGCTGGAGCGCCAAAGGCACATCAAGAGGCAGTCCGGACCGCTGGCCATGACGATAATATCCGCACCATCATCTTCACCGGCCGTCCTCTGCGTGTCCGAAACAACCCATACATTTCAAACTGGGAGGTAGAGCGTGCACAGGAGATCAAGGATCTCACAGGCAGGGGTATTATTCCCGTGGAACATGACTTGGAGGTTAAGGGTGATGATATTGATGATGAGGTAAGATCCAGCATTTCATTTGATGAGACCTCCTCATTCTCTATTGATAAGTGTGGTTTGAATTGTAATGCTAACTGGATCGATAGACTATGGATAACGCCCGCCCCTGGCTAATGGGCAAGGCTGCCGCAGTGGTCAACGAGAAAAAGAGCGCCAAGGCCGTGGTTGATGAGCTAGTCGGCGATGCAGTTGCATGGATCCACAAGGGCGAGAAGATGACCGCCAAGCTATAGGGGAGGAATATGGAAATAAATCGGTGATGAAACAAATTGTATATTACGATCTACATGCATCTCAATATAATGCATAACTTACTATGTCTATTATGACTCTTTGGACTGTTTCGTATGTGGATATATATTTGTTTCAAGCTGTGTGACGTGGTTAATTTCAAGCGTCAAATAAATATGCCGATCAGAATTCCCATTTCCCTGAAGCTTTTTCTTGAATGCAAGTACCTTCAAGACTTTTAGGCTCCCACATAGAGAGGGAATGGAAATCCTCACTTAGGTGTTTGCTTATGCAAGATACCACTCTACTAGCATTTGAACGGGCATCTATCGTGGCATAAGCTGGTAACTTAACCGGCGTTGTCCTCTAAATCCGCGATGTCGAGTAATATAGATAGTGATACCGCTTCCTAAGTAGAGACTTGTAAGCATAACCAGCTGGTTATCACAGCTATCTGTGAAGCCTTTCAGCCTTTTGTTGGGCAAGACTGGGCTTCAAGCGTGTGTGGTATTCTTTAGGGACTCTCGCAGAGCCCCCGCTCTGCGAACGGGATGTATGGGGGCCGTGCGATCTAATTAAGTAGAACATCCTGTTTTAGCGGACATCTCGTGCAGGGCATGCCTTCTACTGAGGATTCTGTAATGAGTTCCACGTCTTTACTATTACCCAATTATCGGGCGGCCCGAAATAATCTCCTGTGGAGATGCTAATGTATAGCGGTGGAAGGGGGCTGGGGTTTAATCATTGGTGTAACTCATAGCATAATGAGGAACCGGATAATATCGACTTCTAAATCACGTTTTCTGAGATAAGATATCTTCAAAAGCAGTACGTTCTAAACCGAAGTTAACTCGCTGCCGGAAATTCTAATAGCAACTGCTAATAGATGAGGGGTATATAATAATAAACACAGAAACTAAAATTTCAGGACCTCATCCGCCCATATCCCATCTTGTCCATCACGGTAATATATCATTACATTCTCTACAAATTCAGGATCTTAGTACATAAGCGTGGCCGCCACTCCAACAAAGGCTACCGCAACCAATTGCAAAAGCCCAATCGCACTGCCTCCACTCACACCATTAGCTTGCTGGAACGTCGACACAGCACTAGGAGCCGCGCTGGAACTCGACTGCACTCCCGCTTTGACACTACTATCTTCTGCAGTAGGCACGGCAACCTCTCTCACCACCGTGGGAGAAAGCGCCTCCTCAGTAGGCACGACTTCTGGAGGTGAGGATTTTGTGGAAGTGGGCAGGGCAACAGGTGCGGTAGAGTTCGCGGTCGGATATGGTGCTTCTCCTGTAACGTTTCCAGCGAAGGTAGAAGTGGCGTAAGGAGGGACGTAGCTTTCGAAAGTCCTGACGATAGGAGTTTCGCAAGGCGTAAGAGGGACGGGGCTGACGATGACGATGGTTTTCACGACTGGCACGGCGGTGGGGGCTGGAGCAACCCCTTTTGCAGTTTCGGAGGCACCAGTTGGGAGACCTGCGGCAGCTGTTGGGAGGGTTGAGGGGAATTCCGTTTGCGAGACTGGGCAGACAGTCGTGTACTGGACGACAGTCTTGGTTTGGACGATTGCCGATTCAAGGCTTGCAGGGCAATGAATGTATTGGGAGAGGCAGCTGGTAATGGTGTAGGTCTCTGTGCTGTAGATGGTTCTGGTGGTAAGATCCGAGCCGTCAAGGGCACTGGTGGTCGAGTTACTGGCCTTGTTACCAGTTGGGAGTGGACCGGCAGAGCTGTCACCCACTTCACCATCAGCAATACCTGTGGACGTTGGCGAGGCACCGCTGACTGGACAGACAGTTGTGGTGATGATGACTTCACTAGTGACCTGGCCAATTTTGCCTGGGCAGTCGGTAACTTCAGGTTTGCAGGAGGTGATGGTGTAGACGGAGGTTGTGGTAATAGTCGAGGTAGTCATTGACGAATCGCTGCCTGTGGGTACACCGCCAGATGCATCTGAAGTTGAGTTTCCATATGGACCCTGAGACGGTGATGTAGGTTTGTGGTGGGGTTTTATTGAACCAGTTCCAGCGGAGTGGTGATGAGATGAGGCTGTATGATGGGAAGACCCACTTCCTTCCTTAGAAGTGTGCTTACCATGGTCAGATGTATCACTCTCATGTCCGGAATGGATTGCGGTATGGAATGCACCCCCTGGGGCTGTGGGTGATGGGGCATCTGTTTCTTTCGCCTTGGAATGAGTTGATGTGGGTGATGTCTGTTTTGGTATCGTCTTGGAAACCACAGTCTTGCTTTTATCAGAGTCTTCTGTTTGCTTGAGAACAGGGGGAGAAGTCTTCGGAAGCGCCTTCGTGGTCGTTGGATTCGAACTGGATATGCAGGTCGATGGCAGCGCTCCAGTAAAGAATGTCGACACAGCAGTTGGTCCAGCGGAAAATTTGGCAAAGTCAAGATCAACGACCGCGCGGGCATAAGCTCCGATTTCCTCGAAGAAGTTCTCGGTGAACTCCACTTTGCAGGGTTTCTTTGGGTCATATGTGATGCAAGCTTTGTACTGAATTGGGTCGAAGAAAACGCCTGCCTCAAAATCGAAACCTTTCCCGAGCACCTTGAGACCCACCCCAACCTGGAATTTGAGGCGTAGGATGGCGGAAATGCATGCGGCGCCCTTCACCAGTTTCACCGGGATTGACTTGACTTGAACCCCACCACTACGTGTGTATTAGTATATAGCCTGGAACCAAGGATGCCTGTATTGTTTATGGATTAAACTTACATGTTCATTGAAACGATCTTACCGTTCAAGGGATTCAAGACGAAGCTTGCGCCCTTTGGGAATACAACATCAAACCCAGTGCTAAAGTCAACTGCAGCGCTGACCGTGAAAAGGAGCTCCAGGGTAAAGAGAAGGCCAATTTTATCGTCATCGTTGAGCTATTGATTGTTAGTAAATGCATTCCTACTAAGTTAAAAATGCCCTCTAAAGGCATCATCCTAGCTTGCTTGTTGTGAGAGATGTGATGAACATACCGCAACACCGACAGGGGTCTCTGATCTGAACAACGTTACTGTGTACGTTCCTGATGCTGCAAACGATATATCAAACTCGAAGTGACCGCCGAGGTTTTCAAGGTTGACTTCGAGGTTCAAGTCGAGTGCATCGACCACAAGTTCCCTCGGATCAGGGTGTTTGAAAAAATCGATTATGCCTCCAAGAACCGATTCATCCTTCTTCACTCCCTCGGTGGTGACAACAGCAGTGCCAGTAGTATAACACGAGATACATGTGACGGAAATGGAAAGCGATCCACTGGCGTCACCCTTCGACTTTCCCAGTGCACTAAGAGAACGAATTAACCTTATTTGCGGGGGGGCGGCGGGGGGGCGAAGGGCTTCTTACACATTGAACAAAACGTCCTTCGCTGGGAACGTTTTGGCAAGGGAAACTGTCCCAAGATTCCGGTTCCGCCCTTCTATATACGAAAAGTGGTCAATATCAATGTGCCGCTTTTCTGGCACATCGACGTATTTAACATCGTAGGCAACGAGTGGCTTCAAAACGGAGGAAAAGACTGGAGCGGCGCCTGCTAGGAGGCAGAGCCAGGATAGAGGCTTCATCTCAAGATATAGCCCAAACTGAGGGTAAAAGAGTGTGGAGTTAAAGAAAGAAAGAATCTTGCACTATACAAGACTAAGAAATTGAGCACCCTGAAGAACAGGAAATTGTACACTTGGTTCTTGACATGATATAAGGCTCGACGAAATCGAAGTACCTTTGTAGATCCGCAAGGCTCCCCAGATGCTGGCTGCAACCTCGTTTCATCGCAGGGATTGTGCTGACGTTGATTATATTTCAAGCTTCACAGGATTGCCTGGCATGTGGTGTGGTGCATCTCCGCTTGGCACGGTCCTGCCGTGGACCACGACCGAGCACGCCGTAAGCACACAAAATATGGTTCGGTGATTCGCGCATGTCGATAAGGATCCCACCAGGCGAAGCCTAGCTGCAGAATAGGATAACTGTGCGGCAGAATGGCATAAATCGTCAAATAGGGGATTCGGTTGAAAGCCAATTCAGGGGGAGAATCCCAAAATGTTTAAGGCTGAGGCAACTTGGTTGGGCGTTCCTGGAAACCCTAGTAATTCAAAGATAGCTCAGCCTCCCTCCACCCAGTCAACGACAGACGCAACTGACTCGACTCGACTCCTACGGAGCACTCGTCCTTCCGGTCGCTACTCGTACAGCGAAGGATTTATTGATGGGCGTCCTCGTAAACCGCAACAGCATAAAGCTCTTGGCATCTTGCAATTTCGGAATTAAGGGGCGAGGTCATGAGCTGAACGGAATCCGGGGTGATGATGGATGATCATTGCTTGTTCCTATTCTCGAGTCTTTCCCGCGAAATAGTATGATATACCCCTTTTCCCTTGCCCCTCAAGCAACCCCCCAACTCGAGAATACAGCGTAGGGCGGTAATGTAAGAGATCCTGAATACCGGATGAACGTTTCCCCAGTCCACAAACGTCAAAGTTTGTCGCGGCCCACGAGCGATCCGATGGGTCTTTCCGGCACTACTCCGGGCCCTGGCAAACCCTAAACATGAGGTAGAGTTTACGACTCTTATTAGAATAGCACCCACGAGCTATGCTCCCGTTGAACAAGGTTGACGTCCAGAGTTGATTAAACATGCATGGAGGATTGGAAGGATCGCTGATTGGTTTTTGCTGCATTACTACCTACGAAGTATTGCATCCCTCAGATCGCTCAGCTGTTGCACACCGCGATGTCTGTCCAGAGCCTTCGGATTTCGCCTGGCGGTGACGGTCCTCCTCCAGGCTCCCTCGTACCTATTGCATTGAATGTCGACAAGTGGCCTAGTTCTTCCAGACCCAGAAGGTAGCCACTGAAACACGCCGCCAATATCGCCCACGTGTCTTCATAATAGCGGCTGCCAAGCATCCTGAGGCCATAGAAGTAACCATTGTTTGGATCTGAAAGGGGCGGGCGCGACGAGAATGGTAACGTATGGTGAGGTTTTGGAAGTTAGGATTATGAGTTGACGCGATAAAGTTGCGGGATTCCGACTACTACGCGCCCCAAGCATGGCGCTACACTTGAATTATGGTGACGCCAAGGGGCTTGCTAAATCATCCTCCCTTTTGTCCGCAAGGCTGCCACATAGACCGTACTAATACTCTAATAGTATATATAGAATAGGGGCCTATTTTTTGTCGTATTGATTAGTTTAGACGCTAGATTTTTAAAAGTCTCGCACACAGTGAGTAATGCGGGATATGTGATATATCTGCCAACATCCGTAAAAACATATCATGTGTTCTTAGAGTTTCAGTACCTCTCTCTAACCATAATATCACCAAAGCCTTCTTCCTCTTACGCAACGGAAAGTTGGTTCTATGACGACGGGGAGTGGCACATGTAAAGGGGGCTGATTATATCACTCGACGGAGCTCCTCACCGCCCGAAAGCCGGGGGAGCTAATCCCCTTTTGGTGATGATATTGCCATCCGCGTCCTACATCGCGTTGATGATTTTGGCGATTGCAAAGAAGTCAACATCAGGTGCTCCACAAGATGGCGCTACCTTTGCCACAAGGGTTAACTCCCCTTGAGGTCGCATTTGTTTGCGAGATGGAGATGGTCACCGTCATTCCTCGCCAGCAGCTCAAAAGTCAGGACCTAATAGCGGTAAGTTTCTAACCCCGCTATACCCCACCACCATCAACACCACCGCGCCAACTCCTCCCGACCTTCAATCGTCAAGCTCATAGTCACTATCAGGGACCAACACCGGGATTGCGGCCACCTCATCGTGCGTCGCTACCCCTTTGGTTTGCCCTTCTCCTCAAACGTCAGCGAAGAGCCAATATCCTTCCTCCACCATGGTTGCTCCCATCATCCCTCGAGAAGATCCTCAGACACGAAACAGAAATCTCACCAGACACCTTTTCGCCGCCCCCGCCACATCCACATCCTATCAGCACTCGGCCTGCCGCAACCGACCATTTGGCACCGCCATTCCTGCCATCGAGTACAGCTGATGCCCCACCGGGATATCTCCCTTACCACTGGCTGGAGCTTGGAGATATATTGTTAGAGGCATGTAGTGATGACATACCAGACGCTGATAGAGTGAGGACCTTATTAAGAGACTTACGAGAGGTTCGAATGGCGAAGATGAGAGCTAGTGCCAATGATCTGGAGGGGGGTGGAGTGAGTAGTTTCAAAGGCGTTGGAGCTATGGAAATTGCCGAAGGCAGACAATTCATAGTTGGCGTTATGGATGGCTTGAGGAAACTCGGAGCAAGTAGAGAGGTTGCGAGAAGAGAAAGAGAGGAGGATGAGGGCGGTGGTGCCGGAGGGGCGAATAGTGACGATGAAGAAATGGAGATGGAGTGATTATGGCTGCATGGGCTTCTGGGTATACATTGCATTGGCATAAATATCGGCGTTGAGGAGTGTGACATTAATTTGCTGCATATACCCATCCATTTCGCGGCTTTTATTCTGCAAGCTGGACATTGCGATGAACTCTCATCGCCATTTCATATTCTGTCCTATGTAGTCTCATCCGGCGTCATAGCGGAGCTGACAACTTAGCTTTCACAGGGCATAAAAGCAGGTGCCAAAACAAACCGGACGCAAATAAAATCAAAAGTTAGCAAAAAGAAAACGATAAATGGAAATTAAAATGGAAATAAAGATCCAACAAGGCAAGAAAGTTCCATTATCAACAAACCGCCTAATCTCTGTCGACTATGAACAGATATTAGCGTTCCACCGAATTTCTTTCATTTCGGGATGAATTGTTGCGCGGCGCGTGTCTCGAATTACCCTAATCAAGAGCCTAGTTGCCCTAATGCACTTTTATGACTTAGAAATGTCTCAAAAAAATATTACTACCTGGCTAGTAGTGAGGCAATGCCACCGGCCTCCTAGCAAAGAGCCGAAAATGGAGGCGGGGATAATCTCCTTTGCTGCTAGAAAGACAGCATGATTTTTCTGTTTTTGCTTCATACAACTGTCCACTTGGCAGAATCAGAAGAAGATGTGGCAAAACCAAGGGCATATCACCTCCCACACCGAGTAAGTGCGGGCAATTCTAATTCGCATGTTGGTAACAAATGTCACCTTCTCTACCCTGAGCCTCTGACCGCCTTTCTCTCCGCTCCACATCATCACCTTCTCATTTCCCTCACTGATTAGTGTAATCTTTTGCCACCTATGACTTGGCATGATATAGCCCTTGGTGGGTGCAGGAACAAAATCAGTCCTTCCAGAGAGCAAACTGGGGTGATTCCATTCTACCACGGCTTGCTGTGGATGGATAAGCGACGTTTCTATTGTTCGTTGGTTTCTATTGTTGTTGGCAGTACGATATTGTCGCTTCACTCTCTCGCTAGTTGCTAAATATTGACAATACAACAGTACCCCTATTTTACCTATTGTAACAAAAGCTTAATGAAACTCGGAGTCGCGTAACTATGGCTATTGGGCATTACTATTGTGAGCAGTAAGATATTGATCTCGACAATACTTTCGCTTGCTCTAACAATTCGGGAATCTACACTATCTATTCGAGGACACCCAACGTATTGTCAATCGCTTGATATTGTATCCAGTAAGTCCTGCCTATATCTTCTGGAGGTCTCCTTCAGGTCTTTCCTTTCTTTCCTTCGGCCAGGCTTCCCGTTTTGATTACCGTTCTTCGATTTCAAAGAACATATTTCAAGATAACCTTCATAACCAATCCATTCTGTTGTTGGAAGCGGTCTCCTTCAATCCAACCACTCAACCTCTCTCAAATATTTGCCCAATTCACACCTTCACCATGTCCTTCAGCGACGATAATGCAGCTCTCAGACGATATATCTCTCTCATAATCAGGCCACGCACCCGCAGCAACGTCCAGAAGCTTAGCGAATTACGACCAGACCTCAACATCCTCCACCCTCCCATGGAGAGGGACCCACTCTACCCACCGCGCCAGACACCCCTCCTCCCCTATATCCCGGGAGACTTATTTGATATGGGGAGCAATTACTCCCAGGCATCAAGCCTAGATATTGGAGATGGAGAGCCCGTCGAAGAGGGCAGAGTTAGTAAGTTTGTCAATTTACTCATGGCTCACACTTACTTTCACCTATACTACTACCCTATTTCTAAATTCTACTTCCTTTACAAGTTCGGAGGTTTCAATGTTCAACTGAACTAAGACTGACTACTGAACAGAACATACGATGGTTCGAACCCGCGAGGGGGAGATCCTATATTTAAACGACGAGGATCTGGAAGATTTTCAGTGGGAGGAGAGGCAGAGGCGTTTATACCAGAAACGAATGGGGGGGTTGGGGAGAGCCAAGAGGGCGAGGAGGTGGAAGAAGAGCAGGGCTTCGAAGAGGAAGCGGGACGAGAATGGGAGGTGGAGGGGGGAGGTAATGGGGCGGATATCTAAGAAGATACAGAAGAAGTGAGAAGGAATTGCCACTAGAATTTTCATTTGAATTGATTGATATCTGATCAAGTAAGAGTACGTCGTCCATTGTCAAATATTGTGATGTTGTCAATGTATTCGAGTAGGGCTGTGGCAAAATAAGGGGCTTAAAAGAAACAGGTGTCAGGGTTAAAATAGCTAGACTTGTGAGTTGTTTGCGTCTAGGTAGCCACGGAGCTCTTAGACCCTCTTCTATACGTCAAAAACTAGTGGAATGGGCATTGAAGGTGAGAATTGGACCGGATTTGCTACTGAACCAATAGATTTCTGGTGGCTAGGCCGTGTCTCTGGAACGCGAGATCACGGTCAGGCGTTTTAATACCTCAAAGGGGAGCTGGTTTATTGGAGCGGAAACTGAATGCGAAAATGAAATTTCGGACATACGTTATATGAATGGCTCCCCAATGAAGCCGGACTTGGAAACAAAAATAAACTGCTGTTTCTATTTCGACGGTATACATTTCCAATGCAAGGTCCACAGCCAAATTCAAATACCCCAAGTATATCCGCCGTATGGTATTCCATAAACTCCAAATATATACCTTGCACATATTCTATACCCCGCGGGAGACCCTGATAAACTCCGATATATGACTCGTATATGTTGTCTTCCCGTAAACCCATTTGATGCAGGTTCACTTAACTATGGACATGCCAGTATTAGATCGCGCAACACTTATGGGCCATTCGATCAGATCCCGCATATCCGCAGGCAAGATGTGGGTGCCTGAATTGATCCAGTCCAGATGCCCACGAAGCGTTACCACGCAGCGCCTTTCCCCGAACTCTCGATCGATAATTGGTCCCATAACCAGCTGGATGGCTAGGAAATGAATGAGCAGAATCCGTGATACTACGTTTTCGGGGGCAGTAAATTCGCGAAGCTTGTTGTTGTTCATGCTGATGATCCACTGATATACCCCCAGAAACTTGAAATATGCTGCTGACGAGTCAGTTATCACAGCCGCAGATCCACAGTGTGCGTGGAGACTTACTTCGTACAGATGATATTGCCAGGAGGTCAGTTATATCTACTAAATGATTGTAGAACTCTATATTGTTCGACTTTTCGACTGTCGGTAGCAGTGCCGCTAAAGCTTGCTGTGCATTTTGTACCGAACATGTGTCTATGAGTGGTATATTAGAGAGCCTCTCAATCATATATTCGAAATGGTCGATGCAGAAAAATCCCATTGGAAGCTCCTCCAACTTGAGTTGCCTACTAAGCATGGTACATCCGCGGAGCATGCGGAAGGTTTCCTCCATACCATCAGGCATGTAGGTAGATTGGAAGGCAATGAGGTAACATGATGCTAGGAGCGCATCTCCATCGCTACCAGTTCGTGGTGCTCGGGAAATTGCTTCATTGGAGCCCAGAATAGCAAGATGCCGGTGATGCAACGCTGTGGCGTTGAGATCTTCTCCGGTGATCATCCCCAGATGGGATGCTGCCAGGCCCAAAATCGCATGCATGACATATTCATTCTAGTAGTATCAGGTTAGTAAGGTAATTCTTTGGTGTGGAAAGGAAACATGCGTGATGTGCAATCAAGGGAACTAGTGACGTCCAGCATGAATCAGCACCAACAGGCAGGTAAGGATATGCTTCTTGTAGAAAATGTTGAAATAGTCGCATGTCGGTCAAAGTAAACTTTATTGGAGTATGTTGCAGGGTGACGGAGGCTATGGGGCTTGGTGCATATATCGCCGATTGCTGCACGGCTGGGAGTGTTTTTGGAACTGGATATGTGCATTTAATCTTGTGCCTTATGCAATTCCCACATCTCGGCAGGGTTTCTTGACACTTGGGCAAGGTTAGTTATATCCATATATCCTTTAGGTCTAGAAAGTAATCCATGCATACCTTTATCTTCCTGCTTTTGCAGTTGAAGCAACCGTGCCTGGACTTCTTGTGACCTTTTCTTGGCCTCGGTCGCGACTTTGCTTCGGTATTCGGGCATTCAACAACTTTGAGCGGTGGGCAATGGGCTAATACGCACTCGGGTGTATTGAGTGAGGAGGAGTCCTCTGGTGTAGAATTGGAATTTGGTGCATCATACACCATGTTCCCCATTGATGGTCCGACTTGTGGTGTTTGCCCGTTATCCGACGATGTAAAAGACCCTTGACAGCTTGGAAAATGCTGGGAAAGATACCGGTCATCCTCTGGCCCCAACTTTTCAAATTCGATTTCCATTTCAGCGCTGCTCTTAGCAGGATGAACCCAAATTCCTTGGAGGCTAGTGTGATCGTTCATGTCGGCAAGAGCCCTTTCTCTAATAACATGGAATTCATCACGGAGAAGTAGGAATTGAATGCGATAGTCGGTATTCATTTTTACAGAGTGCTATAATTATGCCGTCCCCGGGCTGAAATAACCTTGTGAGAAGCTGACCGTTCAGGGTTGCTGCCTGTCCAGAGAGCAGTCGTAGACTCGTGGGTTGCAAGGAGTTGGTTGCATGAACGAATAAGGAGCGTGGAAAGAGGGTGAGATTGACTCCAGAAACAAAAATAACTATTTCCAACGTGACCCGGCATCCAAGTAGGGCAAATATCCTAATACAGGGGATGTTTTGCTTCCATAGGGGGATGGTGTTGTTACGAGGCACAAGGCTTGGTAGGAATGCCTTCATTGGCTTATGGGGTTGCAAGTGCTCTATCAATTGAGAGGTGTGTATATAGAAGGGCAGGGGTTGCAACTGTCAAGCCAACCACCTCTCTAGGTTCTGTACTACCATCACACAGCTCCTTTTCATCCTTCCTGTCACTCGAGATATTTTCATCTCAATCCAACTGTGTGAGGTCGATCACTTCCTCGGTATCATGGCTTGATTATTATGCCCCCTTTTTCTTGATCCATGGTGGCCAAGTTTTTGTTTCAACCTGCATATCCTTTGTGTAAGGTGTCATCAATCATGGTGACCTTAACATCCCTAACAAACTCATCGGTGCTCTCCTGGGCCATCGGAGCAGTCGTCCTATTCGAGACACCATTCGATAATATATTTTCTGGCCCCCGAAAGCTTGTTACTATTTTGGCGTTTGTGGCCGTTTACACCCTGGCGTTTTTATGGCAAAATCAGGTGACTGAGATTGTCCCCGAGCCCTACTTAGTATGCCTTTCCGTAACTTCGACGATAGATTTTGGCTATTAATTTGGAAAATAGGATGAAGTGTTTCACATCCCTCAAGCACAAGCATATTGCAGAGCGGCCTATGAGGTCTGGGATCCAAAACTTACTACCCCTCCTGGCCTGTGAGTTTCGCCATCCAAGAAATTGAACCGCGCTGAAGATAGGAACCTGTTAGATATGCCTTTTCGACGGTCTGGATTAAAACACTGGGCTATGGAGTATGCAGTGTTTACAATCTCCGGCGCTTTAGCGTCTTCGCCCTCTGTATTACAATGGTGTATGCCTTCGAGTGCCGCACACTCATAACCTCCATATGGCAACGAAATCCCTTGGCCACCGCCAAACCAACAGGTATTATCTCTGCGAAAACACCATATGTCCCCAATTTCCGCTCATTTGTCACCTCTATCTGGCACCGAGACCCCCCAGCCACCACCAAAATCCCGAGAGCAGGAATTATGAAGAAGGATGCTATCCTTACAGCATCGAGTATCGCGCTTTTCCCCCCACTATTCCTCTTCTCTGGGCTCTTCTACACAGATGTACTTTCAACTTGCCTTGTCCTGACTTCATACCGGCTTTTCCTCCAACGCAAAAGCTTTTACGAGAACTCAGGATCCGGATTTTTGAGAATTTACGTCACTGGAATGGTAGCACTTACTATGAGGCAGACTAATATTTTCTGGGTTGCCATCTTCATGGGTGGCTCAGAGGCCGTGAGGATTATCAAGATGAATGAATCTCCGTCGACTGCCACTAAACCGGCATCTCGAACTTGGCCAGAAATAATTATGGCTACTTTTTCACAGTACAGCCGGGGCGATATTCATGATGTGCCTTTACAAGATGCTGGTGTGACTGGTACGAAACTCCATCAAGCCTGTTTATTTACCGTCCGCATATTGACGAAATTCAGATTTCATCCTTTGCGCTCTCAGTATTGCAGTTGCCATTCTGTGTCATCCTATCCTTATCCTGTCCCGGTTACTGCCGTATATTGCACTTCTCATCTCATTTATGCTATTCGTCCTCTGGAACGGTAGTGTCGTCCTAGGTAAACTATCCTCCTATTACCGATCCTTGCCACGCTTCCTACTCCGCTCCCCAAGCTAACTAAACAAATCAAGGCGATAAATCAAACCATGTCGCAACTATCCACATTACACAACTCCTCTATCTCTTTCCCTTCCTGGCTTTCTTCACCGCGCCACTCATCATCCCCTCCTTCTTCCAGCACACAGTTGCCACACTGAAATCCAAGTTTTCGTTCCGAAAGGCCACCCCAGCAGTGATTTACACAACCCTAGCGCTCCTCACAACACTAGCAATCATACACTACAACACCATTATCCATCCATTCACCCTAGCTGATAACAGACACTACGTATTTTACGTCTTCCGATACAGCATTCTCCGGCATCCATTAATTCGGTACCTCCTTGCGCCTATCTATCTCCTCTGCGCTTGGGCAGTATACTTGGCTTTTATTCCACTTCCATCCGATAGCTATTCTAGTCCATCGGACACGGGAAGTGCCCCCACCACAAAGCCAACGGAACCTACCAGGACTCAAGGCGCCGAAGCCGCCCTTCCTCCACCAACCATGTCCAACACAACCAACACAACATCAACACTCCTCCTCCTCCTCATCCCTACAGCATTGTCACTAATAACAGCACCCCTGGTTGAACCGCGGTATTTCATCTTACCATGGGTATTCTATCGACTTCACCTGCCCACTCCTTCAGCATCACCATCGGCATCTACCCCTCGATGGGATGGAATTTTAGGAGGAAAGACTAAGTGGCTGTGGTTCGAGATGTTATGGTTCCTGCTAATCAATGCAATTACGGGGTATATCTTTTTATATCGGGGGTTTAAGTGGCCGCAGGAGCCTGGGAAGGTGCAGAGGTTTATGTGGTAAGTTTCTGCAATTTTGGAAAACGGATGGTGGGCTTCATGGGCTAGGGCCGGCAGGTTCGGGTTGGTGGTTGGGGGGTTAATCAAGCGTGTGATGTAGGCTTTATTTTGGAAAGGAGGCTGCATGGTGAGGAAAGGAACCATCTAAAGCACTGTAGTTAATAAAAACTTTTATTCCTATTACCACCGGCAACCTATATTTAGGTCTGCCGAGTGAATCCATGTCATATATGTATATGTATCGTATGTCATCTGTGTGTACCCTTCATCCGATGTTGTTCCGAACTCCAAAGCGCATACCATACGCCTGATGCTAGTTGCAAGCCAATATATCCGTGTAAACGACAGAGACCCCCCAATCCAACCTCAGCCGTAATCAAATGCTGTACCGCTCCATATCCATCATCTAGCATAGTCTAGTTGAGTTGAGTTGAGCCAAGTATGCGTATCCCCGTCCAGACCAGCCGTATATGCATATCCACGCCATCCCAAAAATCCAGTCCGGGTCCATCCATCCCATTTATATCATAATGTCATTCGCTTTTGTACTCCAAAAGCTACAGGCTCAGCCTATCTAAGCTCAACCGATCCGCACTTCTCTGCCTCCTCACAACCCCCAACTTAAAATACCGTTCTTCCCCCGTCGCCGTCCTTCCCCCGATATACCACTTCTCCTTCCCAAGGACATCTCTAAACCCCTCACTACTGCTATCACTTCCTCTCCTTGCTGCCATGCCTGGTACATATCTGCCTTGGGCCGGTGGCGAATGTGCCATTTCCGTGGAGTTTGCGGATGGAGATGTACCCGGAGAGCGGGATAAGGGGGATGCGCTGTGGGTACGGGGCGAGTGTAGGGTCGAGAGGGCAGCGGTTGTGTTGCCGCCTTTGGAGGACGTGGCTATTGCTCGGGGTTGTGAAGGAGAGGTGGGGTTATGCGGTTGAGTTGTTGATGAAGAGGGTGAGGGATTTGAGCCAGCTTTGCCTTGCTGGATGGCGGAGTGGGCTCGGAAAGCGGCGAGGAAGTTCTGGAAGAAAGGTCGTTGGGTTGGCATTTTGGTGGAGGCTTTTAGGTAGGTTGGTGGGAGAGGAGGATGGAAGGTTGATGTGAGTCGGACGGTTATGTAGTGGTGTTATCCTTGGAAGCTGCCGGAGCCTCGGAACAGTTTTTTGCCCCAGGTCCTAATTTATATCGTTTCCAGGCGCTCAAGCGTGGTAGATCGAGTATAGTCCGAGGCTCTGCGGGTCAAGCTCCCTCCTATGCTGATTGTATTCCCTGACGTCGATGCTCAGGATATGGAGGTCGCACGAGACGATACCCCCCCTCGCCTGGTCGATACCGACGATATATGTAGATATACGACGGAAAAGAGCCTAGCAAGGAGCTGAATTCGGGGTAGCCGCGGGTTGGAAGTGGGAGCGCGAGGAGGAGGTTGATCTATATCGGTCTAAGTTGGATGCGGAATGCGATGACATGAGCCCAGGTTGCCATGTCCAAAAGGTTCAAGATGCGACGATGATGATGCGGGACTGGACATATCTCGGGATCGGGATCGGGATGAAACGGAGGCGAGTCAGAGACCGCGAAATGGTAATGACCAACGCCAACATGCGCCAAGAGAGATCGGAAACAAGGAAGTACCTAGCGCGCGTAGAGTGACAATATAGGTGCAATAGAGAAGTTGCTCAAAAGACTTTGTCCTGTTGGACAGAGGTGTCTGTATACAAGACTAGAGACTTATTTCGCTATGCCTTATGACTAAAAGCAAAGATCTCTATTGAAGAACTCTTTATTCGCTCGGTACGAGTACTTACCGTAGGCAGGTAGGTACCTTAGGTACCTTAGATAACCAATAGCGAGAGCGCTTTTGTTAATTAGGCGTGCGACGTGATTATTCAATTGTCTTTAAAATGGGGTTAGAAATATATTGCAACTAGACATGTGTAAATCAATAGGGTCCTACGTAGGTAGGCATCTTCGAAATTAAATGTTACTTCTTTTTGAAGTATCGCACTCCTTAAGGTCAGCAGGCAAGGTAGAATAGGTAGAATGGAGTCATGTAATAGCATAGGAAACCTTGTCGCTGCTCAACTCTAAAGGTGGTCTAGATAAAAATAACCATCTGCATGATTCATCCATTTCTCGTAAAGCTTTCAACAAAGAGTCCTTCTCCAAGTTTAACTTAACTTCCAAATTTGGTTTGCCATCTGACGCAGAGAAAGGGACGTATCACGTGCCACGCACTCGGTTCGGGCCAAGCTGAACCCGGTTAGCTCCGAAGAATCTCGAATCCATCACGACAACACACTCATTGCTCTCCTACCCCAATTGAACCGCGACTAGACCTGGTGCCGCCAACCCATAGCTATGAGTTCTTCAGTGAGTGACATCTTCAGCTTCTGGTCTATTCTCAAGCTACGACTAACGAGTATTGTGCGTTCAGGCCCCATCCGCAGGAGGCAGCAAGCCTTATCCGACATACAAATCCCCCTACGCCCCGAAGTACGTCGCCATACATAGGAGTCCACGAGGGATATAGTGGAATTGGTGCTAATGATGGGTAGTTATAAGGTGGCTACGAATATTCGCGGATTGACATTCCAGACGGTGTCGAAATTGTATGTTGAATCTGGACCCCACGCGCTCGCAATCGATCTAGCGAAGCAGATAGAGATTGGTTTTAATATAATGAACGATGGCATGATGGAATGAAGGAATGATGCTGACTTATATGGGGAATTAGTGGTGTTAGACTGGGTGCCTATGGTGGCATGGCCGGTGTCTTCGCGGTATTCTTCTTCTCGGATATCCCAAGATTCAACCGCGATGTCATGGTGGTATGCTGCATTCCTGGGATATCAGAGAGGCAGTGGCTGATTTTTAAACAGAAATTTCCAGTTGTTGGCCGGCTTTTCGTGAAAGAGCCCCTTCCAGCGTCGGACAACGTACGTCTTACCCTTTCTATTTCCTCGAATTTCTTCATGTTGTTGGCCCGAAGTCATGTCCACGGCGAGGACGTCCGTATTCTGCGGAACAGATTTGACTTGGAGGCTTGAAATTTTGAGACTTTCAGTCAAGTCGGGCCCTACCAGCGTATTCTATGCCAAAACTGCTACATCAAGCAGCCACGCTCTCGCAATTGAATATAGAAACTGTGCATTGCCTTCACTAGGCTCCCTCCGTTTTTAATCTTCCAGCAATTACTTCATCCGTTATATGACCCCAAGCTAACCCTCCTTGCAGCCATTCTAAGGAGCTCTGGGTGGATGGCGAAGCATTTCATCGGTATAGAGATGGGTAGAAGTGGTGGGTCCATGAGCCAATAGAAGTCAATTGTACTGTACAAAAAGATAGCAGGAGATATACCGATTTACCTTAGACCGTATGGCAGTTATTATGAATTAGCTTTGGTACCTTAACGTGACAACTTCGTGATCTTGTGTCGGCTTTCGGGAACCACGGCTCGCTTCTAGAAACTTCCAGCCCACGTAACCTTACCAACCAGCAACGAGGCTGACAAAGTCAAACAAAGCATTCAGGAAACAACAAGTATCCGTCGTTTGAGTCACGGCATGTTTGCCTACACAGAAAACGGCGCTGTCTCCCTTCCCATGACTGCTGCATTATCTGCCTGATATTGGACAGCACTATTAATACAGTTTTGGTGCAAATAGCGGAGCACCCATCGCGGTTTGTGGCTGAGACCGTAAGGCTGAGGGAACAAACGCTGGTAACCCCGCAACAATACTGACTGTGCAACTCGAAACATAGTCCAACTGGCCGATAATACACCAGTACCATACACGAATCCAGCGTCAGCTTGAGCGCCCCATCATAATAATTACGTCGCGACTTCACTTCCACTCTACGCTCGGGAGCAAAACAAATCCCCGACTAATCATACCAAACGACCACAATCCTTAAAGCTCCGTGACAAAAGAGTGTCCTTCCAGTTACTCACACCGAGCACTATAATGGCACAGGGGGATATTCCAGGGCTGCCCGACCCAAATAAATCCCTGGAATACAAGGAGAAAGGCAATAGATGTTTTCAAAGCGGAGATTACCAGACCGCAGAACAATATTACACCAAAGCGTACGTCCCGATATGTAATGTCCCATCCCATTTCTGCACGGTACACGCATTCCCTAGAACCAAGATAATATCACTAATGCGCGTTGATGGTGATAGAATAAACCATGAGCCGACGAATCCCCTCCTTTATACAAACCGAGCCATGGCGCTTCTCAAACTCTCCCGCTGGTCTGCCGTTATCGAAGACTCCAACCACGCCATCTCCCTACTCGCGGAAAATATGAAGGCGTACTATTACCTTGCACAAGCACAAATCGCGTTACATGATTCTGAATTTGCGTTGGATAGCGCGAAAAAGGCACATGAGTTGTGCGTTAAAGAAGTCTTGATTGGTGGTAAAGGAGCTGGTAGTCTAAATGTTATTACAGAGTTGGTCCTGAAGTGTAAGAAAGAGAACTGGGAACGCAAAGAGAAGGAGAGGCTCATGGCCAGGGGAGGGCTTCTCGCTGATCTAGTGGGGTTATTGGAGAGGGAGAGGGATCAGAAGCAGGAGGTCGTGCATGGGGATACGTCTCAGGAGTTAATTCGAGAAATAAGTAATGAATATGCGGAGAAGATTGAGGAGCTGCGACATACTTTCGAGGCGGCCAACGGTGCGCATGATGAGGGAAGGAGGAGAAAGGTTCCGGACTGGGTTGTAGATGACATTACGTTCTCCGTTATGGTGGATCCTGTGGTGGTATGCTCTTCGCTTTCGTTTCCCCCCTCCCCTCCCTTTATATTTCAGGAGTGGATAAGTACTAACATACACTGTGACAGACCAAAACAGGACAATCCTACGACCGATCCTCGATCATGGAACATCTCAGACGCAGCCCCACTGATCCCTTGACCCGCGAGCCTCTCCGAGCTGAAGACCTGAGACCTAACTTAGCTCTGAGAGCAGCTTGTGATGAGTTCTTACAGGAGAATGGCTGGGCTGTGGATTGGTAATGGACGGAGATGCTAGAATGGAATAATGCGGAGATTTGAGAGCGGGGTAGTTCAAAGAGACAACCTTGGGATATCACGGATGTGACCAAGCAATTATCTACATGTTGCAGCATACCAGGGTTTTGCATTGCGAGGCGTATGGCGAGGCATGATTTGTTTCCTATCTTTCTTCCTGCATAAGCGCCATTTAAGTAGATATAAATCTCAAGAGCGATGCTAGGAGTTTGGTTTTCTTTAGTTTCGACGATGGCTATCCTTGGAGATCCGTGTGGCTCTTGATCGTTCTCATGTTTCATAGGCAGACTGGATTATCAATATCTAATTTTGAACGGCTTCTTTAATCTTCCCAAGCTTGCTCCCCTAAATATATGCCTCCTCCGAATTTTAATCCGTTGTGCGATAACTAGGTTATTATTTAACTCCTTCTTTTGGTCTCTGGCGAATAGCCCATATATAGGGAAGTAATACTTGCACCTTGTAGTCCAAACAAGCATTGAAGCATGTCTACAGCGGGCTTGGCGGAAGGTCCCTTAGCACAACAGCCTTTTCCAGACATTTGAATGGCGCTTTTATATGACAACTCCAGAATTTTACAGCAAAAGAGTACAAGAACATGCCGTTGAATTTATATATTCGTAATATTCGTATTGCATATGTAAGAGCTATACGATGGAGCACTAGTAGAGCGATAGGTCATCTGTCAAATCACATGATATCGCTACCAGCTTGGCCATCTCGTATTACTCCACACTCTCCAGACTACACTTCCTTCTTCTCTTCATACATTCAAGTACCTATGTACGCCAAATAACATCACAATACACGCCCGTTTTATCTCCCGCGGCCCCACTTAAGCCGATACGCTCTGGCTACTACGCACTTCCGATCAGCTTTAATCTTTGGCACTATTGCTTGTTTTCTCTTTTTTCTTTTCGATGTTAAGACAAGCAGAATGCACAGAATAAAGCGAAGAAAGTCGCGCATTGGTTTACGCAAGCAAAGTACCCTAGTGGCTTGTCATGTTGTAAACCGATAATATATTTCTATTTATCAGACTACTATTTAATCCTCCACGCGATACCGGAACAGTTTTCTTACTCGAAGCTAGAAGAGCGTGTCCATTGTGGATATGAACCCCACTAAATCTGGCGCACTGCCCGGTCTATTCCATATCCTCCAAGTCCCTTACCATAGCACAGGCTGGATGTGCCTCTGCAGCTCTTTTACTGGTGACATATCAGAGCGTTTCTGGAGATGGTGCGACGTTGCGCTTGCATTCTGGATGTGCCTCGGCAGCTCTTTTGCTGTTGACATAGCAGAGCGTTCCTGGAGATGGTTCGGCGTTGCGCTTGCATTCTGGATTTGCTTCCGCAGACCGCTTGCTGTTGACATAGCAGAGCGTTCCTGGAGATGGTTCGGCGATGCGCTTGCATTCTGGATGTGCTTCCGCAGACCGCTTGCTGTTGACATAGCAAAGCGTTGATCGATCAACCAAAGCATCGACGTGAGCCTCACGGACTTCATGGCCTAAATTTTCTATATTAGCATGATGTAAGTCATGGAGGTCTGGTCCTGCATACCGCTGGCAATTGGGGAGGCGTTGACAAATGGCAGTGCCAGAACTGCGATCTTGATGATATTTTGAAAGTGCATCCTTATTTCTTGAACTGTGCGTTGACTTTTGGAAAGAGGAAGATGTATTATGGATGTTGAAGATGGTTTGAGAATACTGCTGATATTTCCTCTATGTCGAAGATATATTTATACATTCTCTCTATCGTTTTTGTGACCGATAATGGTGCCCGTCTCATCCCCTCTTGCTGACTCGGTGAACGGGCATGGTCACATGCAGTGGAGAGTTACGCTGCTTTAATGAAGCCATATGCAAGAACTCTGCCATGATAAGCATCATTCTTGTTGTCTGACCTAATATTCCATGCTGGTGCATCATGAAAGTCACATCGGGCCAATATCAAACTGTGATGTTAAATCGCGGTCTGTTTCGTGAGACTTCATGTGCGGGGCCTAAGTATGGGCCAACTGCGAGCCCTCCAATTGCAAAATAAGCCGGGGTCATTTGAGGCTTGCGTGCGGCACTACCTAGCGATAGGCACGTTACAGAGTTCCAGAAGAGGCAGGACACAACGTCAAAGCATTGACAACACTATTCACTTAACTATCAGTGATGATATTTCATTTATAGGCCGCAGAAACACGAAAACAATACTTTCATCCCTGTAGATCTCGGCGATTTCCATAAGCCACGGTTTATCTTTTCCTATTTGAGGCCATCTAGCTATGTCCTCTTCAAACAGATGGGGCGGGTAATATCCAGGGGTTTGGACGGAAGGCCAAACCCATGGTCCGTAATTTTTGACCACAATCCTTCTATATTTTACGACGTAATTAGGCGGGTAAAATCTCCTACAGTCGAATATCTTATTTTCCCACAGAGTCCCTACATCTTCCCAAGATTATGATGTTTTTAATTATATCTAAGTTTTATGCCGACTTCTACATTTTCATCACATCATTGTCTTCCAAAGAGTTAACTTGCCCATCTCACCATGGCAGCTAGACCACTACAGATACTCACTTCTTGGGGATATCGTCGAGTTTCATCTCAGTCCGATGACATCGAGGATGAAGGGCACTTGCTGAAGCATTCCTTAGAGGGCTCCGATTCTCCAAGTTCTTTGGGGCAAGAATTCGATGCCAATCCGCGTCTGGCAAAATTGCCGACATGTGTTATATTGCTTAACTTGATGTTCTTCATTTTGTCGCTTTGGCTATTTGTTATGTCTATGCTGTCAAAAGAGTTGTACGTGGATCAGGAAGGGGGTTTGGAGAGGAATTATTTTCTGAAGAAGACTTCAGAACCATGTGAGATTCTTATATTTTATTATTTCTACTTCTTAAAGTTAATTATCAACTCAGCTCCTCTACTTGACCTCATCGACATACCTCTGAGGACCATAAGAATGAATGGCACCTTCCTCGAAGCCAAGCCAGTCTCAATATTTCGGCAGCCACCATCTCCAGAAGTCGATGCAGCATGGGCTAGAATCGAGACCCAACGTCCAGTTCCAATTTCTCGAGCAGATGTCATCTCACAAGGCCAAGATCCATCCCGAGCTGCCAAATTCCCAGAATCTTTTGGCTTTGGGTCTGATTCTTATATTGGCCGTATCGACGTTTTTCACCAAATACATTGCTTGAACAGGCTCCGGATGCACCTGCACGGTAACTACGAGTACTACTACGCAGACACAGATACGAATAACAAATATCACGATCTTCATGTCAGTCACTGCGTGTATATGCTCCTCCAGAATCTGATGTGCACTGCAAATGTGGATGTATATACTCACACTTGGATGGATGCACAAGAGAATGCATTTCCGGATTTTAGCATGAATCACAAGTGTCGTGACTTTGATGCTGTGCTGAAATGGCATGACGAGAATTCGGTGCCGCTGGAAAAGTTTGGCGGCTTGAGGAAACCAGCGGGATTCAAGGAACATATCATGACGCATGAGTTCAAGGAGGTCTTTCAATGGTACGATGATCATCCAAATGATGGGGATCTTGGTACAGATATCATGTAAAGTAACGAAATGGACTTTAACAGTTTTGAAGCTCCATCATATCTAGATTAAAGGGCTCATCAAAATATTTCTATACTCTCCCACATTTAATGTTTTGCTGCGATAAGTCACCTGTTTCCAAAGGTACAATAATTTACTTGCTTGTAATGTCATACTCTGCGTTGGAATACCTTTAAAGTATGCCTGTAAATAATAATCCGTATACTTGAATTTTATTAGCACCTGACGTACTAGTTGTTTTAGTCAATGCTGTCGGGAAAATCCTTCGTACGCCGCATGACCTTCATGCAAACCTGCTCGTTAGCGCTACGTAATCCATCAAACTACCTCGGCAAGGATTCCTCTTACTCCCAATAGAATATACATCGTCTAGATATGGATAGAATTATGATCTGTAAATATATGTGCATGTAGTTACGCAACTATATTCCTGGTTTAACAAGCCCTAGAGGCGAGACGTATATCCATTTGCGGTTTCTCGATTGTCGTCACTTCAACTTTCAACTCCTCCATACATCTCCTGCTAATCACAACTTTGGAACTTTTCTTCTCTCGCAGTCCCGTTCCAAAAACCAATCTACATACCATTAAGAGACGGAATGGCTCGAGAGATATTTATTCAAGGGTTTCTACTCACCATTTTATTATTTATTTTGGCATCTAGTACCTTGATTTTCGGCATCAACTATGGACGTCTAACCAGTCTTCGTCAATTCAAGCAACACCCAGAACACAATACCCATCAATCAACCACAATCACTTCACCTATGTGGGACGTTTCCCATGTCCCCAACCCGCCACCTGCTTTCAGTCCAAAAGTCTTTAATCCAATTTCCGATCTTGACTCATTCAAATCTGCAGAGGCGGCCGCGAAGGATACAAGTTGGGAGAGTCTTCTCACACCTGGAGGAGGCTTTATACAGGTAGAAAAAGAAAATGGAGAAGAGATTGGCTTCGGGGTATCGATGTTCCATCAACTTCATTGTTTGATTATGATCCGAAGCATGCTGTTGGGTCAACCTATGTCCCATGCACACGAAGCTTCCGACTGGTCGGAGGATAATATGCATTGGCTACATTGTTTGGACTATTTGGCTCAGGTATTTAAACCCACTCTACTCAACATTCTCTTCAGTTTTCTACGTGTTTAATAAAAGATATCAATCAACATGCTTACTCTAAATATCTGTATCAGGCTATTCTATGTGCGGCAGATGATACTTTAGAGAAACCTGGTTTTACCAAGAATTTCAAAGGCAAATTGGTGGAAGGGATAGATGGTATGAATCACACACATCAATGTCGAAATTCATCTGAACTATGGCATACTGTCTATGATTCGGAGACAAAGCCCAGGAAATCGCGATTGCTAGGCCAGACTACAGTTTATCCTATTCCAGGGAGGGATAGTGAAGGCAAAAATTGGGTTACGAGCGAAAGCTGACCTGTGGTTGAGGTTTTAAGGACTGTTTACTTGTACTACTGAGCACACCTAGTGGGTTAGAAATTTCCCTCTTGATGGCTTTACTATAGGTATTCAAAATATTTTTGCAATTCGGCAGGGGATTTTCTAGGATAGCTAAAAAATAACATTCTAAGACATATTCCTAGAGAAGCTAAACTAGTAAGATAAGCATCATAAGCTGTTTGAGTTTTCGCGTCATCATCCACACCGCCACTTGGCAACTGACATTAATTACGAATAAATACATAATTACGATGTTTTATTATAGGGGCCATGGCCATTCCAAGATACGATATCTAGGTTGATGTTGTACCTTTTGCATTGTCAGCTTGTGAGCCACCACATAATTTATCAAGTACGTCAATATTAGATATTAAGGGAAAGAACCCTGTTACGCTGCCGAGTGAGCCCCTAAGGCACATTTTGTGCAGGGTAATGATTACATGTTTCATGGAGTCGTAGTAGAATGGTTCCAGCTTCCTTTTTGAGGTTGTCGAGGGTTGAGTGAAAAAGACACCGAGCGCTTACAACAATCAGCTATCGCTCTATACGTAAAACTATGCGGATCAACAGAACACGATAACAACAATACGCCGCATTTGCACACACGAGGCGCAGAAGGCTGCAACTTAACTAGCTGATCACAGTTTCATTCATTCGCCGCTATAACGTTTGAAATTCTCAGCGAGTATGTCATTTGACTCATTTTATATCCGTCAAACAAGGGGATAGTTTCCGAGTGGTCATGATTCTAGGCTGCTTAGCGTAGCTCAACGTGAGGACCACTTATGGGTGTTGGCCCTTGCCTAAATTTTTTCACGTTATCCAAGGTCTCTTCTTAACTTTGTTGTACTTGAATTCATCAGCTTTTTCAAATTACTCTTCAGAAAAGAAATATTTTCCAAAACTTGAAAACGTTTAACGATGCCGTCAAAGGGCTATCATAAACTATACCAAACCTCACGATCCTCTGATATTGCAGAACAAGGCACCAGACAAGTAAAGTTCCAAGACGATCCTAGCAATGAGCCAGAGAAGCAAATCCCCAACGGTGGCCATGACGAAGAGGCTTTATTGGAGAGTGAGGAAACCGTATATCAACCAACCGACCTGTTGCAACGATTTAAACCTCCTCAATGGATTCAACAAAAAAGCCTCCTTGTCTTCGCGAGCATTATCATTGGGGTTGCAATAATATGTATCGCTACGGCCTCTGTAATTGATTGGAACTCGTCGACTTCAAACCGTGACCACAGTCATCATCCCAATCAAGATACTTCCTCGATTTTTGGATCGACTTCAGGTTTTGCTTCGTCTCCATCGGGTCTCGCTCTGGACTGCGGAACTTCCAATGACGAAGCTCTAGAAAGAGGTTGTGTCTTCGATCTCATGGTCTACGGATGGACACCCCCGGCATGCTCTGAGCCTGATCTTGCTTCCGACGCGGTCTCTCAATCTTCCCGGCTAGCTCAGTATGCTGCTGCTGGCGAATTTCCTTGGTATGGAGAAGAAAATTATACGAACCCGCTCCCACAAGATCCCAACATCCTCTCAGAGCAAGCCGTTATCTGGGCGACCAACGGATGGCACCAAGCCCACTGTCTATATTTCTGGCAACTTCTGGCACGAGCAGTGGAAAATAGCGTGAAGAATGGGATTAAAAATACATATGTGCTGTCGGAGACTCTGGTGTGGTCTCATACATACCATTGCAATAGGGTTCTTGCAGCGAAAGTTGTTTCAACGATTGACGAGCCAGTTATCAAGACTCTGAGGATTTATGGGCAATGTGTAAGGATTGATACTATACCGGATCCGTATTTGGAGCATGGCGATTTCGTCCCTGTTCTAGACGCCGCAGATTAGTTTATCGTTACTTGAGATTTGATTTACGAACTGGAGAAGAGGTGTGTCGGAATTCAATAGCACCTTGATTAGAATAAACAATTATCCCGTGTGATCCATCATCCCAAAATGTAAAGAATGGTGGCCTTCGCAATGTAAATTTGAGAACGTATATGGTGAAACACGTACCCTCAGGCAGCAGGCTTCAGCTAGGTGAGCTGCTGATGGCGAAGGAATATGATAAATGAATATATTTTATACATTTTGGGTATATAAGGTAATGCTGTGAGTACAATCCGAGCATGGGTTGGGGTGAGGTGAGCCAAGAAAATACAGTTTGAGAATGGCAATGAGATTCACAGGGTAGGAAATATGTGTTTGATGAAGGGAGTATGGAGACGACAACCTAGGGACCATAAATGAATTCGAAACTCGTAACTAGATTCAGACAAATGAGAGGGCAAAGACAAGAGGGACGATGAGGGCGAGGGTGCCACGAGATTTGGATTTGCTGAGTAAGGTGAGAGAGGGAAGGCATCGGCCACGCTACCTCCGAAATATATCGCCATAACGCGAATTATTAACAACCAGTTTAATCCGGCAAACAGACCCAAAGAAAATAAAATCAGAACAGTACCAACTCACTCACACAGCGTTTTGATCCTTCGGGTCCCAAACCATCGTCCACATACCCTCTCCCCCGGTCTCAAAGAATTGATCAAATTCCTGCTTCATCGCCCGCTTAAACCCAAGTTTCTCATAGAGGGGTACTCCCGCAGAACTTGAGTTGACGACTATCGGCACTTTCTCAGCAGCGGATTGCGTTATACCCCATTTTACGGCCAGGGAACCCAGTCCCCGCCGCTGGCAAGTAGGCAAGATGTACAAGCCATGTAGATGCCAGCATTCTGTGAAACTGGCCTCTTCACACGTAGTAGATATGATAGGTTGGATCTTTGCCACATTTGAATGGTTAATCGTTGGGTCCCAAATGGAGAAATAATGTATAGATGCTGATTGTAGTGCGAGATTGAATTCTATAGAGAGATAAGTATAGTTATAAGTAACATCTTAAAACAGAAGTTTAGCAATGTGGTAGTCAACAAAAAGCGCTTAAAATCGATTAAATGTATCCCTAACCAGAGACTTATACGTACTGTTCCAGCAACTCTCTCCTGACATTTGCCAATTTCGTGCCACAGGGCCAACTCCATCACGTCCCCATATCGCCCAGCCAATAACCTCGCCATTGACATCACGACTCTCCAGAGATTTTACGCCCAATACTTCATCGCCTAAATCTCCCTCGATGACCCAGCACACAACGCCGGGCATTAATAGCAGCATTTGCAAATATCTCAATAATGAGCTTCGATATAAATCCCAATTGGACTCAATTTTTTGACTCCGGAACCGTTCTAATGGGTCTGTGAGATTACACAGAGCTTCGATTGTTGCCATTGACGAAATATCAGATGGGTTGTACGGGCGGAGATGCATTTTTGTGAGTAAACAGTTGGCTGGTTGTTAGAACTTACGAGTTGAGAGAAAGTAAGCAAGGAAGAAAGGAAGGAAATGCTGACGGGCGAGTCAAATCCGAGTGGAAATAGTGAGCTGTACGTAAATATATTTACGCACCATAGCTTTAATAAGGACACACCCAACGTACGCAACCATTACCCGCCGAGGAAGAGGGTAGAGATTTATAGAAGCTACCGTGAGACACTATGAGCAAACTTCAAAATTGCTACTATTAATAGGCTTTTCCAGTTAATTAGAGTATAACATATATTTTTTATTAAAATCCTGACCGGACCTAGCAGCTATAATCAGCACGTGATCACGCGTCGAAATCTACTCGTACGATTAGCTTCACGTTCGTTCATTCTTTCAATAACGACCAGAACCCCCCAACGACCGAAGTCCACGGAACCCATGTTGGCGAACATATCGCGAAGCCTGCAATGGCGAAATTACAGGCCGCAACCGTTCCCAACAAGGTAGTACAAAAGCGCAAGCGGAAAGATCTAGAAGATGACGATCCACCCGCAATTGAAGCCAATCTCGAAGCTACCTCAAGCACGTCTACTATTCCCACAAAGACCTACGACGGCGGCACAAAGCCAAGACGAACTCCAAAGTCCAAACCGGCTCCTAAACTTGTGCATGAAGGCTCATCATCGTCGGTTATAGTCACAAGTACCATTCCTTGGCCACCCTTCATCCAAACTCTCGAGAAGACCCAACGCGCATTAAACGTAGTCTTTACGTTCTGCTCTACCCGCAAACACGTCATTACAACCTTTGCCACTCTAAAACCTGCCGTAGAAGGGCATATAAAGCGGGAACTCAAGGTTGAAGATATAGCGAAGATTGTAGCCTTGCGCCCTGGAGGCATGAACTTTGCATACGTAGACGAGGCGATGTTGCAGGTTGATGTTAGAGGGTCAGAGAGAGATGAGACTTTTAAGGGGAGGTCAAAAGATTGGTTCTTTGCAAATCCGCCGCCGGACGCTTCGGTTGGTGGGGTTACTGGTGCTCAAGGGCTGGGTGATGGCGATGGAGTTACCGGAAACGGAGAGGAAGTCCTGTTTTTCGAATTCGTCGATGGGGATTTGAAACCCCAGGTTCAGAATAAGAAGGCCGGGGAGGCGAACAAAACAACGAGGAAGTCCAAGGACGAGGATCTGAAGATGCCCGTGTTCAGCCAGGAACAGATGATGGATTTGATTGAGAAACGGAATTCTAGGTTTGAGAGTGCCATTAACGACTTTCTGAATCGCTGCGATTCGGAAAATATAGACCCTGAAGAGACGCTGAGGCAGCAGGCGGAAAGTTATATCCCTGTACCAAGTTATTCTCGCAGCAACACACCAAACTCCGACCTAAGTATGCTTCCGAAAAGCATTCCCGAAGAGCGCAAATCAGTATCTGAAATTGTCGGGGAACTAAAACAAAGTCTTTGGTACACGGGACAGATTGTACCTGACGGACATCGAGTTTTTGATCCCCAGGAAGCCATATATGGAGACTTGAATTTCCGGCTCAGCCAGAACCTGGTAAATGCGCTTTATAATACTAAGAGTATTACGCGGTTTTATTCCCATCAAGCTGAAGCTATCAATAATCTGCATGACGGTCACAATGTCATTGTTGCCACCTCCACAAGTTCAGGGAAATCCTTGATCTATCAACTCCCTGTCCTGCACGAGCTCGAAAAAGATCCTAACACAAGAGCCATGTATATATTCCCCACAAAAGCTCTCGCCCAAGATCAACGACGGAGTCTTAAAGAGATGTTGAGGTTTATGACGGGACTTGAAGATGTCATAGTCGAGACATTCGATGGAGACACCGATATGAGGGATCGAAACCTTATCCGAGACGAAGGGAGAATCATCTTTACCAACCCAGATATGCTCCACATCACCATACTCCCTCATGAGGAAAAGTGGCGCACTTTTCTCAAAAACCTCAAATACGTTGTCGTCGATGAGGTCCACGTGTATAATGGATTGTTTGGCTCACATGTTGCGCTCATAATGCGCCGCTTGCGGAGGATATGTGCGGCGGTAGGAAACCGCCATATCAAATTCATTTCCTGCTCTGCCACGGTTGCAAATCCCGAAGAACACTTCAAAACGATCTTCGGCATCGAGGATGTGCGGATGACAGATTCTGATGGCTCGCCTTCAGGGCGAAAGGAGTTCTTGTGCTGGAACACACCTTTCAAAGATCCCAAAGATCCGTCGAGTGGTCGGGGGGACACACTGAAAGAAGCGTCGCGGCTATTTTGCCAGTTGATATTGCGGGGAGTAAGGGTGATAGCATTTTGCAGAATAAGAAAGGGCTGCGAAGTCTTAGTTAGTGCTGTGAAGCAAGAACTGGTAGCTTTAGGAAGACCGGAATGTATGGCTCGAGTTATGGGTTACAGAGGAGGATACACTCCTCAAGACCGAAGACGGATTGAGAGCGAGATGTTCGAGGGGAAGCTGATGGGCATTGTTGCCACCACGGCTCTTGAGCTTGGCGTGGACATTGGATCGTTGGACGCTGTGCTTACCGTTGGGTTTCCATACTCGATTGCAAATTTACGGCAACAGAGCGGCCGAGCTGGTCGAAGAAACAAGGATTCATTATCGGTTCTTCTTGGGGACTGCTTTCCAACGGATCAATATTACATGCAGAATCCGGATGAGATATTTACCAAACCAAACTGTGAGCTGCAAGTTGACCTTCAGAACATGCTGGTCTTGGAGGGGCACGTGCAATGCGCTGCATATGAAATGCCTATTCGCCCGGACGAAGATGCGGCCTACTTTGGAAAGAATCTACGAGAAATTGCCGAAGAAAGATTGGTTAAGGACGAACTTGGATTTTACCACTGTAATGATCGCTTCCGCCCAGTCCCATCGAAATTTGTTGCGATTCGGGATACGGTGGAGGACCATTTTGCCATTGTGGATGTCAGCCATGGGAAGAATATTGTATTGGAAGAATTAGAGGCGTCCCGGGCATTCTTTACCTTATATAACGGAGGTATCTTCCTCCATCAGGGTAACACATATCTCGTCAAAGAGTTCAACTCAGAGAGGAAGATCGCCAAAGTCGAGCTAGTGCGTGTAGACTGGACAACACGGCAACGCGATTTTGTAGATATCGACCCGGTTGAAACCGAAGCTATATGCCGCATCCCCAAATCCCTCTCGCGCGCCTTCTACGGCAAGATCAAAATTCAACAGACAGTTTTTGGCTTCTTCAAAATCGACAAGAAGGGCAGTATCCTCGACGCAGTACAAGTCGATAACCCACCCATTGTCATCTTCAGCAAAGGCATGTGGCTCGATGTCCCGAAACAAGCATTAGATATACTACAGGAGCGACGCCTCAACATCGCGGGTGCAATTCATGCTGCCGAACATGCTGTTATGAGTCTAATGCCAAACTTTGTGGTAAGCATGCCAGGCGATGTAAGGACAGAGTGTAAAGTCGGAGTCAAGGAATTCGCGCAACGGGAAACAGCTCGGAAACGACCTGCCCGCCTCACATTCTACGACGCGAAAGGCGGCGTCTCTGGGTCAGGAATCAGCACCAAGGCTTTCGAATTCATACATTTGTTGCTCAAGCAAGCGCTGAGGAGAGTTGAAGCTTGTTATTGTCTTGGGGGCTGTTTAGAATGTGTGACTAGTGAGAACTGTCATCACAATAATGTGGTTATGAGTAAGGTCGGGAGTGAAGTTATCTTGAAGAGTTTGCTGAATTTAGAAATTGATGTAGAGGCGCTGCCGATGGGCCCAGAAACCGGGAGCCCCTCTGGAGTGGAGACGGTGGTTCTGGCGGAGACTATTTTACCCAAAGGGAGGAATCTGGATGCTGTGGATGTTGAGAGGGGCGCCGCTGATCGTACTGAGCAGGTGGGGATCAAGGATGAGCTTAACGAGTGAGATTTGAAATTTTACCAGGGCAATAACAAATGAGCATGATGACGCGACCATGAAATAAATAAGAAATATAATAATTGCAAGAGATTGGGCATTCTGTTGGCTTCAAATATGTCCTTCGCTGCCCGTCCAGTTAGATAAATAAAGTTTCCAGTTCTTTGATATGAATAATACTCCTAGCTGTTAGTCAAACTATCCAATATTATGAAGTATTCTGCTCACTTGACTATGTACCTAGGTATATAAACCGCTTTATTTACCTTCTCACGGCTTAAGTGTCTTCGATTTTCGCTCGTACGGTCTAATACCATCATCTATGAGAGGGCCAGGAAATATATCTAGAGACCTAGCTAGCTTCACATTACATTTCAAATTAGGAAATATACTTGAGCTTTTACTAACAGGAAAGGGTTAACATACTTTCATGCTTTTATCAACTTGTTGATTCAGCTGAATGGAAGGTTTGCAATGTAGATGGCATATATAACTTGTTGAGGTGGGTTATGTCTTGATAGTTTGAATATGATGGCACAAGCTGTTCTACTAAACCCGCCACTAATAAAGTCATTTCAGAGATGGCGGCAAACTCTCTTGTATCTAATAGGCTAATATGCGTTTAGCCACACTGCGTTCTTTGTTCAACTGGGCATTCACAATGACCAAACTTAACATCTACATCCCTTTGTGGGGAACAGTTCAAGGGAGGTAGTTCACTGGTTACAAAGAATGGATAATAACAATGGAATGTACAATAGAAATTTAGAAAAATCACAAAGAATAGTCCCACCGTTACATCAGACGGCAAACTATGGTTTGAGGAACTGGCAAATGTTTCCCACGTAGAAACATGTTGTGGCCCATGTTTGTATGAACGCCATGTTGGAGACCATATGTTTTGTGGGATCTATCAATCTTGGCCCCATTGGTATTTATGGCCAACTTGTCTTTCTTCGCTTCAAATTTCTCTCGCGTCTTATCGATCCACTTCCCAGAATAATTGCTTGCCGTTTTAACTGGAGAGTGTTTTTGATAAATAGCCTGCCACCGTCCTTATATAACCCAGTGCTAAATTGTCTATATTACTGTTACTGTATGAACAAGCGGTAAGAAATTCCCAAGTTGCTCTATATTCTATACGTGTTTTCAACGTCTTATACTAGTCAAAGACTGTTATTGGGCGGAGCTAAAGTGGCCTATTCCATACTGACGCTTTAAGCTTCTAATTGATACCTTGCTTTGCCGCTCAAACCCTACATAATATTTACAGGTGATCGACATCTGAAAAGTGCTAACAATTCTAGTGTCTATAAATATATCTCAGAGCTAAGCAAATTTGATCTACCCTATTCGCCTTTGACATATTTACTTCAGCAGACCGGCCTTTTAGGCCTGTTAGCATGGCCAAGGGGATTCCGACAAGGAGTTTACCTATTCTTTATTAGACTCATCAGCTAACAGTGAATCGGAGGGTGCCCCTTTGCGCCATGCTCGGTTAGGAACAAACAAGGGACAGGCACGGAACATATGGTTATAGCTATCAAGTTTCACGATTCATTCCTCTTCAAGAGATTGGCTATCTCTCATCAGAAGACCCTTCCACCTCCAGGCCATTTTGAGCCTAATTTCATTTCAGCCGCAAACCTCTTGAAGCCTCCTGAGGCCTACAACCCCCCGGATTATACAGCTTCCTAAGGAAATATGAGGCGAGCAAATAGAGACTGGAATGTTGAAGGTATATTCGGCAACACGTTGGTGGAAGGGATAGACCACAAGCTCTTACTCTCAACCGCAACAACCCAGCATCATACTCAAGTTCAACAGACCAAATCGTCCATCTCAACTGACAACCTGATGAGGTTTGACAGCCAGTTAAGAGATTCGCAAGAAACAATCAAAAACCGCGATAGCAGCATGTTTCGCCCCGATTCTAAGGACAAAACTATTGTTGAAACTTTTCAACCTCAGCAAGCACATCCAACATGGAACCCTATTCCTCAATCTGAATATGTGCACAACACCAGACAGGTGCCATGCTTTTCCCAGACCACGGCAACTATTGGCGAACAAAATATGAATGCGCAGGGTACTATCATACCTCAGGAGTTCTTTTCGCGAAGCATCTCTCCTATCAAACCGACCCGTTCTGAGTCTCGTTGGGTTACTACTTCCGCCTTTCGACAATCAACACAATCTCTTACTCGCGCTCTTAATGAATCCAGATCAACCAAGGTCGGCCATGGCTATAGTACCATACGACAGCCCCTCATGGGAACTGCTGCTATATCCCCCGCAAGCTCCATCGACCGCATGGAGGAAGGTCATATCGTGGCCTCAAGTGTCCCTTGGCGAAGTGCGACTGATGGTCCACAAACCCAGTATCTTCGACCCAGTCCATCACGACAACCGGGCGGCCCTACAGAAGACAATTTTGGTTATTTTCGGTCACGCTCATATACGCTAGAGAGCCTGTTGATGCCTCCAAGAGACTTGAACCCAACTGCGACTTGGCTCAATCAGACTGCTGCTATAGCAGATACGAAAACGGCCTTCCGGCCTTCCGGAATGTGGCTCAGAAAGCGAGATCCGCTTCAAGAAAACTCACAGCTGGAACAGATGCAACTAGGAAATACTGGATACCAGGGGGACTTGTGCGGAGAATCATACAGATCCCAAATCAGAAATCTCGATGACACCGAAAACTGTGCTTTGTGGGTGACAAATATTCCGCCGTCGGCGAGCGCGGCAGATATGTTCGACATCATCAATTGTGGAGCGGTATTCTCCTTGCACATAAACAAGCCTAACCTCCATCACCGCACGGCAGCAGCAAAATTGGTCTTCATCGAGCCTCATAGCGCTACGGAGTTTTTCACCCAAGCCAGTCGTGGCATCCAGATAGGCGATACAAAACTGAAGGTAATATATAACCGCCACGGTAGCCGCCGTTCAGGAGTCAAGAATAGTAGGATTCTCCTGGTTGAGGGCCCGGCTAGCATAATGACGTTTGAATATTGGGACACGTTCTTCCGACGATATTGCGAATTCGATTGGGACCGTGTCCTCCCACTGCATTGTCCTCACCAAGGCAGGCGGATATTGGAATTTCGGTTTATGCGTATTGATGGACAGGCACAGATGTGCTTGAAGGCCCTTCAACGCGACCCGGCTCATAAATATGTCTCTGCCGAATACGGTGCTGATCCATGCAACCCAGAATCCCGACAAAATTTCGAGACAAACATGAGCATAAGCGGTGCATATACGGGGAGATAATTGAGTCTCGGATAGGGCTGAAGCTGTTGCTTCTATACGACGTGGGAGAAGGACAATTTCCATGTTGCGTCTCTGCTATAATAGTTTGATGTTTGTGGTTCCGCTCCTGGGAGGAGATGCCAAATAATTAACGTCCGCTCTATTTCACTCTGGGGCCTGCTTTTGAATGCGAATTCCACCCAAGTTGGCCACAGCTACAGCCATAGCTAGCTAGATAACTTAAGCCAGCAGCCGCTTGTATATTAATGATGAATAAACAATCCAAACCTTATTAAAATCGCTACCGATGGCTGTGCTGTATATATATAATGCGAAATGAATTAAAAGAAATTTGAGTGCTTTAACGTTTAGATCAAGTCCACCTTTGGTAGAGGATATCGGGATCGGAATTGGCGGGAGCAACCAAGAGATACTTGTGATGCTTTGTGCTGGCGGTGAATGGGGCTTTGAAGTCGGCTCTTGTTCATATTTGGCCGAGATTCCTTCTTCGTGTGGTAGTTGCGCATATTGATGCGTAGTTTTTCCGTACAACTGAACGTCATCCTTTGACTTAAAATTAGTCAATCTATACAACTCTTTGACAACACATTTAACCACGCATCCCGAAAGCCAAATCAACGCAACGACAGGAAGCTCATCCATCAACTGGCTTTGCCTTGGAAACTCCAGTAACAAAATGCCAACACCATTTCCCAAGCCTGGGGTATCGCGGTGGATAGGGACACGGGCGTTTCGGGGACAGGGTAACTCCCATGGCGTACCACCAACAGCTCTTCCAGACTCATATAGCAGAGGGGCTATCGATGAGTGCGTTGCTTGCACAACTATGGAAGCAAGGGCCCTTCTTCGTAAGTCATCCTATCCACCTTCATGAATATTACCGCTGACACTTTGGAAGCACAAGACCTACTGGCAGCTTTGGATGATGATATGGTCACCAGATCATTGACACCCAGGAACAACATCGACAGTGCTAGATACACAAACTTTTGCCCATTCTACGCGCTAATATCAGAGCCTGCTGCACTTGCTGCATCTGAATCAAACATGAACGTTGGGATAAGCCAACAAGCCGGGGTAGCCATACGTGAGGCGGAGAAGGGTGTGCTTCAGGAAGCCGCAGCGCTGATGTCCAGTGGCTCCGAAAAGACCAAGTTGAACAGAGAAGTAACGACGGAAGATGCCCGGGGACGCCACTCCACTACAGGATATCTTACAGGCATCATAAACCCTAGACTGGAGACCTTCCGGCCGTCTCGAATGGTGCTTGAAAAGTGGGGCCTCGTGAAAGTTCCACGAGATCCTGGCTCCAACTATTTTGGAGACCATTCTTCTGTATCATCCATTCGCCAGGTCCTTAACTTGCCGGATAATGAGAACTGCGCATTATGGGTCACGTATCTACCGCCAGATATAGACCTAGCGACTTTCCTAAATAAAGTGCGGACCGGCGCAGTTTATGCAGCTGTCCTCCTGGAACCAGAGGGAAAGAATTGGACAAAAGCAGCGAAACTTGTGTTTAAAAAGCACAGTGCAGCGGTAGGTTTTTTGAAGCAGGTTCAGAGCGCCCCGGGGATTGTTGTTTCAGGCCTCCGAATGAAGGCCATCTGGAACAGGATTGGCTATCGAGAAAACAATACAAAGCGGACTAGAGTTCTTCAACTCAGAGGTCCACCCGAACTCATGGCTCCGGACTTCTGGAATAACTATTTCCAGAGGTGCGTGGTATTTGAGCTCGAAGCATTATACGACATTTCTGGACAGCGCGGAGGGGATAAAATGCTAGAGTTTCGGTTTGCCCGCGTTGACGGACAGGCGGAAGCGTTATTTTGTGCCATAATGAGCGATCCCATATTCGCAGGCATTGTTGGAGTTCGATATGGACCAGACCCTTGCGACCCCGAGTCTCGTCTCCAGTGACGTGTCATCATACCACATCATGGTAAATTGCGGGAGTTGAATACATGGGCGCTTTTGAAATGCATTCGCATGAGGGCGGACTTACACCGAATCTATCGACGAGACGGAAACTTTATAGCTAGAACCTGATGCACACGCGGACCAACTGGTTGATGTTCGGTGCGCTCTTTCGATGTGGCTGTTCCGTTAAACCCGGATTTGGAAGAGTATTCAGGGATAGAATGTGTGGCAGTGAATCTCATAGTATCGAGCTCGATAAATCCGCTAATAATATGGTGAGGTATGACGCCTTTAGGGTTGGATGGTGTATTTCGATTATAATTTTTTCCAAATAAAATAGACTCAGCGTTTTCCTTGTTCAGCGCAAATCGTCCATCGACCTCGCAAGAGAACAGCTCGGTTCAGCCGTAGTGGTTCCAAAATAATGCGCATTCAAAACCGGGCATCGTTATGTGTGTGATAGTCATATAAAACAGTGTGAACCTAAAAGCCACCTCTTTAGGCTTCAACGATAGAGCCTTCGACGAAGACATAAGTCGAGAATACCATTGAATATGTCAGCTCCAAGCTTTATGAGGTGCATGGGCTAACGAGAGAAAACACCACGGTGGTAGAGAAAAGCCTCTTCACAAGTATAGAATATGTGAATGCCAACTTGACTATATTCACAAGGGGGACTACTCCCAACTTCTCAAGTTTGGCGAATAACAACACTGGCTGTGTTCAGGCATCTATCCAAACCTCGAAATACCAGTAGAGCGCGCACTATCCAGGTGCGAATAATTATTCACAATGAGCAGGCATGTGTTGGTCCAATACTTGTTTCATAAATGACCACAACTCCCATGTTCAACTCTCAAGAACTTCACTAATGCGGTAGTTGGTTGCCCTTAATCCTCCCGGGTAAACCAACATGGCAATCCCAAATGATTCGAGCGGATCGTTCCCGGACAATGAGCGAAAGATTCATGTGCGCGCCCATTTTTGGATCTTCGAAAAAGCAATAAGTCAGGAGATTCACAGATATTGATGACGAGCAAACATGACCCTTTTAGAGAAGCATCTTCATCTTTGGCAACCAGATTCAAGCTTGAGCGCAGGATGTTACCTACGTCAGATGCGGCACTCGTAGTTCCAAGCAGTAATTCATGCACTTTTTCAACTTGATAGATAGGCCTTCGAGGCTGCGACTGTGTGGTAGCGAGATCCTCAAGCCTGCTATTCTTATCCCTCCAGTTAGCAATTTCGGTGGAGGAGACGGCCAGGAAGAGTAGCATGATTACAAACCATTTCCTTCGACAAAATTTCATCACCGCCAAACATCTAGCAATGTACTATACGCCCTTCTATTTATCTGTCCACTCCTGGCCTACAAATACCTCGGGCAGGGCAGATGTGCCCGCGGAAGCTGCACCCCGGTTCACCTCGACTTTGAATGGGCATTTTGCTGTAGGAAGGGCAGATCGGGCACATATTAGAAGAAGAGCAATATGATTCATGGAACTGTGCACCATTTATATCGTCTTTAAAAGTTCCGGAACTGAGAGGAGACGGGGTTGATAGTCAAGGACGAGGCAGGTTAAATTAAGCTTTGCTGGAGCTGACTAATGCTTCATCACGTGATAACCCCCCCCGCCACCCCAATTTGGAGTTGCTCCCAGGACGGTTGTGAAGTAACCCACTGGCAGGCTAATATTGAAACAAGGCTTTTAAAAACTGTCAGAAGCAATCCATTTCGCCTAACCAAGCTTACTACACTTGAATGTATTGATCCATAACTCGAACTGCTTCTTTTAGTGAGAGCTCCGACCCCCCGAAATCACTTAATCAATCAAGTTCTTCCTCTAGGTAAGCCATAAAAATCCCATCAGCCCATGCCCGTGGTAAACCTTACCAAATATATTTGCCTAGAGTTGGTTGAAATTGATAATATTTCGTTGATATTTAATTCGTTTCAGTAAGTTCCAACCTCCAAGGAGGATCAATGTTTCCGAACTACATCACACATTTGTCGCACTCCATACCACACTTCGGTTCTGCTTTATATAGTAAAAACCATTAAAACTACCAGTTTGAGGTATATACTATATATATTCATTCAATAAATTTTAGAACATCGTCAAGCGACACCTTCCAACTCCGTGGACAGTGTCATATCCCGGTATCTCACCAAGGCATTCGCCTCTCCACTCAAATATCAGCTACCACCGTATACAATTCTCTCTTTATTAATAAAACAGCCCCTACAAATAAACCTTTGTACTCCAATAACCTAAACATAATCATATCCGCTTCATTTTTAAATTGTTTAGTGGAGGACTGTGAATTCTAACACCTATCGGCTTTGTTGTTAGCCACGATGTTTGCACACCATAGAAATAAAATATAAATAATTCCTATAGCAAAAATAAGGAAGGAAAATTCTCAATATAAATAACAAATAACGGTTGGAGTTAGAACAAATTAAAGGCGTGTGGTAGGAAAGCTTTACGAACGTCGACAGCTCACTTCTGTAGCATACATCTCCTGCCTAGATAATATGTAATACATAGGTAGAGGTATTCACTTGCTCGCTAACCGATCATAAGACGCGCTAGATAGAGGTATATGGCTTTATCTCGAAGTTTTGATATTTATTTCTTCAACGTTATACATCTTGGGCATCAACCTGTCCGAGCACCTATCAACAACCATACCACCCTTGTAAACCTTCCAACAAGGGCGGTCGAGCGTTCATAAAGGACGATTATTTACTTCAACAGGCACCTTTGATCAACCTCTAAGGCGCTTAGGTCACGGGGGGAATGCCTTCCAAAATGCAGTCCCCAGCGGCGGAGAGTAAGTAACAGTTCCCCACCATGATGGCATAGCACATCTGCATCCACCAAAACGAATCTTCTTAAGATCCAGGAAGCAAATGGCTGGCTGCTTTCATTCACCGAAACCTGCCGCCAAGCTAATACCCTTCTAGATATGGCCCTTCACGTCTATCGAGCTACGAATAATGCAGAGTACCAGCGATTGTTTGATCAAACACGGAGATCGAAGCTGGAAATAATTCAAAAAGAGATCAAACAGATCAACGAAAATGGGGCCAGAAGTAAGTAGTAAGGCTATGACAGCATCTGAGAACAACATTCTAATTCTTACTAGGTGGCTCGAGGGAAAGACACTGCAAGAGAACATCGAAGAACGACGAAAGATTATTGATATCATTGACAAATTGATTGATGTTGGCAGTAGGTATCCTACTTAATTGGTGCCGGTTCTGTATCCAAGTTAACGGAGAATAGGTTACCCAGCAGGCGGACGACTCAATAAAATATTCCCAGGGTTGTTACCAGATCCTGGCCCAAGCAAATACTGGAATTTCAGCAGCGACCAACCACTTCAATGGTCCTCACCCTTGGTTCCAGGCACTAGCCGGGGCTATACTCATATGCCAACGACAACTGAAACACTGACAACAAAAGCCATACTGGCAACAGATGGAAATGTGGCAGCAGTGCCAGTGGAAACTCGTTCTGTCCATGGTTTCATCCCTACAAGCCAGACACGACAGGCTTCTTCGCAAAGTATTGAATTATACTCCATGCCAAATCATGGTGTCAATACGCTGCAAAACCGAGTGAGGGCTGCCCCACAGAATGTTCCCCAAACAAGATCGCCAATGGATTCGATGCCGTTCAGAAAGTTTCAGCCGTCCAAACAACTGCTAAATAAACCTCGCCAAACAATCCCAGAGATTATATATCGTGCTCAGCATGCAGGGGTGGGCATCGGGGCCACAAAGTATCGTGGCGATCTTGATGGATATACACTCGAGAATGCCCAGACGCCCGAGCACCTGAATTGTGCTGTGTTCATCAAGGGGATCCCCCCGCAGGTGACCGATGGCGAAATATTCGCCACAATTACGGAGGGCAAAGTGTTCTCATACTTTAAGAAGCCACAGTATGGCCGATATACTACTTGTGCGGCAACGATAACATTTATGGATAGGGATTCTGCGGAGCGGTACATGAAGAAGTGCCAAAGGCCAAATGGGATGGTGATTGGCGGTCAGCGGGTCCACGTTGTCTGGAGCTTCCATCCAGTCGGACCGGTAGTTTGCAGCGAGATGCACCAATCGCGAGTTCTAAGAGTGAAGGGCCCAGAGGACTCCATTGATGTGGCCGTCATTGAGAAATTCCTCCATCAATACGTGGTTTTTAAGTTGGTTAACCGATGCGAATTCATTAATTCTCGTGGTGAAAAGACAGCAGAGCTGGCCTTCTGCTCCATTCGAGGGCAAAGTCGGTTGGCAATGAAGTGCCTTGCCGAGGAGATCCAGGTACGGGGCTGGAATGTTACGGTTCAATACGGCCCTGATCCGTGTGACGCCGACCGTCACATATTGGCGAATGCCTCCTCGTTCCCAAATCGCTCTATCTAAGGCAATCTCATGTACTGTACATGTACCTTTGAGAAATACAGGTACTCCTGTTGATAATTAGAATCGAAGTATGCAGCGGGATAGCAGGTGATACATCGGCACAAGATATTTGGGGGACCGAGCAATTTTCTTTCATTTAGTCCATGACTTCTTGAGGTGAGTTTGGAGGACCGCGGCGTGGAATCGTGCTATCTGGCCACTTGGCTGGGGTGGTTGGGTGGTTGCAGCGATGATTAATGGGTTTGACAGCTGACTTTAAGGCGGTATTAGAGATATTCTCCACCCCATCTATTTATGAAACGAGGCAGCCTCGAAGGGAATTTCTAGATGACGGAATAGCCCTTATTCTACAATTACCAATTTCAGGAACGTATATCATAAAGAATGTATCAAAGAATAATAGACAACAACTATCAAAGCTCCGCGTATAGCACTGTCCACAGTTTACTTAGCTCCTTCGTGTCTCTTAACTTTCATGTATTCCTTCAACATATACATATTAGACAAAAGGCGCTTGAGCAACTATCCGCACTCGCGGAATAAGTATCGTCTCAAACTTTCGCCTGTTATTGATTTGGTAAATTATATACTTGTTCTTCTTCGAGCTCCACCTAGTCTTCCCTCAGTCAAAATTAGGCGGCTTACTGCACTCGCAGCGGTATTGATAAAGGCTCGAATTGAAGCTATACTAACGCTATAAAGTACTTGGCTTTTCCCACTGTTTCCGCTTTTATTTTATGACCCAAAGCACTCAGCATAGATATAAAGATGGTTTGACTCAAATTCATTTTCTGCCTCATGAGAACCATACCACAATCCAGGGGACGAACTCGCTGCGCAACGGTGAGAATTCGGGCCAAGGCCATTTTCAGCCTCAAACAACCCACTACAACTATCAAAACTTCCCGGCTTCGATAACAATCGAATCAAGGGAGGTGTATATGACCTCTGGCAATGGCTTAGGTTCCGAGATTATTGTTCAGTCATTGATACAAGAGCCGTCAGCAACGCTATACTATACGACAGCGCAAAGAAATTTCGAGGTACGATTTCACTCAGGCCAGCAGATCATGATGGGAAGATCTACGAGGAGTAATACAGCGGTTCAAGTCTATTGCTAGACTTGGTACCGTCGGCTTGTGGGGATGGGTGTTTGAAAATGGCCAAATGTATAGTGGCGATGGGAGTACCCCTATCCAAGGCCAGTATCTACCTAGGCACCGAAGACCAAGGGACTCTCCGTATTGCATATCCATAGCCAGATAGCGCAAAAAAGTGCGGCCACGCTGACGCGTCGTATAAGAGTTGTGATAGGTTCGGCAACGTGTTGGATTGATATTCGAACGGTGATGGAAAGACCGGGTGAGGGGTTGACGAATACCTGAACAGCAGTGATGGGTTGGTTAGGCAGGTGGGCGACGTCATCCATAGAGCACTCACAAGCTCTAAATTACTACTAGAGGCAAGAGACTCCAAACTGTGGAATTATGCTGCTCGACCGCAGGTATATCATCTGTCAGGAGGCTCGGTAAATCGATGTCGACCGAGAACTTCCCCTACCCCACCCAGCCTGCCTTTCTAAAGAGTCTTAGAGGTTGTTTGATTCCAAAGAGGGCTCTCGCGAAATGGTGCGGATATATTCTTCGCCAAGTCTGTCTGTCGCCGACTTGCAAGCTTTTCACTCAATGAATGCTGTTCATCTGCGATTTGTGGTTTCGTGCGAAGATAAGCGGGGTCGGTAGTCCACGGAATCGAGGGGGTTCCCACCCGTAACTTGCATTATCAGGGAGATCTCTGCGCCCTATCCTTTCCTCATCTCATTGTCTCCCAAAATTTGTTTCATCATCGTCTACCATCTTTGGGTTCCATTAACCTAGCTATCGCGTCAATATAATGTGCGGCCTCGGTCTAGGACCGGGAAAGGGTGCATTGCAATCGAAATGCAAGCTTCGACATCTGTCCACACAGCTATAAAACGAGAGGACTAAAAGAAGCTGAAGCTGCATCGCATCGCCAAGACGACGGTGCAACAAATACAAATGTTAAGGTGATGCGAACGTGCTCCCTGGTGCTGCCTACCCAGCCAGCATATCGGATATCCCAAATACTACTCGGTGGGTAGTACAGTGTAGCGTCAATCCTGTATCTTGGTGCATGGAGCGTCGCATGAAGCTATTACCTCTGATGATGGAAAAATAAAGACGACGTCTGGGACGATGACGGGTTACCCTGGGCGCTTTCGGTAGCCCATGTTGTTGATCAGTAATCAGCCACTCTCAGTAATCAAACACCCCCAAACCACCTCGGAACGCCACAATACTTCCTACAATGGCCGTCTTCAACTTACCAAGCCTGGTGTACCAAAGCTGGTGGGTTGTAAGGCTACGGCGAATATGGATTCCTCATGGTCCAAGTAAGTCAGCCAGGGATGAGGATAGAGTCCGACAGACTCCTGGGTATTTCATACAACGCCCTCAATTTGCCGCATACCAACCATCGGACTTAATTGCGTCTTGAAATAGCACCCCCAGTAGGTCCTGCCTTTATTCATGACAGTTTGTAACTACACCTTTCGCTGAATAATTATTATCCCCGAATCTCACGAGATACGATTACTTTACCTCGAGTAATCACTATTTGACAAAGCTGCTCAAATTTGATGTTGGTCCCAAATCCCAAGTTGGGGAGTGGAGGATAATGATAAATACTTGCTCCCACTCGCAGATACTTGAAAATATCAAGCATCACAATCATCGACATTTCAATCTTAGTCTTCAGCAAAGTATCATAGACTCACAGGCTTTTTACTTCATATTTGCACAATACAACAGCTTGAAACCATCAATTCATCAATTTTACAATGGCTCCAGCATTGCCTCAGGGTTCAGTTGTCTTGGTTACTGGTGCCACCAGCTACCTTGGATCTAATATAGTTGATCAATTATTGAAAGCTGGATATAATGTGCGGGGCACAGTTAGAAGCATGACCAAGCTCCGAAACTTGAAGAATTCTTGGGATGAGGAACACGGAATGGGCAAATTCGAACCCATCATAGTCTTGGACATGGCTAAAGAAGGCGCTTTCGATGAGGCAGTTAAAGGTAAGTCTTGCATTGCAATATGTTCTAGATGGTAGTTGTACTGATGAGCATCTACAGGAGTGGATGGCGTCATCCATTCAGCCGCAGTCATGACATTCGATGCCGATCCACATAAGGTCATTCCCGAGACCCTTGCAGGAGTGAACGAGATCCTCAAGTCAGCAGCCAAGGAACCTCGCATTAAAAGATTTGTATTCACGTCGTCATCTACCGCCGCTACAGCACCAATTCCCAACAAGGAGTTCCACATCGATTCAGACAGCTGGAATGACGCAGAAATCAAGGCAGCATGGGCACCACCGCCATACGAACCCCAGAGAGCTTGGGCCGTCTATGGAGCTAGCAAAGCCGAGTCTGAGAAGGCCGTCTGGAAATTTGTTAAAGAGCAGAAGCCCCATTTTGTGGTAAATGCAGTGTTGCCGGACTTTAATTTCGGAAAGATACTCGACAAAAGCCTCGCGGTTTCCACTGCTGATTTTGTCCGGAGACTTTTCAAAGGAAATAAGGAGACTGTTCTACCTCGTATGTACACCAAAACTGGGTTCAGCCTATACTATTGCTCACATACTTGCAGAATACTTTGTCGACGTCCAAGATACAGGGCTCGTACATGTGGCAGCTTTAATCAACCCCGAAGTTGCAAATGAGCGTATTTTGGCAATGGCAGAACCCTTTAACTGCAAGTAAGTGCTAGCACTACAGATGATGCAAAGCTATAGACCTAACATCGATATTTAGCGATATCTTGAGGATCTTTCGGAAGCTGCGACCAGATCATAAATTCATCGATGATTACCAGGATGACAGTGTTAGAGATCGATCGACAGTTTCCAACGAGAGGGCTGTGAAACTGCTGAAGTATATGGGGAAGGATGGTTGGACTTCCCTTGAGGAGTCCATTAAGGTTACTATCGAGGCCATGTGAGAGGAGGCTAGGTCTGGGTTGCTCTAGGTGAATTATAGATTTGGCCGTAGCCTTGTTGCCGAAGGTGCATGTCCTCGTCCATATATAAAGTTAGCTCTTGGTATCATCATATATTTACCTTTGATTAGCAATTGATGGATATTTCGTATAATTTTATTTACCCCATTTCAAACATTCAGCCGACCAGAAATTTGCCAGCTTTGAGGGTTACTTCGCAACAAAAGTTCAGACGGAAAACAATAAGTCATTTCATATAATGGTCACCATTTCCATATCAGGAAGGCGGCCTTCATTAAAACGCATCCCTTCACAAAGGCCATAAACATACGCATTTCCAACAATCCTATACACCCCTTTTATGCCTGCCTCCGCACGCAAGATTAGAATGCTTTCACACCCAGCCAGAACAGCCACAACATTATATGTCCTCACACCTACTCCCTTAAGCATAGGCCGCTTACCATCCACCATTTTGCCTTGGGCAAACGGGCTCGGGGGACCGAAACCAAAGTAGCCTTTCAAGGTAGTAAAAAACTGCCGGCCCCTATCGCCCTCGGTCAACGTGTTATGGCACTGCACTTGCTCGTCGAACAGCCGCCCATCGCCACTTGATAGACAGGAATAGAGGAATTGCAATAAAGGATTCTTGGAGATAAGCGCAAGGATTGAAATGTCGTTCTGGATATCGGTAGGGAAGAGGACTAAGAGGTTGCGATGTTCGGGTTCCGATGCAGTAGTTAGAAGGGAGGGCTCTCGGCCAGTAAGACGTAATGGAAGACCTAGGGATTTGAGGAAGCCGGTAGACATCATGTTATTGAAGTGTGCGCTATATGATGGGCTTGCTACTTCCACGGCGTCGACGCGGTTGGTAAGAAGGGTTCGCCAGAGCGCCTCTAGTCTGCTAGTATTACCTTCACTGCAAGGGTATGGATACTTGTCAAGACAGTAGTTGTGGAATTGCTGTAGCATTATCCAACCCATATTGGCTGGTGTAAATGGGTTTTGGAATGAGGTTACGATGTCGAATACTAGAGCCCTTGTGGTGAGCGTTGCCCCTTTGATAGTCGGGGGTATAAATAGGGGTCGAAATAGATCTAAAAGTCTTGTGTGTCGACCCAGGCGACACTTTAGTAGTCCTATCGTTAAATCCGGAGCCCAAGATGGCATGTCCTTCATCTCTTTAAACCAAACCGAGTCGCAGAGGGTAATAACAGCCAGCGAGTCTGAATCTCTGAGAGACCATTCCGTCGCATACCGATATGTCTCCTGGACCGTCTTAGGGTAATCGGGTAGCAACGCTGGAATCCTCTTGCTCTCCACTAAACCGAGCATACCATAAATTCTATCCCTAGGGTCGGTCACTTGATGCCCCAAGAAGTTCCTCATTATGATATGCAAGTTCCTTGCTCCGCTTGTCGTCCTCCAACTTGCATGGTCAGCCTCATAGTCCTTCTTAACCGCTGCCACTGCTAAAAGCGGCATATAATCCTTGCATACTGTTTTACCATGCCCCCTACCTACGAACCTTAACCTTGAGTGCAACAAAAAACAGAACGCCTGGTAGAAAGCACCCCACGCACACTCTAAATCTCCGCAAACGACTCGAGCACGTTCACTTTGCGCAAGTACCACCTCTTGCACAATCCAAATCCGTCCAAAATAAGGCCGCGAGAACAAGCTGCGCAATCGGTCGAACTGCTTCGTCTCCCTCTCATCAAACAATTTATCATCCCATTCCACCTTCGTCTTCAGTGGGCCTGAAAAATCGAGGTCCCGACCAGCGTCCTGTTCCTCCCATGCTCTCGCCAGTCTCGGGATCAAGTTGAATGCATCTCTCCTCCCTCCTCCTTCCACTTGGTCGCCTTGGATCCAAAACAGCACCCTCTCCGCACTCCGATACACCTCTCTCATAAGCTGCACCTGTTTCCCCTTCTCCACCACATCTTCCTAGTTAATACAAATCCCATTAATCCACAACGACCTCGACTTTTGCTCCCCTCGCAAGGACTCGATAATCTTGTATAATCTATTAGAGATGTTGAGGCTCGTTCCATGACAGGAAATATACCTGGAGGTAGTCACTGTGGCGTCGAAGACATATGGACCGTCAAGTTTGGGCTTTGGGCAGAGTGAAATTCCCCATTCGTAGGAGAGCGCCTCATATTTGAGCGCAAGGCGTCCGTGGAGCGGAGTATCATATATTTCGATTTCGATCGGGGAGCCTTTTGGGCCTGGCAGGAGGCCCAGGACCCGAATGAAATTCGGTAGCCCTTCTGGGAGTGGGGTGTAAATGTATTCGGCATATGCTGTGGCATCTGTGTTTGTTAAAACCCATGGGTCTGGTTGTCCTTCAGTTGAGTTTGGAGCTGTTATTTTTGGAGCCGTAGACCCGAAGCCTGTGATCATTTGAAACTCTGCAGGAATGGATGATCTTGTTTCTTCTCCTGTCGTGGGCTCTGGAGCATCGTTTATTGACTCATTTGCCTTCCGGTTTCATTATCACTGACTCCGGGCGCATCTCGCTGACCGTCGGCCTCGCTCACAGGATATTTTCCTCCTCCGTTGCCTTCCCCCTTCCCCATAACGGACCTCAGCCTCATAGCCTACTCACCAGCCTCTGCGCCAGTATCCCTATCGCCAGGGCAACTGCACATATTTTCTTGGGGATATGCTATCCGATTCGGGTTGGTACTCGGTTCAAGTGCTTGCAAAACAATAGCGACCAAAAAATTTCAGAAAACAATAACAGATGCGATTATGCTCACTTGGGAAACAGGGCAGAGTGTTCAGGCACCCAAGCGTGACAGCCACGCCCAACATCGTAAGCGAGGGTACGTATCTTCTTAGAGGAGAAGCAATAACGCAGTCAAAGTACAAGCTGATGATGGAGATACTCAACTAGTCTAGGGCCGGGAATTGAACATCCTGGCCTCTCGAGAAATACAGAACCAAGCCCGTACATATCTTCCGTTGATGTACGAATTAAAGAGACGGAAATGTGGATTCGAAAACAGGTCGAGAGGATGGCGGACACCCCGTCTTACGCTAGTAGTATTAGCGATGCTTGGCAGCGCTCTTCCAGGAGAGACTTCGTACTCCAGGATATATACTCCGTACACCCGTACTCATACGTTCAATATACGCACTTACCGCGGCTGGTACATCTGTCTCTTACAGAGGTGGCCACTTGGGCCGTTTGCTGGGTTGTGGCCTGGAATCTCCCACATTCGGTTTATCGTTTCTGTTTCTGTTTTTCTAAAAATAGGATACATTGCACCAGCAAGCGCCCAGGATATGTTCAGCCTTACAAGTAGCTCTTGCTCGCTGTTTCTCAGAGCTCTCCGTCCTCAAAATGATTTATTGCATAGCATGTTCATGTATTGTGTATTATGTCGAGTTTTCAGCCCCCAGAAATCTGTCGCCACGGGTTGACTGAGGTGTACCAACCTCAGGGGGGTGCCGAAACCGTTCAAGCTGTCGCACAGTAGGATAGTCTCCGATGCCAATGGCTACAAGGTTAACTGAATACAGCGTCGTTTTTGTTCATGGTCTATTTGGACATCCTCGAAAGACTTGGACTGCAAGCTTAGAGCGCTCTGCCACTCTGCGACTATTTCTGATAGTGCTATCACTACGAGGCTCTGGGAATTCGACCTCTAAAAGCACCCCACAAGGGAGGGACGGCGGTTCAGATCAGGATAGAGGCGGTGATAACAAGGTCTTTTGGCCTGCGGCTCTACTCCCTCAAGTCATACCTGATAGTCGAATACATACCTGGGGCTATGACGCCGATGTTGATAGGCTCCGATCGCCTGTTTCATTGAATACTGTCCCCCAGTACGCTGCGAATGTGCTATCAGATATTGCCGATCTTATTGAAATAGATGGCAATAATCTGCCCTTGATTTTTGTTGCTCATGGTCTAGGCGGCATAGTGGTGAAAGCTGTAGGTCCATCTGCGTTGGTTGGCTTGAACTTACGGAGCTAATCGAGCGGTTCAGGCCATTAATCAATCATTTGAAACGAGAGGCACACGTCTTAGCATAGTTGCACCTGCTGTTCGAGGCGTAGTCTTTCTTGGAACCCCCCATCGCGGGTCCGACTCAGTCTCCATTCCAGAGATTGCCTACAATATAACGAGAGGCGTTGGGCGAAATCCAAACGGAAAGCTCTTGCAGGCCCTAGAAAAGAATTCAGAGATCCTCGATCGTACCCATAAGAGTTTCCTCCAAAAAATTTCAGGATGCCCGAAGCTTCTGGTTGCAGCTTTTCGAGAGGAAATGGAAACGAGGAAGTTATTTTTCTTCAGCACCTTCGTTGTCAAACCCGACTCCGCAACTCTGGGTATTGCAAATGAAGAGGAGAGTAGCATTCCGACAAATCATAGCGATATGACAAAATTTGGGTCGTCGTCAGATGTTGGCTTTAAACGTGTTTCTGCCCAATGACGAAGATGGGTTCAACCGCTGTCTATCAACGTTAATGGTACGCCCTTTCATTTGTTATTCTAATTACTCGAGTCAAATCCGAGATAGTACTAAATTAGGTTGTAAATAGTAAATACTGTACATCAAGTAAATAACGGTGAGTTTTTTGTGCTCCAACTATTGTACCGTTGCTAATTGTAGCGTAGAATGCCCTTGCGGTCTCAATTCAGCGACAGCAACACTTAGGATCAATAATATACCTCCGCCTCACGCGAAAACATTACACGGGCTGTATGCACACCCCCTATCTTCCTAAGCCTACTTCTAAATTAATAACTAGAATCTCACCCCTCTCCTCAACATCTAACCTTTCCGTCGCATCTCCCCAACCCGTCAACTAAAAGTCTAGATCTAAGTCCTGAATATCAGCCATCCCCAATCGTTCGTCCAATCTATATTTTGAGCTAGCATGTGGTGACATTTTTGAAATAGCCATACGGTAATAACAACGCATATAGCACAATGTGTTGGATCCAAGGCAAACATGATTCTGGAAAGTCTACCCGGAAGAAGCTTTCTATGTAGAGCTAGCAAATGCAGGTGTTTCTGGACGGTTTCCGGGGTGTGCTATATGTTATTGCACGGTGGTTGTTTATCATCGCGGATTTACAGCTCAGAAATCCATATATCGCACGGCCAAAGAACCTCTTTACTCCATCTTGTTCCAATCCCACGAACTAAGACGGCTCGTTTGGCCCATAAATACCAAACTTGTCCGAGACTCCAGAAGAGTTCTCTGATCTATGCGACCACACGCTGCAATGAATAGAACCTAAGCATGCGGAGAGGCTTTTGTTGGGATTCAGATTGCCTTCTGCAACATATTTTTCCGACATCGCATATTGTACACCTTTGGGATCACCTTTGGGATCATGATCCTATTGAAAGCGAGGAGTCAGAGGATGACATGGCCCAGAGAGTCGCTGGACGAAGTGGGGAGTAACTCAAAGTCATGAAAGCAACTCTAATAACTGAAGATTTGATCACAACCTCGTTGTTATTGTATTATTTCTCTATCAGGCTTCCAAAGAATATATTCAGGGGTGGGATGGCAATTTTGAATTGAGAGAGTGATGAGTGATTGCAGTAACTACCTTATGTATATCCATCCAGAGCAGATGCAGCCCACTTGGAAAATTGGGTCCCAACACAGCTCTACAGTTCCTTCTCCAAAAAGAAATTCCGTCACCACCTAAGTATATATTTTGACGCTCGGTTCTGTAAATCGCTCCCACCCATCTGTCGCGCGAAAGGCATGGAGATATTTTTTCATTGCTATCCCGTGGTGCCGATCCTAACCTATACATTGAGCAAGGTCTCGAAAAAAAAACTCGTCTGATCTTCTTTTCACCTACGTTGTTCGGATAGAAAGCCCGTGAGATCTGAAAAGTTCGTTTGATGTGTATTTCTAAACGCAAACATATCTCTCCTCCCAAGAATTGGAGGCCTAAAGGGCGGCCACATATGGATATATCGAGTCAATCCCAGCTCACAGTCATCCCATGACTTTCAACACCTGATAACGGCACTTCCAGAGCATATAGTGTGCTTCACATGTACTTAGATGTCTCCTTCTCACACCACTCGCGGAACTCCTTAGCCCGCCCCGTCCCCCCATCTTCTGTCCCCTTAAGTGCCCGTAAAATATCTTGACTCGGCGATGGATGGATACGACCCCATGGTAGCACATAACACCCATTGTTATCCATGGTAACATCTGGCGAAAGTCCAGCCCAGAGCTCCGTATATGCACCAAATATGGCCTTGTAAAGTATCGGGTACACAGCGTACTTATACCAAATTGCGTTCCTCAGTAACTCCGTGTTTAGATTTCCTGGGTTTTGCGTGACGCTGATGATTCCGGACGACCCAACCTGCTTTGCGAGCTCACTGGCCAAGAACCAGTTACCGATCTTGGAAATCGTGTAATTCCTAACCTGGTCTTGGGGTGGTGCAACTGCCTCGGCCATGATTATTTCTGGTCTAGGCTGATTGTCTATAGCCTGCGAGCTTGTCCAGATGACCCGGACAGTACCTGGTGGGCTGTTTTGCGCGGCGGCTTTCAGAGGGGGTAGAAGCAATTCAGTAAACAAAAAGGCACCAAGGCAATTGATTCCCATTTGTAGCTCGTATCCTTGCTTTGATTTGCTGCCAAGCGGGGGTAATGATACACCCGCATTATTCCAAAGGACATCGAGCTTTGGTTCTTTGCTTTTGAACGCTTCGGCCGAGGCTTTGATAGTACTGAGATCGTCTAGCTCGAGATGTAGAAATTCCAGTTGGCCGGTCTCGGAAGAATCATCCTGCGCTGTAGACTTGATCTTCTCAATGCATTTCAATGCCTTGTCCTTCGAGCGCGCAGCTATATAGACTTTGCCGCCTGCCTTGAAGAGAATGTTTGCAAGCTCGAAACCAACTCCAGAAGTGCCACCGGTAACGATGAAGACCTTCCCCTTTTGACTTGGAAGGTTTTTCTCAGTGAAGGTAGGTTGAGGAGGGAATAATTGCGACCACGTCACACCCATCTTGGATCGTGAATCGGGTATGATATTGCAACGGCTGCTTAGCGTGTGCCGTTTGTTTTTTTAGAGGGCAGGTGTAGATAGCGCGTCTTAATCAATCAAGAGTCGATACTTCGTACTCCGTACAGAGTACAATATATTCCAAATTGATAAGGTCTGGTGGTAAATGGCAGCCCAGTGGTGTGTCGGTTCCCGACTTGCAAGAAGAGCTCAGAGGAAATATTTCATAACAATCCCCGAGATATCATCAATTACGTCCAAAGGCCTGAGAGTCTTGCTCCAGGCCTCCGCCTTGATCCGACAGGCTACTTCGCATATACCGTATAGGGTGTGTATGTGCTTACATGGTATCGGCATCTAGCTCCTAGGTTGTGGTGGAAATTAGAAGCAGCAATTCGCCAATGGGGATAGTGATGGTTGCTGTCGCAACCGGGCCCGATTTAGCCCAGGATCCCCCGCATAACGAAGCCACGACGATTTATTAGTGGCTGGCAGTGGCACAAGGCTACGAGTTGCGCATAGCCTTACCACCTGAGAACTTCAACGGTTCTTCAAAATCAAGAATAAAATGTCCCTCTTCACCCTCCCGCTCTCCGCCGCCACTCAAGCAACGACTTCCCGCGTAAATATTCCTCATGGCACATCTCTCCCCACACGAAAACGCAAACGCCATCGCTCCCTCTCTCCGCCCTCCTTTGAACCCTACAGCCACCATACGGATAACCTTCACGCGGCTTCAACAAACCCATTGAGCTTAGCCCCCGATGAAATTTCCCAGTACCGGCTCGCGGGTCTTTCCCTCGATGAAGAATTACCGAATCAAAGGGGCGTGAACGACTGGCCACATCGTGGATTTCCACGGGAGAAGGAGTTTTTCACGCCTCCGCCGAAGGTAAAAATTCGGGAGGGAAAAGGGAAAGGAAAAGCGGTATATGCGAGCCAGGATGAAGGAGATGGGGAAGAAGGGCAAGAAACCCGGCATACAGCATTGGTGGAGGAACAACGGCCGCGAGGCCATATGCTGCGAATACAACACTTGAGCGTCTTAACCGCAATCCTACACAAAAGCCTACTAGATGGAGATATCCGGCGTGCAACACGAGCGTATAGTCTACTGCTCAGGGCAGAGTTCGGGGGAAAGGCTCTGGATATAAAATCAACGGGATACTGGGCCATCGGCGCAGAATTACTAGTGCGGAGCCTCGATCGGAGGCGGAGGCGTAATATTTTCTTCTACGAGTCAGGCTATGATTCCGAGTTGGACTTGGACGAAGAGCCACCGCAAGAAGAGGGACATGCTGCAAACGAAGCGGACACTATCAACAAGGAAAAGAGATGGGGAACAGCAACCGGGCTTTCAAACGCAAAATCATTCTACGAAACTCTCATTTTACAATACCCCTATAAAAGGCAATATCACGACTATGCCAGTGCTCTTGATGTCTGGCCGGCCATGGCAGCATGCGAAATTTACGGGATCCAGTACGAGCAACGTTCTGCGTTACGGAAGATAAAGTCCTCTTCCTTCAGGTACCCATCGCACGAGGAATCGGAAGATGAGAGGGTCACCTCCGACGATGAAGAAGGATCCCCATCTTTAAGAACGGAATCATCGCGCCATCGCCGCACTCGGAAACGCCGCGAGAGAATGGAACAGGTATGGTCTCGTAGAGATAATATTCGTCTGGACGCCTTGACCGCAGCAGAGGGGCTCGCGTCACGGATGGACGAGGCCTTGAACCACACCCCGTTCGATCGTAGCCATGATATGCTACATTTGCGCGGCATGTTGGCGCTGTATATTGGGGATCTAAGCGTACCCGAGATGCCTGACTCAATTAATGATGATGAAGATATGAGCGGAGACCGGGAGCATGAAAGTATAGTAGATAAAAGAAAACGGGATCGTGAGAATATAGAGCGACTGCTTTTATTCCGGGAACGTGTTGATCACCATAAGCTTGGGAGGCAGAAGAGGACCAAGGAGTGGGCTAGAGCTAGGGCGTTCTTTGACAGCAGCGCGAGAGAAGGAGGGGAAGCAGTCGCGTTGGACACGTTGGATGAGAATGCGGACGTGGACGTGGATATGGATATGGATATGGATGGGGAGCAGGAAGAAGACAATCTTTACGATGCTGGTGATTAGAATGGTACCCAGAATTATTAAAATAATGATTATTATATCTATGTAAATACTCCGGTATGCTATGCAAAACAGTATTAAACAATTTACACCGAGTCTCGGCCATCAACATCATAAACATATCCATCTTATTTCCCTCGTCATCACAACTTATCGATGATAAACAGTCCAATCAGTCCCAGCAACATCCGCATAACACGAACTGGGCTTCCCAAAGGGATGTTCCGCCCCACTGCCCTCGCTGCACTGGGGCAGCAGCACAACATCCGCACACTCCTTGGGTGTATCGACAAAATGTTGCTTCACAAAGACTAGCACAGCGGGTCCATACATAAGGTCCTTCATACAAGCGTAGAATCCTTCCCCGGCCGAGCTATACAAATTCGAAATCTGATCGGGGAACCTAGTAATCCCCACCCCGGATGTTCCAACACCAGCGTTTATGCTCAAGTCAATCTCCGCATCTTCTGGGTTTGAGCCCGGTGTGGGAGTGGGGAAAGGCGGGTTAACGACGATGCCGCCGGGGAAGAGAGGTGTTCCTTCGTCGGAGAGGACATTCCCGTGCCCGTAGCGGATGTCTTCATCGGTGCCGTTGGCGTAGAAGATCCGGCCGGAGGTGGCGGTCTCGTTGGGCTGGAGGACAGCGAAGGCCAGTCCAGCACCAGTGTGGTAGGATGTCAAGACGTAGTTTTGGATGGAGGGGTTGAGATCGTTGGATTTTACGTCTGCTACGAGGCGGAAGTTTTCTGAGGAGAGGCGTTCTGGGTATTTCGGGGAGGTTGTTGGGGTTGGGGAGGAGGCGGCCATTGTGCTCAGAAGAGCGATGGTGGCGGCTTTGAAGAACATCTTGAATACTTTTGTTTATATTGAAAAGAGAGATTGAAAGTGATGAAGCTTTTTCTAAATTGCTTGATCTGATATAAGACTGTGGAATGTAGTGTAGAGAGAATGGAAACAAATATTTGGTCGGATGGCCTGCTCCCTTTATACATCCTAATAGATCGCCACTGATCGACGGCCACCAGTTGGCGTCCCCATAGATATTATCAATGGAAATCAAACTACCATGGTGTACCTGGGTGCGGTGCTTACCTCGGGAATTATTGAACACGAGAGAAGAAACATCACGAACCAAGACAGGAAGTAGAGATCCGAGAAAACTTAATGTCGAGAACACACCGTAGGCATTGGAATAATCGATACGAGATGTACGTGGTGTACTTCGTAACTGCAGTGGAATACGAGGCTCATTTCTAGGTTTGCCACGACGTCATGAAGGATAAATACCCCTGGGGGGCTGGAGGTGGTGGGAGTTGAGATCGTGGCGCAGCTTTACCGATTCCCGGACTAAAATATGTGGTAAGCAGCTTCATAAGATCTCAGCTACACGCAAGAGAAGTCTCTTGTCAGACATTTTGCTATTTGATTAGTATATTTCCTAGGGTAAGGATGAATTCCAATCTTCAATTTTATGAACCATTTGCGAGTGCTAATCGCCAAAGGTGCCAGGAGCGTCCACTTCGTATTCTTGCCCCTACAAGTACCCCCGCAAGCCTATTATAAGGCACTCCCTACACGTCGTACAGGGACGAAGTAACGTCAATATCAACACCAGTCCTCTGCATTAATATCATCCAGCCTCCAGGTCCTTACCGCTGATTAGGCGACGGGCCTATTCCATACGGACTTAAGAGATGGCGCATAGCCTCAAGATCACTTGATCAAGAGCCTCAAGTCTTGGTGGCGTGAATCTGCTTGCAATCAAGGGTCCGCCGTCGCAACACAGTTCGCGTTGAACTCCGTCCGTTTTCTTTCTCGTGCTTCAGTTGGATTTGCGTCTAGTGACCTCAAGGCCTCAGTCGTCCTTTTTGCTGGTAGGGGTAAAGTGACCCTAGCAATGATACAATCAACAGATTTTCTGAAATTCCACCAATTCTTTTTCTTGAATCGACCCGCAGGTTCGGATTCCGGTTGCGGTGTACCAATCACCCGAATATGCAGTAAACGTTGAATACGTTTCTTCCGTTCTTTGAATGAGTTAGCCGCCCAATGTATTATTCTGCGAAGCCGCTTTACATAGCCATTTGGTGGGTATACCTATTCTTCCCGTTTGTACCGCGACCTCCACGCCACCTTGGCGAGCTTTCTTTGACCATCCAAGCACTTGTGTGACCAAAGCCCGCGCCCATAACGGGCACCTCATCAGCTGCGTCTCGATTATTTCTAGCCCGAGTGACTGGCCGGTTCGCTGCTTTCTCCGCTGCTACCAGTCTCGGGCCCGCGAATGCCTATTGTATGGTACCCGTTTCGAGACCCCCAAACACCTAGAGATACTGTTCTGTGAAAATCAGTTCGTATTTCCTCCATCAGAGTGGGATTTATAATGGTAGCTACTCTTCCATCTCAGAACCCCAGCTGCCCCAATGTATGATTGACTTGTGCCTCGACTTGCGGCCTCTCGGTACTCTCCTACAGTTTTCAAATTTGATAATTCGAGGGTTGAGCAAATGGGTGCAGAATCGAGGGCGTTTAGGTAGCGATCCACTTCTCACAGCATCAGAGAAACATCCCTGGCTATCAATTCGACAATATACCGTCAGCCCATCATCCTTGAGCAACCTGCGATGATTAGCTTTTTGAAATCCTATGGGGTTTCTGTGGTACGACGAGTGGGATAACCTGCGATCTTCGATACTCTGCTCTCAAACCAGTAGTTCTGTCCACAGTTGCTATGACTCAACACGAGCGGAGACCGACTGAGCACCTAAATTATCCCACATACCTTACTCACCAAACGTCGCCATTTGGCAGGAACTCCTGGGCCACTCAGCTACAGCTAAACTTTCGCTCGACCGACACTTTCCTCGATAATGCACACCAATCAAGGTGTCAGCAGAGAAGTAGAGTTTTCCATACGTGCACACTTGAAACACAATACTATATAAGTTAAAATACGCAAAAGGTATCTTAGCAGGTAGGTTGGTGAGTAACTTGGGGGAAACCCCGAGTGAAAGCCTCAACAGGTAAGTGGTGTATTTCTTTTGCATTTTTTTCGGGTTGATCCCTTCAATATTTCCATGGATGATTTAGCCAACACATCTTTTTACCTCTGCTATTAGATTTAGGTATTCATATTTCTTTCTTATTATTCTTTTCTATCTCTGTTCCTTTTCCCCCCCTATCCATCAGGCAATCGGGCAACCCTTCGTACCTTCCCCTATGTTAAGCGAAGCGAGACGATATATAATCCGAAGCATAACACATATCCATCATGGAGTATCTAATGATTAAAGAACAAATGACAAACTTAAGACTTGCCGCTAGATGAAAGAATTTTCTAGAATAAGATGGCTCGAAAAGCGAGCGGTCCAAACGACTAGTTGCGCAACAAGTCACCATTCGGATCCCGTGAGAGGATTAATAAACTACCTTCGTGAGTTCCGGAAGCGCCAGACGTTCTCTCTTATCTCTTTCCTTGAATCCCCGCATTTCCTTCCATAAGTCTAACTAATATCTAATTAATATTGCCAATAAGGATATCACGTGGATACGCGTTGAAAGTGGGTACCCGTGCGGCGGGACGCGTCAACCACAGGGCGTCGAGGGCGCCAAGGGGGCGAGTACAACACCAGATAAATGACCGTCAACCCCGCAGGTACCTCCGATTCCCCTCGGGCAAAGTTCATATATCTTCAAAGGCCATAATCCATCGCATTCTCCAACACAATGTCCCCGCCAATTCTCTTCAACCCAGCCCAGCATGCACACCTCTTCCCCTCTCTAGTCTTAGTCCACAAGACATGTATCACCTCGGCACCCTACACAATCGCCACCTTTCTCCCACCACTACAAGAAGATCTCATGGCTTCCTGGTGGCAAGACCGGATTGATGAAGTATCCGCTGGTACTCGACAAATTATCATGCAAATGGCGCCAAACCAAACAACTGGGGCGGAAGAGTTGGCCGGGTATGTGATGTTGAGTATGCCGTTTGCACAGACAGGACCATTCCGGGGGTATGTGGAGAAATTGCTAGTGTTGCCGGAGTATAGGAAGATGGGTTTTGCGAGGGCGATGATGGAGAAGTTGGAGGAGGTTGCGAAAAGTGCAGGGAGAGGATTATTGGTAAGTTTGTCCGGTGCTTGTGAATGGTATGTTAGCTAATTGGAACAAAGATGCTGGATACGGAAGTGGGAAGCCCGGCAGAGGTTGCGTATCCGAGACTAGGATATATTGATGTGAGTTTTGTTCCGCCTGCCGTCTAGGAATTTGATTTAATGCCGAGTTAGCTTGGAGTTATACCTAAGTACGAAATTTCCCCTCTTGATGGGAGCTTGAAGGATGGGAGGTTCTTCTATAAGGACTTGCGGACGAGTAACGAGAGTGCTTAAGAGTGTATGGCCCGGCCCAGAAGGATCTTTAGATTATTCCTTCCCGCTAACAATGGGATCAATATAGATCATAGATAAACTAGACTCTCCAGACACATGATGAGAAAACAAGAGAGTTTTCTGTGGCATAGTGCAATATCTGGCGAGCTGTCATTTTAGCAAAAGATCATCAATCACATCCGTAGTATCATGTTATCTACAGCTCCGAAGGGCTATGAAGTCTTCTCATTTTCCTTAACTCAGCCCTAGTAGGATAGCCGCATTTCTTTTCGCAAAGCTGCTCTACCTTTTTCCGTTCTTCTTTACAGTTTAAGTTTCCCAGTAATTTTACCTTTCAAATATTAGAGTTCACAACGCCTCGCCATAAATAGTGCCACCTCTGATTTGCCCATACTCAAGGAGATTGCACTCGGAACAACTCACCAGCCTTTGCACCCTGAGGCCTAACGAGATGGAACTTCTTCTGTTGGCCGTACACCCAATCCCAACGCTTCCCCTCATCGACCCAATAAATATCCTCTTCAAGATAAAAATACATAGTGGCGTTACGCTCTGGAACAAAATGGGTAGCATACAGCTCAACGCTGTAGTAGGTGTTGTCTAAAAGAGGGAGGTCTCCAAGTACCGGGACCTCATCTTGTTGATTAGACATACCTACCACAGATTAGACGTGAGAGGAAATAAACAGGATTTAGCTGACCTATAAGTGTACCGGCTGAGTGGCCCCAATCCCCAATAGGGTGTGAATATATTTTCCCTTCGATGCCCTCGCTGTGCATTTGTTTCAATGCGTTTTTCAATATCGTATTGCCTGAACTCCCAATTTTCATATTCGATTTCACAATATCTTGCAGCCGATTCGCTGTCTTCAGTCCATTGAGTAGACCTTGAGGGATGTCAGACTCCGTCTCTCCTGGATGGAGCACATAGGCCAAATGCTGTGTGTCAGTGTTTAAACCCAACGCCGTTACGCCGAAATCGACATGCAGCACATCGCCATACTGTATAGCGCCCGATTTGATCTCGGTGCCACTCCCGAAAATATCTTTATCATCGAGAATATTTACGCTTGGCATGAACCAAGTGGTATAGTTTAGCTGCTGGATCTTCTCGCGCATCCACCACTCAACATCCTGCTACAATTAGCAAGTGGACTTCCATAATTGGGAAATAAAAGGCATACCTCGGTAGTGGTCTTTCCGGGAGTGATAACCTTCTCACTAAACCCCTCCGAAATAATCGCCCAAGCTGTCTCTTGCAATTTCCGATACCAAGGCAAGCGCTCCTTGACCATCGTTCCGATATACTCAACCGCAACCATCGGCTCACTCACCACCTTCTTGCTCCATTTCTCCCCTAATTCGCCTATGATTGTCTCATACTCACCAGCATGCAAGCCACTACTGAAAGAAATATCTGTATCAATATTAAGGGCGATAGAAGCTGGATTTTGCTCCTCGAGAACCTCGAGTATGTCGGACCATACTTTTGGCGTGTTGTCGATCCAGGTATATGCCGACTTCACCCCAGCAGTGGCATTTGCAAGAAACAGCTGGACAGTGCGGCGACGGGCGGAGAATTGGGTAGCTGATTTGAGGGACCAGAAGACGGTATCCTCAGCATATTCTTTCTGGCTCATCTACATAATTCATCAGTACTATAGCGTTGACCATAGATGAAGTAACTAACTAGCCAGGCATCTACTCCGTATTTTTGTAATATGTGAGGTATATTGGAGACTCGCTGGTCCCTCAATGCGTCTTGAATTACAGCTTGCTCTCGTAGCGGTGGCAGTGCCTGGTATTTAGGCGCTGTGTCTAATGGCCCAGCGGACGCAATTGACGAGAACAGTATTTGAAGGCAGAGTGCATTCACAATATTTAATTGCAACATCTTCGGCTATAAGCAAGTAAGGAATTCCAGAGGAACTTGTATACTGCTTTCCACTTGGGAGTACTTACGCGTCAGCGCATGTTATCGAAAATGGGGTTGTCTTGCTCAATTGCGGACTACGGTGACCCCGCTTCTACCCCTGAACTCCCCGTTTTGCTCACCTCCCTCTCCAAAACTTCAAAACTCCAACCCCCTTAGACAACACTCAATACCACCTGCACTAATAGGCATTCGGCCAAATTTTTAGCCTGCACATCGAGCAATACAATGTCTCTTTGTCGGAGGTTACGGAGAAAATTACGGATGAAGAAAAAGAAAGATAAGCCCGTACCTGCTGTCGTCGCCCCAGCCCCGCAAGTCAGCCCAGAAAACGACACCGACCCAACGCGTATTACTTCTCAGCAAAACCGCAGTCCATATAGTGTTACTATAGAGGAAAGAATCCGCTATCAGAGGGTAGTTCTAGGGATGACAGATGATCAGATTCGAAATGCTTTACCCCCTGGACATTACGATATTACCCTTGTTGCGGACAGCCCGTCGCGGCCCTCAGGCCCGGGAGATATAGCATATGTATATATGGAGCCTGCCCGATAATAGGGGCGGCTGTCTAGAAGCCCCTTGGATTTTCCCTCTGCATACACAGCGACTGTAGTGTCAAATAGCCACTGTCGATAAGCAGGCTCAGATCTGTTGTCTCGAGACAGATCGGCGTCAAAACAATACCCTTTCCCAGAAGTGCTCCCCTTCCTTCACAGACAAACAATGGGCAGCACGCCGCCCCAATCCCAACGGGGTGGCCGGGGGTCTGCCTTCCCAACAAGTCTTTAAAGATTCGAGAGAGATAGACAGTACTACCTGTGGATGGAGGAGTATGACGCTGGAGAAGAGAGACGCTGGCCCTGGGGGAAAGGATAGCAGAGGATGGGGCGGAAAATACGCTAGAATAAAATTTCGAGACATGATGCAAAAGCCCGATCTTTAAATTTTGCGAGCCACTCTGCAGGATGTACCGAAGTCCGCTTTCGATGTATTTCAGCTATTTGTCAACGCTCCTCTAAGAGGTCATCGTCACTCCTGTGGTCCAAACCAGGCTTTGGGAGATCAATTTCTATCTGATCAGATGCTGCTTAAACTGAGCCGTGGGTGAGCAAACCTGGGCCGAGGATAAGTAACCCTAAGTCGGCAGTGAGCAAACCTGAACAAGGGCCTGATCTAATGAGCAATTAGTTTGGGCTCCTGGGCTAAAATAGAAAAGTTAGAAGATTTTCTCGGGGTCAACTCCTCGTAAGTTCATAAAGTATATTAAAAGAGCTGACCCGGAAACCCTGTCTAATTCTTAAACGAGGCGAATATCCCTCCCTATAGCCTTCAAGTCTTCATATTTGAAGGCTCCGCTTTTCACATCCATCGTGTTGCTAGGCCCATGCAAAAGCATGTTCCAGAACCTGAGTATATTGCCCGCAGATTCTTCATCGTTATCATTATAAGCGTCTTCATTCAGAACAACGAAATACCCTCGGCGATAGTATTCATGTTCATGTACACCTGTTGGTTCAAGGATCAGACCATGGATATTATCAAACGATCCTATCTCATAATTATCCTCAGATGTATCCAACCTCATCGGCAGGCAATGAACTGTGCAGCCTTCATGCAACTCCCCAAAATCATGATTGAGGCTCATTTGGATGGTGTTGAACGAACACATATTCGTTCTTGACCGGCCATGAAGGCTGATTGGAGAAGTGATGACTGTTCCCCGAAGCTTGATATGGCCATCAGTAACCGGACCGTACGGATCTGCTGGATCTTCCAAGACCACCTCTGCCTCGAGAATTTGGACCAAGTCATGATTATGACTTAGTTGGTCTTCGATAACTTCAAATCCAACAGACCCAAAACCATCACTATCAAGCGACGCCCAGGACCACGATGGTGCTCGGTAACGTGGACTTCGAATGGCGGATGAATTTAGATTTGTGTGCCACAAGAGTTGCTCAACCAAAGTCTGTGGCGAATTCCACAACCCAGCCAAGTACTCCTCTGGTGGGATCAGTAATCTAGCAATACCTGAGATCGCGTAGAAGATGTCTTTCTGTGGAAAAGTCAAATCTCTTTTCGAGTACTGATAGATTGCACTATCCCACATGTAGTACCGATCATGCTCTGGAGGAGTTTGCTTGAATCGTCGTTTGTGGTCTTCCTGGATAGTATGACGATCCAAGCTGATCTTCGTACCTTCGTCCAAAGCGATTTCAGCCCCGCCAGGATGACTCTCACAGGCTCTGAGTTCACAACATTCCCAGAAAACTTGCCCTTTCCCATAATGCAGCACTCGTGGTGACAGCATAATCTCCTGAAAGACCCAACCTCGAGTGGACAATGGGCACGCGTCAATCTCAGAGTTCCATATGCGATTCGGAACGCAATAGAATGTTCGGTGAGACTCATCAGGCCAAGTAGTCTTGATCCTGCATGGACTGACCAAAAGCGGATGTCGGTCATCGAAACACCCTCCGCGGCCGTCTCGAGCTTTCGTTGCTGCAATATTACACCAAGAGTGGCGGTAGACTTCTCCCATCATAGCAGCCTCTCGCTTCCAGTCGTCACTAGATCCTTGGATGATACAAAGACTGTCTATCCAAAGATATCGGATTCCAAGATTCCGTGTAATTCGAATAGCCTCTTGGAACGTTCTCGGAAGGTCGAAGTATGGGATATCTTCAATGAATTTGGCGAACGTGTCACCTATCAAAGTTAAGGGAACTGCGCTACCCCAACAATGTGACAACGTCATGTATTTAGTATTACGCTCCAAACTTTCTGACAAGCAGAGAGAAATTGAACAATCGTTCAGTAACCCGAGATCAAGAAGTCTAGTTGGGAGGAATGCATCGTTCAACACGTGCTTCTTGCAAATAGTGTGATTTTCTGAACATTCCTTAAGCCAACGTTTGGCAATGGCGTATGTCCTTTCCGAGTTGGAACTATACGAGATTCTCGTCGAGATGTCTGTTTTGGACGTATCTAGTTGATAAGACTTAGCTTTGAGAGCTGAGATCGCTCCCCGAGGTCACTTATGACTTACCCGTATCTGGCACCAGGATCATGAGCTCACTCCATCCCAAAGGAGGCCCTTCATCTGAGGACTTCCACATTTGTTGAAGCGCTTGGATATATAAACTTGATTTAGGTCTGATGACATGATATTCTATCCATTCAGCTTCATCGATGCCAGCCCTAGTGTCCTCCGAGAGGTAACTCCAGAACAGCCAGCAAAGGTGACAACCATCAACTACCTGAAATCGAGCAGTCAGCTTGGCAGCAATTGCCTAATCCAAGATGTCCCTAGAGCAAATGGGGCAGCAGATGTCCGAGGAAGCCGAGGAGCAGAGTACATGATTTGCAAACGAATTGTCCTAAAGAAATCGGGAAAATAGAATCGGGAACCCGGTTTCACCTACTGCCTGCTTGAAATCCTCAACAGATTGACCCGGCTTAGATTCTTCGCTCATACGCCCGAAAGCGGTGTAGATGCCATCGTGCTGAAAGTCCAGCTTCGCGTGGAAAAGATCTTCGCAAAACCCGCATAGTTGAGAACTTCCCTCATAAGTTGCCATGGCAATATCGATCCATCGTTCTCGGGAGCTCATAGCATCTGAAGGCATAGCTAAGTGATTAGGAACTTCGCTCAATCCGGATTCATCACGTCCTGGAGACCAGCAGAGAATGTGTCTTGGCGATCCCGAGGATCTGCCGGGGTGCGACTTGCTCGTTGCGCCTTCAGTATCGATCCGGTGTGCATCAACCTCCGATATCGTGCTTCTATACTGTTTCAATATAATTTAGATAGTCTGCGTATAGCACTATATTCTGTTATTCGAATATCTGGCCGGTCGCAAAGTTTTCTAGAGACTGCTAGATGCAGTAGAACTTTGGAATAGGTAGAAATGTAAAACATGTTCAGCCAGTGCACTTGTCACTAAGAATCATCTAGCAACTATAGCAATCAACTGAGCAACACTCTGTGTCAATGAATGATGATACTCTCTCGAATTAAACAGTATCTTTCAACTTTCGTCATACAAAGTTATACGTACAGTACGTGCTAAATGGCAACCTGCCAATCCCATATATCCAGATCCTATCACACTGTCAACTTCTGCACCCCGGGTATTTATTCGCACAGCAACCTATGCCACATCGTATTTTCAAATCAACACAATCTACAGGTATCCATCACCATCAATTCCATTAACTGCCTTGAACAGTAACCTTCTCATTTACACTTGCAACACTGGCAGTCCTCTTCCCCCAACCAGTCCAGAACCCACCACCACCCGTAGCAGCTGGCGAGGCGCTGGAAGGAGTCTCAACTTTCGCCGTTGGTCCCTTACTCAGATACCCGCCTAGCCCAATTGTAGCACTACGTTCTATCATAGGCTGACTAGGGCTCGAGCGATGAAGCGCGATGGAAGGAGCCTCCCCAAGCCCAGACCCTGGAGCCGAAAGCCCCAGCATCTTCCTCAAACTCTCCAGCTTAGCTTTCGCCTCTTCGGCTTCTTGCTTTGCAACAGCCTCAGCAGTTTTAGCTTGCACAAGTTCGAGGACCAGGGCGTCGGCATCGACGTCTAGTTTTGGCGGCGTAGCGAGGTCAGATGAGGAAGATGTGCGGTTAGGGTGTTCGGAATGGTTGTTGAGGGCAGCATTGGGGTTTATTAGACTTGATGTGCGCTTGTTGTATGTAGGAGCAGCAATAGAGCGATTTGAGTTTGTGCGGCTAAGTTTGAAGCCCCGGAGCCCATTGCCGTTAGAAGTGCGTGATGGCCATTCGCTCTCGGTGTCTTGGGATCCATCCGGTGTTGTAGCAGCACTCTTCCTCGCCCGGAGATCGTGGACTTGCTTCTCTAGTCGCTGTTTATCTGCATGAGCATTTCTGGCGTATAGATGGCCTTCTTTCACCTGGTCCTTCAGATTGGAAATCTCTTGTTGTTGCTCTGACATCCGTCTGCTAAACTCCTGTGTTTTGGATACCTCGATGATGAGCTGTTCTTTCGAGCGAGCAAGTTCTTCCCGTAGTTGAGACTTGGATTGCATCATCGAGGATCGGCGATTGGACGTAGGCGCAGAAAACCGGTCTTCTACATGATCAAGCAAGGCAGAGAGGTCAAGGTGCTCCGGAGCGGCATGTACATCTTGTGTCGGGTCTTCTTCTGGGACTTCCGTCTCTTGAATGATATCATCATTCTCTTCCTCACTGGCCATCGCATCGGCGTCCCCCACAGGGACAGCTTTTACCGTCTCGAGACTTTCATCACTTATGGAGGATTTAACTGTTTCAGAGCTGGCCTTCTTCCTTAGCCCATCAAGAAGAGATCTAACTGCTTGTCGATCCTCGTCCCGCTCTTCCCTCTCTCGTTGGAGCTGTGTAGCCAGAATAGCGTGGTCCCTTTGCATCTCGCTGAGCGCCGTCAACAGATCCTCAATCTGGCCATGCAGATTCTTATCCTTGTTCGATTTCGAAGCGTTGCCCAAAACAGACTGCGCCCTGAGCGATGCAGCATCCGCATTGGATGAATCACGAAACACCGAGGTGGCATCCGTTGACGAGCTTATCATGCTATCCGACGCCCCACCACCCTCCATCGAGTTTAATGTCGAAGCAATGCTTTGCTTAGAAGGGGATCTTCGCAAGAAGCTTACAGGTCGACCAGGCGCAGCGAGGTTAGGACTTAGACTTGTTGATTTGGTCGCATTGGATCCTAACCACAGACGGCCTAGGAAGCGCGACGCGGCCGAACCGACAGATTCTGCTGGAATTGCAGCATCCGTTGCCCCTCCTTCCTTAAAGCTCAACTCTAATGCCTGGAGGTTATCGTGGGTGACAACCCCCGTAAGACTGACGAAATCATTGACAAACTCGTCCGCATTATAATGGTAGCAATCCCAAAGCCCTCTCGACAGGAGTAATTGCATAACATCTTCGAATTCCGTGCAAGCCAAGATTTTCTGCTCATTCTTTCGCATCAGCGATAATGCAACTCTCATTATTGTCTCCGAAGCACCTTCAGCGAAGATAACATCGTATATGCGGAAAAGCATTGGTAAGGGACATGTGACAGCGAAGAATGATAGGAACCATTGCGAGACATATGCGGGTTCAATTTGAAGAAAATCCAAGTGGCTCGAAAGATTGGGGAGGTGTTGCTTGAGTAGCTCGCGGAATTGATGAATGCGAACATGAAGTCCCGATAAATCCGGGAGAAAGCAGCTCCGAAGATCGTAGTGCTCCATTAAGCTGTAATCCATTAGCATGCACAGGTGATACTCGATTTCCTCAATTTACATACCGTACAAGCACGCAAAAAGCTTCCTTGTCACCCATATGCATAAGCAGAGGGCCAACAAGAAAGCCCAGTCCCTGACAATACCCTATCTTCTGATCATACAAGCTGAAGCATTTCAGCACTCTCCCCAACATCCGCTGACCGTCTCCATCGGGGTCGCGAAACATCTCTACTCCTGGGAAGCTTCTTCCGAGATCCTTCCCAATTATCCCCTCGTATGGGCTCGACTCGCCACAAAGCCTGTCGAACTGATCCTCCAACAGTCTGTCCCTTGCGCCGGACATGCTCTGCCATACAACTCCCCGCAGAGGCGGTGGGATACCGCTTCTGATCTTCTTAGAAAGTAATGTAGGCAGACATTGTGCCGTCCTTGTGTAATCCTGAACCAGGGCGGCGTAGAATTCTAGATCCGTCATAGGAGGGGCAGGTATCATGGAGTATCGTAGGGATAGTGGAGTCGGGCCATTTACCAGCTTTTTTAAATGCTGTATGGAAGGCGGTCTGGATTGGCTTCGGTTTCGTATCTCGACCGCTTGGGTTTTGGCAATGCCAGATTTTGGATTCGTGGCTAAGAGGTTGTTTTCCTGCTCAAGTCTAGCTAGCAGCAAGGCCGTAGACTAAATCAAAAGATTAGCATCAACTTATCAAGGCCGGGCAGGGACTTGTACATCTTCCGAGGCTTCATTTCGAGGCTCCTTCTCCTCGCTCCTCTCAAGCTCCTCCCAATTGACCTCCCCATTTTCTGCGGTCTCAGAAGTATCACTGCCGCTCTGCGAATCTCTATTTTCTGGGTCGTTTTCTGAGCCATTTTCGCTCGGCACCTCATTCCCATTTGGGTCCATCGCTATAATAGTGGGCGAACCCTCCTGTGTTTGCATTTCCTCCTCCTCATCCTCTGGTATTATATCCGACGTATCCTGTCTCGCGGTATCCTGGTTCCGAGCATCTTCTTCGGGTGCAGCAGACCCTCTTTTAAGCTTGGTTGAGCCGAGTATACTGGAACGAGTATCGACCGTCAAAGCTGGGGGCTCCGATAATCGTACTGTGACCATTGAGTCGTGCTGCATCGAAAGAGGGACATCGGGGGAGGCAAAGTCGGCTTCCGTCTCCGTATCTGCGGGCGCCGAGGGCCCCGCAACCTTTACCTGGTGTTCGGCGTCCATGGTGGAATGGGAGTCCATTTCCGATTCCAATTCAGTTCGGCTCAATCCAATTCAATGAAATGTATGGGATGGAGACGCTGTCAAATCCAACCCCGCTGGCTCTGATACCACTTGACACAGACTAGTAGCTCTGCCGAAGCCCCTCCAATGCTGGGATTTCTGCCGTGGTTTGATGTTCGCAATTCCTACTCAAAGTCGTCGTCAATTAAAATGTCAATCGAGCGCGTCCGGGGTGCCGCGGCACAGGAATCGAGCAAGCGGTACTCCGTATGTCTGTATCCTCTCGCTGACCTCGGTCTGCAAGTTGTATGATAGCTCCGTCTCCGAGTCTGCCAGCGTAGATAGCTGTTTGTTTTGCTTTGTTCCGTTTGGTCCCAACCACGCGTCGCAAGCTCCCAAGTTGTTTCGTCGCTGGCTGTCCTCGAGCAGTACCGTGCCCCTTTCCGCTGAGATAATAGCACCAAACGAGTGTTCACCCCACCCTGCAAAGCACAGTCATCTGCAAGCAAGCAACATATAAACAGCAAACAAAAAACTGCGTGAAAAACGAGCGGCGACGGCAACAGCCAGAAGACGGACAATAGGACAGCAGCGGTGAGGTTGGAACTTGGAGAGTCACATTGACTTGAAGTTGTAATAATCCCAATCAATGCTTAAGCTTGCCCGTGGATGGTGATTGGAGGACGCGGATCCACGGGTCCAAAGCCATAATCTACGAAAGTCGCGGATCTGCAGGGCTCAGGGGCAAAGGCGTTGTTGGCGAGAGGTCTAGATGGGCAATTGGTGGAATTGGCTGCTCAAGACGCGAGAACACAACCAACAACTCCCTTTTCACAACTTCATCCCCGAACAGAGTACTCGTATGCCTATACTATAATAGCAGCATAACGTTACCTATTTAGGACCACCTATTATATTATATCCTTTGCTACAGAGACGTCTAAGCTACCTACGTATCTAGGTGCGAAGTATGGCTCTACCAATTCCTCGCCAAGCTTCGTGTTTAATGTTAATTACCTCCGCACTACCCACCCTTGTGGCCCTTGATGCTCTTCAGCGCCAAGTCTAGTATAAATATACCCGATAATGTTCTATCAGAGTCGTTTTGGGCAGCGTGGCGACACATAGAGACTTGCCAAGAGTTTAAAACAGAATGCCGATAAATTGGACACGTTAATTTAGTTGGATTAATAGCACGATCCAAATTCGACGGGTTAATCGCACATCTAGAGTAGACAGCGGGGCAACAACTAGTGTTTTTAGAATATATACAGAGCGCAGCAACAAAAATTTTAATAAATATGGCAAGCGGCAATTTGATGTAAAGTGGACTAATAATACACACCAACTAAATCTTAACCCGATTAATCAAGTGGAGGAAATAGCGATGGAGCAGACTGAGGATGTCATTAGGTACCCGGTAGGCACGTAAGCCAAAGCTACACGCGCGGAATGCGTATAATAGAGCAAGCATCATAATCTCTGTATAGGAGGATTTTGACGATATGCGAATTTTAATGATTCAGGGTTTTTGTGGGTTGCAATAACTCAATATTTCTGAGACATTCTTTGTTTATGTAGATTTATTTATAAGGATTTTGGAGATACTATTTCCATCCTTCCAGTTTTGCAGGGGCATTTTCATATACTTTATCTCTAAACTACCAGGCGTGGGAGGGGGGGTGGGGGCTAAGACTCAACACCTATACGCGGTGTCCCCCACAAACCTCCACCTTTCATTCAACAACTGGCCCTTATCTCTCTTCTTTCCTACCTTCGTCTCCCGTTAACAAGCTCTAGAGATATCTTTTGCCCCTGTTTAGAGAGAAATACTTTAGATAGACTGACCCTGTCCCACTATTACCAGAGATAGAGTTAGATGAGCCATTTAATTCGTCTGATATTGAAATCTCATCTGTACGGAAGCGGTACGCTAATATTGGCTCAAAGAGCACCACCGATATGAGGGAGACGCTATTTAGAGACCACGTATTCTCGAAGAAGAGAATACATCGCCCTACTGATACTCGGGGAGCTCCTCCAACCCAATATAAACGTTCTCTCTCCTGCAGAAGCAGGTCCGAGGACGCCCCTTTTTGACTACTGTCAACCAGTATAATGGGAGGGGAGAAAATAAAAAATAAAGAGAAGAGAGAGGAAGAGGGCTGGTGACAACATTGCTTGGTCCTGAGGGATTTGGTGCTAAGCTTAGGGAACAAAGATAAAATAAGGACGCTCAACTAGCCGAATGGGACACTAAACAGCAGTGTAGAATTAGCACGAAATGCTTTCTAAGGTCTATAGAGGAACTGTGATACCGCAGGATCAGGGGCTCGGCGCCATTTGAAAGGTATATTTGATCCTCTTGGTTTTGGCTCCTTTTTATATAGGACTCTGTATATAAAAACTCCTACCTTGGCACGTCTCCGTACCCCCAGGGAGGTTCTAGGACTGCAGTCAAGCCTGTTATCCGCTAGACGTAAATCAATACAAACAAACAAGAGGATAAAAGGCAACCAACCAATAGTACGTTTCCATATTTAACCAAGATACCAATATCAGCCACTGCCGCCCCTCATTTTTATTTGAGCTCGTGATAAAACATGAGTGGCTGCCTAGCTTATGATGACCGCTTTTACTCGCCATGGCGGACTGGGCCGGAAATTGATCAAAAGCTACAAGGTATACACTACGTATAAGGGTGGACTTTTGGCGCAATGATCGCTTGCCTTGGTTGTGATTGTATTGCATGGCTCATGTTAACTGAAAAATACTAGCCCGTCGCAGCAAAACTTCCCTATACTAACATAATAAAACAGGCGGGCACCATATCATAAGTTAAAGGAACCCTAGAATAACATGTTCGCCAGAGAACCTGGATATCCTCCCTAAGAACGCCAAAATTTCCATATCCCAGGCTTAATCGCTGTCATCAAAATCATCCTCGCTCTGCTCCTCTTCTACAATGGCAGAATCGTCAGCGCCATCCAGATCCATATCATCATCATCGTCGGAGTCAATATAGATGGGCTTCTTTGCCTTAGCGACAACTGCGGCAGCTCGTGCAGGGCGTCCGCGTGCAGCTGGCTTGGGCGGTGGCGAGTCATCGTCATTCATATCAACATCCTCATCCTCGTTTTCGCTAAAATCATCCTTATTCGAGAGTTTCATTTTGTTCTGTTTGGCTGCGTATGCTTTGGCTGCTGGCGAGAGAGCTGCTGGCTTTGGTTCCGCAGGCTTCTTTGTAGCCAGAGCAGGTTTGGCCTTCGGCTTCGCACCTCGCTTGGCAGGGACCTTGGCAACTGGCGCCGGCGCCTTCTTTGGTATTGGGGGCACGTCAGAGTCATCTGAAAGGAAGCTGTCAAGGGAACCCTTCGGTGCCGGAGCCGCCTTGTGGGGAGAGGATTTAGCCAGCATCTCGTAATTCGTCTCGTCCGCATCTGATAAGTCGAAAGTTTTGCTAGGCTTAGGTTTCACCTTGGGGAGATCGTTGCTTGTGGATCTGCCATGGCTACTGTCTGGCCGGGACATAGCAAAGAGCGAGACACGTCCATTCTTCTTGTCCGTGGAGTCCCCACCGCCGATGCCTTTGACCATATCGCCAACATCGCCGAGGAGTTTGTCATCATCGCTCTCTGACTCGTCATCCTCAATCACCCACTTTTTCGGCGCTGCTGCCGCGGCACGTTTGGACCTTCCATTCGTTGGGCCGGCCTGCTCACTAGGTGCTCGTGAGGTTTGTCGAGCAGGCTTCGTAGCTCTTAGCGCGTCAAAGTCATCGTCTGACAGTCCCGAAATAACACCAGCTTCATCAGCGTCTTCCTCAGCACCGTCCGAGCCAAGACCAGAAGGCTTAGACTTCGGCTTCGGCTTGTTTTCAAACATACTAAGAAAGCGCTGATGTGGCTTTTGCTCAACCTTGACCGTTTTTGTAGCGGCGGCTTTTGATGGTTTGGGATTGTAGTCATCATCACCCTTTCGAGCCTTGTTATTCTTACCGACGCCAAGTTTTCGTGAGGCTCGCCGGTTGGTGTTACGAATGGTCTTCTGGTACTCGGCTTCTTCCTTCAATTGTACCTCCCACTCGTGAATAAATGCATCAAGATCTTGACACCATAAATCTTTCTCGTTAAGTTGTTCCAAAGTGTCATGTTCGTCTTTCTTGCCGACCATTTGCGCTTTCAATTTGTCAACGCGTTCTTGGGTGAGTGACCAAATTGGCAACTACCAGTCGTTAGCAGGGTGGTCTATTATATGCTAGGTCGGTACTTACTCCGAGCAGGTAATCAAAGTCTCTAGCTCCAGTACCCTCATCATCAGCAACATCGTCCTCATTTTCTACAACGTCATCCGTCTCGCCAGCCTTGCGCGCGTCCTTCACTTTCGGAAATGCCTCGTAGTTCCGCTTTCGCAATTCGGCGACGAGTACAGGTTTCTTCTTCTTGGAGACTACAAGCTTGTTGTCGATTATTTCCATCACAAACCTGGCTTGGTTCTTTAGTCTCCGGTACTCTGTATCAATCTTGGCCAACCAGTATGCCTAGGCGGGTTAGCAAGCGCATCACAAGTAAGGCGACAGGACAAACCTTTCGTTTAGTATACATTTCCAAGCGATAGACATAGTATTCTTCAAGGATGTCTTCAACCTTCTCATACTTTCGAATCTGACCTCTGGCATCGAATGCAACAAGATTCGAGGTAGCAATTGTCTTGTTGAGTTTGAATCTTTCGGCGAGTCCGTCATCCTTGACAGTCTTCATGTTCTTCTCGTCCAACTGAACAATGAAGTGTACGCTCCTGTGGTCATTGTACTCTTTGTAATCCTTAATAAAAGAAGGGATCTTTTCGCCTTTGATGATTTCTTCAAGTTTGCCCTTGAAATCGTCGGTCCACACACGAATAGGCAACTCGGTGATCTCGACTTCACTATTGCCAGCTTCCTTGACGACACCATTGAAAGAGTACCGATTCGGCCCCGCTTCTTCGGGTGTTCCCTTCCATCCGCGAAACCAAGGCATCATTGTTTGAAATGGTTGCTCTTCCACATCTTTATCGTCAAGCCGACCCATGCGGCGCTTCAGGTTGTTTACGATATCAACTGGATGGTAATTAGGGATTGTCGTACTCCAACCAGTACCAATACCATCTGCGCCGTTTACTAGAATCATTGGCACAACAGGACAATAAACCGTAGGCTCGATTGGCCGTCCGTCATCGATGTTGTGTTCATAAATCGGCTCGTCGAGGGCAGAAAAGACGCGTCTCGCAAACGGCGATAATCTTGTGAAGATATAACGAGGGCTTGCAGCATCAGTCCCTCCTGCGAGCCTACTACCGAAATTTCCACTGGGCTCCAGGCAATTGATATTATTTGATCCAACAAAGTTCTGAGCTAGACCAATGATAGTTTGATGCATAGATGCTTCGCCGTGATGATAAGCAGTATTCTCGGAAACATATCCGCCCAACTCAACCACCTTCATATCTCGGACGAGGTTACGCTTGAAACAGGCATACATCACCTTGCGCTGTCCGGGCTTGAAGCCATCGATAACAGAGGGGATGGATCGCATATTATCCGCCATACTAAAGAGAATGAGCTCCTTATTGACGAAATCGTCGTAGGTGAGAGTCTTAGTTGAATGGTCCAAGTAGGTTCCAGGGAGGAAGTTCCCGAGCCACAGCTTTCGAGCATCGGCCTTCTTTTTCGAGAATGCGAGATCAATCATCTCCTCTTCTTCTGGCTTAATTGTCTCGAATTCTCTGAGATGCTGGTCTAGGTTGCTGAAGTAAATCTGGGCATCCTCGGGTAAACTGGTACCCAAACCCTTGTAATACTTGTGCTTCCATCCTTTATCATCCACATGCCTTTCTCTCCAACCCTCATATTCAGGCAAGGTGAAGAAAGATTTGGAACTCAGAGGCTTCTTTGGATTTGGGCCCTTCCAGACTTTGACAATGGGCGTGATAAACTCCCGGAAGAACTCAGGTAATTTGAGTAAACTAGGGAACTGCACTTGGAGAAAGTTGATCAAAAGGCCCTTGATATGGCTTCCATCGTGATCTTGATCCGCCATGATCATGAGATGTCCATACCGAAGACCGTTAGTATCGTTGTAGACCTGCTTATGTTTCAAGCCGAGGAATTGCTTGATGTTCTGAATCTCGGCATTCTTGGTGATCTGGTCGATACTTGCATCTCGAACGTTGAGAAGCTTGCCTCGCAGCGGGAAAACGCCGATCCTATCAGGATCTAAAATAGCCCTGCCAGCGACAGCAAGACCTTTCGCAGAGTCTCCTTCGGTAAGGATTAAGGTACACTCATGACCACGCCTCGTACCAGCCAAGTTTGCGTCGACGAGCTTAGCATTACTCATACGTGACCGTTTATTGCCATCACTCTTAGAAAGCTGCTGATCAGCCTTGGCCGCCTGAAAATTTAGGATGTTCTGCACTGCCTCAGTCTTCCCAATCTTGTCCAGAAATTGTGGCGTCAGTACACATTTGCTTCCGAACTGTTTGATTCTGGTGGTGAGCTGCTCCTTCGTCTGAGAAGTAAACGCAGGGTTCACGATCGAAGCGTTGACAAAGAGAAAAATGTGATTGCGAATCTGATTGGCTTTCAACGTAGCACCCTTAGAATTCTTCTTCTTCACCACCTCCAGAAGCTTATCGCATATCTGGTCAGCGATATAATTGACGTGTGTACCTCCCGAAGTTGTGGCAATCGAATTGGTGAAAGAAACTTGTTGAAAGGCCCCGTCGGAGACTGCAAATCCAACCTCCCAGCGTTCATGGGCTTTTGGGTCCTCGATTATAACAGTGCCAGTTGCCGGTGGTGGTGCACCATCCTCCAACCCGCGCTCTCTGTTAATCGCTTTGGCGTACATTTCACAGTATTTCTTGAAATCCAGTTTGATCAAGCTACCATTTAGAGATACCTTAACCCCTTTCACGGTACCAGCCATATCATAAACTCGGCGCTTTACAAGGGCCTCGAAGTCATCATCAATGCCGTCCATTCTGAATTTTTTGTAGTCGGGAGTAAAAGTGACGCGGGTAAAATCGGCTGATTTGCTTGCAGATATTTTTGCCTTGCCCATGTTGGTCATGTTGCTGGTCCATGTTTGCTTATATCTCTTACCCCGGCTTGAATCTTGAGTCTCGATTGTGAACTCGGTACTGAAAATATTACAAAGCTTGGCTCCATAACCATTACGACCACCAGTTGTTTTGGCTTCATCGTCATCATAGTTTGATCCAGTCAAGAGATGTCCGAAAATCATCTCCGGGATGTAAATTTTCTCTTTCTGTTCTATAAGTTAGCAGAGTATCGATCAACGGTATCATAAATATACTTGCCTGGTGAATCTCGACAGGGATACCTGCCCCATCGTTCTCGACACTAATTTCACCCTTCTCGCGGTCCACAACCACCTTAATCATTTTCATATTTTTATCATTCTGCTTGTTATCGGCAGCATTGACCAAAACCTCGTCAAAGATCTTATAAAGGCCAGGAACAAATGTAGCTTTTCGAAGCTCCATCTGTGAGGTTTCGGAATTGAAAACCCACATCTGTTGCTCGGTGCGCTCCACAGACCCAATATACGTATCCGGACGTTTCAGAATGTGCTCAAGCTGAGTGAGCTTCTGGTATCGGTCGGTTGCGGTCTTGTTCTTGGGCGCCGAATCCTGAGGTCCATCAATGTCCATGTTGAAACCCTCGTTTTCAACATCCTGTAAGGGTTTCCCAGCCGGCTTTTTCGCAGCTGGGGCCTTCTTCTGCTTTTTCGCGCTTGGTGGGGTATTTGAGAGCATCGAATCGTCATGAACAGACTCTGCATCGGACACGGGATCCTCATCATCGCTCTCTATCTTTGGACGTTTCTTCGAGGTGGTCTTGGAAGTCTTCAAAGTGGATTGAACTAGTTTCTTGGGGGCGGCCTTGGGGGCTTTTGTTGCCTTTGGTGCCTTTGTTGCCGCTGCTTTCTTTGGTGCAGGTTTTGCTTTCGCTTTCTATGCGTGCGGAAGTTAGTCTCTGGAAGATACAATGCCGTCTGGGGATGGGAGTCGGGGTTGGAGTCAGATAGTCTAGTAAAAGCTTACAGGAGCAGGAACTGGGGAGAATGGATCGGAATCTCCATTATCATCATCGGTGAAAACCGCATCATCCATAATGGAATCGTCGTCCATATTGTCGGGTCAACGCGACCGCGCTGGGTTTGAAAATAGCGAAAGAAAGGGTAAATGGGTAACCCGTCGGCAAGGCCGTGCTGGGTTTCGTCTGTGAATTTAAATGGTCATAAAAGAGGGACTTAAAGGCCAAGGTAAAGTGATCGTATGCTGTTGTGAAGTGTTGTTGTTATTGTCGGTTGCCACTGCTTTGTACGTCGTGTTTTTGTTTACACGCAGAGAAGCGCAATCGCGTACCACCACACCAGGCTCGCTTTAGGATTAGCGTGCTCCTATCAGTTCATTCTATTCACATGACCTGCAACTAAAAATAACCTAAGCGCGAGGGAGGGACAAATTGCCTAATACGGCAAATAATAACAAAACATCCATCCAACAACCTAAGAGAGCAATTTCGGTCCCTCAACTCAGGTTGTCACACTGAGATCGACATCGTTCAATCGTCCGGTCTTGTGCAACTCCAAGAACGAATTCGCCATGAGGATTTGGCTCTGAGGATGCACACGTCCGTGTTCCCAACTCCACAGCGTTATACAATGTCCAGAACGGACACCGGCAACCACAGCATCGGCTTCCTCTCCGCGTCCAAGCAATATGAAATCGTAACAGTCGTCCAAAGAATATCTAAAATGACGGGGAAGATTCCCTGCCTGTGCACCTCAGTTCCATATTCAGATATGCCTGCAGAGGATATCTCGTCCTCTGCTCTTTCTCGGTTCTCCCTTTTTGAACCTCTCTCCGCTGCCACGTCATATTCCTCCTCAGAGATTTGCATTTTAGAGAAGCGTCGCAGGTGGTCTGCAATTCATCGTTCAGCCAGTTGCTGCTTCAGAAATCTGTCCCTGTTGGCTTCATGAACACAGCTTCGAGTCTCCTTAGGAGAATTCTCTTTCCTTAAAACACCTTGACACGCATCAACTCCCTACTATCCAATTATTCTACGCAGCGCTCTCGCTTGCTTGCTTCGTTTGCCAATGTGCATAAGCGACAACGTGCTTGGCCTAGATATCATGAATCTTCGTATAGATGTGGCGGGTATGTACATATTATGGCCGATCCATGTTGTACCTATGTCTTTACATCAGGACTCGAGGCCGCGCAACACAGTCCCAGCTATCTTTTCACAATTTGGCCGTCCACGTTAAATGGAGATGGCGACAGCTCGACTGTCCCCTATTACTTCTTGTCCTCATCACATCTAATGGCTTGTTGGTGAGGCAGCAACTACATTTAAAGAACACAGAGCTTGGTAGACAAACGCTCCCAGCCCCAGGCTTGGTTAGTGACCCTGCCACTTTCACCATTTGAAAGCAAAGCCACCAATCACATACGCTGTTATGCGCCTCTATGCATGCCGGTTGTGGTGTTTCTCAAGTGACAGCTGCAGTCTCGGCAGTAGTTGCGGAAACGGAACATTCTCCTTGCTTTCTAGAAAGGCTGTGGAAGCTCTTTGACCAGCAGCAAGAGAGAGATGTGATGAGACGGATAGAAGCATAGGGGCGCTGTCAGGGATCTGCGCTACAAAATGGAGCCCGGAGGCCTCCGAGACAGGGCAAATCAGACGCTGCTGAGTTCAATAATATACTCCATGCAGAGACGCCCAAATTGAAGTCGAGGTTGGGCGCTTGATACTCTCTGTCCACGTGCATCGAGTCAGTCAAACTGGATCTGGTCCGCCATCCTCATCCGTGACTCTCATCGCTAAGATTCCTTTGTCGGTCTTGAAGAGTATGGCCGGTCACCGCTTTAGCGCAGCCGCAGGTACTGCAGCCTTCCGTCCCAGGACGACTCCTTGCCAGCAGGCTGCCCAGCCTCCAGCAGCTTTGCTACCCACGCCCAAACAACGCCTGTTCTTGATCGGGAAGTGGCACCAGCATTGCTGATGTCAAACTTACCGTCTGGGCCTAGCAATACACGCTTTTGCTGTCATGCAGCCCGTTAATTTGGCAATTCCACCATTCTGGGGCGTTGGTGAAACATGCCGCCTCGATCGATGCTCTAGAATGTGTACGGGGGCTGCTTGGTGGGCATCTCCTAGAGACGGGCACGGGAGCGGAGAAACTTCTACAGAAGCGTTTTGCGAATCGTTTGAAGCATTATTCCTTATTCTCGGGCCTTGTTCTTTTGGGGGTTGTTCTCCGTTCACGCCCTTGATTGAGAGATCCATAAGAGGAATTCAACTCTTTTGGACATAGTTGGAGCATCATAGGATTCACAATACGCACTTACTAGTCCTGCAGCAGGTCGGTGTGTGCTCGTTCCCTCGGATTCACGAATAAGCGTTCGAGAGAGGCAAACGGATGTTTTCTACCCCAGGCCGGTTCCTAGACATCGCCAGCAAAGCCCGAGATCGCAGATTAGTGGTCACAGACATCGACGGCTGTTCCTGGGACTGCAGCAATCTGCACCGCTTGCTGGCACCCAAGTAGGGCATGATACTCAACCTCGTTATTTGCCCCATCTCCCATAAAGGCCCACCAACAGTCTATTTCTAGAGTTCTGTTTGCCGGTTCTAATACATTGGCTCTCTGCCCCACCGTACCCACGTACTTCCTTCCTTGACTACTTTAAGCTGATAAGCGTTCGTTCGTCATCGAAGAACGAATCCCATCAACTTGCAGATTAGAGGCTTAGCACCACGAACCCCTCAATCCTCACCGCTATGCTTTCCGTGGCATCACTACTCAACCCTGCTCCGTTGGAACCGCAAGGCACAGGTACAAAACTGCCTTCCAGTCCTTCGCCTTCCTTCCGCACTTCGCCTTCAACTTGTGATAGCCCTCAGTTATCAAGTTATACCTCGAATAAGAAGCAGAAGATGAGTAAGGATGGCGCAGTTTTCCAAAAGGGCAAGATCAAGGGCGAAGTCAACTACCCCCCGTTTGAAGACCTGGACGACGAAGCCATGCGCGAGGTTCGAAAATACCATGTCTACCCAATTGGAGAGATCCAGGAGTACTGCCGCCACATTCCATATAACAGTGAAAAGAAAAGCTTTCTTGAAAAGACAGGCCGAGAAGGTTTTGAAGGTATGGTCGCTTCCATGCACGGGGTCCCGGAGCTTGCTGATTTTCTTCCAGTATTTCAATATACCTTCAAAGTTCCCGGAGACGAAAAGGTATACACCGTGATGTGGGATTACAATATCGGGCTCGTTCGCATCACACCATTTTTCAAGTGTTGCAAATATTCTAAGGTCAGAATTCCCATATTAATGGCTGCTTCATGGTTGTATGAAAGTTTTATTAATATCAATTAGACGACTCCCGCGAAAATGCTCAACATGAACACAGGCTTGAAGGAGATCACGCATAGCATCACTGGCGGGGCACTTGTAGCACAAGGTAAGAGCGTCAACATTGGCGTGCTATTCGGGTCTAACAGACTACACAGGGTACTGGATGCCATACTCCTGCGCTCTTGCAGTTTGCGCAACATTCTGTGCTCACATCGCCGGCGCACTGATACCAATTTTCGGGCCAACATTTCCCTCGCAATGTGTATCGCCGGAAGCCCCCGAGCACGGCCGCATGGTTATCGATCAGGCCCTCGTCGTCCAGGCTACCGTGGATGCAAATACATATCGCCAACAATACGGCAGCGTTTCACCTAAGCCTAGGCGGGATACCTACTCGCCTCGGCAACGCTTGCCTGACCACCGGACCGCATCCTCGAGCCCTCTCGATCAGCGTCTCCGTCTTAAGAGAGCATTTGTCGGCGATAGCCCGTACCGCACGCCAGCTGACACGGATATAGATGGGAATGGCAGCGAAGCGAGCAGTGGTGATGGTTACTTCTGCTCGCCTATTAGCCCTCTATCCCCAAAAAGTCTTAACCTGAACCAGTCACCAACCTGGCGAGGCCATCACATGGTTTCTCATAGCACGGATTCCTCCATCGACATTCAATCCCATCAACTTGGCCCAGGCCCGAATCCTGTACTTAGTGCAATTCCACGCTCGACAGGCCCACTAAATGCACAACTGGATTCTCCTTGGAGCCCGAAGCGAAAAGCTGATGAACTTGATGCGGACGATGAGTATGATGGCGAGGAGAGTGCGAGCGTTACTGATGACAAAATAAGCGAGCATGATGGAGGATCCGGTACACACATGGAGGATACCTGCAACATGAGATCTAGGCTCGGTAGTGCGGATAGGATGGCGGCATGGTTGCTGATGCAACTTAACGTGACGGATCGCGAGAACAGAGCCGACACTGCTACAAAGGATGAGGTTCTGGATTCAGAAGAACCGAGGATAAAGAGGAGGAGGCCAGCATCTATGTGAAACTCTCTAGCGGTGTAAATCATGAGATGTGGAATAGGCGTGTTTACTCTGCCGGCCTGGTTGCGGGGTAATCCGACAATGTGGATGGCATGAAGGTTTGGAGTTTCACTGCTTGATTATTTAAATGAATGAGATTTTCTGAATTTTGATTTGTCTGAAGTTCATTTCCTGGCAGGTATTGTAATACTAGTATTTGGCTATTCTTGATCTAAAATACTAGCTATTCCAACGTTGATACTTGCCCACAACATATGGGCCACCAATCTTGAGGTCAGATTCTACCTGAGCATCCCCCTCTCAATTTGAGGTATTCTGACCACCATAACCTGAGCGCCAAATAGTCTGATTGGGGGACCTAGCACCACAGCCCTTCTAATCAACTAAAGTGATGAAGTTAGCGAGCTTAAGTCCACCCCTTTCCTAGCTGCTTGCTCATCAGTAGTATTGCTATTCTTCAATCCGACCGCCTCTATCAGCTTGATTTTTCAGCAGCCTTTTTCTTTTTAAAGTCCTGCACCCATGTGTCTGCATTCGATTTCGGGACAACAAAAATCTTGACAACTTCATCAGTGACCGCCACATTCTCAGAAGACAGAATTTTCAACAGCACAGCCTTCTTTCCCACTTTAAGCAAACCACCTTTCACAGTTTCTATGTAGCATTCGACGCTCGCCGGTGTGTAAGCACCTTCCTTGTCCCAGGGAAGGGGTAAAATGTAACTTAAGTGATGAGTCAAGGTCTCCGTCTCGTTGAAAGCTTTGATGAAGTCCGACTGCAGATGCAACGGGTACAGCAGGACAGTGGGGAAGCTTAATGTGGAAGTGGGATCCACTGGGTCAGGAACAAGCTCGATCTTCGCGTCCTCCATCTCGGGAGGTTGCGTCGTTGCCAGGAGCTTCACATCCCTCGCTTTCAGTGCAGCCTTTAGCGTCTGTTCCTCAAGCCACTTTCTCTGCTGTCTCTCCAACTCCCTCTTCCTTGTCGCAGAAACCTCTTCATTCTTCTTGATAATATCCCTTGCCACAGCCTTCAATGCCACGTTCTCAGAGTCAATAGCCAATCCCCTGGCGCATGCATCATCGGCCTCTACAATCTTCCCTAAGCTCCACAACGCCCTCGCAGACCTATAATAAGCCTTGACATTCCTCCCATTAATCCTCAAAGCACTACCGCAATCCATCGTACAGCTGCGGAAATTCTTGAGTTCCAGATGACATGCTGCACGATTAACCAAACAGGCTTCCAAAATGTTAATCTCCTTCATCACCTCCTCAACATCCTCGTTCTGTTTCTCTTCTTTAGAGGAATTTTGCCGTTTCCGCACCTCAATCAACAGAACTTGTATAGCTTTGGTGTAGAACTCCTTCGCATCTTTCCACCCTTTTTGTTTAAATGTCTCGTTCCCGTGTTCTTTGAAGCTTTGTGATACTTCGGCGGGCGTCCCTTCATACGCTAGGGCTTTCAGGGCTTCTACATCGTCATTTTCTTCGAGAGATGTCATGAACAGGGGGGATTTGTTAAGCTCCTCGAGAATTTCGGTGCCAGATTTGTTGCGCATTGCCGCGAATCCTGGGGGGAGTTGGGGGCCCGCGCTGCCATCGTCGTTTGTCGTTGGTGTCGCATTCGAGGCAAAAGCGTTCATTGCTTGGGTGAGGAGGTCTGGTCCCGGGATCGGCGCGTCATTTTTGCTGGCGGTGTGACCTTCAGAAATGTTCACCGAATCTGCGAAATCGCCCGAGAGCTCTTCTATCTTCATGATTACGTTTAAAGTGATAGTCGATGTGAATGTAAATAGGCATAGGCGTTCAATTTCCTTGTTGGAGGAAAAGTTTCGGCGGGGTGTTGTTATCGCATCGCGATAAGACCCTAAACGCGGTGTTGTATGGCAGAATCGCTCAAAGGCGTAAGAGTGTTTTATTAGCGCTGCCCCAGCTTAAGCCTCGACTACTTCGCAACTCCATGCTTTGTACTCCGTACACTGAATTATGAAATATCAACAGACTTCTTGCTTGAACAGTTCTACGTTGCACCTCTCGTTTCACTCTTTATAGGTACTACTTTTACTATCTTCCTTTGCCGGAAATAGGAAGTAACCTAGTCAACGAACGATTGACCGACATCACCCCACGAGGTTCCGGCAAACCTCAAGTACGTTCCCGGAGCTGCGACTCAAGACAGTGCAGGGTGGCCGAGGCCACGTCAAGGGCCAAGGAAACAGGAACCGGAGGGGCAATACGTTGGGAGTATCGGCAAGATGGCTGACAAAACGCAAAAGTATCGGACGGAGATCCAGCAGGTGAGTTGTTATTATGTTGCCTCCCGAAATGTGGCAGTGTTTGCAACTTTATTGGTTATGTTCGATCCCAGCAAACGCTCTGTTCCATGTCAACAAATGTAGCAAGGGCTACAGCTACAAACTTTTAAAGACTTCTTATTATTTCAACCTGGATCTAAAATCCCTTTCCAGCCAAAATGTCCCCATCTGAGCTAGTACGCCTTTTTCAAAAGGTATTACTTTCATGTTCGTGACAAAGATGACGCTGCACGGCCAAGTAAAGCTACTCAGTAGCCGTAGCTAGATGGATGCGCTACAGGAGCTTCAATCTCTCACTATAATTGTCATTTTAGCACCTCGAGTAATCTAGCTGCTAGATCAGCAACCAGGGGAGCTGCCACAGAACAGTCCTATTTTATTTGTGTAAAGATATGTCAAATAAGTCCTTCACTAACGAATAATCAGATGATGTACGTCTCTGGGGAGACGGCCGAAGCTTCTCCAGAAACCACGGGTATGATCGAGGAAATCGTACGGCAACAAGTAATTGAGATGGTAAGTAACCACCCATTTTGGCACGATCAGTGCAGGTCTTGGAATCTGGCACTTTTACGACTTCTTGATCATGGCCCTCATTCTATGTCGTATCGCTAATTTTATCAGTTACGACAATGCACTGAACAAGCATCCCGACGAGGCAGCAGATCCATCTCAACCGACGACCTAATTTTCCTCATCCGGCATGACCAAGCCAAAGTATCCCGTCTGCGCACCTTTCTCTCCTGGAAAGACGTGCGCAAAAACGTCAAGGATTCCGATGATAAAGGCGGTGATGCAGACCTCGGAACCGGAGACGAACCGGTAGCAGCGGTTGCTGGTGGCCCAGTCGTCGACACAGCTAAGAAGAACAAGAAAGCCAAAGTCGGTCTACCATGGGAGGTCCCATCTTTCTACAACCAAGAGGTTCCGGAACGAGATGATGAGGAGGATGAGGATGAAGAGGAGATGAACTATGCCACCCTTCAACGTCTCAAGAAAGCAGATGAACGCACTAAAGCAATGACCAAGGAGGAGTACGTCACATGGTCAGAATATCGCCAAGCTTCATTTACCTTCCGCAAAGGCAAGAGGTTTAAGGAATGGGCAGGCTTTGGCGTCGTGACAGACTCGAAACCCAATGATGACATTGTCGATATTCTGGGCTTCCTGACTTTCGAAATTGTTCAGACGCTCACAGAAGAAGCGCTCAAGATCAAGGAGCAGGAAGATTTGGGGAAGGAGAAGACGGGTGGTGAACAGGCGGGGAAGAAGCGTAAGCTTACGGGCTTGTTCGATCCACCCTCTGAGGGGCGTACGCCGGTTGAGACGAGGCATATCCAAGAGGCGTTCCGGAGACTGCAGCAGCGGCCGAATAAACAACGTGCTTTATGTAACTTCACGCGGGGCCTGAATAGAACTCCTTTGAAGCTCGTAAGTAAGATGCTGCCGTACCGTCAAACCCGTACTAATTGTTATGACAGTTTTGATATCGGCTGTTTGATTATGACGGGCGTTATGTGGTGAACTGGATAGGATAGGCTGGGTTGGAGTTATGTGGCTGCCATGGAAGCAAAGTATCAGAATAGCTCTATATGTAGGAAAGCAGGAAAATGTTCTTGATATGAATACCTTCATCCAACTAGTTGTTCTACCTCTGTTGACAAATTACACCCAACCACCCGTACTATGCCTCATAGTTGGGCTACATTGTCAACCTCGCACCCCCCTTCATGACTCCCACTCCCATCGTGCCTCATTGCCACCATATGAGCGGTGTGGTAATCTTACCGCCTTTCTTTGTGCCAAACCGAAAGTGAGAGTTCTGCCTGGCCTCGCCTCGCGTAGGTAGACCTTATATATCCAATTAAGCGCTTTTCTGGTACAACTAAGATCTAATCTCCTGTGGCCGACTAAGTGAGAAGCCTCGAAAAATAACAAAGAAGTTGATCTTACCAGTGACTGATCGGATGGGGGTTAGCCCCACCTGAAATGATGTTATATCCCAACACCTTCAACAGCTTGTAATGGGGGTTCATTCCTTGCCGCAAGGCAGTCTGAGTTACAAAATTACTTGAGCGAGTTGATCCGGCTTAGAGCCGCAGTTCCGTTCTGGGCTGCCCGGAATAATCGGAGTGTCTCGGGGGGCTGGATTATTTTTTTGGGGGTTTTTGTTTTGTTTACCTAGCAACTCTTCGCTTCTCTAAGCGAGCCAAAAGGGGGGTTTGCCTCTGCTCGACGCGCCTCTATAATCCAACCCCGCGCAGAATTATCAGCAACTAGAAAGTTCACTCACATGCGCCAAGGGCGATCTCGATATATTAATATCTCCCTTAAGTGTCATGACCCGCTTGGAGATTTTTTCCTATTAATCTGCGGCGTATAGGCTTCCTTACTTCAATGAGGAAGTTGAAATTGTCGCTTGCGATACGAAGGTGGATCCTGTGGATGGCTTGATATTTTAGGAGATAATATTTTAGAAGAGGGATGAGGGCCTGGGAACTGTCGCGTCGCGTAACCAATCTGGGCTGTTGACCTTCGTTGAAGTTCGTCCAAACGAGAAGAATCAATCATGGCTTGCAGGTCACAAGCACTTCTAAACTGACATCCATAGGACCAAATCATTAGATTTCTAGGTTCCCACCAGGAGGTATCTTTGGAATTGGCAATCGCCCCACTTCTTTTAATGCGCTGTATATTAACACTCAATTCATTGGTAGCAAAATTAAAAGCAGATTGAAAGGGCTCGGCGATAGCATCTGTATCCGATGATACAAATGATCTGCTACGACACTCACAGCTCCAGAAGGAGCCAGCGGCAACATTCAAATTCAGGGTTACCTTGAATATAGTCCCGTTTTGATCTTTGGCTATCGAAATAATATGTTAACAAGAAGCTGTAACTTGTAGAGACCTCTACATACTATTCCTACCTAAGGTACCTAAGTGGTAGGTACCTAAGTAAGGGTGGTCACATGACTGTAACTTCTCCCGGTTGTGCCAGTGCTATATAAATCAAAATAAGCGATTTTGTATTAACGAAGTACAAGGGCGTGGCACTTGGTCAAGTGTGTTCTGGTCAAATTGTACTGTCGTTATCGCCAGGGACGACAGGGGGGAAAAAGGGAACAACAATAAAGCGAAACAGCAACAAAAATCGATAAGAGATGTAGGCAATCGCCCGGGCCGAACTCTTTTGCTTCTGAAGTATACAATAATAATAATAATATAATAAATAATATTTTTGCCTTTTTTTCCTGTCTTTGCGACAAATGCTTATATTTTTTTTATACCTCGCCTATGCTGCTGTGGGGTGTTGGGGGTTACCGAGAGGGCGAGAGTATGATAATGTATCAAGTTACTTGGGAATTAAACCTTCTCCAATATCAAAGCTGTCTTGGTGATTCCCGGTAGACTACTTGGCCCTTCTAAGCAATCAAGTCGTGTTTAAACTTCCCCACAACGACTTGCCTAGCTCTGAAAAGGCACGCCCAAAATGTTGATATGATGCCTTTAACCTCGAGGGAGCCACTTGGTTTGGGTACCGGGTACCACTCCGACAAAGACTAGCTTTGGGATAGTACATTATTTCTGTCGTGTAGTGTCTACCGCATTACCGTCTTGCTATCATGGGACAGACAAATATCTCTTTTAACTGTTAAACTGACTGGATTGTATCGCTATATACAGCGCGCCTACTTAGCTGCGGCTTGACTCTCCGTACCAAAAGCTCTGGAGCCAAGGCCAAGCCGACCTATTTAGCCATGCTTCTCAGCACAGAGGCAGTCCGACGGTGACTACTCGCCACCCAAAGTTGTATATTATAACAACACAAAATGTATTCATGGTGTGGCTTGAGGTTGTTGTTGTCTGATGATGTTCATTTAGCTCAAGGGTTGCACGCCTTAAGCGATTTCCATGTGGCTGGTCGCGCTACTGCATCCACTTTACGCGTAAAAGGGAACGCGACGCGTATCAATTATCAATTTCGCGCCATCTCCTGAGAAACTCGACTCCTCGACATTCTGAGAAGAGGGACAAGACATTCCGAACGTTCAACATCGCCATAACCACAACGGTATTTGGTCGATATCCCTCATTCATCATGGACAACCCACAGCTCAGGGACGTAGCGGCCCGGGATCGCGTTCGCGCAGCACAAGATTTCCTCGATCCAAGTATGTCCGCTACCCTCTGGTGTTGACTGCTGTCGCTCTCTGCTAACACTGACCGCCTGCAGTTGATCTAGCCGCCGCCCGAAGCTACAGAGCCGATATCATATTGATGCTGCAGAAGTTCGAGCGGAGATTGGTAGTAAGCATAGACGAAATTCGAGCCCACAATGTCGAACTCGCGGAAGGCCTGCTCCAACAACCTTTTGACTTTGCTCAAGCCTTTGACAAGGCCCTCCACGAAGTCGTCAAAGCACTCCCAAATAGCACGCCGAAGCAGACATCAGACGATGTGATGTACTATTGCGCGTTCTCCGGCAGCTTCGGTCAATACGCGTGTAATCCGCGAACCCTTTCCTCCATCCACCTCAACCATATGGTCTCCTTGGAAGGAATTGTGACGAGATGCTCCCTTGTACGTCCCAAAGTCGTCAAGAGTGTACACTACAACGAAAAGAAGAAGATTTTCCACTTCCGGGAGTATAAAGATCAAACAATGACCGCCAGTGGGGCTAGCACCTCGAGCGTTTACCCACAAGAGGATGATGAAGGCAATCCGCTCATCACAGAATATGGATACTGTACATATAGGGATCACCAGACTATTTCGATACAAGAAATGCCTGAACGAGCCCCTGCAGGACAATTGCCAAGAGGCGTCGATGTTATTTTAGACGATGATCTGGTCGACAAGTGCAAACCCGGCGACAGGGTCCAACTTGTCGGCATTTATCGATCTCTCGGAAACAGGAATGCGAGCCATAGCACTGCGATTTTCAAGACCGTGATCCTCGCTAATAATGTTGTCATGTTATCCTCGAAATCAGGAGGCGGAATTGCTTCAGCTATCATTACCGATACAGATATTCGCAATATTAACAAGGTTGCGAAAAAGAAGAACCTCTTCGACCTTCTTTCGCAATCGCTTGCTCCCAGTATTTACGGCCACGAGTTCATCAAAAAGGCTATCCTTCTTATGCTACTTGGTGGGATGGAGAAGAATCTGGAAAATGGCACACATTTGAGGGGTGATATAAACGTTTTGATGGTCGGCGATCCTTCCACTGCCAAGTCTCAAATTCTACGATTTGTCCTTAATACTGCGCCTCTAGCTATTGCTACGACGGGTAGAGGCTCATCGGGAGTTGGTCTCACGGCTGCTGTTACAACGGATAAGGAGACGGGCGAACGAAGACTCGAGGCCGGTGCTATGGTTCTAGCTGATCGTGGTGTTGTCTGCATCGACGAATTTGATAAGATGTCCGACATAGATCGAGTTGCCATTCACGAAGTCATGGAACAACAAACAGTGACGATAGCAAAAGCTGGCATTCATACCTCCCTGAACGCACGTTGCAGTGTTGTTGCCGCTGCAAATCCCATCTTCGGGCAATACGACACCCACAAAGATCCACATAAGAATATCGCTCTTCCAGACTCCCTCCTGTCTCGTTTCGATTTGCTATTCATTGTCACAGATGATATTGAGGATGCACGAGATCGGCAAATATCAGAACATGTTCTTCGAATGCACCGGTACCGACAACCAGGCACAGAAGAGGGGGCTCCAGTTCGAGAGCAGTCTCAACAAACCCTCGGCGTTGGCGTAGACCAAGAGGCTGATGCCAATCGGCCCACAGATGTTTACGAGAAATATAATCAGATGCTTCACGCAGGCGTGACAGTGATGAGTGGCCGGGGCGCCAACAAGAAAGTCGAAGTTCTCAGTATTCCCTTCATGAAGAAATACATCCAATACGCCAAGTCTCGAATCAAGCCCGTCTTGACGCAAGAAGCCTCGGACAGGATCAGTGAAATTTACGTTGGCCTTAGAAACGACGACATGCAAGGAAACCAGCGCAAGACCAACGCCATGACAGTCCGTACTCTCGAAACTATCATCCGTCTCGCAACCGCACACGCTAAATCCCGCCTCTCAAACCGAGTCGAAGAACGTGATGCCTTGGCCGCAGAGACAATCCTGCGCTTCGCTCTATTCAAAGAAGTACTTGAGGATGAGACAAGGAGCAAACGCCGCAAGACGCGTCCTCTAGAAATCGAATCCTCGAGTGAAGACTCAGACTCGGATTCGGACTCACCACCCCCAGCCACACGCGGGTCCTCATCTCGAACGCGAACTCCTGGAACTGCACGCACCCGGGGCATAGCTGTTCCCCGCAGAAACGGTACCAATAATGCACGAGCAAACGAAGATGAGGATTCAGATGGAGCAGACCTCTACGCCGCATCCCCACGCACAACGACTCAACGCTCTCGCCGTACAAACGGTAGCAATATCCCCACCCAATCCCAAACATCTTTCGCCTCCTCCCTACCCGCATCTCAACTCCCTTCCCAGTCCCAATCCCAAGATGCCGATCTGGCAACTGGTACCGCAGCTTTAAGTATTGAGGCCAATGGTGGAATTACGCCTGCGCGCTTCCAGGTATTCCGCACCACCCTCGGTCAATTGCTTAATACCCCGCTGTTCGAGGATGATTCTGCTGAGGTGAATGATATTATCAGGGCAGTGAACGGGAGGATTGGTGGCTCTGCTGGGGGGCCCTTCGAAAGAGCGGAGGCGGTTGCGGCCTTGAAGAAGATGGACGAGGCGAATAATGTTATGTAAGTTCTTCCTTTTCTTCATTTTGTGTCACGGCGAGGGATAATTCATCCTTCGAGTCTAGAATTATGACTAACGTTTTGCTACTTAGGTACACGGATGGCGAGCTTGTTTATAAGATATAAACCTTGCAAGTGGACGAATCATGGTTGGGAATTGGGGAATTGGGGGAAACACATATCCCTATGGCGTTTAGGCATTGGCTTTTGATGAGATGGCAATGAGGTTGGGATGTAGACTATCCGTTTATGTGGTAATGAAATGAGAAATTACTTGGGTATGCATTCATGATTATGTGTCTCGGTACTAGAAATGAAGGTCTATTACTGCTTGTCTACGTGGTATGATAAGTCCTGATAAGTCCCATTAAGTCGTTATTCTTTCTTTTCTTTTCAAGCGCACCGTCGCTGAAACAAAACAAAAGAAAACCGCTTTCTATCACTTTCTTCTTGTTTTCCTTTCTCTTGCCCCAATTTCCCCAATTTCCCCATTCCATCATTTCATCCTATTGCCCTTATCCCAATCCCACCACCACACTCCGACTTTTAATATCCACATTCCTTGCCCATCCCCTAACCTCCCACCCCTCTCTCCGCTTGACACCTCTTCATAAACTCCTCCAATCTCTCCTCAACAACGACTCCATTCCATGTTTCCCTACCCGACTCGTCACTCCCGAGAACCGGCATACCGACCTGTTCAATGGCGAGGCTCGCCGCTACGCTACCCCAAGCCGCCGCTTCAACAACTTCTTTCCCCCGAGCGAGGGCGACTGCCAAACCGCCGAGGAAGGCGTTTCCGCCGCCTGTAGGGTCGACGACTTGATGCTTTGGAGTATCTGGTTTAGAATCAACTAATTCCGTAACCAGCTTCTCCTTCTCGTCCGGTGGAGGTTGAGGCAGAGGTTCAGTATGACTGTCAGGTTTCGATTGAGATTCGGACTCTCCCTGGAAATACGCTGGAATCCAACACTCAACCCCGGGATCAATCTGCACAATCTCTCTCTCTTCATTCATCAACCCCTCAAGCAACGCCATCATATCAACTTCGGGTGTCAGTCCACCCCTCGCATGATTCGGCCTCTTCCGCTTCACGACCGAGGGTCTCCTGACCCTGCCGCCGGTCTTAGCTACATAGCACCCTTTGGCCCCGCATCGGATCACGAGCGAGTAGGACTGGAGGGGCATGCTGCTTAGGAGCTGCTCGCAGGCGCGTTCGACAGACGATTTACTGACCTCGCCGGTCAGCGGGTCAAGACCTAGGTCCGGATCACCAAGGAGGGAGGCGAGTTCATGGTGGTTGGGGGAACATATGTCTACTGTTTGGGGTATTTTTGTGAGCTGTGAATACGAGAAGGGCGAGGAGGGGGGTTGAGCGTACCATAGGGTAATGTATTCGTAGTGTTTAGTAGCTCGGATGGCGTACAGAGATCAGGAACAGGCTCCCATATAAACAATGGTTTCGGCGCACCCGGATTCTCCCTTTTCCTCCTCCTCAGAATCGAAGTTACGAGCTCGGTACATCGTCTCGGAGAGCAGATTAAGTGGAATGATTTAGAAAACAAAAGTGTGGAGTCTAGAGAGGTTTCGTCGAGACGGAGTTTAGGCGTCGTGTATTTGAACGCCCGGTTTTGATTCGAGTCGTAGCCATTCCAGCCTCTTGTCGTAAGACGAGAGGGATCGGAGCGGATTAGGCAAGTGGTGTCCCAGGCGGAAATTTGGTAGCGGATTGATGAAGGGAAGTCTGACCCTTCGTCGACTATCCAAGATATGGTACGGGAGAGGGGTGGTGGCGAGAAGAGGCGGGCGCCGAGGGCAGCGTATGCGCCTGCACCGCCGAGGATATCGTAGACAGGTGATAAAGGGGGGAGGAAGTGTATTTCATCTGATGGTTGTTAGGTTGGTGTGATGTTCGATGGCATGGCGATGCAAACATTGGCAAGCAATCGGACAAAGGGAAGTTAGGCAACGAAAAGTTGAAGCTCTGCCATATACTGACTTGACTATGGAGGCAAATGCAAGGTTGGATTGAAATATTTTGTGTTTGCTTAACTGGGATGATGAAAATAAAGAAGCATGTGAGACTCGTATATGAAATTCCATGCGGACGAGACTGTGTAACCCCCCACCCACGAATAACAATCCTAACAGCACAAGAGTGGGTTTGAAGCGCGAACTATGCTTTTGACTTGAATTGAAATAAATAACGAGCTGGAACGGATCATATCAGGTTACGCATAACTTTAATGTACCGCAACCTCACAAGGCTTATCGTACTGCGAAAACAGCGAGAAAAAGTAGGAAAAAAGCAACTCTCTGTTGAGCAGCATCCTCTCTCCCTTACCAATAATGAACATGCCCAGAGTGCAGAAATCAATCTCCTGAGTCGAAGACGCTACCTTTTCCTCCTCCTCGAGATTCATGATGCCGGGTTGTTTTTGTTGTCACCAGCCTTGTGCCAGGTGTACATCGAGAGATCGTCACAGCACCTTAGTGTCGGTCCAGGTATCAGGCGTGCCAGACGCCCGTCCAACAAGGCCAAACAACACGACAAAGAACTCAAGTATTTGTAGCCGAGATCCCCACTCGATACAGTACATACTCCTGTACTGATGCACCTTGCTTTACTAAGTTTCCAGTGGATTCAATTTATTCAAAAATCCAGTGGAATATAGGTACGAAGTACATGTAACATAAACAATATATAATAAACATAACATACCTACGAGTACTAGACACGTACAGCCTTGTCGGTACCTGGTACCTGAGGCCCGCACCACAGCTTCGGCGCAATTTCCGCCTTCAGGCCTCGCTGCGATCCACAGTAACATAGCATAACATAACATAACACTTTATTATACCGTACCTCTGTTTATACTCGATTAAGGCACGAGTGCTGCGTATAAGCTACGGTATTATTTGCGACTGCCTACCGACCTGCCTCACTCCAAATGCTTCACTCTGCACCTCAACTGTCGCCGCACCCTTCCTCTCGTTCGCAACCGGTCTCATATTCGACCCCGAACCCCTTCGACTTTTAGGTTTCGGTTTGAGCTTAGCTGGTCTCGGTCTCCCGCGTATCGCATATCGCTCGTTGATCGTTCCTTGATCCATTCTACTGCCTGCCTCGCCTCCTAACGGCCCTGCCGCCCCCGAAAGTCAAAATGGCGACTAACAACATGCATAACCTCACCACTCTCATCAAACGGTATTTGGACACACCTTCATTCTCCTTGCAGAACTTCGTTCCCTTCTGAACCCCACCTTCCAAGCTGTTGATCAGCAACTCTATCGATCATGGCTGGCTCTGTCAAAGTCTTGCCTACCGTCTCGACCGCCGAGCTAACAAGCATCATCCATAGACTGGAAGCGGCCACCTCCCGACTTGAGGATATAGCTTCGTCCACTGTCGAACCTCCCAAATTGAACGGCGCCGCTCCCACAGCTGCCCCTACGGGCCCGCTTCCTCCCCTTCCCGTGGTCAATGAAGTCCCACCGACCCCCAAGCCGGTGTTTGAACCATTACCCGAATCCGTGGAAGACTTCGACTTATTCATAAACGGCGCAGTCAAGAAATATGTGGCCCAAAGTAATGAGCTGGGGGGCCCCGTTGCAAAGCAGGTATGATATGGCGGAAGGTGGAGCCTGGAGCCTGTAGAGATACAGAGCAGGGCTAACCAGCGACCTAGGCTGCCAGCGTCCTTCGTGCCTTTACTTTACAACGGGACTTCATCCTCCTAACCACAAAAGCGAAGAAACCCGATTACAGCACCCCCATATTCGAGAAGCTCCTCAAGCCTTTCTTTGAAATAAGTGTAGCTATCGGCGAGATACGAGATGCCAACCGTGCTTCGCCCTTCTTCAACCATTTGAGTGCAGTTTCGGAGAGTATTTCGGTGCTTTCTTGGATTGCGATCGATACCAAGCCGCACAAGCATGTGGAGGAGTCTTTGGGGTCGGCACAATACTGGGGGAATCGGGTTATTATTGAACATAAGGACAAGTGAGGAGACGTTACTTCGGGATCTTGAACCAATACTGATATGGTAACAGGGACGCCAAGCAAATCGCATGGGTACAATCATATTATCAAGTGTTTAAAGATTTGGCGGAATACATCAAAGCCACCTATCCTCAGGGCAACCCATGGAATCCTAAAGGAGTGTCAGCTGAGGAGGCATTAAAGACTATTCAGCAATCACAGTCAAATGGGCCAACCTCGAAGCTTCCACCTCCCGGCGCTGGGGCTCCACCGCCACCTCCTCCACCAGGGCCGCCACCACCACCTGCAAGATTTGATGATGTGCCAAAACCCGCTCCTGCAGCGAACTCCAGCGGAATTGGTGCAGTCTTCAATGAACTGAACCAAGGAGAGGCGGTCACCAAGGGTCTCCGAAAGGTCAATGCCGATCAGATGACACACAAGAATCCTTCACTTCGGGCTGGAGCAACAGTGCCTACTCGCAGCGACAGCCAATCCAGCGTATCGTCGATATCTCGAGCCAAGAGCCCAGCGCCCCCTGGTAAGAAGCCCAAGCCAGAAAGCATGCGGACAAAGAAGCCTCCTGTGAAGAAGCTTGATGGCAACAAATGGATAATTGTAAGAATTTAAACTTCCAATATCTATGCTCCCTACTAATCAAAATAGGAAAACTACGACAATGAGCCCGAGCCTGTGGAGATCGATGCCTCGATACAACATTCCATCATTATCAGCCGCTGCAACAAAACCACAATCATAGTGAAAGGCAAGGCAAACGCTATCACAATCGACAACTCCCAGCGACTATCTCTCATTATAGAGTCTCTCGTGTCATCCGTCGACGTAATCAAAGCCTCCAACTTCGCTCTTCAAGTCTTGGGCACCCTTCCTACGATTCTCATGGATCAAGTGGATGGTGCACAGGTGTATCTCGGCAAAGAGAGCATGAACACCGAAGTGTTCTCCAGCAAATGCTCAGGCATCAATTTAAACATCATTGAGGGCGAGGACGAAGATTATAAGGAGGTTCCGCTACCGGAGCAGATTCGAACTTATATTGGCGAGGATGGGAAGGTTGTTAGTGAGATTGTGGAGCATTCTGGTTGAAGGGTTATAGGAGAGTGTTAGACTGTAGGCTTAGATGGTGTGTAGGATATGTATTGGTATAATTTTCTAGAGTCCGACCTCGAGTGGTTGTGCTTGGGGCTATTATTCAAGATTGTTCAATTCACATCATGGTATATTTTCCAGGAACACAAATGCAATGTTTGCGTGGATAATGTTACATACTGTAATTAAGACACACAATTCCATGCATTACATATCAGTTCTAATATTTCCCTCAATGTCTCGGAAATTTTTAGCTTTTTAACCATGATGATTACAGAAAGAACCATCTAGGATTTATCGTATAAAAAAAGGAGCAGGTACATCTAGATATAACCAAGTATGTGGGACTTATCATACGACCGTTGCTACTTGCTCTTCCAGAGCCTATCAAACTTTTTGAAGGAGATCTTTAAGATTGTGCGCCGCCACGCCGGCGGTTGACCACCCTTTACCAACCCAACATTGCCTATTCAACCGCTGTCGGCGGTCTTCTTTCCTATAGGCTTGTCATGAGGAGTCCGCTATCACTAACAGTAGTGAAGATAATGACAACAGTCTGGAAAATCGACAGAAATATTGACAGCAGTTAATATATTGACAACAGTACCTAAAACAGATTCCTTGAAAGGTAAGAATGTCATGAGTTTGTTACTAAAATTTAAGGCGGTGAACAAACACCTGGGACACCCTCCTGTGCAGTGATAACCCAGGACCCCAGAACCACCCATGCCATCTCAAAGACCATGCAACCGTCGTGAAGAGGGAAGAGAAAGGAAACGGGAACAGGTGACGTCATATATAGACTTATCAACCTAGGCATTTCTGATTGAGGTGTAATCTCACTTAGAACAATGTACATAAGCTCTGTCATGCTGAATTAAGCTCTCTTCCAGACTTGAGATATTATAGTCGGTTGTACCTGACCTACCCCTGAGATGGTAAAAGCGAAGTACTGCCAATTATCTAGGTGAACTAATATGACCTAGTACACATGTTTTAGGTCGAATTTCAAGAAACACTAATAAGGTAGGTGTGATAGGCTGATAGCTTACGAGGAAATCGCGAACTATCGACATGAGTTCAAGGTAGTATCCCTATTGGTGCCCGGCGAGGTTGCTAGCACAGTCAAGTAGCCAGGTTATATCAAAGGGTATTAGTGCTTTAAGCTCGCGACCTTTGATATGCTTGAATACTGTGTCGATAAAACGTATTATGATGACGTGATATAGGCCGGTCTATAGGTCGAGTCGATACTAGCAATCGCGATTAGTTTAGTAAAATAAGTAAGGCAATATATTCTCTTCTTCGAGGAGCTGGAAATCGTAACCGAGAATGAAATAGAGAAGCAAACAAGGAAGGAGCTAGAATAGTAAAACGGAAGGGGTGATGGAGGATTAAATGTCTCAGCGCTACTAAGGCATTCTTATTCAAGTTATAGAGTCCTGGATTTTGGCAAAGCACACTTGTGAATGATGATTATAGAATTGATACCGACGTATAAATCGAGATTGACTGTTGGCGACTGAAGGAGAATTGCCCTTGGTGATTTGTGACCAGCATGTAAGTGCACGACAGGCATAACACCATGGCAGAGTTGAAGCCAGCCATTCATTGCAGGAAAAACAGTCAATACGCAAAAGGCAATAGAGGTCATATTGTAAAAGCGAGACATTCTAGCCCAGGTCCATTCACAACGCCCTAGATATGTACAATTCCGAGCCCTTCGTCCAGAGAATCATGAACTGTCCTTCGAGACCTTCGAGGCCTTCTCAGCCTTCTCATGCTCAATAATCTGCTTGCTCCAGCTATAACATCACCAATTAGCACACTCCCACTTCACTCCAGCTGTGTACAACATACTATCGACTGGGGTAAAAGCGGCCCTGTTCAGGAAACTTATGCCGGAATTCCCTCTCTGCGCTCAGCTTCCACGCCATAGCCGTGATGCCAACAATAACCACGCCAATGACTGCCGTATTGGCTTTCCAGTTCGCAGGTTGAGAGTACCAGCCACCCGAAGGCGACCAGACGTGTTTGGGGTATCTGATGGTATGAAGGTCAGGAGTTGATTCGGATTCGGAGCAGTTGGAGCCACTGTTTGTGGGCCATTGACTTACGGGATTTTGCCGCCGCCGCCCTAGAAGTTGTTAGTACACAATGCAAAGTCAGATTAAGGGGTTAGACACGTACCATCTTGATCAATTGCTCAGATGCGTGGAAAATGTTCGTAGGGCCGTTTCACAGAAGACGTCGAGTTGAACGAATGAGGTCGGAAGCTAGCGTACAAGCTTAGTCATCATAACCAATGTGCCCGTTGTTGCTCACGCGAGAACCTCGAGAAATTTTGGACAGGGGAATAGGGTCCATTCATTCATTGATTTTCGTTACGCCAACTCCAATCCCTCGCAATTGTTCTTCCTTCTGTTGCCTACGCGTTGATACGAAGAGGAGGTGCTCATATCCATGAAGAGACTACGGATAGAGAGATGGAGCGGGCAATTGCTGACACCGCGGACGAGAACGAGAACGATACAGCCATGCTGTCTCCGGCAGCAGCAGCAAAAGCTAGCTAGCTATACAGCGCGCTCCTATTCCTCCTCATCAGCAGCAAAACACCCTTCGCCGGACGATGAACTGGTATTCGAAGATGAAGGAGAGCATCCCGAGCTATCAGCGTCCGACTACCCTTCGATACCTTCCTACCCATCACCACTGCCCTCCGCAGCTCTCGAATCCGCCAAACTCGCCGCTCTCCATGCTCGATTGGGCATACCCAAGAAGCTTCCCTTACAAACGATGGCGCGAACCTTAGTCGATCCATCCGCCGACCCTCACAAGCATTTCAATAATGCTTCTCTTGCTCAGCTCGGCGGCTCTATAATGAGCTACCACGTCTCTGAATGGCTCTTGTGCACGTACCCGCGGCTCCCCATGACGGTGCTCTTCGCTGCACAATACGCCTACAGTGGACCAAAGACGCTGCAACTCGTGGCGCGGGAATGGGGCGTGGAGACCGCAGCGGCACCGGGCGAGGAGGTGGATCCTGGGCTGCTGCAATTCTCGAAACTGGAGCCCGGGACCAAGTATGGGGCAAATAGGGAGGGAGGAACTGTACGGCCTGACAGCAGAAGCTACTACCGGAGAGGCATCAGCAGCCGAGTCGTATACGATGATGAATTTGGTGACGCGATCCCGAAACTGAAGGATCAAAATGAGCCGCTGCCGGCCGAACTGGCCTACTCAAATTTTGTGAAGGCTGTCATCGGGGCTATATACCTACACTCCGGGGCCGAGCCCGCGAAGACATTTGTGAAACGACATATCCTCTCCCGACACCTTGCTATGCCCGGCCTCTTCCAGTTCAAATTACCCGTGCGGGAATTATCTCGATTGTGTAATAGAGAAGGATTTGAATACCCTGTTGCGAGGATATTGAGCGAGACTGGTCGCCTGAGCAGACATCCTGTATTTGTTGTGGGGATTTACAGTGGAAAGGATAAGTTGGGTGAGGGCTCGGGGCCAAGTTTGCAGGAAGCGAAGACGAGAGCTTGTGTTGCTTCGCTGAAAGCGTGGTATTTGTACAGCCCCGGAAAGGATGTTCCAGTGCCGAGCGATATGGAAAGCGGCAAAGGGGCTGGGGAGAGGGGTTGGGAGCCGGTGCATATTGATATGGGCGAGGTTATACATTAACCAGTCTGCCAACAAGAACGAGGATATGTATGATGAACGAAGCGACGGGCGATTCGTTTGTTTGTCTTGGCTGTACCGCACAGCAGGATGGCGACTAAGAGGCTTGCAGAATCTGTATTATTGACATAGTCCTTCCCATATGTACTGACCTTGCATCGCAACCAGGGGGATCTGGGCGGAGCTGATTGCATAGAGGCTTGGATTTTTGTTGGATAGCAATTGTAGAATAGGACATGGAAAGGATGTATAAAAATACAAAGCGCTCTCCCATTACTCCAGGCCTCTTGAATTTAGACTACCTAACCATAGGGTTTGCTATACCTGATATTCTACATCACACATGATATGTTTGTATTTGTTGGGCCTACTACCAAACTAGTTTACATGCACAAGAAAGCTATATTTTCAATTCAACCCGTACTGTGACGACTTTTATATTCCTCAAGCTTGAGCTAGTCTCTTAGCTTTGCATAACGGTGGGTGTGACTAATCCCATCGGATACAATAACTATCGCTATTAGTACTAGCTAGGTACATTTCCCAAGCTGCGGATTCCCATAAGTCAATATTACTCCGCGCAGCAAACCGTGGCATCTTCGTTGCATCCCAAGGTGCTAGGATAGGCAAGTTGCCTTTGCAAAGCCAAGCAAGGAATAGCAGCATAGGACTGCCGTCAACCAAGCACAGACGAGGCATGTAAAATGGGAAGAGCAGATATCACAAATATGCTAAATGGGCAAAGGAAAGCATCATCTCAAGCAATCCGTCCATGCCAGTAAACGCCCAATAATACACCCGATGCGAGCGCCCGTGTAGGAAGCCATGACAAACCGATCCCAGAAGTGGAAAACACAAGTGAGGGTATCATCAAACTTCAGCAGAGACATCTGCCTTGACGTCAACTTTCTTTGGAGATGGGGCTTCCGCTGCACCATCATCTTCACGGGCACGCTTCTTATCGTTTGAGGTAGACTCTGCTGTTTTGGCGGCATTGGCGGGAGCCTCCTTGCTCTCGACCTCTTCAGTCTTGGTCTCGTTACTAAGTTATCGTTAGTCATATCACCTAAAATCAAATTGTGAACAACGTACCCATCCCCATTACGCTCACGGTTTCTGTCCTGGGGCCCTCTGTCATTACGGTCGCCACGCCGTCCACGGCGGTTCTTGTTATCACGGTCTCTGCCATTGCCATTGCGTCGATCCTTGAATCCGGATGCCTGGTCGTCTTCACGTCTCTTCTTCCAGTCATTTGGATCGCGATCGCCTCGGTCGCGACCATGATCTCTATCATTCTTACCGCGGTTGCCCCCTCGGCCACGAACGTTGTTGGATCCACCACGGAATGGTCTAGGTGCCCAAGACTCCTTAGGCTGAATCTTGCCATCCTTGATATCCTTGGTCTTTTGTGCTACATAGTCTCTCTTAGACATGAAGGACAATTCCTTGCCCTTCCAGAGGGGCTTAGGATCAAGCGCAAGGAACTTCTCAGCAGTCTCATCGTCCTGGAATTCAACGAAGACAGAGCCTTTGAAAAGCTTGTCATCGGCGCGGCGAAGACGGACAGCATTGGTAGGACCGTAAGGAGCGAACAGGGCCTCGATGTCGAATTGAGAGCTGGGTTCTTCCTCGCCAAAACCTTTGGCGTAGACAGATCTGGATTCAACCCTGCTTCGAGGGAAGGTGGGATCGTAAGGAATTTTGCGCTTGACAGTCTCCTCCCCTTCTTCACCGCTAACCACAAGAAAAGCACTCTCTTTCAGGGCAGCTACAACTTCCCGCTCGGAGGTGAATCGCTTCATACGTCCAAACTTGCAGATATCCTTAACTGGGATTGGCTTGTTCTCGGTGCCATCGGTCTGCTCCCACATGAACTTATCAGTTGGTAGATTGGCATCGCCGAAGTAGAATTCAACCTTTGAGTCATATGTTAGATTGAGCACAAAAGGGACAAAAGTTCTTGATGCTGTTTACCTGGGCGCGAATCAACTTTGGATCACTGTCAGCTGGGAGGATAGAGGGATCGTATTTGCTGTGGTTTTCACGTTTCTGGAATGGCCGATCGTTGTTCTCACGCTTGTTGTTTGAGCGGCCATTGCTTTCGCCGCCTTTGGTCTTTGGCGAGCCATCGCTGTTGCGCTGTTCATTTGCCTGAGTGTCTTCACCGGTCTTTCCAGATTGCTCGGTTTTCTCGACCTTTTCAGTTTCATGTGCGCCATTGGATTTCTCAGTCTCAGTCTCGGTCTTCGCGGCAGCAACTTCCGTAGGGGCTGAAGCATCACCTCCCTCCTTGTTCACAACCTGGTCGTTCCCAATGGAGGTAGCCGCTGGTTCAGGCTCCGCCGTCTCAACTGGGAGATTCGACATTGCGAATTGACTTGGGATAAGGTGATCTTCTGTTCGTTGCTGAGGATAGGCCGATCGACAGGTGTTATATTCTTCTAAGAACTTGCAATATGTATCAGTTTGTGTGGTGGACGATTCTGACTCTGAAAGTGACTCGATCAAATGGCGGGGTGAAAGGGCTGTGACTAGAAGATTTGGAGGGGCAGTGCTCACCAGCTATAAGTGCAGTTATAGAATATAAAACGGTGAATGCCCAAGGTATAACCGAGCTGTATTTCAGAAGCTCTGCAGATTTGGAGAAATTCTCAATAGAAATTTGGAAAGGTGAAGGTGACGGTGTGTAAAGTTCCGTCCTGGTCGATTGAGAGCGAGAACAAAAACGAGAAGCGCAAAAGCTTGAAGCGAGGGTCGGGCGGCGGCCGCATTTTAGCGCGCCGGAGACACAATTTGTCGAAGCTGCATCGGAACCTCCTTCAACGCCCTGAGTCGAGGACCCTGAGAGACGTCCCCAACACCGCCATCATGTCGAGAAGGAGATTCCATGGTCTAAAACGGATTGTAAGTAATCATATCCCTCTCACGGCCTGAACAGCACAAGGCATAAACTAACATCTGGCGCCTTGTGTGCAGAAATTCCGCATGACATGGAACAAATACAATCTTTACAATCTTACTCGAGTGGCCCCAGGCTTGCCATTCAGGACCTTCTTCCAGCAGAAATGGACGGCCAAATCCATGACGCGAGCATATCATGGCGAGCAGATTCGAGAAGGGCAATGGGAGCGGATGTTCAATTCCCGGTTGAACTCTGTTATACCGATGGACCACAAATACCTCGCTGAACATGACGGGTCAGAGCATGCTGCTGGAAGGGGCTCGGGGCTAGAGAAAGAATTCAATCCTAAGCGTGGCAGTCCGAATAAGAAGATTCCTTATATGGAAATGACTTATGCGCCGATCGAGAGACGGCTCGACGTGGCTATATTCCGATCACTATTTGCTAGTAGTGCAAGGCAGGCGAGACAATTTGTGACCCATGGCAAGGTTAAGGTCAATGGAAAGAAGGTATTTATCTACACGAAGTTGGATTGCAGAACTCTAATTCTAATTCCTGATTAGATGCCGTATCCGGGATACCTCCTGAATCCTGGAGACATGTTCCAAGTCGACCCAGAGCGTGTCATGTACGCAACTGGACAGCCCAAAACACTAGAGCAAATCAGGCAAGGCCGCGATATCAAGAGACAAAGACGCATAACAAATATTAAACGAGCGGAAAAGAAGGCGGCAGCTAGAGAAAAGGCTTTGAAAGCAGCCACCGAGAAGATTGCTGCCGAGGAAGCCGGCGAAACTCCTGCTTTCAAGTCCGTTCGAGAACCTGCAGTGCCGGCAGATGAGAAAGAAGCCCGGAAGCAACGAAAAACGGATCTGCAAGCCCTGTTAAAGCATGTGAAGGTGATGGGGGAAAACAAAACCGTTCCTCTGACGGCAAAACGCAAGCAAGAGCTCCGAAAGTTCACCAAGGATGTGAAGACCAACATGTCCCAGATCAACCGCAAACCCGTTGAAGAGCTACAAACCGATCTCACTGAGCTCGTCAGCCGACTATCCCTCATCAAGAACAAACAAATACCCTCATCCACCACCACCACCAAACCCAATTCAACGCCTACCAAAGAGCCAACCCAAGAGTCAGCGAAACCAGAGCCTGGACAGCTCACCAAGCAGCAATTTCGCAGTATTATGGGTCAGCATCGCCAGGACTTTGTTGATGAATCAAAGCCATATGCTACTCCTTGGAAGCCGAGAGCATATATGAGTGCTTTCGCGTTCATTCCGAGGTATCTGGAAGTCAACCACAATATCTGCTCAGCAGTGTATTTGAGACACCCGGTGGCTAGGCCTGGATTAGCAGAGGTCCCTACGCCGTTCGATGCTGGGACTATGCAGTTGGCGTTCAATTGGTACCTTAGAAGGCGCTAGATGTGGATATGTAGAATATAGTGCACGGTTGATGGAGTGGTGCTATGGTGAAATGCAGAGGTGTCACGGTGGGGCTGTATGATGGTCATGTATAATACTGGAGATTGTAGATGAGACAATATATTTCCGCTGTATCACTATTGTATCATTGTATAAACACCGTGATATGGCTCTTATCGCTGGCCCTTATTTTTGATGGCATGCATACTCCCTGGGTAAATATCGGGTACTCGGAGGCCCCCGGATGCCAAGTTCAGTCGCCATCTTTTAGCCATGGATGGGAAAGCAAACGTAAGAAACCACCAACAAAAAACATCATGTAAATCTAGAATTCTGTTTTAAGATCTAAGAGCGTATCCAAAATGGCTTTGTAACATGCTAATCTTACATCCAACAAATCCCATGATCTATTCCACAGTTCCTCATCTATCAACTATCTCTTATCCAAAGAATCGTCCCCCTACGCCTCTATAGCTTCGCCTTAGGCGCCTCCAACGTAGGAAGCAAGAGATCTCTCATATCTCCCGCAGCCTCATTGAGATAGAAACTCATACGATCGCTACCAAGACCCTTGGACACAACGTTGAATTGGATACTGTGCATATTGTTAGCAACGAATACTTTGCGTGGTAAATAGAAAGAGGGAGAGCCTACGTGTTCTCGTTAATCATGTATGCAATTCCCCATCCATCGTCAACGACCTGGCTCCACCCATATCCATTGAAGTACTCCGAGCTAAGCTGCGAGCTCGAGATAAACCACTTGCACGAGTATGAAAACGCAGGGTCCTTGTAGATCGCTGGGACCTCCTCGCCTGGGGCGAGTAGCTTCTTTAAGCCGAAGAGATGTCTGTCAACACCCTTACCGTCCGATGCAGCACTGATGTATTCCACGTGCGAATTGATAGCTTTGCGGAATAGCCCGATCGTCTCTTGAGGGTCGCTAGAACCATCGCTCATCGCCTTGCAGAAGGCGACCGAGTCGTCGGAAACTGTGCGGCACGTCTCCGTTCTGCCTTGTTGGAAACGACGAGTGGCGGCTGATTCGTATGTAGGTCGGCTCTTGCCATACATCTTGAAGTAGGCGAGCTGGATGACCATTTGCACGTATGCGTCGGGTGAGCATTTGAATTTCTTGATCAGCCCTTTGCCGTAACCTTGGTATGCTTGTACACGAAGCTCGTGGCTGCCAATAACCTCAGTGAAGTCTTTTGTGGCGCGCTCAATTTCGGCTTGGACTTCCTTATTCACGTGGAACTTGATTGGAGTAGGATCAGGCAGGTTGGAGCGGACTGAAGGGTCTGAGAAGTCCAGCTTGTTGTTGAAGATCATCTCATTAACATAATCGTTCAGTCGATGTGTAGGTGTGCCATCCATCATCGAATGCTCGCCCATGAACCCGGCTGTGCCATTGTCATTGACGATGAATTGGAGTGGCTTGTCAAACCAGCGGTTGCAGCCGTCACCGTGCCAGTACTGGTGAGCGCGCTCCTCAAGGGTAACTGGGGCAGCGTCATCCAAGCAGACTACAAATGAAGCAGATTCGATCGTCTTCAGGGCTTCGGCATTTCCAGAGTGTGCTTTTAGAAGAACCTCTCTAGCATCGGTCCAGATATCGCGGTTCTCAGTGGTAAGGATTCCGACTGCAGGTGCCCTCTCTGCCTTCTGGTAGATCTGTTTGAATTGCTGCTCTAATTCAGAGGTGTTGAGTTGCTTGCCATCAACCTCATGCATAACCTTGAAGAATTGATTCTTGCGAATCACTAGGATGTGCTTGTTCTCTGCCGGAGAGAATGTAACAGGATAATCGGCAGGTTTCGCAGGTCGCCGAGAGGCGTTGAACATCCATTGATAACTCTCCATGGAAATTGGAAGCTTCTTCATATACTCTGGCTCCAGTGAGCCCTGGTCCACCTGCTTCTTGAACTCTAAAGTAGCAGTGCTTATAGCAGCTGCACGCTTTGAGGGGTCCCGCCGCCGCCTGTCATCTCGGTGAGAGTAGAAGTAGCTCACATAGGGTACAACTGGGTCCCGGTACGTGAGATATGCAGCCTCATTCCACCAATCATAGAGCCAGTTCTTGTGTTTTGGGTCTTCTCGTCGTGCAAGCAACTTCTCCTGAAGCTTGCCGCCAATTCCGCCCGGTTTTATGAAGTCCTGGACAGCTTTGGTTGTGGATTCGAATTCGGTGGATGAGAGAAGTGGGTGGACAGATTTGAGATATCGTTTCGCCGTCTCTTCTAGGGTTGGGACCGGTAGTTTAGGTAGAGAATCCTCGAACCGTAACATAGCACCTTTCGAGGAATCTTCTCTGTACCCTTGGGGGTTATTAGCCCATGCCTAGACAAGTGAACGGAGGGCAAGGATATACATACCTGCTGGTAAAGAGCTGCTGCTCCGGGCAGTTTTGGGTGTGGGCGCCATTCCGATTCCTACGCTCTATATCCATAATTAGCTCGAGTTGATCCGTCATGCGCCTGGAGACTTACGCTCACACTGGGCTTGAAGTTGCTCCGAAGCACCTGGGACTGCGTACGACCCTTTGCAAGCACTTTCAACATTCCCAAGGAGGTATCTAAAGAAGCCGAGGAGAAGAGTAGGGAGAATCTCCAGCTTATGAGCAGGAGGTTATGTTTATTTCAAAGGCCGAGCAGAACAGCGCTTGTGGGCTCTGAGTTTATGCTTGTGGTTGGCTGAATAGAGGTTTGACCGGTTGCGCTTGTCCGGAGGGCCGAGGCATTTGCACCATGCGCTGCCCCACGACCATCGCCTGCGACACCGCCCGAGAGCCGACCACAGAACAAGCAGACAAGCGTATCACAGCTGAGCAGCTGAACAGCCTGATGCGCAGAGTTTTATACTCGGCATCACGGCTTTCCAGCATTGTGTGCCACCAGTAATAATAAGTAACATATGAAGCCACACACTCTACCGAATAGATATCGGAATTTTAATCACATTTTAATTCGTATTAGCTGTACTGTACTGTACTTTGGTATACAAGGGTCCTACTATTCCTACAATTGCATGTGACGGAATGGGAAATTATCCCAGGTCCTATTTCCTGGAGCTATCCCCTGTTGTACCCTAAACAATACCTCCGGGGAATTTGATATCCATATGCCAAGGAAGGTACTTTATATCCCCAATTCCCTATGATACAGGACTAGACGAGTTCCTAGCATTCATCTATCTCTTTCTTTTGCTCTTCCGAGAAGCACCCTGTGCTTTCGGTGGCGGCTCCGGTTTCTTCCTCGAGGCGGGTTTCGAGGCTTCTGGGGAGGGCGACCTATCTTCTTCTTCCCCTTCAGCCTCGTCATCCTCACCGCCTTCCTCCGTCTCTTCCTCGACCTCTGCCTCGTCCATCGTCGTATCTTTGCTTGGCTGCCTGGAGCTGGAATCTGCTTTGACCCTTCCCACTAATCTATGTGCGCTTCTTCCTGCTCGAGCTGTCTTCGGCGTTGGTGAAGTTGCGGGGGATGTTTTTGGCTCATCGGTATCCTCAACTGTGCTAGCCCTCCGCTTCTGCGTGAGGGTATCACCACGCTTTCGCTTCCTCACGACCTGTGGTGATGGGGATCGATGAAGCCGTGGAGGCGATGACGGGGCTTCACTTGCGCTGCGCATTCCCCTCATATGCATGGTCTCCTCGTAGTCTTCTGGCAGCTTGAACTCAAGAAACTTGTCGTCCCCATCCTCGTAGTCAAAAGAGTTTTCCCGCTCATCGATAATATCTAGATTATATTGCGTCCGTAGTTTCTCCCATATTCCTGGTATGCGCGTGTGCGTTTCGATTGCGGGATCGTAGCCATGATTTCGTAGGTTTTCGGACAATGCGATCATACGGAAGTGCTTGTGCATGCCTAGAGAGTGGTTAACAGAGTTGAGTGGTAAACCAGACTCAGGCATATCTACCAGCTGGTTTCCATCTTATAATCCCTTTGAACAGCGACGTCTCCTGATCGTCCGTCCAAGGGTCTTTCAGAATATTGTATTTTGGCTGAGGGGAGCCTTCAGCGCGGTGCGATTGTGGGCTGTCTATGGCCATTGCGTCGTCGTCTGCTGCAGCTGGCGATGAAGCCGCTCTCGCAGGCCCTTTCCCTTTCTTTTTAGGAGGCATCCTTACAATAATTTAGCTGCCAATTCTGACGTGGTCGTTGAGGGTTGTAGGATGGGACATGAAATACGTAGAACATAGAATGACGCTGGGTATAAATTCAGCCCCCAATGGGATGCGGGTGCCAGCGGGAGCAGCCGAAGCTACGTCGACTGTACATATCAACATCAATATTTTACCCTTCAGGCGCGTCACCCCGCAACCGACGCGACTTGGAGCAAAATGCGAAAAAATGGGCGACAATGGCATAGACCCTGGAGAGCCTTTTGCCATACCGGATTTATGGGCGCCCTCTAAATTACGCGCTATTGGGGTAGAGGAGAACGACCTCCTTTTTTCCCAGTTAAAGCTTGATGGTATGGTCTACAGCCCGCTCGGGACATTTGGGGTTATTCTTACTAACGGTGCTATAGATCTTGATGGAACACTTCCACTTATTGTCGAGCCCATCGAGAATGGCAATGATCATGTCTTCTTTTCTATCCCCGACATGCCATTTGGGCCTACTCAGAGTGCACCAATTACTATCGATGCGCCCGATGCGCACCCAGATCCGGCAGAGGACTCTACGAACGAGGAAATTGAGGCTGGCGATATATGGCTATTATCGCACGATAATCCAGTCGGCAAGCCAAATTACCAGAGTTGGGATGCGTTTGAGAACCCTGCCTTTAAAGATTGCCACTCGGCGTATATTTCAGAGAGTGGCCCCGCTACATTCGATGCCGCACTGGCAGCAAAAGAGGACTTTCTGCATGTTGACAATGCAGGGCATGTAGTGCTAGACACAAAAACTTATGTTTCGGCTCTATTAAATCTCGGTCTCGGAAGGAGCTCGGTGCTCTTTACTTGGAACGAACAAAAGCAATTCTTTAGCCCTTCCTTTCAAGAGATGAGAATTTCTGGCTATACTGGGAACTCTTTGGATCATCTGTTGACGACATTCATGGAATGCGGTAGCACCACAAGATCTCTCCAAGCGTTTGTCAATAAGTCCTATATCCAAAATACGTCACCGTGTCGGATTGCTTTGGCAGATGCAGTTTCCACTTTGCTAGCTACCATACAGGCTCGGTTGAGTGCAAGCACATCAATGCATAACAGCATCTTGCAGCTTCAGGCTCTATTTCAACCCGCCCATTCGATACTAAAATGCTTCCAGCAAATTGTCACCAACGTGTCCGCTACACGAAACGACGAGTCCATGCTCTCTACAATATATCAAGAGATCCAGCTGCTTGAGCATCGAACAGATTCCCCTAGAAACATACTCTTGGTGATATTGTCGCGCGTATCTCAACCATGGCTTAAATTCTTGGGTGAGTGGCTAGGCTTACAACGTGAATCAGAATTGGCCTTGAGCAAACACGGCCGGGGAAAGAGTTTTGTCAAAGTGGAGAATCGGGAATGGGTGGACGACCAGGGCCTAGAGCTCCATGGACCTGACTTCATCTTGGATTTTGATAAGGTCCCATCTTTCATTACTCCGGAAGATGCACGGGTAATGTTTGAGGTGGGAAGGAGCCTCCGGTTTCTAAGAGATCATCACTCGGATCATCCATTGGCCAGAGCGGATGTTGTAGCTTCCACTAATCCACCAGCCCTTGAATGGGAGTTCTCGTGGGAGAATATCGTGCAGGTTGAGTCAAAAGCGTTGCAATATGAGAACGACCTGAAGAGGGCCATTCAGCGGTTCTCGATGCCAGGTGCCAACCCATTAAAACTCGAACCACTCGGCCAAACACTTGATAAGGAACCGTTCCAGTTGGATTTCTTTGGCAGGCCAGAAGACGACATGGAAGCACATGTTCTGGCCTCCATAGCTGCATTTAATGGGCCGTTCAAGGACGGCACACCAACAGACGACCTTTCCCTGGAGCTAAATACCTATCTTACGGCAACGGGTATCTTACCTCACTATGACGACTCCGTGTCCTGTCCTCCGATGTCTTTGGTACCCCTACTATCCTTCAATCCAATCATATCCGCTCAAGCCCGACTTGTCAACAGTACATGCATGCGTCTTTTCTTTAAGTCCCACAGTCTGCGTGAGCATCTAGACCTGCAGCGGGATTTTCATCTACTCGGGAACGGCGTATTCTCGAGCAGACTTTCCCACGCGCTCTTTGATCCCGAATTAGAGAGTGCTGAACGCCAGAGGGGAGTTGCTCGGTCTGGTAATACGATGGGCCTTCGTCTTGGTGGCAGAGATAATTGGCCACCCGCAAGCTCTGAACTTCGATTGGCCCTCATGGGAGTCTTATCAGAGAGCCATATCCCAAAAAAGGCCCAACATAGAAGCCATGCAGGCACATATCTAAATCAGAACTCGCTTCCGGGCGATTTAAGTTTCGCTGTGCGAGATATGTCTGAAGACGAGATCGAAAAATGCATGGATCCTGATTCGGTCGAAGCTCTCGATTTCCTCCGCCTATCTTACAAGCCACCTCCACCACTCGAGGCCGTCATTACACCTTTGATACTCTACAAATATGATCAGCTGTTCAAGTGTTTGTTACGTGTACTTAGAATGCTCTACGTGGTTTCTGATCTCTTCCGCCACGGAACATATCGCTCATCCTCCCAAAAACCAATTGACACCATAGCGCAGCGCTTTCGCGTCGAGGCTCATCATTTCATCACCTCTATCGGGGGCTATTTCTTCGATACCGGTATTGAAGCAACGTGGCGCATTTTCGAATGCAAGTTACAGGAGATCGAGGATCGGATAAATAATAACGAGGGCGATATCACACTTGGACAGAACGAAGGCCTTGACAAACTAAGGGACTACCATGAACGAGTGCTAGACAAAATTATGTTTACCCTATTCCTGAGAAAGCGGCAGCAGGCTGTTCTGAAACTACTTGAAGAGATATTTGCGCTTGTTCTTCAGTTTTCTAAGCATTCCCGGCAAAGAGCACTAGGGCTAGAAGGAGAAGATAGTGCTGGTGATGAGGTTCGAGAAATATATCTCAAGTTTCGGAAGAAGGTCGGCGTGTTCATCACTGTCTGTAGGAGCCTGAGTGAAAAGAAGGGCTATGGCGAGAAGAAATATGATGGAAGGGCTGCTGCGCGCGGGGGGTTGTTTGATGGAGATGATTTAGCGGAGGAGAACACTGTTTCTCACCTCCTCTCTCGCCTAGAGATGTCGAATTATTACTCAAGGACAGTCAATATCTAAACAGCTAAGAGACTCTGCAGAGTATATCCACAATTGAGTCGGCGGGTTCCTCGTTGAGAAATATTTCGGAGCTCAATTTTAGTCCAAACTCTGTGGTTCTTGCGGAGGGCGAAAATGGGCAACAGGTTACACGACTAACCCGGACGCCGTGCCATGTGTGCCGTATAGTGCTGCTTTTGCACTCAGCCTACTGCTCTAATGGCGTCCAGCTTAGTATTCCCATATAACCTTAATCACGCTAAGGTAGCCCTGACTTGTTGACTTTGGGGATTCCTAGGGAAATCAAGGCACCACTAATTAAAAAAGAATCGAAAAATGGATATGTAGATTTATTTGAACTGGAGATGAAGCATACAGTACAGTCAAGGGCAGGTGTTCAGTACGTGAAGGGACTACTGCATACATCAAAAGGCTGGTTAGCCATAGCGCACATGAAACAATCAAAATCTCTCTCCTAGGCAGACTCGCTTCAATACCCATGAAGTTCCTAGATCGTCGTCAACTTATTACTATGTACGTACTCGAGTACGGAGTGCAATACGTAGTAACAAGGTACACACTGGTCAGTCTTGGCCAGTCCCCCACTCCCCGCCCAACTACGTCGCAAAGGGGGTACGAATTCTAGTTCACTCATATTACGCGTCACATTGTATTCAAAGGGCCAAATGCTTCTTCGCATCCTTTACCATGTTTATGCCCGGAAAAAGTTCGTTGTCTTCTAGCTGCTTGATTGACTGAGCCTATTCTTGAAAGGCCCGTTGCGCGGTCTTGCTCCTGTCTCAAGATGCATTGCCTCGTTGGAGTGTTCTGCCTTCTTGCGCCAGCGCTGGCATCAGCATTTTCTCCAGCCTCACCTCCGGTAATCCATGAGGATGGTGGCCCTGTGGATAAAGCTCTAGCAACTGGTATTTGGCGCATTCCACAGTCTCCGAGGACGCATAACTAACATTGAATTCAAGACAAGTCATTCGACACGATCACGCTGCAGCTGCCTAATGATTACGGACTACCTAATGACGGAGTAAAACCAATATGGAAATTCCAAGTCAAGGTTCTCAATTCCACCGAGCCGTGTGGCTATGGGAATATTACCATCAATGGGCAGACTCTCGAACAGACACCCAATGGCAAGGTCATGACTGGCAAGGGGAACTTCCAGACCCCTCTGATGGGCGTTGCCCCGGCATCATGGACTTTCAATTGCATTGAGCTCGCTGGCGGACATCAATATCAGCGGCTGAGTTTTGTCGTCCATTCTCTAGACGGAAAGGCAGTGAGAGGCATCGGGATCAACGCCATCTTCACGCAAACCGCCCCCGCTGAAATCCATGCAATATCGAACGCATCCATGCGTCCAAAATTTACCACCACCCGCCCCGACCCTGAAGATCGACATCGTAGTGCGGCATATCCTCCATCTCATAAAGAGGTCAAGGAACATAAGATTGCCGAGCTCCACCGGATGCGAGCTCACCTCCGAGAACTTCAATTACTCATTGTTAAGAAAGAGCAAGCCCTCGCAGAGCATATTTGCAGGAATTCCGACGGTAATTGCAATCACGGAGGCTTCAAAAAGAGTATTTGGGCAACTGCTACCGGCAAAGTGCGCAAAGTTACCCATAATCTCTTTGGCGAAGCTGGAGGCAGCCAGCAGGATCGTTTCCCCCAACCACCATCTTGGCATCCCCACCCGCCAAAGAATACATTTCACTGGCGCGGGGCTGGAAGTCTTACCTATGGCCCTCCAGAACATGGCGAGGATAAACACCCCAAATTGCCGCCGCTCTCCACGCCCTGGAAGTCGGCTTTCAGGAAACCTTATGATCGACGACCACAATCTGTCCCCCATGCTATAAAAGATAGCCCTCAGCATCCGCCACAAAGCGGGCTAGTGCCGCCTCATGGTCTTCCCGACCACGACCGAAATCATGATGAAAGTCGCCTTGAGCCACCGCCTGTACGATTATTTTCTTCTGAATCAAATGATCGCCCTCGTCCGGTACACTGGCATAAGCCGGGCCATACGTCTCCAACCCCAGACTCTGATCATAAACAGACACCCCGTAAAGGATTCGGCTTTTGGGACCCCATAAAGGTTGCCAAGGTTGCAGTCTTCATTTACCTTCTTGCTTGCGTACTCGCCGTTCTCCAGAGACGTAAATATCTCCGCAACATGCGCGAAGCTTCTCAGTCACATATAGAACAACTTGAAAGCCACACATCGATGAAGCTAATGCTCTGCAGATTACAAGCTCGCTTATCAGGGAGAACATCTAATATTACATCCGATGAGAAACGTGAGGCATTAGTAACTGATATGGAGAGCGCGATGATGGAGGAGATCACGCAACTACGCAATGCTGCCAACGTCGTTGGGGATATAGTTACCAAAGAAGATGAGCGATCGTAAGCTTGCTCTGAACCGTTTCCGTCTCGAATAGACTTCTTAATACAAGGATTCTAGTCAAGTTAGAGATAAGGCCGAAATGCCCGCCTATGAATATAGCGAGGCATGCAAGAACAGCGCCATTGCATGATTTTCAGTATACTCCTGGAAGTCCAAGCTAGGCCTCGATCATTGGCTGTGGAGTATCAGTGATATCTTAAAAACTGATTTTCTAATATTAGGACATTTCCTTGGGTTTTAGATGTAGTATTTAGAAGCATGTACTAGAAACTTTCCTAATATTTTTTGTCCGGTTTTTAAATATATTGTACTATAGCTATATGAAATTTCATGCGCTATTCTGAATTTTAACTTGTGACTGAATTAGGAGTGGAAATAAGAAAAGCTGATTCGCTACAGTAAGAAATAAAAACGACATTACTATTTAATATATATGAACGTATAATGCTCCATTTAAAGAGGGTGATTGAGCATATTTGAGATACGTAAATTTAAAGAATCCGCAAATAGGCTTGACATACTGTACCAGTATGTTATCTAAACTCTTCTATTATCCTAGAGCTGAGTCACGTGTAGCTACCTTAGCTGCGCGAGGCTCACTACGGCAACCAAAGCAACGCACCACCTCTGCAATATCAAAACCGATGTCAACGTCAGTCTACTCAAACCGTACATCCTAGCCTCCACAATGGTTAGTACTCGTCCCGAGACCTTTCAGCTTGGTCGCTGAAGCTCTGCGCAGCTTAATCAGACTGAAGATGACATGCTAACTGACTCTTAGCTCCCACTCGGCCTCCTTACGGCAGCGCAAGGCCACCCCATGCTGGTAGAGCTCAAGAATGGCGAGACGCTCAACGGCCACTTGGTGACATGCGATACGTGGATGAACTTAACATTGAAGGAGGTTGTTCAGACAAGTCCGGTATGATAGATACCCCGCTGTCTGCATTGCAGGCGCATATCTCGCGCGCCGACAGCTGCTAGGATTTAGTGCTGATATATGTTTACAGGATGGAGACAGGTTCTTCAGATTACCAGAGGTCTATGTAAAGGGCAACAATGTATGTTTTGGATCTGGATATTATTTTGTTGGCTGGAGGCTAATTAGCGCCGCAGATCAAATACCTGCGCGTGCCGGATGAAATCATCGATTTAGTTAAGGAGCAACAACAAGGGCAGCAGAATACCGGGTATAGGGGAGGGCGCGGAGGAGCACAAAGAGGCGATCACGGCGGTAGGGGTGGAGATAGAGGGCGCGGTGGAAGAGGTGGAGGGCGTGGCCGTGGGCGAGGGAGGGGTTCATGATAAACTATAGAGGAAGTTGGCGCGCAAGACCGCTTTGGCAGGTTGATATTATGATGGTATATCCTGGAATGGGCAACCATGGAGCGCTTCGTAGCTGTCTCGTCTGGCAACTGCTGAGACTCAAGGCTTGACTGAGAGGTTAGGTCAAGGAAAGCAGAATAAGGGTGACTTGTTACATCAACATAAGTCAGGTCCCATTGCTCGACAAGAGCTTCGCGCATTATCAGCAAATAGAAGCGCCGAATAACAAATGAATTTTCTGCAAGCTAGTTATCCTTATGTCAATTAATCGATATTATATGTGAGCTTTCTAGTAGCTTACCTAGTAAGCTTATGAATTAGCTGCACGTGACTGCGCCTTGTTCCGCCTAACATCGCGTCTCCAGCCAAAGATTTGTCGTGGTAGTAGACACCGAAGATTCAATGCCTCCCATTCGAATACCAATTGACGGACTATGGCGCTGCCTCTGTCCTTCAATCGACACAGTTGCAGCCTCCTATTCTGCCGCTCGCATTTGCGCTCCTCAGACTCGAAAACCTGCTAGTCGTCCTCGTACCAGAAACAAAAATGCCCCCCAACTTTGGGATCGAGCTTTCCACAGCTCAAGCCAATCTCAATCGCAAGCCACCAACGAAGGTCCTACGCTTCGAAAAAAAATTCCCATCCGATATTTATTTAAAGGCCCTAGGGTGATAAGGCAGAGCGTTGTGCCTAAGTCAGAGACAGAACTTGCAGATCCCTACCACCAGGTTCCTCTTGCCCATCTGTATGATCGATTGCGGCAGATGGCAGTCCAAGAAGGAGGCTACGATACTGTGATGAAATTGGTGGAATACCTAGTTCGTGTCAGAGGGGAGAAGCCGGCTTTGGTCCATTACGATGCGCTTATACGAGCCAATACTGATGCCGAAAATGGCAGTGTGGAGGTTGTAAAAGGACTGTTGAAGGAGATGAAAGACGAGGGTATTGGGGCCGATTCTGGGCTGTATCATGCTGTTTTACAAGTTAGTGTCCACTATATTTTAGCTCCTGTGCAGCCACTGACTGGATATCTTAGGTTTTGGCAATTCATCCTGACTACCTCCTGCGCAACCAAATTATGCAAGAGATGAAAGAGCGTTGGTTCGGGCTCTCACCTGAAGGCTGGCACAGCCTTACTACCGGACTCTTGCGAGATCGTCAGCTGGAGGTAGCCATGGACAAGTTGGAGGAGATGCAGTCAGACCAGATAGTCATCCAACCGTGGCTCTACGACATTTTTACATATAAGCTCTGTGAAGCCGGAGAAGTCGACGAAGCTTTTAAATTGCTCTATTACAGATTCCAGCATGATAGAAAGGATATAGAGCCAAGCGTCTGGTACTATCTCCTGAATACATTCAGCAGTTCCTTTCACGTAAGCAATTCCGGTTTGTTCCATATATCGCTGTTCCCGCTAATGATACTGGAAATAGTACGAAGGAGTAAAGTACATTTGGAATCTTCGGGTTGCAACATCGTACCTCATCCCCTCGGATGGGATATGTGTTCATGTGCTCAACCTGGCAGCACGCCATGCCGATCCGATTTTGGCCACATCAGCGGTTCGGATCCTGTCCTCCCGCCGCACCGCCCTTGCGCCGTTTCATTACGAGGCTCTCCTCGCTGCTTATGCGGCATCTGAAGACCTAGGCACTGCTTTTCGAATTCTAATGATTATGTCTAAGGCTGGCTTCGAGCCGGACTCTGCTACCACCCGGCCACTATTCACGCACCTATCTCAACCCAGTTCCAGCTTATCAAAAGCCTGGAAAACGCTGAAGTCACTCTTTGACGATGGCCATACCATCCATATCGCAGCTGTAAATGTGGTTATCGAGGCAACTATTGCCCAAAAACGGTTCGGCGAAGCCGTAGAGTTGTACAAAGAATTACATACGATCTGTGAATCAGGGCCGAACACAGAAACATTCAACATCCTGTTTCAGGGCGCAGAAAAAGGGCAGGCGAAGGATACAGCAATGTTCCTAGCTTCAGAAATGATGGCGCTCGGCATTAAGGCAGATTATCTGACATATGATCGACTGATTATGGTATGTCTTCACGCTGATGACTATGAAGATGCATTTAGGTATCTTGATGAGATGAAGAAAGTTGGAAAAGATAAATTCCAGAATGGGCAGAAGGGATGGTGGATGAGGTTTGGCACTGCAGCCGAGATGGTCAAGAAGTGTACCGAGGCTGGTGATGAACGTGGAACGGCGATGCTTGCCGAGATGAAAAGGAGAGGGATGGATGATCCAAAATTGAACCAGTGGGTAGCTGATCATACAAGTACGGCCCGCTATTGGAATCCTGCTAGGGTACGGCATGCAGCATGAAAGGAAGTTTTTAGACTGCCTTTATAAATCTAGTATTACCTTCAAGTCTAATTTATACTGTCCACGGATTCAACGTTCACCAGGTAGCTTGTGCTCTGTAAAATATCTTCTTCTTGTCCAATTTTGGTGGTGGTACATACAAATCATTCCTCATAAATCGTCATCGCTCATATATACATTCCAAAACATACCCTCAACATATCACCTCCCATTAATCCCATTTCCCTTATTTTCAGTAGTAAATGCTCCACGCATCTCTCGCCAACCTAGTATCGACCTCCACAGGTCTCAATTCCCTCAACCCGTACCTCTCACTGCCACCTCTCTTCTCCGGCCGCGTTCTTAAGTTCCTTTCCAGTTTATTCATCGCAGCATTATTGAACCATTTCTTCCACAGTTTGACACCGAATGCGCCGTTTCTCGGCCGATGAGTCCAGTGGTTCTCGGTATACTTTCGGGGTTTAGGCCGGCCATGGAAGCCTTGAATATAAATTAGCAAATCCAATTTTCTTAAAGGTGGTACAGAGGTATGGATGATGGATGGGGAAGCGTAAGGGGAAACACATACAACGCCCTCTAGTGTCCCTCCGCCTTTTAGTATACATAACACAGTCCCCACAATACCTCGACTTCTTCGGCATCCATTTTCTCAGTCGGTGATACAGCCTTTGTCTCCGGGAAAAACACTGGCAGTGTGGATTCCCCCGAGTCTGGCGCGAACGGCATAGCTTATCCTCTGGAACTGGCAATCCAAGTTCTTTGTTGCGTTTGCATATATTATTGTAGGAAGTTCGGTGGCAGTTTTCATTGTTACGATGTTCCCATATCTCACGCCATGAGCTGACTTGGTCGTCCGGGACGTTGCAGAGGGCAAGCCCGTCGCAGTTGTTCAGCGGAACTGTTTTCTGGTTGGAGGAGAGGCTGTAAAGGTATTTGCTATGTGTGGGTTAGTGAAATCTTGGGATTTGAAGGATGGTCGAGGGTTTATTTACCAGGTAAGACGGAGACAGGTTAGGTCATTATCGGGACAAGCAGATAGGATTAAGGAATGGATTTCTGGTGGGAAAGACATGAAGAGCGGAAACGGGGTGGTTTTGGGGGCCATCGTTTGGTGATCGAAGGAATTTCCTTCTCGAAGTGGTAATACGAAGTACTTTCCCTCTATGGCTTCGTATTACCCGGTGCAAAGCGATAATTCAGGTCCCGAGTAGCACTTAATGAATAATGAATTGATGATTGAGAGAAAATTGAAGGTAGAAAGGCAATAACACAGCCACTTCCACGTGTATTCGAATTCTCTCAATTGAACAGCAATGAAGAACTGAGGATTCCAGACAACTTTAGCACAGAGAATAAAGCACATCTCCAACTCTGAAGGGCAAACCACGGTAATATATATTCATCCTGAGGAACTAGCACTTGATACGCGTCCCATGAAAGTGTGACGCGACGGTTGCTAAAGATAGAAAAGCGCGACCTGGGTCCCCGACGCGCTGTCACGAGATTTGCCAGCTGTTAGGCAGCAAAGGAGGCTTTTGCCTGGAAAAGGGGGGCGAAGTTGGGCACGTGGCTTGGCGGTTCAGGCAGCAGTCACATGATCACGTATTTTCGATCAGTACCTAGGTACCTTGTTACCTTTGGTCCTTCTACCGAATTTGGGGGCGGGGGATTGGGATCGCTGGTCATACTGGGAGATTCGGCCGTGTCAAGCCACGACGTTGAGAACCCAAGAAATTAACAAAGTAAGTTTACTATGCATGACCCTTCTAACTTCTAAACAAAAACAATAACCCCTCTTTTCTCTAGTCCGTACATCACAAACGCCTGTACATGTACCCCTCCGCAATATCAAGCCTGTCCAGCAGGATCCCGAGTCCTCCTAGCCGTATCCGAACCATAGTTAAAAGGATTTCGGCATAGAGGACAAGTGCTCTGATTACTACTCTGGAACCACTTGTACAGACAGCCCGAATGAAACAGATTCTTGCATGTCTGGCATCGCTTATCGGGCATGCGTTTATCGGACGAGATGATGGAATAGCAGATGGCGCATTCGGTCTGGCCCTTCAAGGCGGCTACGACGTTGCGACGGAATACTGTTAGGCCATCGACAATGGAGCCGTTCTATTTTGGTGAGGAGGTTAGTGACACGGGTAGGGATGGTGGGGAGGAGGAAGGGCGTACGTTGAAGGTCATAACGCCTTGCGTGGTTCTTAGCCAGCTGTTCCACATCTTTTCTTTCACTGCGACTCGATTCTCACCACGGACTTCGACACCTTGAAGGGGGTAGTTGTCCGGCAATGAGATGATGATCTGCATCATCATCTCATCGACCTCATATCCAGCTTGTATGGTAGGAGTATTCTTCGATACTTTGATAATGAGGTCCTTCTCATCTTCAGATGCCGTATCCTGCTCATCTGCCCACTTGGAAACTTCATCCTTAGCCTCGCGGATGAGAAGGGGAGAGAAGAACTTCTCCGTCCATTTGCTGACAGCGATGCTAGTTTGTTTGGATTTGCAATCAAGCCACCAGTTCTTGACTAGATTAGGAGTGTATTGGAGAGATAGGTAGTATAGATTGATGAGAAGCCACCACACGTCTCGTTTGGGAGATTCCGAGTCGATTGCTGCCCACATATCGTAAGTAAGAATGGCCGGTGATTCGATATGCTGTCTGTCCAGGTCAACCGGTTTGCCAGCTGAATGACCTAAGATGTCGAAGAGAAACCCAAGAAGCGGCCCGATGTAGTTCTCTGATTTTAATACTTCACTGTAGTCATTTCGGACTCTGAACGAGGCGTTCGAGTAAGAATCGAAGACGAGGTGCCATGACAAGAGGTACCCTCTAATAGACGTCGGAAACTCTTCTAGCATTTCATCAGAGAAATCTGGAATTGATGGTGGGTCGAGTAACAGTGACAGCAGTTCGTCTGGAAGTCGGGCAGCTTAGGGAGGTTAGCGTTATTGTATCACATATTGATGGCCTTTACTCACTCTGATTCTCTAACAGGACATCCACGGAAATTTGTTGCTGAGCAGCAGGCAATGCTCTATGAAGCACGTCGTAAGCCGCAGATTGCAAATTCCGGCTATCCGTGGCAATGAGAGGATAAAACTCCGATAGGTCTTCCACATGGTCCAAAGGGACATCTCGTAATTGCCGCAACAAAAGCGTATCCACAAAATCTAAAGGTTGATGTTCCATTGGCCTCCGCAGTTTCAGCAGATCAACCAAACTCTTGGAAATCTCCTTGTTATGCTCAGCGAGAGCCTCGATCAGATCATCGTTGGGGTCTTCCAATTTGCGCAATATCGAGTAAAGCTTGAGAGACATTCCAGTCATAGGAAGGCTCTCGTCAGAAAGTTCGCCGTCTTGAGCCGAGTTCCATATGGATATGCAAAACTCGAGGGTTGTTTCCCAATATGTGCCGTAAACATCGATCATAGCAGGTAGAAGTACTTGAAGGGCCCGGCACGCCTCAGATGCAATCCTATAATCGGTTTTCGCCAAGGTGGGTGTCCAAGAGAGTATTTGTTTGGTAGCAAAAATCAGGCGATTCTTTGCGACGGGTAATTCGTCTCCGCTGTAGACTGCTAGTGTAGCATTGAGAAGGACAAGCAACCCAAGTGTTTTTTCTGATGTAGCGGAAGCGCCAGCTACATCGCTTATAAGCCGGTTGCAGAAGGTGTTTATAAGCCTGCTAGGTTTCAGGTTGCTTTCCAGGCCAGTGAGTACCGCAGTGGCCCCTAGGATATTTATCGTCGACGGACTCAAGATGCCCAGGTCCGAGAGCCACGAGTCGCCAGATACAGGATCCCAACCATGAGCATCCACCAAGCTTGCTATCAAGTGGCCTAGGGCTCTTGCACCATAGTATTGGCCGGGGCCAGCTATTGCGGTCTTGAGGAGTTTGTCAATCAATGCTTGAACGATGGAGGAACTCGCGACATTGGTATCCTGCGAAATGTTACTACGTTGCCATCCTTTCGCACTGTTGACCATGACTGCCAGACGGGTGTTAGATGTGAGATCTCTAAGCTCATCCATCTCATCGTCATCTTCTGTCGCCCACTCAGGAAATTCACCAGGAGCAATGGAATCCAGCTGGTCATTCAGAACCTCAGCAGTCAAAACAAGTGAAAGTAAAATCTCCACAAGGGTCTCCTTTGGTAGTCCCAAAATCATATCCATATCATCGGTGAACTTGGACGTATAAAGCGCCATTCGAAGAGCGATTGCGAAAGACTTCGTCTTCATCGACGCTGCTGAGCTATTGGCCGCTGCTTGGTCTGCTCCAACGAAAACTGCCCCTGCCCAAGGTCTCATAACACCTAGCGCTGGGTTAGGGGTCAGGCCTAGGATTGGTTCAAGGGCCTCGGTCCATTTCTTGGCATTAGGGAAGAAAGCAGCAGCAGGGGCAGACTTTTCGCCTTCTCGACAAGATTTAGCCTGCTGGACAAGAGTCTCGATACTAAAAAATATCACCAGTTAGCACGAAGCTATATAAATACAAGCCATGGGGAAGACACTTACAGCAATATTCGAGGGCTATTAGGCTCAAGCTCTAGATTCCATCGAATTAGATCCAAGGCTGAATCTGGTTCTATTTGCCCCGGAGTCTTGCTTCCCCTCTCGATAACTGACTTCAAAGCAGATGCTCGTGACGCCAGACTTGTATCCGATATTTCTGTAATTTCCAATAGCATCGTAATCAAAAGCATATGGCTACTCTTGTCTTGGTTTAGAAGATTGGGCTTATGTCTTGAAACAAACTCAAGAGTGTTGAAGGCGTGGTTTAACTTATCCAAATTGGTACCAGGGCCCTGATTTTTCGAGTCGAAACAGTGCAGAACTTGCTCAAGAATTGTCGCAGCTGAAGATTCGGTATAACAATTAAAAGTGATGGCGGTCTCAAATAATGATCGCGCTTCTGGCTCTCCTTCCAGGGCTCTGAGATTCGCATCCACTAACACTTTTTGGAGGCCAGGACTGGCCTGGGATAGCTTTGACGCATCGTCATTCGCTAGCAGTGTAGTAAAGACTCTCAATGAGCTAGGATCCGAGGGGGCTGATATAAGGGAATTTGTGATTGACATCCAGGCTTTTTCAAAAACGGGCTCTTGGCCAGATATGGAGCGAAAAACATATAGGATAGAAACTAGATGGCGTGACGAAGGAGACAAGATGATGTCTCGTTGCGGGAGATAATCCTCGATCAACGCCCGGATAGAATCCATAATCTTGGGGGAGTCTTTCACGACCACAGGTGTGAGTCGCATCGCTATTTCTACTATTGCAGCAGCCCAGTATGGTCTTGCGTCCTCAGCGATTATTGTGCTGAGAGCAGAGCTCACAATTCCTCGAGAGGGCAGCCATATCAGCTGGGCAGAGTCTTCAGGATCGTTCGTCTTGAGGATTTCAGCGACTAGAGAAAACCAGCGATGGCCTTCTCCAATAACCTTTCTCTGGCCTTGCTTGTGAGCCTCAGACCCTACAGGTTGGATGTGGTTGGAGGTGAGGGCTCGTGCAATAAACCCGTTGGCCAGCTTTTGTAAATAGAACGACAGGCTATCCTGGGGTTTCAAACTCTTGGTTGAAGCCCATATGTAGTATGACTTTGCCAGAGCCGGGCTAGTGACAAGACTACGACTCTTTTCACCTTGCAAATATCTCTCAAAAATTGGATAAATTGCTTCTCGGAAGAGCTCCGCTTGAGCGGCTGCATCTGGGATCTGCGCAACTAGAAGTCGAAAGGTAGTGAAATAACTCAACCATGCCTGCTCGGCATGTTGAGCGGGTTCTTCCCTGCCTTCAATGGCACCTTTAAACGCTCCTAGGAAATCAAGGACTGCATCTTTATCTGATGGAAGCACGCCAGCTGGTAAGATCGAGAGTAGTTCTTGCAAAGATACCCAGTATCCCGCAGGGCCGCCTTGGGAACCCTTCTGAACAAAGCCACGAAGTCTGCGGAAAGAGGAACCACCATCTTTATCCTTGTAATGGGATGTCCATACTTCAGGGAATCGGCTGGTTAAACATTTTAGAGCTTGTAGGAGCTGTAAAGAAGAGGTTGCTTGAGAGGCCCGTAAGCCTTTTGCAATAAAGCCGTGGCTGATCCGATCGAGCGAAGTCTGGACCATATCAGTCTGCTTTTCTAGGCAAACTATTAGGAAATTATCAAGTATTTTCCGGATAAACGGGTCGCCCGAGGCAGCCAAAGCCCACAATTTCTTAGTACGTAGGAAGTCTTCATACTTGTCTTGATACTTGACGATGTCGTCCTTCTTTAGCTTGGATAGGAGTTTAGTAACCAGTGAGATGCCAGAGCCAATAACCCTTAGGTATAGTGCCTCGGAATCGTCTTTGCTGGTGTTACGCTCATCACTCAAGGTCTCTGCGCTCTCATTGATGGCCTCCTGAGCATAATCAAGGATTTGAGACTGGCAACGAGTCCAAAACGCAGTTACCTTATCGTCCGTATCAAGGAATGAGGCGATACCGTTTTGTGCGGCTCGTGCAACAAAGCCATCTCTATCATAGCATCCCGCGAGCCAACTCCCCACCGTTTCTGGTATACGCTTTTCCATACGCTTGCGGGCCGACTTCAGAAGCATGAATTGGAGTGTATGGGATTGCTCGCGCACTCGACGGTTGTTGTTGATTGAAAGCCGCGGATAAAACCTAACCTAGCATTACATTACATTAGTATAATAGTGCGCAGTAGGAATGTGAATTGCTAACCCACCCATGCTTCTAGAATCGAGTCTTCTGTTCCTCCGCCTTCGCTGTGAGGATGGCGCGAAACATAGTCCTGAAGGGTCTCCAGGGCTTTGGCCTTCGTCGTGGCATCGGTCTTGGAAAGACTTTTAAATGCAACCACGATGTTGGGGTCGGTAATGGTGGAGAGGTCTGGGAGTTCCGTGACATAGGACAAGATGCTTCGGCTTCCAGTTGAAATGGAACCAAAGCCTCCGAATGTTTTGGCGGCAGCTGCCCGACTGCTCGAGGCCTGTGTTTTGAACTGTCGTTTGCTCATGGTGGTATCAGGTAAAGGGGATACGTGCTGTTGTAGCGCCGTGTTTGCTCCAGAAGGGGTTGGTGGGGGAGATATGCGATGTGATGAGGGTGGCTGCGGGTTCTATCATATCTTCATAATGTGGAAGGAACGACGCATGTGTAGCTAAGAAGATAGACCAGGAATTGGCTCGACAGCATTCATACTCCAGCACAGGCAAAAATAAAAGTACAATGTCGAGTACAAGTACTAATGGATATAACGGTGATTGAGTCAATAATGGTAATAATGTTCTTCGGTATGACGCTTTACTACGGACTTAAGACTAAACGGTACTAGCGTTGTGGCCTTGCGCCATGGTGGCGCAGGGTAGTGTGTGCCTGAGGCGACTCGGCAACCTTGTTGGCAGCTCGGACTCGGACTCGCTGATTCGGCTCCCCGCAGTCTCCAAGGACGCTCAGTGACAAGTGACAAGTGAGAGTGACGACAGTACGGTACTGACATCTCCCTCTCTACTCGTACTCGACACCGTTCACTTCTACACCTCTTCACTTCTATTCACGAGCTGGAGATTGAATAGAGCTTCGCTATAGCTTTGCCTTCTTGACAATACTCGTCTTAGCCCTTTCATCCCCACTACATACCTGTCAGTTGGTCATCGTTGCCTTGGCGTGGTAAGGTTACGGTTATATCAATTAACCCCTCCCCTCCTCTGCTCTCCCACCAAACACGAACCTCTTTTCTAGCTTTTCGAACTCAATCTCCAGTACCTTATTCTACGGCTCCGGTCTCTCGAAAGCACGCTTCAACTGTCTACTATCGCCCGGCAAAACGGAGGCTCCTCTGTATCCGCTTACCCCTCCATTTGGCTCGGGGTGGAGGAGCGCTGGTTGTTCAGATCGAATCGTCTTGCCTATTACCGCCTCCCACGTCCTCGGAGAAACTAATGGCACTGCATTCGTAATCTGCTACTATTCTACGATTCTCCCAATACCGAATACACCTTTCGGTCGCATACCACTTTGATTGCAACCAGCTCCAGTCGATATTACCCCGCTGCTGTTGGTGAACAGAAACAGGACAAAAGCATGATTGGATAGTAACAAGCTTCAGAATGCTATCATCGGAGATTGCATTTGTCTCTCAGACCTCACTGTCGCTCTCAAGCTCGCTAGCACCTTCGGCAGCCATGCTGCAACCTACTAGACGCTTCCCTAGCAGAATCCGAACTAGTCAGCAAACTCGATCCTTCCGATTCGGTCTCTGGTCATATCTTGACCCAGCTAGTCAGAAAGAGCTACAGCATCACCATCGAATTTCGAAACATAAATACAATGAGTTGCTGAATCAAAATGTCTCTTGGAACCGCAAGCTACGGAAATCGTCAAGGCATCTAGGCCTCAAGGGCTTCATGTGTAGTGCCTGGCAGAGACAAGATGTAAGGCCAGGTGGAAGATGGACCAGAACTAGCCCACTTGATGATGTTGATGGCGGGCCACGGAAGACTTCACAGAATCGTGCTGAGGACCCTAGGAGTGATAGTTTTGAACATATCCTCCACCATAGCGCTGCAGCGCGCAACCTTCGAAAAGCTACATCTCGCATATTCAGCTCTCCTATATTTCCATTTGACGTACAAGAGTCTGGGGCGGATGCTAAGCGTGCTAGCGCCTCTGAAGCCTCATCAAATGGTAGGAATGAGGGTTTGGACTACATGATTGACCCAATAACGAACAAAAAGGTACTCAAAGAGTCCATGGCCAGCCCAGAAAATTCTACCCGCAAGTCAATTCCCCTTCCTATGAAGACATTCAAGGAATATCAGTCCCAATTTCAGCGCTTCGCACCTCCCAATAAACCAGAGGCTACTAAGGATGGGTTTGAAGCATATGATGCTGAAATGTCATATGATAAGCCATTTCTGGCGTATGAACCTGATGGAAAACCTCAAGAAACGCCCGATCCAGTACAAGAAGGGCTCAAGGCATATGATTCTGAAATGTCTTATGACGAGCCATTCACCGCTTACGAGCCAGATGGAAAACCCCAAGAAACGCCTGATCCAGTACAAGAAGGCCTCAAAGCATATGATTCTCAAATTTCTTATAACAAGCCGTTCACTGCTTACGAGCCAGATGGGCAGCCTCCAGCAAAAGAAATGCCAGATCAAGTACACAAAGGGCTTAAATCATACGATTCCAAGATCTCATATGACAAGCCATTCATGGCATATGAACCAGATGGACGGCCGCCAACGCAAGAATCCACCGACCCGGTTCAACAAGGACTTAAGACCTACGATGAGGTGGCATCTTACAATAAGCCATTTGTTGCATACGAACCGGACGGAAAACCTCCTACGCAAGACCCGTTAGGTTTGACACAGAAGGCACTCGGGGCATTTGACTCTAAGGCACCCTACAAAAAGCCGTTTCTAGCGTACGAACCTGACGGACAGGCACCTCCACAGCATGAAAAGCTAGGCCCAGTGCAACAAGCTGTCAAGTTTTATTACGATGGCGCTAATAAAAAGTCTCGTGTGAACCATAATCAGCCAAATGGACAGCCCTTCGTGCATTGGTCCAGCGATGTGCCGGCTGCTTCGAAACATTTAAGGAACCATAAGCAGAAAAGCAAAGCTGAGAAGCGAGCCATGCGTCAAAAATTAGATAGAGAGTTCGACAACCTGCAAGAAACCCAAGAGTATATTCCCGAAGAGGCCGCCGCCATGGAGAAAGTCAAGCAAGCCCGAGCGCTTGCGGCCGAGGACGAGGCACCACTCCATACAGCACCTCGGGAAATGACTGGAAACTTTGCCCGGGACTTTCCGCAAGATTTCGAGGCTACTTGGATTGCTACAAGGGACGAATCCGGTATGGTGGTTCCCAAAATAGAAAGCACTGCAGAAGATTATAACATTTCCACGAAAGATATGGAACAAGCTGAACTACAAGATGCCGACAGAAGGGTTCAGAAAGCCGAAAAGGAATTCATGGATCATATTATACCCTGCGGAGGTTTGTCCGAATCCTCAGATTCATCAAAGATCCAGCCTTCTTTAGACCGTGTCGCCGCTCGAGAAAATGACACCAAAGCAGTGCAAACTGCAACGCATCTGTCAGCGCAACAAGATCTACAATCGAAAGGCACTGAAAACCCGCACGATATAGCTCTAGGCGAAGCTACTGTGCAGACACCAACACTATATAAAATTCTTGCATATGATCCGACCATGCAATCAATTAGCATTGCTGAAACAACATCTATCGTTACCGATTCAGCAACCGCCCTCACACCCGCAGAGGTGTTGCTTCGTTTGTCCAACCCCACAAAATACATGCCACACTTTGAATCCCTTCAATCCGAGGGCTACGAAATTGCGTCTGGCAGCGGTGATGTACTCATCTTCCGCAAGGTTCGGGAAGGATCGCCGCAAGAACCCAGCAGCCCCCCGCCAGCGAGCGGTCGAGAACTGAAGAAGTCACCCAGGAACCCTATCGACGGTATGTACCCTGTTGTTGCAACAGGAAACTTTGCAAGCCCAACTGGTTTTGTCAATTTGGACTTTCCAGAACCAACTGAAGACGAGCCTGCTTTCAAGTCCAACATTGACGTTCGCCGAGAGGAACCTGTTTTTAGCGGTAAGCGTAACTGGCAGGACGAACAAGTCCCCAAAACAAAAAAGAGTGGCAGAGGGAAGCGGTTGTTGATCGGTGGCGTTTGGGTTGCAGCTTGCTCGTATGCTGTTGGGGTAGTAGCTGAGTTCTTCAAGACAGGTGGGATGGACGGGACCGGCCCACAGGGGTTCTAGTGCGTCCTTGAACATACATTTGTTTCCTAGCTGTAAGCCGTACGGTATTGGCAAAGGGGTGTTTAGGAGTTTTCTAAAGGCGTTTAACGGTGAGTTTCCGCGGAGAGGAATTTTTTTGGGCTTTGTATCTGGGGGCTTGGGCTCTGCGGAAGGGATGGGGGCGCTCTACTCAGGACGTGCCGCACCACTTCTTCGGGTTCAGCTTCGCAGCCAGGAGAATTAGAATGGAGTACAGGCGCAGTTTGGCATTTCGCGTCTCACACCTCTTGTAGCATTTGCTTTACAGCTCAAGAATCCACTCCAATTATCTAAATGATGTTGTATCAAGATGTTTTGTACTACTCCCAATGCAAATTCCAGTATCAATAAACAGACTAGCCTCCAAACCTGCCATCCGACCCTTTTCCCATCCCGCTAACATGCACATTTTTTATTCCCAGCGCGCATCCTAATATCAAAGCCCAGACGCCTCGGCCCATAATAATATTATATCCGCTCTGCCAATTCTTGCAAACCCCATGCCATTAGCTCGCATTGTCCATCTCCCAGCAGCTCTTCAAAACCCCTCCGGAAGGGATCCTTCCCGACCAATGCAGTCTCGCCAGAACATATATATTTTCCGTTCCTCTCCCTTCCGGCCATTCAATATCCCTCGCGCCATCGCATGCCACCTATTACATATCACTCCCTAGCCTCAGTAAACCCTTTCTCCTCCCCGACCTCTGCCTCCGGCCCCTTTCCGTCACCGCTGAGCGAGTATTGAAAGAATTGCCGCTTTAGATCTTCACGGTCCCAGCTCTGTTGGCGGTTGAGATTCGGACACCAGGTCTCGCTGGGGCTGACGATGGTCTCGCCTTGGCTGTTCCGGCGGCCATCGGGGATGGAGACGACGTGTTTGGGTTTGGATTTGGATTTGAGTTTTGGAGATGAGGTGGTGTTGGAGTGTTGATTAGAGTGCTGATTAGAGTGCTGATTGGAGTGCTGATTGGAGTGTTGATTCGGGTGTTGATTGGAATGTTGATTGGAGGCGTGGGAGGTTGAGGTTGAGGTTGCCATTGTTTCGATATAGTTAAGCTGTTGCTTTTCTATCGAGGGATTAACGAAGTGCACAGGTGATTCAACCAAAGGGTATTATCATTTACCTTTCTGATTTCAGTTGTATTTTGTAGGATATGGTTGATGTGATATGATGCTTCTTTATTCAGTTCGAAAATCTAGATCAAGGGACTCGATCGCCCGTGGAAATATATTTATAGGTTTCACTCAGTGGCGAAACCCACCCCCTCTCCGTTCGAGTACCACCAATGGCGATATATCGCCGAGTATCGGGGGATGTGTAACCCAAGCAAAACCAGCGTTAGTGTTCTTTATATGGGGTGATATATTGGCACCAAGACAAAGCATGCGGGTTGGGTGATTTATGCGAGCACTGGCTCGTACGATTTTCCAAGGCCGGGCGGTGGCTATTTATTTAAGCTCAGATTTATTAGTCAAGTTCGTTTAAATGCACTTGTCAGGTGTGATATGATCTGGAGATGGGAGCTGTGTTTTAATGGGCCTTTGTTCAAAGTTTATAGAGGGTTACAAATTGCGGGGAAACGAGGAATGTTATGCGATACCCCGCTAAGCATTTGACGACATCGAATTGGAGGATGATCAAGCGACCAACCAATGCCCTGCTGTTTCAAGACGCTTCAATGGAATAAAATAATACCAAATAGGTTTTATTAATACTACAGTATGGCTCTATTCCAGCTTCCGCTTTGAACACTCTTTTTATAAGCCACACTTATTAGGTCAGCACACTAGAGTAATTATGGTTAGTGGTGCTCTTTGTCATTATTGCCAAATAAGGACAGCTGACACTTCACCTAAATCACGGACATATCAGCATAAAGGCATATTGCCCCTATTCCGAGCGTTTAATCCTGTACTTTGTCGTTTCGATTTCTTGATTATATAGTATTTTCCAGAAACAGTTCTATAAGGACTTACTTAAAAAATGTATTAACAAAAGCTATGGTATGACAATAATAAGTATCTTTCCCCGATTGCTTTATTTCACATCTTCTAACAATATTAGTAGTCTCCTTAGACCATCATCGCTATCTAGAGCATCCTCCTACTATATCAGATCCCCCTCGAGATGTCGCTTACTGCTTACTGCCTTCTGCCAAACATCTGGTGGAACACTTTCCCTTGCCTTTTCGCACCAAATTGTCAAGAAAATAGAGGTTGACTTTATTCTGGCATCCACGTTTAATAAGGCAGAGCTCTGTGAGACTACAAAAAGGCATCCGCTCAGACCTAATTCGTCATGTTGAGAGGAAGCAGGACTGGCCGGTCCGGTTGAACATTTCCCGTGCTTATTGTCTGCTGCGCTGCTTATTGTCTGGCTCGTCATCCCTCACCTCTGGTTTCATCCCTCACCGCTGGTTTCATCCCTCACCTCTGGTTCCTCATCTTTCAACCTCGTCACCAAAACAACTCGACAGCTAAAATTCCATCAGCAATCATCATGAACCCTATCGCCCAGCTCGCGGCCCGCTCCGCACGCCTCAATGGCGCCTCCGCATTGCGACAAGCAAACCCAATCGCTCGTCGAGCTTTCACCAATGGTACGTCAGCAGCTTCACATCCTCGGCAAAGCAATAGCTAACAACAAATCTGTCCTACAACAGGTCCAACAACCTCAATCTCTCGATTCCAGCCCTCCGCCCACAATTCCGGTCTCCTTATGAGCCGCGCCATGCTCCGTAACCCGGCCTCCAGCGTCGCCCGCGGCCAATCGCGCGGCGTCGTGACCGAGACCATCACCGTCGGAGCCGCCATCCTGGGCGCCGGTAAGCTCATCGGAGCCGGAGCCGCTACAGCAGGACTCATTGGTGCTGGAACTGGCATTGGCACGATCTTTGGGTCCTTGATTAACGGTGTTGCGCGGAACCCTGCACTTAGGGCACAGTTGTTCGCATATGCCGTTTTGGGGTTTGCGATTGCTGAGGCCACCGGGTTATTTTCGCTGATGGTTTCATTCTTGATTCTGTTCGCTATGTAAGCAGCTTAGAAGGAGCTTATTGCTAGATATGTTACTGTTATTATAGCTCTATATTTCTTCAATGAAATAATAGGACACGACGAAACAGTGAGGGTTTCTTACCTAGATTCTTGGCTCCTTGGGGGGTAGCAGATGCCCTGGGAAAGATGGTAGCTCTGCTGTTTTCTCAATGCTCTCTCTAGACAAAAATAGCTAGGCCCAAAATTCGCCGAATATTGAATATTAGGACAATGTATCAAATTCATTCAGGTAGTATGTGTTCAATGATGTTGAGATCAATCATTCAGGCCAGCTACACGGGCTTTTAATCTCTCGTTCTTCTCGAGATCTTTTGATACACTGTATTCTTCTGGCTCGCCTACAACAACATCCGAAAAGTTATTCCCACACCACCCATGCTGCAGTCTCTCCAGTTTCGTAATCTTAACCTTCCATCCATAATCACACATCTTCTGCCCCAGCTCTCTACCCAAAATAGTACCCTGGTACGCAACCATGAGCGCACGAATATCAATAACAACCTCCTTCAATGACAAGATGGTCTTGAAGCGTGCATCCAGCAAATCTAGCACCGCCACTGCAAGTCTCAGGGGGGGTCCGGAGCTTCCGGGCGAAAAGCAATCTGGTGAATTGTGCGCATGTCGTAGGCCTGGAACATTCTCTAAGGCATTCATCTTGACCTCTAGAGTGGTGAGACTTGTGCATTCCTGTCGAATGAGTTCTAGCTGTTCGACGAACTTCTCTGAAAGTTTGGGACTTTCATTCGTGAAGTCTTGAAAGCGAAGGAAGGGGATGCAGATGTGACTAAGAAAGCTCGCATTGTAACTTCCGATTTGGCGAAGAAAAGCGTCGAGAGGCTCGTATGTGGTAAACACAGTTGGCTTGGGAGGCGTTGGAGGCTTCGCCTTGACGAATGGTCTGGTTCCAAATTTCCAATACTATTCATCTCCAGTTAGCAAAGTATACAACACTTGGTAAGAAAAATCAAATAGCCCAACAAATGGGTTATGAAATTTGTGAGATATTTGCACGACCTTTTTCAGTTTGTTATGCTTCTTATACTTCTCCCCTACAGTAAGAGGGCGGCGTAGATCAGGAACATCAAAGCAGTTTCTGGAGTAAAGCACCGTATTGCCTTCCTGCCGAATTCTCTTATTAGCGCGTAGAAGCGCTGGACAAAATCCGCAATGCTTGGATCGGGTCGCAACGAGTGTCTCGGCTCTAGGCCAGGTAGAATTGTCACTTTCTACTTCAAACGTGATGGGTTCGGAAGCAAGAAGTTGTTCTTCATAAATTCTGAGGCGGATCTCAATGGGCAAGCTAAAGAAGTTCGTCGGCATTGCGATATGTGTGGCTTTATAGAGGTAGGTCGGCTTGAGAGAGATTGCGATGAAGGATGATGAGAAGTATGGAGAAGGACGAGGAGATATAAGCCACGTAAGTGCTTTTGAAGGAAAAAGCTCATTTACAAGAGATACCTGATGAGGTGGTTTTTCATGTATGTCCCAGGTATTTACGTGAAAAGGAGGAGGCTGGCTGTGCATCGAGGTGGCGGGGTAATCTTGCGATTCCTGTCGGAGCCTACCTTACAGAGCGAGGTAGGCCAGAGATTACACCAACCACCAGGGAGAGTTAGAATTGATGGGCGAGCCGATATGCCGCAAGATCAAAAAATCTTTATTATTATGGTATTCCAACCTTCTCAGCCTCCATTGGATTAAGATCTAGCGATTGACCAGGGTGGGCCAGCTTTCTTGCAAGCCCTGGAAGTCGCATTCCATGTGAAGGGTCACCATCTTCTTTTAGAAGCGAGCTAGTCGGAGTAGGCTCTTCTTTTGCCCGTAGATTGTGCATCGCCTCGATAGAGCTTGGTAGGAGGCGTTCTCAGTAGTAGTGGATCCATAGGAAATGATAGGTTGGGACAATCACCGCATAAAACAGCGACAAAACCCGCTGGACTGGGGCGGCCATCCACCTGAACAGTGCGTCTAGCTGAAATGATTTTCTTCCTTCTGATTGACACTTATATTTTCCATTTCAAGCAAACACGCAAGTATGGCAATCTGTGTAAAGAAATTAATTAATACGTCTATTCTAAGTTACATTTTTATCAATAAAGTAATAATCCATACAAAATATATACAGCTTTTCCCTCCTTGAGTTCAAAATATACATCGACTTCTCAATGGAGGCTCTATACATGACCGTCGACGCAGAAGTTGGAACTGAGGTATAGAGCGTCCTTCGAGAAGTCGATATAAATCTTGAACTCCTTGCTAGATGTCGCAACGAGGCATCGACTTCTCGAAGGACTCTCTATACATGACCGCCGACGCGGAAGTTGGAACTGAGGTACAGAGCATCCTTCGAGAAGTCGATATAAATTTTGACCTACCTAACCAGACTCGTACCGAGATTTGGCTACGAGTCTGGTTAGGTATGAGGCTCGAAAGAGTGGCGGGGTCAGTTTTTTAATTCTGACTGTAAATCTGAAGGTAGAACAAGTACTACAAAAATTAGATGCGTTTTTTGGTTCAGAAGATGTCTAGATGACTTACCCGCTGTGGGTCGTCCAGAGCGGCTGCATGGTCGAGTGTCCATCTGTCATGAACAGACCGTCCACCGAACTCCCCGAAGCCTCATCGCTATGCCAAATTGGTTTTGGTGTAGCAGACGAGGCTTCGGGGAGTTGCCGATTTCCAAGTGGGTGGCCATAATAATGGGAACTCTGTTTGCCAGAACAGTAACGTGAGATGTTGAAGTTGCTGGCGACCCTCCTAGTCGCGTCGGTTTTTGTTGTACCGAGCGAAGAGAGGGTTCGAGGTAGATCTGGACTTCGACGGTCGCTCGAGAAGCTAGGCTTCTCTTGCGACCTCTAGGAAGATTGACTTAATCTGGTTGGTAAACAAAGGTTGGAAGATCGATGGGAGCTCCAATGCTTGGAGCATATTTGCCGGAATAGCAAAGTGTGCGGTGGTAGAGTTGCTGGCGTCCCTCCCAATCACGGCGGTTCTTATCATACCGGTTCGGTGGAATGTACATTCTGGTACCATCGAGGCCTGGGGGGGGGGGGTTTCATAGGTCGACAGTTGCGAGTGCTGTCGCCCCTCCCAGTCGCGTCGGTTCTTATTATATCTAGCAAAGAGACCGCCGAGAGATTCTGGCTGGGGGTTGATTCCTCTCTGATTTGAGCACGTTGGCAGACCTGGGCAATAGAGGGGTGCAACAGATGGTTGCCCCTCCCTGATTGCACCAGGCCCGAGACGGCTCTAAAATATGTTTGCCAGAACAGTAAAGTGTGGGGTCCTGGAGCTGTTCCTGCTCGCTCGATTTCTTCGGTCCTTATTGTACCGCTCATAAAGGTGAGCAGACCCGGGTAGCTGCAGAGTTGGGGGTGTCTGCTTGGACACCCCTATGAGCGATACAAAAAGAACCGAAGAGATTGAGAGCGCAGGGACAGCTAAGGATGCATCCCGGTAACTGATATAGAGAATCTGTTTGCTAGGATAGCAAGGTGTGCTTCGTTGAGGCGGCCTAAAAATACGTTAGCTAGTTCAAAAAGTCTTAAGGTTTAAAAGGGAGGCACTTACAGCAACTGCACGGCAGCCACAGTGGCGCCCGCGGAGAGGGATATTTGTGAGGCTATTAAGTCTGCCCCGAAGCTGGAGCAGTTCCCGCAACCCCCCCGGGTTTGTTATGCCAGTCGTAGAGGCGAATCGGGATTTTGACAATCCATGGTGGCACCTCTACAACCGACACAACAAGGGCCGAGTGGGCCGAGAGAACCGATACCATAGCATGTCGAGGATTTCGTTTAGAAAATTATGAGGAGAATATGTTTGCCGGAATAACAAGGTGTGCGATATGAGGCTCTGATGGCTGAGCAAATCATCCCGGTTCTTGTTGTGTCAGTTGTGTCGGTTGTGGAGGAGTGGGTTTGATGCCCCTCTGCGATGGGTTGGCCAGAGGCACCTCCACAACTGATACAACTGACACAACAAGAACTGAGATGATTTGCTCAACCACAGGTTGTCGTGCTAGGAATGGCCTCCTTCACCCAGTAGGTGAGGAAGGTATCGATCCTAATTCTCTGGTTTCTTTGGGAGGAAGAGAGCGGCCTATGAACTTCCCGACGGACATGTGGGGAGGACTGGATAATCGCCCGGCGAAGGGGTGATACCCTCCCCCACCACCCCGGAGGCGCTACTGCAGCCTGGAATTGCGTTAGCTAATTCGAATATCGTCAGAGATTCAAGAGAGAACACTTACAGAATTTGTATCACCAGCAGCGGGAGCCCAGGTACCAAGGCGGAGCTCACGCTCAACCACAAAACAAGTCGATATGAGTTCGAGGAAGGGAGGCACTATCTCCTTGGGAGGTGCGTGCTGGCCTCTTTCGTGATGGTAATCGGATGGATGAGAAGAGGGGAGTAGGAGGAGAAGTTGGGGGAAGCGGGAGTATTTATGAGAAGCGGAATATGTGGATCTGTATTAAAGTTAAGAATGTTGTTCCAAACATAAATCGGTTTGGTACTTACATATATAAGCCTTTAGAAGGAATGGAAGCATCCTGCCCTTGGTCATGAGTCGTCAAGTTTAGAGATCCCCTCTCAAGTTCTAGACCCGAGGTGTCCATAGCTTAACTTTTGCTGGCCTTCAATTGTAGAATTTACTTCTAAGATGATGAGGTGGTGTGGATGTAAGGTGTTGTTGTGAGATGTGAGGAGGGTGGTCTTGACTCAAGTCCAGGGTTGTTAACTTGTTAGATCGACGAAGGACAACAGTCTAGTCAGCTTTGTTAGCGATAGTGAAGAGAATGAGACGGTAGTAGGTAGAGTTGAGCTTTAGGACTTACTTCTAAGATGATAAGAGTGTAGGTGTTGTTGTGATGAGATGGGAGGAAGGTGGTCTCGAGTCAACTCAAGGGCTGTCAACATGTCAGATCGACGAAGGACAGCAGCCTGACCAGCCTTGTTAGCTACAGTGAAGGGGACGAGACTGTAGAGCTGAGCTTGAAGACTTCTGAGATGATAAGATGGTGGTGTGGTTGATAAGTGTTGTTGTGAGGAGATGGGAGATGGGAGATGGGAGAAGAGGTTGTTGTGGTTTGTATTTTTGGAGAATTGAAATGTGCGAAGGTGCGGCCTTGGGGACTAACCTTTAGCGACTTTTACCGGTCAAAGATGCGGTGTGAAGTTCTTAAAGATGGCAGTAAGTTCACAGGCGGAGTGAAGCCTTAGAGTGGAGTGAAGTCCCGAAGAGAGGCAGAAAGTCAGTGCGGTGTATAGACGGGTAAGAGACACCTAAGTTTGAGGGACAATAAGCGGTGACATGTAATCACAAATCATAAGTGATTGAGTACAGAGAGGTACCTTCAGTTCAAAGAGACAGAATAGGTGTAACAACAATGTAATTGCAACGTCTAACATAGTGCCTCTATAGACCTAACTAACGGCGGTATAGAGTTGAACCTGTGTCTTTACACATCCATTATCAACGTTATCCCTCCATCCGTACCCAACTCCGATTTGAGTCAGGACTTTTTGCAAGAATAGTTCTTCCACCATGCATGAGAAAGGAAAACGGGACAGTATCATACGCCGCGCTATGCTGGGTATGATGGATACAAAAACAATAGACAGATAGAGAATTATGAGATCGTATCTTGGTATGCACGAGCGGAGCAAGTGCATTGTACATATCCCATGAATAAGAAGGCCCTCCTAACTCAACGCAAAAGAAGTACATTGGGCAGAGCGCTAATACATCAATTCAATTGATCATGGTGTTCGTGGTCGCTTCCAGTAATATTGCTATAATGGGGTCAGTACCGTCATCAATGAGGGGAATGTGGCATGGGCTTATATACCTTGTGTTGCTTTCGACAGTTCCTCAAACTTGGTTTCCTCAGTCCATCTACAACGGCTGCTCTGCGCTGGGCATCCGTGTCTTCGTCCGGAATGTAGTAATACTCGCTCTCCAGGGCCTTTCCTGCTGCATCTTTCCCCTCCCGGTGGATCTCCCCGATGCAACGTGCAGAATTTAGGAATTTGCAAAGGTCTGCTTTCGTAAGGCCCTTATTTTCTGGGAATGATGGGCTGCTGCCTTTTAAGTCTGCTGGTAGGTGGTTCATGATGATGGAGAGTGGCGTGGAGGATAGACGTGAAAATGCAAGTTGGTTGACAACGTGATTGATTATTGGGATTGCCTCGGCCTCATTGGTGGCTTCGGAGCTTGCTCTGGATTTGGGTGAGGCTGTAGGTTGGCGTTTCCCTCGGGCTCTCTCCGGAGAGCCACCAGTGGTGAAGGAGGCCATACGAGAGGAGATATTGGCTCCAAAGGGGCCGAAGGAGTGTACAATTGGGTCGTTTTCTTCGTCTGGATCTTGTTCCTCCTCTGGCTCGCTGAGATCGCTTGACGGGCTGTCAAATGCGGGTGCAGGGAAAGATGTTGCTGCTTGCGTGGATACCATGGAGTGTCCCGCGGCAATGTCCTGAGCGTTGTCTGGGGATGATTCATCCTCATATACCTTAACCACATCTGGTTCTACACTATCAGAAAAGAGGTCGGAAAGATTGGTCGACGAGTGGGCCGGTCCAGCAGGCGTAGGGGAAACTGGTGACTCGAGGCGCTGCGCACGACGCAAAGGGCTTGAATGGATAACTTGGCCACGAGCACTGACAGCCGTAACGCGAGCTCTGGGCGAGTTCTCGTCATCCCAAGACGAATCTGTCTGAGCTCCACCATTGTCTTTATTGTCTCTCTCTGGCCACGCGACCAGCACGCGCGCGTCTTGAACATCCAACATGATCTCTGCATTCTCTGTCTCCGAGGTAAAAGTATCATCCTTTGCCAATTCCCATGTTCTACCCTGACAGTGCAATTTGACTCCATTCCAGCCTTTAGATTTAATCTCGACCCTGTTCGGTTCAAGAGGGAGCGACGCGGGGATATATCGAGCTTCGACGTGAACGCGAGAAATCAAACGATTGGCCGACAATTGGTAGTGCGACGACGTACTGGACCTGCCCATTCTCAATACATCTCCATTTTCGGACAAAGTAATTGAGGGGACCGCGGATAGTGGAGCCCGTTCGGAAATCGACGAGTGAGTTCGGTGAAGGCTAGGTCTGCCTTGAACACGCGGGGGTGAAGATGAGAGAATTCCAGTTGTTGAAGTTGGGATCGGAGTAGGATACTTTTGATATGCTGCTGCTGCTCGCTCTGAAGGAGAGGATCGGGCTTGTCTCTTGGAAGGGCGAGGAAGAATGGGAGAAGAGGACATGGGCTCGAACGCGGGCAGTAATGTTGGAGCAGGACGTTTCACTCCCGCCGAGGGAGGAAAGCTGGATAGGACATTTGCCTTGCTTGGAGACGAGTCCATCATGGTGATTAATTACCAGTTGTCGTGTCCGACCTTGAGGTTTTTCAGAGGAAGGGCCTCTGAGGGTGGGCTATAAGTCGCGCCTGGACGCGATCTATAGACGATTGATATTGGCCGAATTGGAAGCCCAAGGGAATATTTCGCAAACTAAAGCTCGAGAAAAAGTAACCTCGAGAATGGGGAAAGAAAGAGGCATGGACCGAGTTTTTGAAGGTCACGAACGCGGTCGCCCTGTGTCAGTTGAGGAGACTGGGCCCTGGTGTTAGAGACGCGAGCGTGTTAAGCTAAGCTGCGGAGCGCCGTCGCCGTCGCCTAAGTTATGCTACATGTACATACATGGACAGTACACATTTGCACATTTGCACCAACCAACGAGCCCGGAATGCGATGCAATGACGTGCAGCTGGCCTGGTAGGGAAATAAAATAAAATACGAGATCTCAGATCAATTACAAGGAAATCGAGAGCCCGTTCTGCTAGATATATCGACAGACGTATCGCATTCATTGCATCCCCACTGTTGGAGTTGCATCCTTCTTTCTCGCCTGGAGGGGTAGAGCTATCAGTCGCGTTCTCGTTCTCGTTTCTCCCCACTTGAGGCATCCGATCCTTTATCCCAGCCTCCCAGATCACGGTCTCACGGTCTCACGGTCTCACGGTCCATACACGCGCAAAGCAACACCATCCCTACGCGCCGACGAGACATATCCGGTGTAGGAAGTTCGGTTCTCGTGCATACGCAGGCTCCTTTAGCAGTCACCTCGGCTGTCTGACAGCACAAATCCACTTGCATGCAGAAGGCGCGCAGAGAAGAATAAGAGCTTTTCTCAGAGATGGAGCCAGAAGTCGAATGTAGAAGTTCGTGCCGGCAGCGCTCGAAGGATTGCGGATTATTGGGTATTGGCAAGAAGCATAAAAGAGTATAAATGAATCTGTGGAGGAGAAGGGCATAAACAGACATAAACAGACATAAAAGAACACAAAAAAGATACCAACGGACACCGCGACATAAAAGGATAGAGATCCCCGCACTTAGTGCATTTTGTGCTGCTTAGCAACTTATTGACACTTTTTCCCTTATCGGTATACGCGGTGTCACGTGTTGACGCATTTCCAGAGCGGATGAAGTTGGAACGGGGACCTGGCTAGGTAGAGGTAGAGGTACTACCTTCAGTATCAATATTAGTGAATTGGCTATTTTTCTATTTTCACTCGAATACAAGTTTATCGACTACAAGGCCGCTTTATTTTCTGCCGCATATAAATGTATTCCCCAAGTCATGCCTATCTACTACGTACTTCGCGGTGAGAGTTCCCGGGCCAAGGGCCAAATCGCTGTTAGGGTCTCGGGCGAGGATGCTTATCGGTCACACTTCAGGTTACGCTCGCATTATCTACGATCATCCTATTGGATGTGATTCATTGCCAGACTTCTCACCTTTTATCTGTCACTCTTCAATTTCCCCCAAGTCAAAGGCAACTCAAAGTAAGGTACTATGTCTCGGTGTATACACTGCGTGTGTAACCTTTATATTCGCAATCCCTTCCAACCGCAGCTCTGCGCATCCCATCCCATCCCGCTCAACACTTTTGTCTTCTCCCTCGCTACCTCCACCCCTAGCCTCCGCTGTGCTACTGCTCTAGTTGAATATCCTCTATCGACAATAACGGATAAGGAGCCTAGGAATGTGCCTTGCTGAGCATACGGCTAGCCCAGCTACAAGTCGTATCTTTGCACTTTCACGCAGAATTTGATGGCAGCTCTTGGCGGCGGCCTAACGAAACCGAGATCCAGTGCTACCTACAGAGTAATTCAGACTCTGGTCACTATGAATGCAACCCCTCTGAAGCGCTTGTGGAGTATGGGAGCTGATTGAGTAGCCTGGGTTCTCGACTGCAACTTACAAATAGTGAGGAATAGTCTGAGATATCGAACTAGTAGATAAATCGAGCACACCAACGAGCATGGACAATTAGGAATATTGATGTTTGATCAGCTACCTGGGTAATAAAGAGTCTAAAATCACTGTGCGTCATAAATCGGCTTTATATTGATTTTAACACACATAATAAATATAAATATATTTATTACAAGTCATTTTTGACAGGTACCTTACTTCGTATGTGAGGGGTGAGGATCTATGAATCCTAAAGGGGCAAAGCGCACAATCGGCGTTCTTGAGCCCAAGCACCGACCTCCAAAAAAAATCAAAATCTCAGATACCACTATCGATCTGCGGGACAATCAGGACAGAAGCGTCAACAACAATGATTGTAGATTACGCAGTCGTCCAACACCCTCCCCAAACACCTCCTGAATTGACCATATTAAAGGCCAGGCCAAGATCAAATTTTATAATGGCGCCTACCTCCACTGCGCTGACCGTCAAGGTCGAGAGCGGATCGCCGTATCAACTCAGTCAAGACCAGGTTTGCGCTCATTTCTTGAAAACCCAACAACAAGCCCGTACTAATTTCTTCAGGTACTGAAAGCTTCCGGTGCGCTCCTAAAGCACATGAAGACCTCGGAGAAAGAATCGGAAAACTCGAACGAGAAGAAGAATCTCCTCGCAGACGCCGACGACGACGAGGAAAGCTCTGCCACCCCGATCTGGCTCATCCTCTCAACCAAGAAGCACATTGCCGACAAGAAGCGCCTAAAGCCAAGCAAGATCGCAATTCCTCATTCTATCAATTCCTCCGAAAGCTCAACCATCTGTCTCATCACCGCCGACCCTCAGCGCACATACAAAGACATCGTCGCCTCGCCTGGATTCCCTAAAGAACTCGCCTCGAGAATCACCAAGGTCGTGGGCATCGACAAGATCAAGCGCAAGTACACGCAATATGAAGCTCAGAGGAAGCTAAAATCAGAGCACGATCTTTTCCTCGCGGACGATCGGATCATTGTCGGATTGCCAAAACTGCTAGGGAAGACAATGTACAAGGGCACCAGTAAACGACCCATCCCTGTGACGCTTTCTGCTCCTGCGCCCAGGACAGAGGGCAAGCGTATCAAGCGAGCGAAGGGGGAAGAGCCGGGTGCCGCGCAGCCTTTAGCTATTGCGAAGGAGATCGAGAAGGCGCTAGAAGGCACTTCCGTCTATCTATCACCCACCGCAACAACGTCTATTAAAATCGGATATTCTAACTGGGATGCGCAAAAGCTCGCGGCAAATGTGGAGGCTGCTGCCAATGCCCTGATCGAGAAGCACGTCCCCCAGAAATGGAGAGGTGTGAAGGGATTACACATCAAGGGCGAGGCAACGGCAGCGCTACCTATATGGTTGGCAGATGAACTGTGGGTTGACGAGAAGGACGTCCTGACAGAGGAGCAGGCGAAGGAGGTTGCGCAGGCGAATGTGGGGAAGAAGCGGAAGGCCATTGAGGCCGTGACCGAGGAAAAGAAGCAGGAGACGCTTCCAGCAAAGAAACAAAAGCTGCTAGAGAGCAATGATGATGCTTTGGATAGGGAGATTGCGCTGAGAAAGGAGAAGTTAAACAAGCAGAAGGAGGAGGCTGCTCAAGATGTGCTTGATGAGGTTCCGCAACCTTCGAAGAAGTCAAAGAAGGCCAAGGGGAAGGGCATTGCTAAGTGATGTGGTGTTCTGCGGCTTGAATCGATGCATTGCTTGGCGTCTAGGAGTCGAGGAAAAGGGAAGAAACATATGCTTTGTGTAAACATCAAAATGGATATGAGCGTTTACTTAGGATATTACCAAGTCACGAACTCTTTTTTAATGCTGATATTCCGTGGATTAAAAATGCGATACTTGCTATAGGAGTTTCCGCCATCCATTCCTCAATTTGCAATTACACCCTCTAAGGTATGCTTTGATTCTTCTTTCACAGGCCATTGAAACGCCACGCCAAAAGGTATCCTACAAACAATACAGTTCCCATCACAACTCCTTCTCTCTTGGATAATCCGTTTCTTTCTGGCCATCGAAGGGCCTTCCATAAACACCATAGTTCTCACTGAAGACTTTCGCCAACAACTCTCCGTCCAAAGTCATATGGCCCCCGCCCGTAACTTCAAATTTCAATGCTCCCTTCTCATCCAACGTCCTCAATCCCAACCAATCCTCCTTATATATAGCCCTATCTCTCAAAAGCGTAACCTCTGTGCCGTTAACCTCCGAGAACCAGCCCGTCTCCTTAGGAATAACAGTCGTATCATCTTCAAACGTATACATGACGAATCTCTCCAGCTTCTCCAGATTCTTTTTGTATGTCTGGTTCTTCAGCACACGCTCGTTGTTTATGTCTGCGAGAAAATTGGAGTGTTCCAGGTAGGCCTCCATCTGAGTCGGATCGCGGAAGTACTGCGCAGGCACCAATCGACTCTGCACAAACGACGACCACGTATTCGACCTCAAGATCCCTTGCGCGCCCTTGCAGAGCCAGTCCGTCGCCGAGCAGGACTGGAATTCGGAAATCCCATTATGCTGGCTTCCAAACGTAACTAGGCTCCTCACTGGCGGGAAATTGCATCTCTCAATGTATCCCCTAAGGAGTTGTCCGCCTTGGGAGAACCCTAGGGCATCGACTGCGGGGGCGGTGGATAGAATTGGGTGAGCGGCTAGCTCTTCACAAACTTGTTCGATTTGGAGCGTGATGTTGCCGAAGAAGGTTGCGGAGCGGTCGCCGGAGGCTGTATCATCCAAGCGGATTATGTAGGTTAGGGTTCCTGGGTTTACAGTTTCTGCGAGGGAGGCGACGGAGGCCAGGCCATCGGCGGCATAGTTATCGCCCAGACCATGCCAGATTATGAGGGGGAGAGGGGTGTCGGAGTTATCGTCGTCATCATTGTTGGCGATGTGAGTAGAGGGCGTGGAGATTGGGGCAATGTAGGCGTGAGTTAAGGATGAGAGCGTAAGAGCGGTGAAGAGGGTTCGGAGGCGTGCCATGGCTGATGTTGATGCTAATGGCGGTGGTGGAGAGGTTGTTGTTGTGATGTTGGACGGCTGGGGAATGGAGACTTGGAGATATGGGCCCTGGACTTGCCGCTTTTATGTTTGGAGCTCCAGGCTATTTCGGCAAGAGCTCTCCGTACCACGACACAAATCAACACCTCTGAGATATATAATGATTTATGGCTACAGGTCCAGGAGATACAGCCCACTTGGCCGGCCGCGTCTATCAAACCGTCTCATTTAACGTTCGCAGGTGTAGTTCATAAAGGCGCCTACGAGCAAGGACTCTGATACTTATCGCACGCAATCTAAACTCCGATCGTAGCAGATCGCCATCTCCGAGGTTCTGCCGCCCCATCTAGCAAAGATCGCAGCAATGTCCGGCTTCTCATCTATATATCAATACGCATACTGCCCCGAGTCCCAGATGGCTCCAGCAAATCGCCCGGAGGCGGCACCTCCCAGCTCAGCAGTGACTGGCCCACATCCGTCCTACATCCAAGTCGCAAAGCCGTACGTTTTCCAGCAGCAACTCCAGGGTCGATTGGTAGCAATCGGGGCAAACCCGACGCGCGAGGATACCTTCCGGCTTCAGGGTGTGCAATGGATCAACGATGTGCGCATAGCGTTACAGTTGTGAGTTATATCCTTAGGAGATGTGCCGTTTCCAATGCTCATGGTTGGCAGACCTGTTCGAACATTTTGCACGGCTTGTGTATATTACCATAAGTTCCGCCTCGTCCATAAAGACAACGAGTACCAGTTTTATGATGCGGCGGCTGCCGCGTTACTCACGGCATGCAAAATTGAAGATACGTTGAAGAAGTCGAGGGATATTCTCTGTGCGGCACATAACCTCAAGGTTAGCGTTGCTGAGCACCTAAGTCCGGATGATAACGTGAGTATATACAAGCGCTGTGTTGAAATCCGGTGTCTAATTCATACATCTAGACATTCGAAACACCCTCTAAAATAGTTATTGGCCTTGAACGTCTTATGCTTGAGGCTTCAGCGTTCGATTTCCGCGCCCGATACCCACACAAACACCTCATCAAGCTCGCGAAGGAAGCCAAAGTCGATAGCGATGTGGCAAAGATGGCCTACGATATTATGCTCGATCTCTACAGAACATTTGCTCCTCTCAAGCAGAGTTGCGCCGCAATGTCATTTGCTTGTATCGAACTCGCCATCCTACTCCTAGAAAAGCAACTAGATGCTGTCCGCGGACCACGGGCACCAAGATACAGAAAGTGGCACACCACGCGAGCAGAGGTTATCGAGACGGTTCTAGACCTCTTGGAGCACTACACGCATTTTCAGAAAGCTTCCATCGTTGGGCCCTCATATCCGATTGATAAGTTCATTAACATCCGAATCAAGATCAATCAAGAAATGGAACAGGCGGCCCCCTTAAGTCGCTATACCGAATTTCACGAAGGGTCGAAATCTAACGGCGTCAAATCGAATATCAAAACGCCCAAGACACCCATTACCCCCGCTAGTCCATCAGAACTTCGTACCAACGGCAGAGACGGTGCCTCCCCAGCAACACTCAGCCCGCGCTCTTCAGGCTCGGGCCGAAAAGGCATGGGGGCACGTGGCCAAGATGGCACTGTCCGGTTCATGCTGGATGCTGAGAAAGCTAAGCAAGAAAAGGATACGGTGGCAGAGTACTTCAAGGTCGAATACGAGGAGTATGAGGTGGAAGTTGAGGAGCCTATCAAGAGGGAGGAAAGGGGGAACTATCGCGACAGAAATGGGCGTGATAACGGGTATTATAAGAAAGTCCGCAGGTGAAGCAATACAGCTTTTTTTCTGGGTGGTTATTGGCGTTCGAAATGGGGCATAGAACTGGCGTAGGGATGATACCACGAAATTTAGGATGCAAATGTAACAAATGGCAAGGGATTTTCGGATTTTTCATTTCAAACTCTTGCCGCCCTGCGTGAGATTCAATTTCTACAACCAAAAACAAATCAGATCATCTATTAATCCTGTTACTTGTACTTGGAGCAGCAACTTGATTTGCCACGCTGAGGTAGGAGTAGGCGTTGGTGAGTGCCGCTTGGCCAACATGTGAACCCACACTTCGAACTATGACGACGAAGGCCGGAGACGGCTTCGCTGATTCATGGCCGTACCAAGGAAATTAGCAGTACCTGGAGATGTAGATGTAGATGTAGATGTAGCTTATATTCCTGCGATTTGCTTTCACCACCTCGACTTCTAACATCTCGTTATTTGAATATACCCGCAGCTTGTCGCCCATCCAATTATCAGCGATATATAAACACAGTATTATTTTGTCTGCAAGTAGGACGGAGTAGTGTCTCTTGTTCTACATTCCACCCGCAGGCACAGGTCGCTCGCTAAGGGCCAAGCTAAGCCAACCGCAGTCAACTGTGGCTCAGTGACGTTCTCAAGTCAACCTCCGACCAGGATTGTTGCTTTCCGGCCATCTTTCAACTTCTAAAGGTTCCTAAGGTCCCACCACCATCCGAACTTGCAAGTAACACCTCACATTCCCCCTCTCGCTCTGCAATCGCATATATCCCATACCACCAGCTCCGATTGTTCTCGATCTTCATCTGTGCATACACAAGACAACATGGCGCCTCCTCCGTCGGCCTCTCTCCCGCTGCAGCAGAGGCTTATTGCCCTTGCGCAGACGCTGCAATGTAAGAAAAAACACCCTCTGAGCCTGCGCATCAATGAGTGCTGATGCTGATTTAATCTACAGTCGCGTGGTTTGTCGGGTACGTGTAGCTTCCTTATAATCATCGAATCAACATAAACGGTCGCTGGATGCTTTGGTGTTTGCCTTGTGCGGCTGCCAGCTCCAAGATCGAGCTGCTCGTGCTCCCGGCCACCCGCCATGCCATGATACTGATAATTCCCGTTCACTCACTAACCATCTCTCTGCAGACACCTGACTCTCCTCTTCTGCATCTTCCGATACAGCTTCTCGTACATCACGTTTAACTACTATTCACGATGGGCGATCTTTTCCTACCGCACAGCCTTTGTCTCGGCAGCGGTGACATACGGGATTGTGGTGTACAAGGCTTTCCGCGCTCGATCAAGAGCTGGGAGCAGAGCTCAGGGAGGTGTTCTTTCGCTCGCAGCTGATGAGAACGTCCAATATCTGGGTAAGCTTTCCCCCACCATTGCTGCCTGGCGAGGTATTCCTAACACATACCAGCCATGGCGCTCGTCTGGCTCTTCTCTCCACAGTATCCTCTCGCCATGCTCCCCTTTGGCGTCTACTCTGTCTTCCACGTCGCGACCTATACTCGCACGAATTTGATCCCCACCATCCAGCCAGCGAAGCAAACCTCCCCAGCCCCCGGTGCATCCCCATCCGCCAAGCCCCCTGCGAACCCAACAGCCGAGACGATCGGCCGATTCGTCAAGGAATACTATGATGCTTCTATGGGACTGGTAGCCATCCTCGAGATCCTACTCTGGGGCCGAATTTTGCTCTCTGCTATTATCTTCGCCAGGGGTTCTTGGATCTTGATCGCTATCTACACCGCCTTTCTCCGTGCCAGATATGCTCAGAGCAGCTTCGTCCAGGGCCAATTCAGTCATTTGGAAGCAAGAGTTGATAGTCTCGTGGGCGCACAGTCTACCCCTCCTGCTGCCAGACAGGCGTGGGATACCGTCAAGAATGCGGCCAGGTCTTTCCGCGATGCTACTGATATCGGACGCTATGTCCATGGTGCTCCAGCACAGAAGAAGGCGGCTTAAGCTCTTGTCCCCTCAACGGGACACTGTGCGACCTAGTCGGACAGTGGGTGGTGAGCTGGCTGGGATGTGTGGATGCCGTTGGGCTTTATATAGTCCAACAGCGATATTAGAGGCAGGATAGTGCAGGCCATACTTGCAGTTGGTGAATTCATCATGAAGCCCTGTATCCATGGGCAGGGGATGACGGGTAAACGCAAATAGGACAAGCGAGGAGAAAGGGATGCATATGTATTCGTAGCGAATGTTACTGGTCTCGGGAGGGCAGCTTTTCACGTTTTTGCTGGCTGCTGGTATGAGCGTTGTATGCGAGTTTGGTTGAGCCGTGTTTTTAAATATCCGTTAATTCAAAATGGAAAAATGAAAAACTTGGTGTAAATTGGATGCTTCACTTATGAAATTGTTTAAGCTATGATCCTCAAAGAGGGACTAAATCTTGGTTCAACGTCAGGATCGGGATATTAGTGGACCTATAAGTGGTCTTCCCTTGGTTGAGTTGGCCATAAAACCCATAAAGGGATATATTTCAATGCCCACCTGGTGTGGCTTGCCAATGTGCATTTTGGAGCCTATGAAGAAAGTGCCATGCAAAGGATACAAGGTCCTAGCAAGCTCCCATCCATAGAAAGTTCAAATATAGTAAATGGTTCTTAAGGGCATTTTCAATTGGAATTATAATGCTGTACAAACAGGTTTGTATTCCCAAACAACATGTACATGGCGTTACTAACTCACTTTAAATAATTTGCCCCAGATCCCGACTTAGGGACTTCAGTCCCTTCGTACGAAGTATTCGAGTTAGATTCGTTAACTTACCATTCAGGAGACATAATCTAGAACGCATGCAAACTCTTGGCTTGCAGTATTAGGGCATCAATTGAGATTGTAGAAATTGACTCTTAAGGAGGGGGGCATAAAAGTCTAAATAAACATAGAACGAGAATGCTATTTGTTCTCAGGTATGGATAGAGGCGGGGCACCGGCTCGATATATCCGCATGCTTGTAGAAAGTATTTTCGGCAAGGAAGTGCGGGGTTTATATTCCAACTCTTGCTTCTTATGTTGGAGGACCTCGAATAGGAGATTACGGCCGTTTTGGAGAAATTTGTCGGGTGGCGGGTGAGGGAATACAGAATGGGTAATTTAGCTAAGGAGTCTTGAAAGGTATGCTCTCCAGATCATCAAGCTAATCGATTTCGTACAAGTATTGCTCCCGTTTGGGTCTGAACGCTAGGTGGAGGGAGAGCAAGGAACTAAAAATGGGTTAATACCAAGATGAGGGGAACTATTACTAGCAGGCTGGATTCGAAGTTCTATACATTCTCTGAAGTTATGACATCAAGATGAAAAACTAATACCACCCTGTAGCTGATTCCAATACGTAATATGTAGCACGCCCGGGAGCTGTACATCATAGAAGTAAAACCGAATAGGGAAGATGGCTTAAAGATTGGCTAATATTGGAAAGAATAACAACCCGTCAAACCGGAAAAGCAAAGCCTGCGAAGAAGGCGCTTATTCGGATGCCAAAATGCGGACGGCTACGCTACACAGCCTTGGGAGGTGGAGAAGGGGGGGTTGCCGTTGTTCTTTAATAGGCACATCTTGGTATCCGCCTATCTTTCTTCCTTTAGCCTAGTGCCTCCCTCTTCGTATGTAGCTTCGCACCCTTGAGAGGTTGCCTCTCCAGAGCATTCAATACACACGCATATCTTTGTTCTCTCCATTCCCTAACCTCCGATCTGATAGCACAGCCACAAGGAAAATAGATTCTCGATGACAGGACAGCCACCTCAAATCTATGGAATCTGGGTGACCACATACATTTGAGCTCTTATCAACTACCTAGCTATACCTACCTCGAGAGGCAAGAGGAATCACAGGAATCACACGATGCACAAAATGGGTAATAACCGGGGTTTATATTTTGCTTTTTGTTATTGCCGAGGGAACACTGATTTTGTTCTGGAACAACCAATTCGTTCTAGTGCCATGCGTTATACGCGTCGTCCTAGCTCCCATAGGCCTAATATTCTTACTAAGTGCCTGTAGCTGATTAGTCTGCATACGGATCTACCTACCCTCTCCTCGGTACCTAACTTTGAGTCCTTAGTATTGACACTTTTTCCAACCTTCCTTGAAGCCTTGCGGCAATTGCGCCTCCTATTGCCCAGAACATGCTGTCAGTCCGTCCTTGTGCTCGAGTATCCCCGCCGCGCCTACTTCCCACTTTTTCCTTCGTCGACCCCGCTCGCCTGGTTCGATCACGTTAGAATGTTGGATCGGTGTGCAATCCCCAAGTCGCCATGCATATTTTGGCCTTAAGACAAATTGTCTATACCCGCAACTTGTGCCCACCGCGGCTGCTCCCAGGCCTCCATCGGGCCCATCCGTCGGGGCCCGCTGCAGAAAATACCAATACCAAGTCCTGAGGTTGCGGTTTTCTTTCACTGCCCTATCGCAACCCCCCTAAGCCCACATAACATCACCCACCTCAAACCATGCAGTCGGGTCAATAGTGTAGGTACTGTACAGTACGTGTACGCAGTATTGGATACCGAATTAGGAGTTAGCAGGGTAGGCAAGCTATATTATTAGATACAGCTTCAATGGCCGGAGGTAGATCGAGGTCGCTGTACTTAAAGCGACCGAAGGTTCTGTTGCATGGGAAGCCCCATCTCCATCATTTCCTGCCATTCATTCCTATTCTCCCGGGGAAATCTTGACCTCAATATCAAAAATGTTGAGCCTCCTCTCTCTAGTCCTTTTGGCATTGCCGACAAGTTTCGCTGCCCCATTATCTGGCCGCACCGATCCAGTGATCCGCCAAGTTTACACCTTTGGCCCGAACAGATTCATTGAAAACATTGCCGTACGGTCGAACAGCAAGCTCCTTGTCACTTCCATGAGCGTTCCCGATCTCTTCAGCATCAATCCTACACTTACCTCACCGACAGCGCCTATTGTTTATACATTCCCCAATGCCAGTGGCCTATCAGGAATCACCGAGACATCCCCTGACGTCTTCGCTGTTGTCTCGGGAGTCTGGGACCTCGCCACCACACGCGCAAATCTTGGTTCCCTCTCAGTCTGGACCGTCAATTTCTGCGGCTCATCTCCTGTTGTCAGCCATGTCGCCAGCATTGCAAACTCCACTATCCTCAATGGCATCACAACGGTTCCCGGTTCTCCCCATCTCGTCCTGGCCGCCGACTCGGACATTGGTGCCGTGTGGAAAGTGAACACTCTCACTGGCGCATACAGCATTGCCTTCTCTGATCCGCTTTTCCTCCCTACCGGCACGGCACCAGGGACCAATCTAGGCATCAATGGTCTCAAGGCCAAGGGGAGTTACCTATACTTCACCAATTCCGCCCTAGGCATCTACGGACGTGTGGGAATCAATAGCCTAGGGAACAAAGTTGGCAGTGTCCAGACCCTTGCCAGCATGCCGGTGGTTGGCGGGCACTATGACGATCTCGATATCGATGCGAGCGGCAATACTTGGATTGCAACACACCCTTCGCACGTTGTCAAGGTTAAGTCCGATGGTACTCAGAAGGTTCTTGCGAATACTGCGTTGTTGTTGAACCCAACGAGTGCAGCTTTCGGAAGAGGAAATGCCTTGGAGAAGCGGACCCTGTATGTGACGAATGGAGGGGAGTTTGTTGGTAATGACCTTGTGAATGAAGGTATTGTTTCGTTTGATACGGCTGGGTTTTAACGTCGTCTTGTTGTCTTGGATACATCTGGGTTGTGAATTTTAACGATTTGAATGGCGTATAATGTCGGGGAACGATCTATTAAACGACTGCATGAATAAATGAATCCATATTTGTTTTTGGAACATATATTTGACCCCTACCCGATCTCAATACAGCGACTTTAAATCCAAGAGGAAGGTCGTCGTCGTCGTGATTTTGGTCTCATTTATGTAGTAAGACAGTGACACCCACGACCGGTAGATTGGAAGCATCAAGTGGGTAATATCCGATTTGTGCCACCAATGCGCCATACCACAGGAATGCGCCGTCATCGAGAACTGACTACAATAACATCGGGCGGTGTATTGGCCCGATACTGCCATTTTCTCGGAGTTACCAATTAACGGCGGATGTACATGGATGTAGGTATCACGTACACCGTATCAGAATCAGAGTTTTATCATTAGCCGGCTCCACAGATACCCCGATGGGTTTCAAAGCACAACGTTGTTATGGCTGAATGAAGGTTCTGCAACTGCGCGGGTTTAGTAATCCGGTGGGAGGATTGAAATGATGCAATGAGGCTTTGCCTGACAAAGCAGAGCAACCACAGCAACAACAACAACCCATCACACCACGCCCAGGTATTCTAATTACTTCCACTCACGCGCTACCGAATCAAATCAGCTCGGCTAGGTCCCTCGCGCGTCGCTAAACGTTCCATATGCTTGATGACGCCCTGTGGTTGGCAGCTTATGGCCGTTTTTTCTCCCTTTCTGTGGGCTGCACAGATTTCTCCCCTGTGTTAATAATTTGCGGTGACTCAGTTGTTGAACAGCACAACAGGCAATGCTTACAGCCAAGGAGTTTAGCAAATCAAACTCCGCCAGGGGAATCGCTGATATATAGATATCGGTGATAAGAGCTCTATCGGCGATGTATTTCCGCCGAAATGGTGGACGGCTTACCTTTCAGAAGGTTGAGGTTGTTATCAATCGTGCTCGAGTAGCCCAAGTGGGCGATTGCCGGGCCTAGCAATGAATTATATATATTTCCATATCGCCCTCGCAAGTTACTTTCTGCCTATCTTCATTCCCAAGTCCTCGATCAGTTGACTGCTTTCCTATCTCGAGTTTCCCGGGTCATTACCTGAACTTCCTCCTTCTTCTTCCTCTCTCCCCACCACCAACACCTCATATCCCAGCACTATCCGCATAACCCTTTTCAACATGACGGATCTCTTACGGGAAGCCCCGTTGGGCCAAATCCTACGCTGGGCCACGGGAAATCGAATCCTCCAATACCCAGAAGAACTACCTGGCTTCGAATTGCCCAAAACATATACCGCTCTCCTTAACTCCGATAAGCATCAAGAGATACAAGGGATTCCAACACGGGAACAGGAAGCTACTCATCAATCAAGCCGTTCGAGTAATGCTGCTTCTGACATTGAGAAAGTCAAGACTGAGCCCTCCCCTTACGACGAAGCCGACAAGACCCTCGGACTAACCAGAACGAGGAGTCGATTGGAAACAGCCCCCTACTCAGAAGACCGCCTCGAGGTTGAAGCAGAACTCGCCATCGAGCGGACAAGAACTCAACCCGTCATCCCTCAGAAGACCTCGGACGGCTTAATATTAGTCGACTGGTATACCACAGACGACTCCGCCAATCCGTATAACTGGACGAATAAGAAACGCTTCCTGATATCCCTCATTATATGTCTATACACCTTCGTGGTCTACACTGGCTCCGCAATCTACACATCCAGCATAGGAGGCGTGATGGAGAAATTTGGCGTTAGCGAAACAGACGCTTCGCTACCCCTATCTCTATACGTCCTCGCTTACGGCATCGGTCCTCTCCTTTGGGCGCCCCTTTCTGAGATCCCCATCATCGGACGGTCTCCTGTCTACGCGGCAACCATGGCGCTTTTCACCATCCTGTCACTCCCTACAGCCATGGCCAGCAACTTCGCTGGTCTCCTCGTCCTCCGCTTTCTCCAAGGCTTCTTCGGCTCCCCATGTCTCGCCATCGGCGCAGCCACCATGCAAGACATGTACTCCATGCTATACCTACCCTACGCTCTCGTAGGTTGGGTATCAGCCGCATACTGCGGACCTGCCCTCGGCCCTCTCCTCTCGGGCTTCGCAGTCACCGCAAAAGGATGGCGGTGGTCCCTTTGGGAAATCCTGTGGGCCGCTGGTCCTGTCTTCCTGCTCATGTTCCTCCTCCTCCCTGAGACCTCCACCCCCAATATCCTCCTCCGTCGTGCCCAACGCCTGCGAAAGCTCACTGGTGATGACCGTCTCCGGTCACAATCTGAAATTGACCAGAAGAGCCTGAGACCCACCGCAATCCTCGTGGACGCCGTGATCAAGCCCATGGAGATAACCATCAAGGACCCGGCCATCCTCTTCGTCAACCTCTACACCGCAATCATATACGGGATCTACTACAGTTTCTTTGAAGTTTTCCCGTTAGTTTATCCTCCAATGTACGGGTTTTCTCTTGGAATGGTTGGCGTTGTCTTCCTCTGCGTACTCGTATCTTGCATTGCCGGAATAGCAATATACTGCGGGTACCTCCACTACATCCTCATTCCCGATATCAAGGCCAACGGGCTCCGGGCCCAAGAATCCCGTCTCGTTCCTGCCCTATTCGCATGCTTCGGGCCGACTATCGGCCTCTTCGTATTCGCCTGGACAGCCAACCCGTCGATCCACTGGATCGCCCCCACCATCGGGATTGTGATCTATGGAGGTACGGTGTTTGTCGTTATGCAATGTATTTTCGTCTATGTGCCCCTAAGTTACCCTCAATACGCCGCGAGTCTTTTCGCGGGCAATGATTTCTTGAGGAGTGCGTTTGCTTGCGGGAGTATCATGTTCGGCAGACCCCTGTTTTTAAACCTAGGGGTGGGCAAGGGTGTGAGTTTGCTTGGTGGCTTGAGTGTCATTGGCATTATCGGAATGTTTGCCTTGTGGATCTTCGGGGCGAAGCTCAGGGCGAGAAGTAAGTTTGCTGTGGCTTAATTGAGGTGTATAGCCATAAGAGGGGGAAGTTTGTAAGACGAGACTTTGTAATGAGTGGCATGAAAGTTTGGGAGTTTGGTGTTTACTAGTTCTACTGCGTTGGAGTTGGAAACTGGGGTATATCATAGATATATATAATAGAGATAAATTATAACCGTCACATGTATTTTGCTTCTTAGCCTATCCTTTGAGATCCTCCTGTGACTGGAGTGGCCTACACTATAGCGCATTATTAGGCGAATTTGGTATAAACCTCGTTTTGCTCTGGTATTATAAGGCCTAGCGGCTATTGCCTATATATATCTCCGATATCGAGCTTCTATGCTATTTCTATATACTAATATAAATAGTGTAAATATGTTCGGTTCGGTTAGATATTTATACCACTTGAATATCTCAATTATAGTGAGATATTCATACAATTTGAATCTCTCAATTCTAGTAAGATATTTATATAACTTGAATACTTCAATTCTAGTAAGATATTTATATAGCTAGGACTTCTCCTCTACCTCTATTACTAGAATTAATCAACTCTTTCTACCTGTTTTTTCAGTGCCTTCAAAACACTGACATATATACAGTGCGGGGAGCTAAGTCCGAAGAGGAAGACAGTGCATCTCTAACATCAACAAAGTATACAAAGTATGCAAAGTATACAAAGTCAGCACCACGATTATCGGAGGAAGTAGCAAAGCGGACGGAAAAGGGGACCTCGGAGGAGTATCTAACAAAGTACCTAATAATACGATGTCTAATATAGACATTATCCACTACAGGCAAGTAGTAGGTATACTTCGCGAAACTTCCTAATAATATCCAGGAAGTCAATGTAAATACGACCAAGTGCCTTCACCCCCTTTGGCATAAGACGAAGTGCCTGCATCCACTTAAGCACACGACGACGTGCTTATATCCCCTTTCATATCCAAGGAGCCTAATATCACGTTTGCTCCGTCCCCAGAGCTTGGCCGGTCACGCCCCAAGGAGCGGTTATCCGATGTCTTAGAAATCTGTTTTTATAGTGAGGATGGCTTTGGTAATAACACCGGGGATAGAGCAAATGATTCGTCGCTTTTCCAACTTCTGTTGCCAAATTTTGAATCTACTGAGGCGGCCTCTAAGGTTCTAACGACGAATCTGAGCTAGGGAGCAAACTTAGTGACAAGCTGCCTGCTTTCTCCTTTGAAGTTATTATATAAACACAGACAAATATTCGTATAGAGGAAAACGAGACGAGGGAGGACGACTTGGAATATTTTTCGCACCGTAAACGCCTGCTCGACCTTCGTTATCTCTATTAACTGGCAACTGACTTTAGCCTCAGCATATATATTCCCACAAAAATTTCCGCACCCTCCGAGCCTTGTAGCTAGCAGGTTACCTTTGCCTCTATTTAACTAAAACCGAGGTATTCAAATCGATTGCTACGTCTTATTTGTTAGGCAGTATCTCAGGAGTCATGCCACGGTCCTCTATTTTCTCCGTCCCATTCTTCTCCACCGTCAAATCTCCCGTATCCCCAGTCTCCTCGTCCTTCTTCATCATCTCGCTCTCTATTCCAATACTAGTAGTCGTGAACTTATCCGCCGGATCCCTATAGGCCGGCACGAAATTCACACAAAGTGCATACGACCAAGCCGCAACGAAAAACGCCAATGGGACTGTCATCGCGATTGACATTGACTTGTGAAGATCCGCAACGCCTCCTAATAATGCAGGGACACAAGCTCCTCCGGCTACACCACCAACAATCCATCCCGATCCCCGTTTCGTGTGTTTTCCTAGCCCACGCATTCCCAGCGCGACGATGGTGGGGAAGCATATGCTCTCGAAGAATAGAGTGATGAACAGCATTGACATGCCGATGTCACCTCCCTGTGTTATGCTGGGCGCGATGAAGACGATGCACAGTGTGAGGTAGGCGAGGAAGACCCAGCGCGGGCGTATGAATTTCATGAGGAATACACCGATGAACCGACCGAGTGCAAAGCCACCTTGGGCGCCGGCTAGGAATTTTGCTCCTAGAGAGTTGGAGGTGTTAGGGCGAGTTTGGGTAACGTAGTTTATAAAGTAGGATGCTATAGCTATTCTGCGAGTTTCAAGGTCAAAGGGTTAGATTAAATTTTCAATTGGTGGGAGACGGTACGCAGGGAAAGTGATATTTGGGATTAACTTGATGTGTTGAATGAGGCGTTTGTTGTGAGATATGACTTACTGGGCGCCAGTATAGCAGAATTGCGCAAATGCAGCATGGAAAAGTCGGTATTGCTTCCAGAACGGTTTATCATCAGAACTTGCATGTGTTTCCTCAGCTTGAAATGCCATATCTGCATCGGTAATCTCAGGGATTGGAGAACTGGGCGGGTTTTGGAAGTCAGTATTATGGTCGAAATGGGGGAGGGGTTATTTTGAGCAGCGAGTAACCTACAAGTAGAAAACGACGGCGAGGAGGAATACAAAACAAGCGATGGCGAGATATACCCATTGTACATTTTCCAGAGCTTTTGGGTCATCGTCAGTCTTTAGAAAGAATACATAAGAGCCCAAGACGGGAGCAACGACTGTTCCGACTCCGTTGAGAGCTTGCGCAAGGTTGATTCGCATCTCGGCATATCTTGGAGGGCCGCAAACTAAATTTAGAACACCGTTAGTAACTTAGTTTTCTCGGAAGTGCTAGGGAGAATCGATATTTAAAACTGACCTGTAATATAAGGGTTTGCGGCCGTTTCAAGAGCGCCCAAGCCATTTCCAATAATAAAAATTGCAGCGCAAAACCCCCCAAACGATCGATGGAGAATACAAGGCCAGGCAATCAGTGCTCCAACACCGTACAGGCAAAGGCCCCAGATAAATACAGGCTTGAATCCATAGTGTCGCAGGATCCAATTCGCATGGCCAAGTGAAGCGAGTGGGTAGGCACTGGAATAATACTGTAAGTAATTTCCCATAACCCTTCAGACTGATTACATACCCAAAATAAGCTGCTTGGAGTCCTGACGACCTAGCTACGGTTATTCCCAGAGTGTTTTGGAAATGCTTATTCAATGTATCGAGGAGGCCGTAGGAGAAGCCCTGTATTGAAATTCATTAGCTAGCGAATCCGATTGACCGAGACAGTTATGTCGACTATATGCGCACCCAGAGGAAGAATAGAATTGTGACTAGACATAGTGGATATACGGATTGTCTGAGTGTTATTTCCGCCGCGTTTGTCCTCTCTTTGTCGCTGATTTTCAGCGACTGTTTCTTGAAGATGGCCATTGTGATACACGGACTCTTCGCACCTCGCTTTAACTAGGAGATGGAGGTTGCGCGATATATGAGGAGATCTGAAAGGGTAGCTAACGGAGGAAAGGAGAAGAGATATGGCAACTATGCGGAAGTGGAAGTTTGCCCATAATCGTGGCTCGGTGTAACTCTAGATACAGCATCATCTAGATCCTGACTTATGTTTACGAGTACCTGCCCCTTTCGGAGGAGTCCCGATGCAGATCCCCATGTCGCCTCCAAACTGCGGGGTTGGGGGCAATTGGGGGCAACGATGATGCGGGGGGCTGGAATGTCTGAACGAAGAAGCCTGGATGTGGTACGAGAAATCCACCAACCAAAGGACCCAAGTAATGTAGATCTCGGGAATTGAGACGGAGGTCGCAGCGGCGATCGCTACTTGGATATCAGGTATTCTAGAAGGTCAGGCCGAGGAGCGGAGTAAGGGGTAATACTCAATGCCAAAACTGTAGTATACTAGAATGCTAAATGGGAATATAGTAAGTATATAAGGGTACGCAGTAAACATATGACGAATTAAATCGTGGATGGAGCAACGTTGTAGAAAGCTTAAAGGTCGTCAAGACGGCGGAAGTGACGTCGTCGACTTGGCGCCCAACCGGCATCCAACCCTTACGCAGTAGTGCTACGGTACTCAGGTAGTGGAACAATCAACTGCTTAGAGTTTAGAAGCCTAGAATCCCACTTTAACACTGTTCTCTTTCAAGAGTACGGTACGGTACTCAGCACTTAGTACTATATACTGTACCAGGATCAGATAAAATTTGCTCAACCTATCCTTTGAAGCCAACTATATATTCTATTATGTATAGTATGTACACAAAGTATAAGGTACATTTTACTTACACATTGCTTGGTACCTACATCGTAGGTAGAAGAGAACTCCCACAACCTCACGTGCAGCACTGTCCCGTGATGCAACGTGATGCGCCACGGCCGGCACGTCCCGCCATCGCGCATAAATTGTTGCACGTCGCAATTTTGAATCGCCTTTGGAGATTTGCGTTATCCAAGATCCTGACTTTCTGAGATCTGGATAAATTCAAGGCACGGATTCCGAGAATCCGCTCTCAGATTCCTTGGGGGACCGGTCTTTAAGGTTTCTGTTGACCGTTGCAATTGTGCACCCTGCCGTAGGACAGATTTCGAGAGAATAGGTTGAAGGCAGAAGTTAATTATTAAACAATGCAACAGCCGCACCCGTTTACCGGAACTGATATATATGTATCACGAAGTACCCTCAGCCAACATTTGCGGAGGCCGGAGGATTGATGCCGGAAAAGTTCCGACGCACTTCGACGTGAATCGCGATGAGCAACAAACCCCCCTTTGTGGTTTTAGAGTTCGGATGTCTCGTTATAATCATGTGATCATCGATATTGTCAGGTGACTGGCTTTGTCCCAGCCTTCGCTTCTTCTCCTCAGACAACTCGGACCCTCCATCAGCGCATAGAGAGTGACTCACTCGGCCACACTGTCTATAGAGCACAAAGTAAGAGGGCTACCGTATCCAGGCCTATACTCCGTACCCAACCCGCTTTCAGAGAGTTGCACAGCACACTCGGAACCACTCTGGAAACGGAGCAAGTACGTAATTTGAGAGCGTGTCTTGTGTAGGTACGTAGTACGTACTATGTACTACGAAGTACTTGGTAAACCATCCCCTGTCGTTAAATCTCCGCATCGAGGCAACATCGCTCGAAGGTACGGCTAGAACCACCGGCAGTTCGTACAATTGATACGGACGTCTCCGAGAGAAACCGCCTCGAGTACCTAGCCTTGCAGGGGAGGGCGTCTGTCCAGATCCCGCCTTGCATATCCAAGAGACGTCTCGGGGCTTCTCCGGCAAACTGATATGAACAAATGCTACGACACTCAAATTAAAAGGTAACCATGTATAGAGATAAATAAGTCTAATCTACGAGCTCTAGACTTAGAGCTATATAAATAAGAACCCTATCCCTCTATAAGGTCGTTAAATAAGAGGAAATCGTGGCTGAATTATATCAAAAACATCCTGGTTGAGGGTTTTAGGACCTAGGTAGGTATAGTAATAGGGGTTTCGTGAAGCACTCTATTACAGTCTTGTACTACCACGATATAAACATATGTAGTAAATTAGAAAGACGTTTAGTATAGTAATAGTATAAAATTCTCAGTGTAGCTATATAATTAGACCGCTGCTCGTAAAACGGCAACAATACTCGTGTTTTGATCTGTGTAGGGGTGGTGCTGGCTCCCAAGGTATTTGGGACGTTTTCTCCGTCTCCGAAGGGCGCTACGCCTTCAACCAGGGTTTCCAGCGCGGGGATGTACTTCTTCCCCAGGCGATACTTGAATATTTATCAAGATACTTGCTTGGGAATGTCTCCGAGCCATCGATCTTAATATCATATCTATGGCTTCCGGGAAATACGATGCTTGTAACCTACACATTCTGGCGCATGCATCAAAGTGGTTCCGGCTCATCAATCATCCGTATGTCTAAGGGGCTACCTATGACGGCTAAAGATTTTAAAGAAAAGTCATTTCTATAGTTTATACTCTAAAACACAGCTGCCTTTCCTTCTGTCCGAATTCCGGTACTGTCCTTGAGCTTTTCATAGACGACTTTCTTTGCTCATCACAAGATATAGCCCTCCTCATATCCATTCCTTCTTTTTCTTCGGTGGGTGACGTTCCTGGTGTCGAGGAAAATCATATGACTCCACCCATCTCTCCTTCAAGCTTCCCTTCACAAAGCGGTACCCAGGTCCTGCTTTTCTCCGCCTCTTAACAACCGTTCCTCCCACGAATGAATCACCTAAAGGGGGTAGAGATGATAATGTAACGAAAATGACTGTGGGATGAACGGGGGACGGGATATCGCCTTTCCTCGTTGAAGCAATAGAGTTTTTTAGTCCGTAAAGCCGCCTCATATACGTCTTTGAGTTGGTGAGATAGAACACGACCATTTGGGGTTGCCGGTAGTCTCTGCTCTGTGATCTCCATGCAACGAAAGCGAATGGCTGGGATCATGCGGATCAACACGATTGAAGGCCGTCCTCTTCCCTCTCCTCCGTTTCTTTTCTCAAGTTTTAAATCCTTCCCCTTTCATCACGTCCTCTCATTCAATAAAGGTCGAAATCTCCCCCGCGCCATCCCTCTCATCCCCGCTTCCCTCGGCCCTCTCTCCCTCGAAATCCTCACCACAAGCGGCAACCTCCTATCCAACCTCCTTGCAAATCTGCCGTTGCTCAAAGCAATACCAGCCACACCATCCACCCAGGGCGCCTCCACTTTTAGCCCATAAAACCGCAATGCAAGTACATAGAAAACGCGGACTGAAGGCTCGTCCGCGATGACTGGAAGATAGCAACCCGTAGTGCGTAGAAGATGTGAGCCTAGGGGAACGAGGCGACCTGCTGTATGACCGAGCATTGTTTGATCCTGCCCAGAGAGTTGGAATGAGAAGTTTGTGAGGATTGTAATTGATTGATGTTGATTCGTGGTGTTGAGGGATCTCACTCCTGCCCGCGACGTTGTATCTCGAAAATCCTTTCGAAAATCCAAAGAATGCCCAAGAAATAAATTAGAAGCCCTCTTTCTGCACTCGTTTAATATAATAGAATATTCTCTATCTTTTCCATACTATAGAATGTGCCTACAATAGTGCTGGTGGTATTTCATTTATACTGCAGTTGACTCAGGGCTGAGCCGCCAGCGCCAGCAACTGAAACCCCTCCAGGTGCTACCGTCGGGAATCTTACTTGCATGCACAGCCCTGAAGCACAATAATAGGGCTACAATTGCCGCAATTTCAAGCCTCAGGCCACCCTATTTGTTCCAGTTCCGTAGCTGAGGAGTCACGAGCTACCCCTAGGCTGACTCGAAAATAAACCGGAAACTATCGCGATGCCATTTTAAGCGGTGGACAGCGACCGTCTCCCTTCAGTCGATCTGACGTAAGTATCCAAGTTTCCTATATGATTGCCCACACTGCGATGTCTTGGTCAAGATTCTCTAAGCTAATGCATAATAAAGCCTCGTTATTCTATTTATTAGAATTGATTTTTGATTGAACAAAGAAAATTTTGTATACATCAAGCCCACGGCTAGACATGCAATCGAGCATATGCTCATCTATGTACAATATATAGTCGCTTGTCACATTATTGCAACCCGGCATTTATGCCATCTAACGGGGCCAATCAGTGGCTCAAACCCCCTGGTGTTTTATTTTCAACACCATACAGTACCGTGGCATGGTGGTTGAGTATTTGAATTTGGATTTGCATCCAACGATACCCCTGATTGTCTCTTGTCCACACTTCATTAGCATGGATATCTCACTGCTCCTTCCCCTTCTTTTCCTCCTTGGCCTTTTTCTTCCCATCCCGGTATTTCCCAATCTTCTCACTCATATACCGCCAAGACCTTCCAAATCCCGCAGTTAATAGACCTTGAAGACTTTGAACTGTACTTGGCCATCCAATAGTCTTCTTAATAGCATATCTAACCTCCGCTCGTAAGTCTTCTGGCGGTTGGTTTGCAATGCGTCTCTCGAACCCACCACCTTCTCTCCTATGAATTCTCGTTGCGTCTTCATCACTCGAGCCTTCGAGCATCTTGTTGAATTCCAGCTGGGGGATTTGAAACTTCTTTTGATATTGGAAATAGAGTTTTGAGCGGAAAGCCTTCGGTAACCGTCGAACCATGTTTCCTCGCTTGACGGGGTCCATGTCCTGGGTTAATTGGACATTTGCGGAGGGATCGGAAACCCATTCGGGGTCTGAGCATCTGGGATCGTTGAAATCGACGTTCGGAAGATTTTCAATCAGGGGTGAATAGAGGCGTCTGAAGTTCGGGAGATTATTTCCTACGATATTGGCAACTTTGGAGGGGTCTTCTGTTGGTAAAGCCATTCGTGGGTCGCCCATATAGCTGATGCTCGCTATTGTACCGTACAGCTCCTCCTCCGTGAACGATGGGGGGAGAAGTAGGAGTGCTGTTCGCAAAGCGGATAGAAGATTGACTTGGTTCGCGAGCCGCACTCGAGGATCGTCTCGGAGGATTTTCACTGGCTTTTGTAACCGGCCAGCCAGATATAGCGTCGTCCATTCCGAAAGGTCAGTACACAGCGTGTCCAAATTAACCACCCCGTATTTTATCAGTGTCCCATTAACCGTCACATACGGATTGAAATAGACTCCCGCGCCCCATTTGTCCTGCACTGCTGAAACGGCGCCGGACCCAAGCGCACCAAGTGCGGAATAATGGTCGCGATGTTGATGGAGGTTCAAGGAATGCCAGTGCTGTGTGTACGAGACACCGAATATAAAATCAATCATTTTCGGGTTCCCGCCTTGGGCTTTCTCTACTGCAGACGGAGGGTTTGAGTGTATTGATGTCGCACTTGAGGGCGTGGCCTTCGCCTTCGATTGGGGAAATACACCCGAGCCGTAAGCAAAGGCATACCGGATGGGAGCCCGGAAATTCCACAGTATCTGGCGCAACGCTTCTTTGAACTCATCGTTAATTAGCATGTGCTGATTAACCCCGAAATTTGTATGCGGTAATTGTGAGAATTTCGAGATGTCGAAGTTGGGATTATCTTCCCAGTCTGCGGGCGGTTTTGAGGTCGGGCCATCGCTGGCGGGCGGCTCGGATTTTGGATTCGATTGAGTTGCAAGAGTACGGCTCCATTGGATGGGCGATCCAATGGGCCTATAGCCCCGGTTCGATATTTGCCTACGAACAAAGCATTGTGAAGAGTTCCGGATGGGAACCTGCCAGCAAAGCTGGGGAATTAGCTGTGGTGACGGCACGTGTGGAGGACTGGGTAGCTTACTTGGAGATGGAGATGCCGGACTGCCATTACAAGGTAAACGGTCTATCTCACCAGGGAGAATAGTACGATTTTGAGTGGTTGGAGCAGCCTATGCCGCAAAAGTGTCACCGTTTGGGCTTGTCAAAAGCCATGAGCATGTAGAGTTGTCGTCATGGCGAAAAGTCCAAAGTTCCGAAGTTTAAACAAAACATCACCGCAAGCAGCAAGTGTCGCTTGGGAGATCCCCGCTCCCCGACAGGTGGAACTGGAACGCCCGCCAACAGGTACGGAGTACACACTGGGCACCACTGAATAATGACAACATCGGGGGCGAAGTCCCGTAAATTACCGAGGTAGGGAATGTATACGGTATTTTCACCATACCAAAACGTCTTAAACGCGGATTTAGCAAGTAGGTAGTGGTAAGCCAATATGGAGTATATAGAGATTGCTAAAAGTACGGTGACGCTGGTTAAGTGCCTAAAAACCCCAATGCAGCACCTTGAGCGCCCTTCCTATCCTAATGACTACTTATATTTATACCTAAAGGAGCCATATCTGAGGAGGCTGCTATAAACTAAAGGCCTCCAGATAAGGTGCTCCTCATTGCTAGGAACTTAGGAAAGGGCGGGAGCTACGTGTATGAAACTAATGGATGTGACTTATTTGTTGTGAATAGGAGCCATCGCTTCGTAGTGCAAGGAAAACGTAACATACTCGTAATTATTCTCCAAGATGGCAATAAGAGTACCCCCGTAGTAGCTCTGAATATCAACTGACATTTCGTAAAAAAAAAGGGGGTGAATAGATAGCCCAGAAGAGCTTTGTTAGACATTAGTTCATCCGGCCTGAAACACTTTGAATTGTTTCATATAAATACCAATATTAAAATCTTGTGGACGCTGGTGTGCCAAATTGCCCTAGCAACAAAGAAAGTCGCGATTGTTGTCATTGCCACGTGATCGCCTTCCAACACTTCTCTCTGAGCAGGACACACTTTTGTCGCAACACTTCCCTAGACCACCTTGGACTTGGATTTGAGCGCGCAAAGCGCTCGTTCCACCACTATGAAGTCGCATTCCCCCCGCAAGACTTTGGATGGCTCGAGAAGGAGAAGTTCCGTTACTGCAGGGCACCGTACGAGCGTCGGCAGCGGGATTCCTAGGGTCCAGTCTCGAGTGAGTTCCTCTCACTCCTCTACGACTGATGCGTTACGCGGCTTAAGATATTGAAGTGCAAAATATACTAATATAGAAAAACAGATTGCACTAGCACGCGCATCCACCACACAACCCGCGTACGACTTCATGACTGGGGAATCATTGGCGTCGCGCCCCCCATCAAGAGACAGCTTCCGACGATCAACTCGAATGCCTTCGGCCGAGCCGCTGAATAAGTCAGTCACTGAATCAGAGCAAGACCGAAACAAGCGCCAGCGGGAACTGGACGAACTCAAAGCCGAGTTGAAGACTCTACAATACACTATTGATAATCACAAGCAAGAGGAAGAGCTTGCGAAGTTAAGACATGAAAGTGAGCTCCGAGACGCTCGGCGGAAAGCCGAAGAGGATTTCAAGAAGAGGCAGGCGGCAGAGTCTGAAAAGACAAAGGCATTGCGACAATATGAGTCCTTACTCGAGGAAGTTACTGAGGGTAGAGATATCGCAAGTAACGAAAAGGCTACACTCGAGAGACGACTTCGGGAGATCGAGGAGAGCAAGCGGATTCTGGAGGAGGAAGTAGAAGATATCAAGAACGAGCGAGAAGAGAGCATTCGTGGGATTGGAAGGAGAACTGCGGAGCTCCAAACTCGGAATGAGACCCTCCAGCGGACCGTGGAAGATTTGCAGCAGGATTCGGATAGGAGGGAGGCGCTACTGCAGGATGTCCAACAACAGCTGTCGAGCAAAGAGACAGTAATCGGCAATCTTGAGGCAGAGGTTCTACGGCTGAAGGCACAAACGGGGGATGCAGACACACTGGCGATTATTAAGAGGGAACTCAGCGAGCAGGTCACACACATCCGGACTCTAGAAGCCACGAACAGAGAACAGGCTGCGGAATTAAAACATTTCAAGAGGCTTCACAAGAGCGTTGAAGTAGTGGAGGAGGAGAAGAGATCTCTTCAGAGAAAGCTCGATGCGATGGAGGGATTGGAGAACGAGCTAGGGGAGGCTAGGATTCAGCGACAGAGACTAGAAGATGAGCGCCTGGCATGGACTGCCTATCTTAAGAGCGAAGCTAGCCCAGATGGTGAGCTCGAGTTTGACTCTCCAGAGGAATTGGCGAGAGCTCTGATTGCAGAGCGGCTACGAACTGCCACCTTGGTTGAACGTGTCGGTGCTATTGAGGCTGAATTATCTGGGAAGGATCTCGCTATCCAGACCCTCGAGGCAGATAAGTCAACTTGGTCGGCGCAAAATGAGAAGGCCAAAACAGCTACTGGTGCAGCCGGCGACAATAAAGCTCTACTTCGATTAGAGCGACAACGAGCTCTTGCCATCAAAGAGGCAGAGTATCTCCGGGCTCAACTCAAGACTTATGACACGGAAGATACAACCTTCCAAGCAGAGAATGTCGACGAGGCCAAGCTTAAGCGGGTCCAGGAGCTTGAAGACATGGTCGACCAATACCGGCAAGAGGTCCAAACTCTCGACGGTGAGTTAGCCTCTAGGGAGAAAGCGGTCGCCCCAGTGCCAGAAACTATAGGAAGCAAGCGGCCTCGCGATGAGACTGAAGAGAACGAGCGACTTGGCCAACTATCCCGCAAAAACCGCAAGCTCCAAGACGAACTTAGCACCTTCCAAACCAACACCAAAATCCTCCAAAAAGAGCTCTCGGTAGCACAGGAGCGTCTCACAGCAGCCAACCAACAAAGCCAAACACGTATTCTCTCCCTACGCTCCAACCCCACATCCGATGTAGAAGCCATCAAAATGAGCACCCTAAACGCCCTCCGCCAAGAAAATGCCGATCTCCTCACCCAACTCCAAACCTCCAGAGCTGTAACGAGCGTCCCAATATCCACCCTCGAAGCTTCCCGCCGCGACGTCCAAGACGCCGAAGCGCGGCTTGCCTCAGAAAAGAAGCGCAACGACCGTCTCATGAAAGTCTGGGGCGCCAAATCTGCTGAGTTCCGACAGCTCGTAATCTCCCTTCTCGGCTGGGACGTAGTATTCATGCGCGATGGCAAAACAAGAGTCACGAGCTATTTCTACCCCAGCAAGGGAGATGAAGAGAACAGCATTGTTTTTGACGGGGAGAGGGGGACCATGAAAATCAGCGGCGGGCCGCAGAGTTCGTTTGCACTTAAAATTTCGGACCAGATTAAATTCTGGGTTAAGGAGCGGGGAAGTATCCCTTGCTTGCTGGCAGCGTTAACGTTGGAGTTTTATGAGGAGGCTAATAGGGATGGGACGTTGAGAGTTGATGTGTGATTATGTCTCTCTAGGATGAAGGATATGCTGTGTAAATATGTCTTGTTATGGGATATGCGTGACGAGGGATGGGGCGGCGTTTTCGCGGTTGGCGTAACCAAGTGTATCTTCGAGATAATATACTTCTGGACTTGTGCTAAGGAATCAAAATTATTGGTATTCATTTGAGTACCGGAACCGTGCTAGAAAATATAGGGCTTAAAAATAATATCATACTAGATCATGAATCATCTTAGTGATCCACTTACGCCTGGTTCAAAACGAAGCCTTGTAGAAAACGTTAAACTTCATTTGCATTATCTCATAAGCAATCAGGAATTAGTCATGACACCAATAAATATAAAAAGCCACTCCACAATCCCAAATACCCCAATACCAAAACCAAAACCCGTATACTCCATCCAGCATTAATCCACCTCATCCCTTCTTTAGTCGAGACATTCAATACCCTCAAGAGCCACCATGGCCCTTGTCCCCTGACTCTCAAAACTACTAACCATTCTCTCACACTCGGTCTTCAGTCTTTGCTCCGCTAACTCGGCATTATAATGAATCCATTCCTCGACTGACATTTTCTTCTCCGGGCTAGTCAATATGCCACTCTTTGCCCTCTCCATTTCCTCCCCAAGAATATCTCGCAGGTTTCCAACGCCGTGTTCGCCCCCGGGCGAATTAGCCAAGACAGTGTCTAGATCAACACTTGTCCAGGGATGAAGGGTTTGTAGACCTGTCATGATATTTCGTTTAGAGGGCGACATGGCGGGTGTCATGGCCGCCAAAGGAGAGCGCTTCCGAGTGGAATGAGGAGTGGCGATTTTCTTGGTGGCTGCAGAAGGTTTTGAGGAAGGTGGATGGTTCTCGGCGTCTGAAGACTGAGGAGATTCAGAGGGTGTTGACTCTTTTGGAGGAGGAGTTGGTGATCGAGGTAACTCAACAACGACTTTGGCCTTGGCCGATTTTGTCTTAGATTGCGAAGATGACCCATTCTTGAGTATAGAAACATCGTCTGATGTTTCTACGGCGGCTGAGGGCTCTGGTGCGTCTACTATGGGCGTGCTACGGATAGGTTCTTCCTCCACGCTTTCCGGAGCAGGCGTGTGGAAATTCTCCTCTGTAGTACTCATCCCACTCTGAGACATTATCCTTCCATTCATAGGTATCCCGGACGCTTCTGGCTGGGTGATGGAAGTAGTTTGTGACGATTTGTAGAGGATTTCCTCGATATTCCTACTAGCTGCTTTCTTGCCTTTCTTCATTGTGCTTCCTCGGCGATTTGAGCCACCTCTTACAACAGTTGACTGACTGGCCATGCTGTCGTCGGTCTCATTACCAGGATCATCTTCATGGGGAGCAACCGAAGCATTGAAATCTGAGTTCATTGACAAGCGCGAATTCCCAGTAGTTCTAGCTGATACCTTTCGGGTAGGCTGACGAGAGGTTGCCCTCTGTCTCTTAGGTTGAATGATAGGTGAAGAGTGATGAAGAGAGATGCTTTGTTCCAACTGATCCGCAATTTGCCGGGAGGCATCTTCATCAGCTTCTCTCTGTGCCTCTGCTTCAGCAGCTTTCTTTGCAGCTGCCTGCTGCTTGGCAGAGGGCTTTCGCTGTGTTTTCCCCTTAGCACCCTTGGCTTTTGGGAGCGGTTTTGAATCTACCTCCATGGCCTCAAGTTCTGCTTCAATTGCAGCTTCATCGATCTCTGCCGGCTCGATCCCGAACATAGAATGATCTGCTTTCGTAACTCTAGTCGGCCGGGTACCTTTCTTGGGAGGTGCAATAGACTTAGAGAGCTGACACTCGTCATCTGTTAGATGCCTTTCCAGATCTGCCTCCAGCGCCGCGTCTATCTCGTCGTCGTTGGGAACAAGCGTCTTCAGAGGTGCTACAGATGCATTGGAGGCTTTCCGTGGCGGCTTCGTTGAGCTCCGGCCTTTTCTAGCTTTTGGTTGTGAATTCGCATGTGGCACATCTTCAACTGTCAACGCCATAGAGTCATCCACAGCGGCGCTGCCTCTGGTTCTGGTGGCACGCCGTTTCGGTGGAGGTGCAGTACTTTCCATTGTTATATCTGCCATGTTGTCCTCTTGTTCACTCTTCCTCTTTTTCCCTCGAGCTAGTTTTGGTGCGATATCGACCTGAACTTCAAAGCCATCATCCTCCGGTTCAGGATGTGCCACCACCTCAGTTGGCTCGCCTTTTTTCGCTCTAGTTTTCCGGCCCTTTGCAGGTGCCTTCTTTGATTTCCCCATGTTTCTTGTGGTATTTGTAGCCGTGGTGAGAATGCTATCTCCTTCCTCTGCTGGCAGATCCGCAAAAGAGGGTGCCTCCGAGGCCGCAGTTATCGATGATTGCGTCGAGAGACGAGAAATTTTTGATGTTCTCTTGTTTCTTTTCGCGGCAGGACTTCGTTTGTGATTGTTGATAAGTTGGAAGAAAGGACATTCTGGGGAACGATTAAAGTGTTCGTCCCTTCCAAAATTAGCACTCACGAAATTAGACTTTTGTTAGGCAAACCTACAAGGGCTTATCTGATGGTTCCCAGCCATCCAATCCCAGTTCGCAGTAAGTACAGGTTGCCATATCATCACTTTCAGCCGTTGGTGTATATTTCCAGCCCGCATCCACCATCTTTGCCCATGTTAGCAATGATTATTGTCCACAATCAAAATAAATCATACCTGTTTGACCTTGCATTTCCAACCCTTTTTTCCCTCATGTGGCCATTTATTTGTAAATGTAGCTTTCCGGGCAGCAATCATCCTTGTGCTAGAAGGGTATTCGCTGCTCAGCTCCTCATCTTGCCTTCCGATTGCTGCAACAATCGCCCATCCACAATCTGGAGAGTGCTTGAGATGTTCAACAAGGGGGTCGTCGTTTTCTTCCCATCCGTCGAGGGAGTAATGGCATAAGAAGCAGACAGCGTTATCTGGGTTGGCTTGGCCAGGGTAATAGAAGAAGCCTGCGTTGGCGAACTTTACGAGGTCAGTGGAAAGAACATATATAGGTAAAACAGGAATACCCGTACCTCTTCTGGGGACATTGATTTGTGAGGCCATTTCATCGTCTTAGGAGCCCTTGAACTCGCGTTTGACGTCCTGCGTTTCGCAAGTGGCTGTGCTGTTTGGAATGATGCAAGTCGGGCCTCGTAGGCAAAATATTGATCGTATACAGTGCTGGTAGCCATTTTGCGCTATTTATATTCCTTTGAACCTGTAATGGTCTGTTCAAAGCTTTGGGGAGTCGATGTATGCGGTTTGTTGACCAGCCGGCGCGAACACTGTGGTGGGAATCCGAGAAGAGGTGCCAAATAAACTTTCTCCTCTCTAGATAAATGTCACAATTGAGTAGCGTATTCGATAATCATATGGAATCTGACGCGTTAATGTACTGAAGAAACAACCTATCGATTAGTAGAATCAGTCGCGAGAGGTGGTATACAAGCCATGGTGGGTTTGTTTACTTCGGCGGAATCTCGGCTCCTACCTGATATGCGAGTTTGATCACGTGCAACTGGCCAGAACGAAACTAGGCCACGTGCTTCTCCCTCCAGTCCAATTTACAAGTACTTACAACTTACGTTACTTTCTGAAGCATCCTCCACGCGCGGTCATAGCTATGGACCTAGGTAGAACAGCTGCGCAAGTGGATCCGATAGACAGTTGCGATGACCTATCTCTACGACAAATATTAGATAACTACGCACAGTAATGTTAGAAGTGTTGCTATGGCGCATTCTTGGGCGAATTTAGTGCAAAACTCTTTTCGCTAGAAATATCAGGTACCTACAGCCATTACCTATCTACCTAGGAACCTAAGGTAAGTAGGTATATATACCTCCGATATTAAGCTTCTATACCATTTCCATATAATTTAAATAGTCGGCATATAGACTATACTCTATTTTCGAATATCTAGCCAGCCGCAAAGTAATGGCCGTTGGCCTTATAACACTAGCGAAAAGAGTTTTGCGCCAAATTCGCCCAAGAATACGCCATATGTTGCATCTAGACAAAATCGAGTTATTCGCGGTAGCACTGTAGTGAAATCGAGCCGGGAGCATTAGGGATAGTCAAAGGGGGCGCCACGCCTTAGGTTGTTCCTGGAAAGGGATCTTAATTATACCAAAATTTTGATATATTTCTCGATCCAACCCCTACAAGAGACTAGAATTCGAATCTACTCTCCTCTACTACCACCGACCACCTAACCAAACTATCCAGCAACCCTACAACCCAAGATCATCCTCCCATCCCCTCCTAAACTTCCAAGTTCGTATCCAACGAATCCATGCCGTTATTTGCCTGTCCAGTGCGCATTTATGGCTTGCCTACGAAGATGTGAGCCTACTTAACTGGGCACCAGGGGGAATGCATCCTACTAACAAGTCTGCCATTGGACGCCGACGACGAACGAAACCTTCCCATCGACGGAGTCCTGTGTGAGGAGACCGGAAGAGGCGGAGTTGGTGGAAGTCAAGCGGACTTGGGAGTTGATATTGAGCGGAAGAGCGGCTCCGCAAGGAGACCAGATGGTTGACGTGAATGGGATAGCATCCTCAACCAGATAATCGCTGGATATTGGGCCCTTGAAGGTAGTAGAGGTAGATGCCTGGGTGGCAGCTATTGTTTAATGGCACAGTCAGCTATCATGCAGTAGTACTCCAATTCGCGGGAGGGAGTGTCTCATTGAGTCACATACATCCGGAGAAATAGTAGGTTGCAGACTGCACGCCGGTCACTCCTGCTCCAAGATCAGCATATCCACGGAATTGGGTGTCCAGAACACTGTATTGGAAGCCAGATGGGTATTGCAGGTTAATGTTAAGCTGGCAGTTTGCGCGGCTCGATGTAATGGGGACACCAGGGCCGATGGATGCCATGAAGGAGTCGAAGATGAGGGTGAAGCTAAAATGCGCATTGGCGTCAGCTACTAGTTGACCAATTGAGCGGAGAGAACGGACGTCAAACGGTCTGGGGAGATATAAGATCCTACGGATCCCTGTGGGCAGCCAGTTCCACCATAAGTGATGGAGTTGATAGTAACCTGGGATGGGTTTGGCGCGCCACTCGGTGTTGCAGCTGGGGCCGCTGGGGATCCGACAGTAATTCCAAGAATCGGGTTCTCTGGTGCTGGAGCAGCCAAGGCCGTAGCCACAAGAGCGAAAACGGGGAGGATTGCAAGCATCTTGGCGAGTTATCAGTGATGTAGTTATCGATTGGGATGAGATACGAGTCGGTAAATCTGCGGAAGTGGTGTGAGAGCGGTGGATGGGAGGCAGAGTGAGAGGACCGGCGAGGACTTTATATCTGCAGCTTTGTGCATGATGGCGGGGGTGAGGTGGGATGACGGACGGTTCGCACCCGTCTCGATATTGGATTCCAGGCAGTAGAATTTCGGCCCTGATAGCTTCTAGCTACCATTATGGCGGCAAGCCGGACCCTCCGCGTTTTCGTCTGGACCCGGAAATCTTGCCCCGCAACAATATGAGTAGCGCCACAGCTGTAAGGGAGCTGTAGGGTGACAGGTACAATACGAGATACCATGGTGGTGTATACATCGGATAAAGATAGGCGAGGACAGAGATTCGACAATCGCTAGAAAGCCAAGATGGGTTCTGGATCAAGGTACGCCACAAAGGTGCGACCCGTGTAAAAACGTGGCCCGTGGTGTGCCTGTGACTGCAATTCATATCGGGCAGAAAGTAATAGATTGCAAAAGTGCTATGTATAGCAGCAGAGTAAGCTTATAAAAAGGTGTGGATGGGACCGCTCCTGCGTCCCTGGCCCTGAACATGGGTGAGGGGCGTGAAGGGGTTGGTCTTGAGCAAAAAGGGAATGGGCCGGCCATCATCACGTATCTGATCATTCGGAAGCTTGCAGGAAATTCCACGAGTTGTGTTTCCAAGTCAGAGACGTCCATATCAAGGATGGAATTGTCATAATTTGCTCTTGGCCGACATCGCGTTGCTAGATGTAGATGACATCCACTCGGGATAGCCAACTCCAGTCACTAAACAATGGGGTGTGGCTTGAGGATTGCACGTGTGCCTTTGCAGTGGGCAGCATTCCTAATCGCTTTGATGCGCACGCCTTCCCCGGAAGAAGAGCCCCATATCTTGTCGATCGGCAGGGACACAGATTACCGACGACTTGTCTCCAGCGTGCGAAGAACTCTCCGAGCCCGAGTAAACGGTCTCCAAGGCCCAGCACCGCTGTCTGGGGACCTGCTCATCACCATAAAGAGAAGATCAACGCGGTTTCCGCCGCAGTCTGGGGCCATGGAGTATATGCCCATGCTGGAGTCAGGGCTCCAGACTTCAAGGCCTCTGGCAGCTGGAACAATCGCCAGTCGAGGGCTCGTAAGGAAGGAGTTTAGGCACGACGACACCGCCTAGGGGTGACCAGACAGCGGGCGGTACCTTCCTACAGCTGGGAGGCTCCCTAACGGTTAATGTCATGTTCGCATTCTCGTAGAATAAAGTACGTGGAATTGATTGCAAATGGCAGATACTCCAGAACGGGACGTCGTTCGGGGGATGAATTAAGGTTGATTCCCCAGTCGCTGAAGTCGCTTGTCGTTTATAGACCGAGGCGACATGGGCCAAGGGGCGCCGTAGCCTCTTGCGGAAAGGTGCGCTGCCTGGTATTTGCAACGTCGTAACTTTAATATCCGGTAATGTGTTTATACTATTTGCCTAATAACTTGTATATACAACCAAAGAGCTACCCGTACGTATAGACTCGCACAACTCTTTGCATTGGTCTGACAATTAGCTCTGTTAATATCGAACCATGTTCTAAACCTAGGGTCTTCCGAGCTCGACAAGGAATAGGCACGATGAGACCACAGCAGCACAGCAGGAGGGGTTGGCCGCCAGGGCCAGAGCCAGAGTCCAAGGCGGGTTGGTAGGTTGCGATCAAATTAAGGCATCTGCCTATTCCCAGCATCTCGATATACGTCGTTCTATTTAAAGCCCTGCACTACAGTAGGTCAATTTCAGATTTGGCACAAGGTGGCGATTGGGAATGCCGTTCGCCGAGAACCTTTGATTTTGGCCTGTTAAATTGTGCTGCCGAGGCCTCGCCCAGCGATGGACTATTATATGTAGTCTATAATTTGCCAGACTATTCCAACAAGGGTTCGAAATCATGAAATCTACGCCAGAACTGGAAGCTGCAAGGTGCAAGCTGCAGGTTACGAAGGTGGCCAGGATCCATGGCAGATATCAGATGATGCGGTCAGATCAGATGATGATGCATAATACACAACCGCGTTTTCTGTCATCCTTAATTCAGGAAGAAATATTGTTTTCCCAACCATTTTCTCTTGGCAACATGTCACCTCCACATCTATATTAGGTCGCTCCAGGCAGACGGTTTTTGATAACCATCACCATATTATGCCTGTATCCCGGCCAACGCAATCATTGCTGCGAGCTTTCGGGGAGAAGCTCTCCTTCGGAGCTGATTTGCCGGTCCGCCGCTCCGATTCCCAATGTTTGTTTTGTCTTCATGGGTTTCAACGTTTCTTTCCGCCCGGATGTCGGCAGTAAAAGCTTATGCCACTGTTACCAAGCTAAGACGCGGGTATATCTATGCGGATCATAGTTTTGCTAGAGGTTTTGAGAGTTGCCTAGTCTAACGACGGCAGGATACGAGGTCGTGGAAGCGCACCAGCTCGCAGATCTGTCGTCACAGGATCGTGGGATCTCGTCCGTAATCCGTTTTGAGTGCTGATTTCTTTTTCCTCAGCAGAGAATCAGAGATCATTGTCCTCTCAAAAGCCCAGAATGGATCCGAAGATGCCTCCGCTGTCCCAATTCATATCCGGGCGAAGCTCAAGGCAGCAGCCAGTTTGGCCCAGCCAGACCGGAATCATAAAAATAACTTTATAGCTCCATTCTCCTTGTCGATCCGGCTCCTCGGATGGGCCCATGTGGCTTGTCCGACATCAGCCTCTGCTCTACCCGGATGCGGAGTCCAACCCAACTCCATCACGTGCTTGGTCTGGACCGGTTCCGCAACGGACTTTATATTACTCCCGGAAGATACACTAGCCGGTACTCCCTCCGTCCATTCCCGTTTTGGGGGAAAACCCTCTCTATATTTCCATTCCAAGTGAAAGGCGGGATTAAGCCAAAATCCTACGGCGATGTGGAGCATTTAGAATATACAAATATGCCCAGCCATACGACTCTTCTGTGATACATGAGGGCGCAAAATGGTTGACACTGGAACTGGGATTTATATTAGCAGCCGCATATATTCCCTAGTTGACCGGTTAATTTGGTTACACGAGGTAGTCTATAGCGCAGCAAGCGCTGTCCAATCCCTTCCGCCAATTTCTTGCAAATGCGTTCTTTCTGTTTTTCACAATCAACTTTCTCAATCCTCAAAATTTTTAATCGGGATATTTCGGAGAAAATCACAGGAGCACTGTCACAAAACCGCACTTGCACGAAGCACAACATATTTCGCACCTAACCAATTTTCTTCCATCTCCAGCTCGAAGTCCGAGAGCATGCTCCCAGCATTTATAATATCACTTTCCGTTTACTATTTAGATGAACTTGGAATAGCCACACCACACGAGCTCACCTTGGACCATCTTGCGAAGCCTATAGTACCGAGCGGCAACAAATTGGCATCGTAATTTTGTTGATTTGTCTAATCTAATGTATTGATGATCACCCGTCTTTTTACAGAGTGTAGCAAGCAAACTCATCTTCCGATTTCAATGAGATTTCAATCGCTTGCTGTCATGAACGGATGCTGGAGAGCCTAAATATCTATTAGCATGATGCTCAAATGACTTCTGGTCAATCCACATACCTCAGTAGCTGTCAACCTGTGCCGTCTTTCATAACACACCAACCTCTTCACCAAATCCCTCGCCCTCTCATCGGTATCAGGTAGCAGCTCGTCCCAAGACTTTCCAGGAAAGTCCTGATACCACTCAAAAGGTGGCGTCGAAAAGCTCGCAGCCTCAGGCCATGTCTCCCTCGTCGGAGTGCCAATTGTCTTAAAAATACTCAAGATAAGTCCCAGTTGATTGCCATCTTCGGATGTACTCCTTGACTCAAAGAGCGACTTCGGCGGCTTGCGTAGACACTCAGCTAGCATTGCACCAGTCGCCCACAGATCAAGTCTTGTGCCGTATGAGCGATTGCCGAATAATGTCTCCGGTGCCCTATACCACACGCTCCCTACTTCAAGAACTTTGTGGTTTTCTGGTTCGTCGGAGAGGGAATATATGGGGTGCCATGAGGTACCGAAGTCGGCGATATACGCTGGTCCGGTTGGGGACTCGAGCAAGATGTTTGTTGGCTTTATGTCTCGATGGATTATCCCGTTTGAGTGGAGATATTGGAGTGCGGAAAATATATCGTGGAAGAAGCTGCGTACAAGACGTTCTGATATCGAGCCTGAGTCGAGTAACTCGCCAAGTGTAAGGGGCATGTACGGGAAGACAAGGACGAGCCTTCCCCTATCGTCTCTGAGTGTGTCGATTAATTTCACGATATTCGGATGCGATAACTCATTCAAAATTCTGATCTCTCTGGTCGCATTGTGAGGTTCTACATCTCGAGTCTCCGTGATTACTTTTAATGCCACGGTGTCGGACCTGTAAACATCAGAGACGAGGCCAGTCGCTATGTGGCGGCAATGTTGGTATTGACCTATGGTTACCCCAGGGCTTTCCGTAGAATCCTGCACTGCAACAGTGCTTCCAGGGGTAGGGAGTTCGGGGTCGATAATTGCTTTGCAAGCAGCATCATATGCTTCCTATGAAGAAATTAGATCGGAGTTTACACTTCTGTAGTTTTTAAGCAAGCACTCTACAATCCAACAAATTAGAATAAAGGATTTCAACCAGAGCATGCTCAGATATTTCTCAATAATGTGTATTTGATTATAGGAAGTTGTGTCGTCATCATTCAAGTCAATATGTAGAGATGAACATGTGGACAAGTCACGTGATATTACCATTGTAGAGTAGACTAAAGATCGGGCTTACTCTTGATTCAGAACTGTCATAGGCCTCTGTTTCTGCCGCAAAAGCTGCCTTGTCGGGACTTTCAGAAGAGCTTAACTGCCCAGCCTCAAAGCTCTTTCTCCTGGATCAGATGGTCAGGCCAACTGGCAACGCAGAAAGAGCTTGATCAGCCCGAGGTTACTGACAGCTTTTCAATATTATTGTAACGCTCAATGGCATTGAGGTCTGCCCTCCAGTTCGGACCCGGTGCAGGAGACATCTTTGTTCATAACATGGCATCCCGAAGAAGCCGGCAACCTTGTCGAGCCTGTCCAGCAAAGATCGCCAGCGGCTTAATTCAATTTGCGCAGTATTTACGGAAACAGGGGATATCCGATTTCCTATGGCTGGTAACGTGAAGCGACCGTAATTGAGAAATCAAATGTATAGTAAACAGACACCCCGTACTACGTCCGCTGGTGAAGTTGGTGACGTTAGTCGTGAAGTCGTTGAAAATGTGACGGTGCAACGGAACCTAATCTGGGCTAAAGAGCGTTATGCAACGGTGCGCGGCGTATGCGGACCAGGCCAGTAACGTTGAGTTGTTTCCACGCTCCACGTTCCACACTCCACTCACCATCACCAAGTGTCACGACTCTGTCTCGGTGCCCTTCAAGTCGACGTGGTGAGCATCGGACGCTTGATGTAATCCACTCGTTCTCTGTTGTCGCGCCGCCCGCCCCCCTTCGATTGTATATTATTATATATTCTTACTATGCGCACCCGTCCCTCGTCCTCACACATCTGAGTGCCTGCGAACGCAGCTTGAGCTATAGCGAAGATGGAGGCGTTGTCGCGACAAGAGTATCCGGGGATGCTGGTATGTACAGCACCACGTTGTCGCATCGGCGACCAGCTGCGCCGTCGCTCCAGCACAAGCATGAGCATGAGCATGAGCGCAAGGACTAACGGCGTTGCAGGAGCGTTTGCAGCCAGCGGGGGCTGTGGCCAAGTTCAATGAGCGTGCGAAGCGGATTGGGAAGCTCAATACTGAAATTGCAGATTGGCTCCAGGTATGGCATCCCGGATAATAGCTGTCATGACTGTCAGCTCACACCTTTGCAGGAGCGCCGGAAGGTCGAGGAAGCATATATCGCCGGGCTCAAGAAGCTGGCACGGAGGCCATTGCAAGAAGTCGGAGGAGACATGGGGTAGGATCTTCAATTGCACGGTATGGTATGTCGCTGACCTTCATCCAAGGATATTCGGTTCGCCATGGAAAAAGATTATATCTTCCACCGAGGAGATCGCAAACTCCCACTCCGTCCTATCGCAGCGAATAGAAAAGGATGTCGAGGTTCCCTTGCGGACGTTCACATCAACCAATCGAGAGATGCAGCACCTGTCGACAATACAAGGGAATTTGGCGTCCATGGCAAAGGAATTGGATGATGCGCAAGATAAGTCGGATAAGTTGAGCAGGAAAGGTGGGAGAGCAAATTCGCAGAAAGTCGATCAGGCGACAAGCAAGCTCCAGACCGCCGAGCAGCAGTGGAACTCGCAAGCACCGTTCATATTCGAGAGTCTGCAGTCTATTGACGAGACCCGTCTAAATCACCTCCGAGATGTTCTGACGCAGTACGAGACTCACCAGGCCGACCTGGTTGAGCGCAACAGGATCGCGGTTGAGCAAGCCTTAAGTACATTACTAGAGGTGGATACATCGCAGGAAATAAAAAACTGGTCCCAAGCAACTGTTGCAGGAAAGCCGGTTATAGCACGAAGAACAAAGCAGTCATTACATTCGGAGAATTCAGCGGCATCCAGCATGCCACCTCCAGCTACTCCCCGGTCTACCCACACAGACAACCAAAGCGAGCATTCTGGCAAGCACGAGAGAGGTATGTTGAATCTTTAATACTATCCCGGATGTCATATATATCGCTACGCTCCGCAATATTTGCTCTTGCCCCATCCGGTTTCTATGCTTTCGGTTGATATTTTCCACTTGCTAACTCAAACTGCAGAAAATCTAAAAAGTCGTTTTGGCACCATGCTTAATAGACGGCGTCAAAGTATCCATGGTGGATTTGCCCGGGCGCCTTCTCCGTCCAAAGGGGGTTTCGTACCATTCGGGCGTAACTCTGGAAGCAGAGACGGGCGGCCCAGCCCTTCACCGCGCGCGTCATCAAACAATTTGCAGGAGTCGCCATCGCGGGACAACCGTCTATCATCACTTGCGGAATCCCCACCACTGCTAAGTCCCGCCTCCGCAACTAATGGAAATGCAAACGGAGTTACCCGCGAAACCTCCAATATTTCGGATGTTATGACTTCGTCTTCGCCCACCGCAATTAATGGCACAACACTTCCTACAACCCCTGACTTGTCCGGCGTTCAACCCCCACCAGGGCCACCCCCATCTCACACAAAGGAGAGCAAGAAAGATGCCGAAGGCTTTACCGTCCGAGAAACTTCTAATGACCCGATTTCGCTAGCCCAGCAAGAAGCAGCACAAGATTCTGATCAACCCCAATTCAAACTTGACATCCGGAAAGATCCCATTCCAGAGCAAGATGCAGATGCACGAGCAGCGCTTTCAAACGTTGCTAATACCCTCCGATCTTCTCAAATGGCTCCACCGAGTCGGAAGCTTGGTACGGTAAGGGGCCGACGAGATGTCCGAAATACCATCTTTGTGCCCGCGGGGCAGTCTTTGGATGTGTCTATTCCAGATCTTCCTGCACCACCTTCACCTAACTTGGCCACTGGCCGAGCTGCTGCCCTAGCTGCCATTTCAGGAGAACAACACTCTGCCCCCAGTATCTCAGACACGACATCAATCCGTTCAGGTCACTCCCTTTCAAACCATGCCTTTGTTAAACATGCTGAGATGCATCGGCCTGGTCTAAACGCATCAATTATCGAGACATTGAGTGCCTCGTTCGAAAACGGCGTGATCATAACGTCAAAGATCGGTGGTGAGATTGCTCTAGCATATAACAGGAGCACTGATGACGATTCGCCTTTACCTCCAGGTTAGCCTTCCCTAATCTCCCAAAAATGCCATGTACTAATATGCTTAAAGATAAAGAGACAATCCGAATAAACAACTTCCCAAATCTAGAAGTCATCGGACCAAACCGAACATTTATCCATCCCGTCTCAACCGACAAACCAGATGAATTCACAGTTGACCTCTCCTCAATAAATTCCAAAACCTCGGTCGCATTCACATACCGCGTCCATACTGACGAATCAAACATACACACCCAAGGCCCACTGTTTCTCAAGCCGGCATGGAAACAACAAGGCGACAAGCTCAACCTCGTAATAGAATATCACCTCAACCCCACATCGTTCAGCACACCGCTCACGTTCCACAATCTCGTCCTCGTAGCCACATACGAAGGCGCCCGCGCCATTGGTTGCCAAACTAAGCCTACAGGAACACATATCAAAGAGAAATCCCTCGTGTATTGGAGACTTGGTGACGTGACTCTCAACCCTGATGAGCCGCACAAAGTCATTGCTCGATTCGTAGGTATGGAAGGCGCCGTACCTACCCCGGGCCATGTTGAAGCGAGATGGGAAATCCATAATGCTGCAAATATCGGGATCGGAAGCAATATTAGTCTTTCTAGACTTGAGCAGGTGAAGGGCAAGGAGGTCCAGAAGGAAGAGGACGATCCATTCGCCGATGAATCCGTGGCGGCGGCGAGGGAGGAGGCTGCAAAGTGGGCCGATGTTGAAATTAGTAGGAAGCTCATTAGTGGGAAGTATGAGGGTAGACAGGTTGTTCCAGCAGCCTAGAGATGGAGTGAAACTGGAAACGGGGTTTAAAGCACAGAGGAGGGAAGCGGTGGGCAAGCTTCTGTAATTGCGAGATTGTGTATAGCAGCAGCACGTTTTTGTAAAATGGAATAAATGCAAGTTGGATAATGGCTACCAGCCACATTAATATATCTCTCGAGGAGCATTGCACATCTTAAATACCACGACTTGCCGGGTACAGACATGCCACATAATACCTTGGGTCGTCTCTCCAATTTTGGCTCTAACGGGTTTGCACATACACGACCTATCTACCTAACACTTACCTATCTAATGCTAAATATCAAGGGCGACATACGGCGGAAAGTAAAAGTGACAATAGGCAAGGCAAATGCAGATTAGCGATATAGACTGGGTAGTAGGCCGATAGACTTCCAGGAAGTATAATACGCGTCGCATTTTACGCATATGGCCTACGGAAGTAACTCTCTTATAAAACACGGCGGCAAAGCTGATAAAGCACTTAGATAGGTAGACAGGTCGGTGACTCGAGTCTGTACACTCTCTCGCCAACGCTCTTCCCCACCCACCACAAGCGAAACCAAAAGAAAAAAAGCTCAACTTCCATTACAAAAGCAGACCTTACAAAAAATAAGTGGAAATTATTATTATATGCCCCGGAAGCAAAAGAGTTCGGCCCGGGCGATTGCCTACATCTCTTGTCGATTTTTGTTGTTTGTCGCCTTTTGTTGTGGTTGTTTCCCCTTTTTTTCCCCCGTCGTCCTTGGCGATAACGAAAGTACAATTTGACCAGAACACACTTAGCCAAGTGCCACGCCCTTGTACTCGTTAAGGAATATTTGCTTATTTGGCCATATATGGGATAGGTCGAAGGGGAAAGGGAGTAGTCATGTGATTAGCCTTATATGGCCCCATACCTACAAGCTACCTACTACCTAGGTACCTAGGTACCAGAGAGAGTAACCTCTCCCATTTCGACTCTCTATGGCGATGGTCGATCGCCCTATAGAAAGCAATCTCCCGACTGATCGACAAGGGAGTATTGGCCAAGAATACAGTGACGATGGGAGTAGCTAAGAGGTACTTTTCATGTCACTTTAGAGCAGAACACCTACCTTCTATTATTTAATCACACTCTTTCCAGACTTGGAGCAAAATTTGGCTGTTCCGATATACTCTTTAGTCACCCCATTATCAATCGGCTAAGGAACATCGAATCTAGCATAAAGAGCAGTTGGGCACACAAAGTCCTTAATCAAAGTGTAGAGTTCTTCGATAATAGCAATACACCCCCACGGCCTGGTGTTGGCGCTGGCGACCACTCTTTGCAAGGCGGAGTGTGTAGCCACTCTCCGGGTTAGACCTGCATACCCTCTTCCTTTCTTTTCATAGAGTATGTGGGAAATCCTGAGCCTGTATGATTCGGATGAAGAGAAGGCAAGCGTACGAAGCAGAATTCGGGGTTTAATAGAAGCCACGGCTTGTTTTCCCTGATGGGAAGGGCTATCTGCCTTGGTTGGACATAAGTGGACTTTGTGCTGAGGGGACTTCGGATTTTCAGGTCGAATCCACGTCAGTTGCTTAACATCACGTACAGTACTGCACCACCAACTCATAAGTCTCACGCAAGTCAATATGGACAGGCATGCCTAAGCAGGCCCTTGGTTGAGATAATAAAATCCCATTTTCGTTCTCGTTACAAAGCAAAGGAAAAAAAATGAGCGAATAATTCTCGAGAGCAATCGTAATAAATACAGATGTAGTGATTCCTGAAGAAAACACAAACACGCAGGAAGAAACAAGGAAAACATTCGGAGAGCAATTTTTGTGATTTCTCGACCCGTTCTTCTTTTGCTGCTCATCCCTTGCATGTTAAGTAAAAACTCCCCAGAGCCCACTCCACCCCAATATTCAGGCGCGTGAACAGGCCAGGCAATTCAAGCCTCACAGAAGCTGGAATGCTCGTATCCACCCATTGCTCCTCGCTGGTCTTCGTCGTTATCGCGCAGTTATTAGGATCAAATGATTAAAGAGACAAGAATCGAAAGTAAAAAGAGCTGTGCCGCGTCGCTGTGGGAGAGGGATATAATTCGCGTAATCAATCGGTTGGGGCGTCTTAACGGAGAGAGAATCCCTTTCTCTTCCCTTCCTTCTCCAACGGCCTTCCACTTTCGATTCTCGACTTCTTCTCTTCTAGCTCCATTCGTTGGCGTTCCAACTGCTCCTTCATCTCGCGATGGCGGGCATATAGTTCCTCCTCGCTCTGCTTCAGCTTGCTCTCCTTCTCGGAGACCTTCTGCTGGAAGACCATCTTCATCTCGGCCTCCATCTTTGCGAGCTTCTGCTCGTGCAGCGTGCGCTCCTCTTCTTGCTTGACAGCGGGGTTGACCTCCTTGAAGACGCTTGGGTCTTGAGCCACACCCATTGCTGTGAGCTTCTCGGATCTGTAGTTCTCGTACAGGGCATTGTTGGTGTGTTCCTTGAGCTCCTCCATGTGTGTCCGAATGAGCATCTGGCGCAGCTTGACGAAATCGCAGTGTTCCTCGTTGTCCACCTCGATGATTCCCCAAGGATAACTGCGTCCACGAACCTTGCGGCCATCAGCACTAGTGATTTCGGAATTGGCACCAACAACAGCGAATGGGACCTTCGACATGATCTCATTGTTCTCGGCAATCGTCTCATCATCGTCTAGTTCGTAGCGAGGGCCCTCGAAAATTTGGATGTCATGGTGCTTGATGTCGGCGAGGATCTAAAGAAGTTAGGGGTGAAAGGGCCATGGCTTTTGTGGATTGCTTACTCTGGACTTGAAAGCCAGGATCTCTTCGTCGGTCATGGTATCAGCCTTGGCGATAACTGGGATCAAGTTGACCTTGGTATGGAGTCGTCGCATAACCTCGATATCGAGGGGCTTCAAGGCATGGCCGGTGGGTTGAATGAAGTACACGCATGCGTGGACTCTGTTATCAACAATGTTCATGCGGTTGACCTTGTTCTCGGCATCCAAGTAGGCATCGAACCGTTGCTCGATGTTGTCGACAATTGGCCGCCACGACTCATCATTATTAACAAAATCACCGAAGCCAGGGGTATCAACAACAGTCAAACGCAAACGAACGCCATTCTCCTCGATATCAGCGCTTATTGATTGGATCGCCACGGTTTTTGGGATAATATCGAGACTGGGTCCCTTGCGCTCACGGGGTGGGTATAGCGAAGTGTTGAAGAGCGTGTTGACCAAGGTCGACTTTCCAAGACCGGATTCACCTATTCATATAAGCCATTTGTCCACATATTAGGGTGTTTTGCACATACCAACTACCATAACGTTGAAGTTGAATCCTTTCCGGACACTCTTGCGGTGCCATTGGTTTGGCAGATTGGCAAATCCAACGTAGCCAGTCAACTTTCGTCGCACAATATTCCTCATATCACTAGCTTGCTGAGCAGCAACCTTTGGGTCGGTTGAGCTCACGCTCTGTGGTACCTCTGGTGGAGACTGAGGCTGAGGAGATACGGACTTTCCGTTGGGTGCTGGTGCCGGGGAGGCCCGGGTTGGAGCCGCTGGGGCGACGCCATTTGAAGCTGTGGAAAAAGAGAGAATATTAGCCTCATCATTCAAGGTAGCATTATTATATGTCATTCGGTTGAGCTCCGAGGTGGGCCAATGTTCCATGGGTTCCTCTGCAGGGCAAAAAATGGGATAGCCATTTGTCGTATCGTCCACGTTCAGCATGCTGCGGTACTGGACACTGGAGCCCGAACGCTGGTTGCCATGTGCGTTTCTTGGGAAGGTGTGAAAATTTGTAGCGGCCTCCACCTTTGGCCCCTGAATCGCTGGAGGTCTCGACGCACCCTCAGAGCGGGAGAGTCGAGATGGGGACAGCCGACTGCTCAATGAAAACATCATCCCGATAAATTGGCGCACTAAGAGCTGACCACGTCCAATATTTTGTTCGGCGATACTGCCAGGTAGGAAAGGGCGCTTGAGCCTAGACAAGCCGCGCAAGCACACAGGTCGACACTTGTCGCCGCACAAAGCCTAGAAGTACCGATTCGTGTTGAGGTTGTGCGGTTCGAACGGTCGTATGAAGATTGTTCATTTTCGTGTCGGAAGCGAGCGCGATTCAATCACATTCACCACCGGGTAGTTGCTGCCCCAAAAAAGAAAAGTGATGCTTACCCATTGTTTCGAGTGTGATGAAGAAGCAGCGATGGTGTTCGTTGTGAAGGGGGGAGTCGGGGCAGGGTCAAAGTCTAGAGGGACACCGGTTCAAGATCAGCTTCGGTGCAAAAGTGCAAACTTGCAATGTGTCCCAGGTGCAAAGGCAGTGCGAAAATACAAGATCCATAGGCAAGAAGGCATGAAGTTCGGCCTCCTGCAGATGGGATGGGATGGGACGGGGTCGCTGCGGAGCGCAGGGAAGGGCAGCGCGCGAATACGATGGACACGTACCAGAGAATTAGTTGACTTTGCCTAGAGTCGCAGTCGCTGTCGCCGTAAAGCAGCTGTCGCAGTGAAAGTGAAGCGCAGAGGAGCGGCGATAGCAAACGATCTATCGTGCGGGAGCGCGTCAGGTCAGTATGAGGGTGAAGATGAAGGATGTAACGAAGTTTTGGAGTTCGGGCGTCGATCTGCCACGGCAAAAGGGGCTCTTGGATTAATGACCGGGATAGGGGGAAGCTGTCATTTAAAAAAGCCGCCAGAGAGAGCTTGCGCACGGGGAGGACAGGCGGCCAACAACACGGTACGTACTGTGAGAAGTAAAGGACGGAGCAGCAGGAAGAGAATGTAGAACTCGAAGAGGATTGAAGCCGAAGTTCGAAGGGCGAAAGTGAGTGTATGGAGGTAGAAGTAGAAGTAGAAGTCCAGTGTCTGCGTATGTAATTCCCTGAGTTTGTATCCTCGCGGCGGTGCGACTGCAACAGAAATTAAACTGGGGGGCCAGCCTCCATCGGGTCTAGCGCTTCTCCAGTTCCCCTGGAAATATCACGCCAACCAGAATAGGGGACTTCCCCAACAGGGCTAGCGGGGGAACACGTGAATGGCAAGCGAGAGGGCTCGCTAATTTGTCCATGTTGGGTTAAAGCCAGACACGGGCGCGTTCGTTGGTCCCTGACAAGGGAGATCTTCGCTCTGTAATCACAGCGGAGACTCGCGAGAGGTTAGGTTTGAGATCAATATCAATATCTATATTATATCAGGCAAAGTTGCGGCATTGAATTTCTTATGTTTCCATCGAGGTCTATTCCACGGTAATGGTAACATGCATTCCTCTACTCACACTTGTATGTCAAGTAGCTGTATGTAGGGACCTTGGTTCGTACAGCCGAATCGGCCACAGAGTCTAGTTCAAGTTGAGCCACGGAACGCAGCACCTTCGAGCATCTCGCTCTGTTCCACCGTCGCACAGCATCATCTCTTCATCCCCTCTTGAAATATCTCCCTGGGTGCATACTAGTACATCTAGCCCTGTCACCTCATATTGGTGGTCTTTCGTGTATTAATTCCTCAAGAATTTCCTATTTTCCCAAAATTCAATTCCCACCACTCCCTCACTACTGCACTAGACTAGAGATAATGTAGTTGTTGTTCATTTTAAATGTCCTGACGCCCCCAATTCTCGCTTGCCTCCCCAATTCCATTTCTGATCAAAAGTTAAGGGGGAGGTTTGCGGAATTGTGCAGAATTGAAAGAATAATAGAGAGGTCGGTTAGAGAAGCCTCTTAACTACAACTCCTCTGAAAACAACAATTTAACGTGCTCTCTATACAACTGCCCCAAAACAACCCCTTAACGTATAAGGAACATTCCCTTATTAGTTTCTATACATCTACCTTTTCGTAGGTATAATACTATTACAATACTAGACTAAACCATATATTATACAACTGCTCTGTTTAATCAGTTTACTTACGTTTACTTGTAGAGTAGCAAATTTGATGCGGCTTTGCGCCGGACGCTGCGAAAATGCCCAAAATAGCGATTTGTTAATTTGATCAAAATGATACCTTACGAAAACGTAGATGATAGTAACTGTTAAGGTGTACCTTGCGACGCACCTCGCACCTCGCACCTCCTCCCGCTACCCTCCTCCTACATCTCACCTCCCACCTCAGACCTCGCACCTCACCACGCACTTCAAACTTCAAATCTCCAAACCTCAAATCTCCAAACCTCAAGTCTCCAAACCTCAAGCCTTCTCCAATATTACTGAAGCTAAATCTCAAGTATCAGCTTTACGTACGTCCACGTTATACCTCAGACTTCGTACCTCACCCTATACTTCTAACTTTAGAAGCTATTATAACGTCGATCTTCAACCCCGATAGGGTTAAAATGACCCAAAAGGAGAAAAAGGCAGCTATCAAGGAAGCGATACTATCTACAGATATATAGAGCCCAGAGGAGGATTGGACCTTTGATATCGACGAGATCTCCAAATATCTCAACCTCGATGATTTCACAATCGATGTACTAGAGCTCGCTGCGCACGAATCAATATTTATTATAACTTCAATTTTCAACCTGGATAGGATAGATATAAGCTGGAAAGAGAAGAAGGCGGTAATTAGGGAGACAGTACTAGCCAAAGAATATAACAAAGAAGTAATTTCAGTTAGATATTCGTACGACTTGAATACTTCAATTGTAGTGAGATATTTACACGCCTTGAATACCTCAATTGTAGTGAGATATTTACACGACTKGAATACCTAAAGTTCGGTCGGATATAAAGGATAGAGTAGGCGGATAAAGAATAGCCTAAGAAGCTGAATATATATAACAATTACGAGTTATCTCTATTATAAAGTAAAGCTATTCTTAGATCTTTGCCGACTTAATATCCTCTATAGCAAACTAAAATTAAAGTATTCAAGTCGTACTGTCGAGGAGTAGGAATAATCCTTGGTAGTATCTTGGGGCCGGTGGTTGTTCTGATGCATATCTTCATCCTGATTTTGACTAGAAATGTGTTCTGACCCTTTCCCATGGGAATAACTAAAACTCGCTTGAGGGACGTACTTCTGGATGCTCCAGCACCACAGGGTCATGGCGGAATATATATATATATATATTACACAATCAACGGAGAGCTTCGGGCTTTTCAAAACATCATCAATTATGAACTGAGTCTCAAACAAAGGGCTACCAAAGGGAAGGCAGTCCAAAAGAAGCTCCTCAGCTCAAAGTCCTAGTGCCCAAGGATCAGGATCAAGAATCGGAATCCACTAACACAGCCTGCGAATTCCAATCTGACAGCTTCCCATTTGCTGTGATTGTCCGCTCATATAGGCCGCAGGCCAACCCATGTGAAGTGACGAGGTATCCTTCCCGCAATCTGAAGGATTTTAGGTGGTCACTGTGGTAGTGTCTAAATCAAACCTCCTCACTATGACGCAGTATTGAGTGCTGAATTTCGACTGCCCAGGCTGACTGGATCGAAGTGGTTTTTGCCATGGATGCATGCTCTAGAGAAACCAGACTGGGCAAAGCATCTAAATCGGGAGCGTCATGAATTATCTTCGGTGTCACCGTTATCATCAGCAAGTGACGGATCACTCGGGTGGCAACTTTCTCACCACGTTTGGCATCACCGATCTCAATTTTGCTCTCCTGGATAGAGATTTTATTGGATATTCAGGTTAAGGAGGCGGAGTTCACTCGCCCACCTTGCGTAGATTGTGTATCCGCCATGACCCTGTGGTGCTGGAGCATCCAGAAGTACGTCCCTCAAGCGAGTTTTAGTTATTCCCTCAAGACTTCAGAGACCTCCTCCTTCGTGATGCACCTCTTAAGCTGATCGCGATACTCAAAGCTAAGGAAGTAAAGTATTTCAGCCTCACTGCCGTCAGCAGTATTCATCGTCAAACCGCCGAATCCTTTTGATCTGAGTGAGATAGGTTTGTATTTGAGTGCCTCAACTAACCCCGTTGCTCCTCTCGCAAGGAAACACCCCTTGCACTCCAAGTACATTTGATAACTTGTCTGCACCGATACTGGATTGCCCAGTCACTGATTGGGACCAAAATTGGGATCAACCTGCGCCTCGCATAACATCAAAACTATCCCTATCGCACAAAGTGACCTGCACAATGGGCAAAGTCCACTCCTCGATATCGCCAAATGATCAAAGCCCCAAGGAGGAATCGTGGATAAAATAACTACATGTAGCAAAAAGAACACTCAACTAGAGAACACTCAGCCAGAGAATTCTTGTTGAGTTTCGGCGATGCCGGAATTGGGGTTTTGATGTGTACGCCACATGTAGTAAATATGACCCAGTGTTGCCTATATATAACAAGGACTTCTCCTCCACCTCCATTACTAGAATCAATCAACTCTTCCTACCTGTTTTCAGTGCCTCTAAAACACTGACAATACTCAACTAGTGAATACTCAACTAGAGAATACTCAACCAGTGAACACTCAACTAGACTCCAGAGAATACTGAACCACTGGCAGTAAACACTAAACTAGTAGTTTAGTGTTCTTAAATATGAATATTCAGGGCATACCCGGTATTCAGGATAACTAATAGTCAGTAATCAACGTTAGTATGACAAATCCAGTGCATTCGTGTTCTGGCTAGCCAGCTTCTCCGGGTTCTCCCTAGTCCAGCTACATTTCTGTATAGCGTGACAGGACATTAAAAGGGATAATCAATCGATTAATTATTAACCGAGATTGAGATATTTACACGACTGTACTTTTCGGGTGTACTACAAGCGCTAGGCTTTCTATGCTCACGGCAGAGAGGGAGAAGAAGAGTACTACTCAGCTGTTTGTATCAATATATATATATATATATATATAACTATAGATAAGATTTATTAGTCGCAATGGACAACTTAGAAAATAAGCTACCGTTATCAAAGTGGGCTATTTAGATTCAAGGCGTTTTGCAATTGCCAATCGGCGGTTTCACCATGGTCGTTAGGAAGTATTTTCAGGTTCGAACTGAGTATAACATTGATAATTATACATTACTATCACGCGTATTACTTTCATAACCACTTGCAAGTTAGCCCTTCTCTAAAGCTTAAGATGCTGCCAGCTGGTATAACTGCCGGAGGTCGAAGCTACATCTGCCCTTGGGTTCTCTTGCACCGCGGCGGGAGAACCATTCAAATTATGGCTATTATTTCCGCCCACAAGAAATGGTGACCCAGACTTAACCGATTCCGTTGCCCCTTGTCCCTCATTGGCCGGCAATTCGTGGACCACTGCGCTGTCTAGTTGTGAGATACTGTTCGAGCTACCCGGCCCAACTCCACGGCATGTGTTTGATGGGCACGGCAGGGCAGTGGGGGTCTGTTGTATGGTCGGGCTTGAGACATTTGATGAATGAGCTGAATGTATTAGGATATTTGGAGAGCCAGTGTAGGAGGGAAGGTACGGGGAAACTGATGGCGTCGGGGCGTATATTGAGTTGCATTGCGAAGCGCCTTTGCTTTCTACGCCACGGGCTGGCTGGTCGACAGATGGCGGTTCTGTGTCTCGTAGATAGAAAGTTAGGACATATATCAAGATAGCTTCCGGTGCTGTTGGGGGAATGGAATGTATATGGACTGGAAGGAAAAGTCTAATAGGTACCTGTAATATTTGTGGATATGACATCTAGCTTGCGAACTGGGCCTCCGGTAAGTAGTTCGAATGGTGTAGTACGTGCCATAGCTTCACGACGTCGACGGCGCAAAATGAAGAATGCCAGTCCTAGCAAGGTTGCCAATACAAGTCCAGCAATTGAGACTCCTACAACTATGGGGACTTTCGAGCGCTCATCCTTCGGAACTGGAGTATGGGACCCAATTGGGGTTGTCGGTAATGATGATGTAGATGATGTAGATGATGTAGACGATGTGAAGCTTGATGAAACTGAGAACGTAGTTTGCAATGACCAAGAAGATATGCTGCTTGTTCTTGAAGTCGCTGTCGATGAAGACCCTGACTTCAAAGTTGCAGTGATGCCAGGCGGTGTGCTATAAGTGGCAGCATGGAGCTTCCCCGGCGGACATCCAACTCCATTGCATGGATCGGACTCACAGCATCCTTGAAATGATGGTGTCTGCGCTGAGCATATCCACCAAAGTCCAGCGGAACATTGCACGTTAGGCCATGGTGATCCATCGTGGGGAGAAGAGCCCATTCCGGCAGCTCGTAGATCGCTAGAGGAACATCCAGAACCGTCGCATGGGTTGCTAGTACAGCATCCGAAAAAGAAGGGTGGTTGGTTACTGCATTCGAACCTAGAATTTAAGTCTAAGCATTGTATACAACTAGATTGATAGGAGTGCCATTTACCATGTACCCCCATTGGGGCAGGTTCCTTTTGACATGAGACTAATCCTTAGATTGGACTGCACAGTGATGCACGGAGATAGGTGTCCAAATGCGAGAAGCTCAACTTAAGAAAGGGGATGGGTCAAAGTGGGGCGGCAGGCCACAGTTCAAAGCATATGAAGCAGAGATGGACGCAGCAATTCCATGATGTTTTTACACATGACAAGCACCTACCGCGTACGTTTGCTAGAGGAAACTACGACCACTCAGCCATCTCAGTATAGTATGGCAGCAGAAGCTCCGAACACAACATAGGATATATGGAGCAAATATCGACAGATTCTAATGCAATACAGCGCAACTACAAATCTATCCAGATATGTACAAGTCGGCGGAATGGTGCAGAAGAGCAATCCGGAGCTGCCGTTGGGTACAACATGGAGCATTGTGAGCCTTACACCGCGGACTGTGACCCTCTTGGTTATATTCGGAGAGGGAATTTTATTCAAGATAAAAAGAGAAACAGAGCTTGTGTGAGGCTCCGGAATGAGGTGGGGAACCAAACGCCTGGAGTGACACCTACACCATGGCCTGTTACACGCGGCAAGGTATCCCGTAGGGCTAATGTATGTAACGCCATCAGGCTCCTGTGATTGTGCGACGGGATGTTGTATGAGCCCTGATATGGGGAACAGAGCTGTGGATTCGATTGATAGAGTTCTTGTGTTCTTGTGTTGAAGTGAAGCCCCGAACTAGACAGAAAGCCGCTTGGACTTAGTCAACGTTAGCGAAGGACCCCTGAACCCCTTTTTGATTAAATTCCTTCCTTCCGAGATATGTAGCCTAGGCACGTTAAATTAGCGATCAGTCTTATTGGCATCTCTTCAGAGCTCCTAGGGTGGTCCAATTTACAGGAGAGAGAACGGCTTTGAAGTATTCACGCACGGGAGGGAATAGCTAAATAATAGCAGTGTCAAGTCCGTAGAGAGTCGGCATTAGTTATCGTGGTGGTGGAACGATCATTCTCTCTGTTTGAACTGTGCACAGTGGCCTTCGCTCAAACCCCTATGAAAGTCTTATGTTTGGAAATGGCCCTTGGTCCTCCTTTCCGGTCAACGTACCTAGAGATGTGAGCTCAAGTCATATTGTAGACGGCATAGCGAAAATAGAAAACATCTAGAAAGAATGAAATGGTTGTCTTGTGTTTATCATCTACCGGCCTAAACGGTGCCGCCCAAAAGACCATTCTAGTATATACTTCTAAATGATTCTATAAATCCCACTCCTAGGCGCCATATAGGTGCAGCTGGTATCAAATCTATCCCAATCCCGATTGTATTGCATCCCAAACCAAATGCACATGCCAAAACTCCATTCCCTTTATGTCGTGGCCTTCCGTACGTTTTTCTGCTGTTCTTCCTCTATGTACTGACTCTCCTTGTGTTGTCTTCTCTTGTTCCCGTTGTGCTTTCCATAACGTCATCGCTGCTCGCCGATTGCTCCAGGGCTTCAACTTCAGCCTTTCGATTAAGATAACTGAGATATGTCTGCCATCCAATAGCAATAACCCCGGCAAATATTGACCTGTATTGTGCCTCTATGAATGTGAAGCTGAATGCTGTGACGGCAGGCCAAAGCTTGCAGCTGTTGATCATGGAAGTAGGCACAGTACGCTTTATTCGGTCCCAGACTTCTGGCAAGGAGTCCCCCGAGAGTAGAGATTGCATGCCGAAGAAGTAGGTGTTAAATATCGGCGTAAACGCCATTTGATTGACAGAGACCTTCGTGACAAGGGAGAGGAATTTCGAGGAATAGTTGAAGTTGTTTCCGAGGAACATGAACCTTTTTTCAGGGTCAGACTCAACCCAGCACATCAGGATTTTTACATCTCGGACTCACCATTTATAACTCGGTATAGAGGACCCCGCGCTAATAATTAAGGCTCGCAGAGTCCTCTTGGGGTCGTATTCGTCCCCATTTAGGCTTTGGGCCGATAAGTCACCTAAAATATAAATAACTAGCGAACTACAAAACTGTGTTGTATATGGCCGCTCCCGCTGGCTCCTCCCATATGCCTGGAACCCTTTCGTTAATGGGCCAAGTCGCTGCCATAATGGCAGTGTTGCGATAGTGTTTGGAACGGGGATCGCAGTACCGCTTGTGACTGAGCCGCTATTACCGGGCGCTGTGCGCGTGGTATTCGTGCTGCGGCGCTTGGTAATGTTCGGTTTGAGTTGTCGGTTTGGTAGGTGCGATCGTCGCAAGACAGCTCGACCGGCTGCCTCGACCGCAAATACATACATCGGGAGAGGGAGTTTTGTTATTGTGTACACATGTTGTGGTGTTGATGGCCTGGGAAATGTTTTGTTGCGATTGCGATTGCGATTGCGCAACCGAAATTTGCCGTATCGGGTCACCACGGCAAGCGTGATGATGAAAGGGTTGCCGAGCGGGCGGAATTCCCGTCTTGCGGGGGTCGCTTCGGTAATTGGACCCTGAGCGCATCTAACCGAAGTCAGGGGGGAGAGTTGTGCTTTCACGAATTTTGACGGGCTTATTATATCTGCAATTCAATAAGTTATAACGCAAAAGAGCATAATAATTAGGGCCTACCAATAATAGCTTAACATACTACGTACATACTGTCGTAAAGTAATGGTAATTTGACCATGCCCCCCTTTTAGGCCCCTTTGGGTAGTGGTAGGGACAGGCCTTTGGTATTTATACTAAGGTAGCTATATACACCATACCGTGTCACCATTCTAGTGATAACTTGAAGGTTGGTTAGGAATATCATCATCGTGATCTATGCCACGCGCGTCGATATCCGGCGATGTCAGTCAACCACCAGTACTAAGGTAGGTAGTCTAGAGCAAGGCAACTACCTAGGTAAGCTAATAAAGGGTATATAATATAGTAGCTGTAACAATTCTAGCGCAATAGTGGAAATGTAGGTCGACATTAAATCATTGAGTCTTCCGACCTAAAACTGATTTCGCTGTTTACTATTCTACAGTAAGGGGTAGTTAATAAATGTTCCAACCAATAGAAGGCACGGCTATATTGCATCTTTTGGCTCTAGAGCTGTAAGCTGAGGCTCGATAGAGAACTTCGCTTGAACTTGAAGATAGGTATAAAGCGTTAAGGTAACTAAGTTAATAATACAATTAGAACTATTAATCTCTAAGCGCGAGTTACATTAAGCTGCTCGTATACACTCGCCTTCCTATTGTGGCAATCACAAAGGCTGTGCGTTGAGGTGTAGTATAAAATGCCATTAATGATAATGAATTATTAATATTTATTCTAACAATGCACTTTGTTGCCCTTTATTTCCCTTGGTAACGTTTGTTCCTCTTTGTTCCTTTTTCTCCCTTTGTTCCAAAGCGGTTACTAGAAGAATAATAGGGCAGGATAGAAACTAGAATTAGCTAACTGACAACTTACAAGTATTTAAATAAGTTATTCTAGTTAACCTTAATACTAAGTAGAACACATCTATACCAGCTTTCAATACTCTGTATTATACAACAATCACAATCTCCCAACTTATAGATTCCTTCCCAACCGTCGAATTTTCAACGTTGTAGGATTAGTCCTTTACATTCACATTCAAGTCTAAGCACCATTTCCTCGCTATGGATAATAGCTACACTGTGAACAACGCTATGGTTAGAAATTTACCTGACGCTGGGGTTGAGGTTTTCCCATCACAAAATCAACCTAACAGCTTCACCGTCTTCCCAAAACTTCCATCCGAGCTACGTCTCAAGATATGGCGTTCAGCGTTCCCGCTGTCCCGAACCGTTGGGTTGGAAGTCCCCGACTACCTTATTATGGGAATTTGCAGGCTTGAACGGAGCGCTACCAACCGTTCCCGGGCCCTTCAATCCATTGAACGACAAAGACTTGCGAAACTGCCGCCAATGCCTATGACATTGCGGATCAACCGCGAATCTCGTGAAGAAACGTTGAGGCATTATTGCGTACTCTTCCCCGGGGACATACAAGAATGCTCGCACAGTCCCTTAGAAAAATTCGTCGAAAAGCCAATCTGCTTGAACGCTCGCCGAGACCGACTATTCTTTAGCCATGACCATATTAGATATTATGTCGAGAAATTTCCTGAATGGCTAAAATACATAGCCTCGAAAATCCCTTCTGGAAAGGGATTAAAGGAAGTGTCTGAACTAGAAATTGGCGGCGTTGACTTTCACGAGTACTTCCGCGAGCGGCATGAGATGCCAGGCTCACACCTATTGCTCGCTTCAATTATCCAGAGCTTTGAAGGGCTAACGAAGCTATATATCACGCCGCACGCGGCGGCACTTACTAATCCCTTCATATTCATTCTGAAGCAGAAAGCAGAGGACGCCATTGCGGCTGTTGTACCTGCTAGTGACAGCGACGATGAAGGTGAGGACCAAGAGGAACAAGAGGAACTCTGCCGTAGACTTGGGAATCGGGAGGAATGGCTACGGAGAATCTTCAATGTTCAGAAGGAGAGATTTGGAGATGGAAAGGCGCCGGAAATTGTCCTGCGAGTGAGGAGGCACCGTCTTCGCCTGAGTACTCCTACTTCAACTGTAACCTTTCAGGGTGATGAAAGGATTGAAACCATTAGAGATGTGTATTCGTGGGTAGGTCAGCCCGAGATAGTGCGCCGATTTCCTGGACCCGAGGTTGATAATGTGTTGAATCCCGTAGATTGGAAGGGGTTATCGCCGTATTTGGAATGCCTGGTCCGGAAAGAGAAGTGGTGGCTTGAGGGTGAATGGAATTCTGGAGCTCCATTTCACGTCTAGGGCAATAAGTCAGTTGTAGCAGGTCTGTAATATATATATTTCTCTGTTCTTCCATTTCCCTGTACAATGCACTACTCATTCCATGCGGGTGGTTCCTATACTCCAAGACAACAAGCTCATACCCATCCCATCCCGTCTAGGTATCTATCGTACAGGAACACAGCCGAAAAAGGAATTCATTTCATTAACCATGCAATCATCCAATATATCTTATGCCAAATCAAGTTCTTTTTTTACAATCGGTTCACTGCCCTTGAACACCCATCCATCCATCCATATTATATAAACGGTTGTTTCGAATCATCAAATGGCGGGGGCGGCGAGCCATCGCGCTCCCTCCTCGCTTTCCGCTTCTGCATTGTGTAGTCATCTTCAGAGAGGCTGCTCTCTCCGGCTTCTTCTCGCTTTTCTAATTCTCTGCTGCGAGGTGGGGTGAGATCTCTCATCTGCCCAGGGAGCTTGTCTTCGCCCAGCCATTCATCATCGTCTTCAACCAAGGCTGGTGGTCCGTCATATGGTGGTAAGGAGGGCTTGCTTGCTCCAGTATCGCCCTTCACTAAGCCTAGCCTCTCCTCTTCCGTTGCGCCTTTGACGTGCGCACCACGGCTACCTCTCCTCTGGCCCAGTCCTTGTCGAATCATGGGTGATCTGCTCGGTGGTGCGAGTTCATCACCAGGTGGTTGAGCGGCCCCCTGGCCTTTCCTGAACACATTCTGGAAGGAGAATTGCCTCCGAGCAGAATGCTGTGGGGGGATGGGTCCAGCATCAGGGTGTAAGCTGCTTCCTCTGCTCCCTGTGCGTTGTGAACCTCCCTCATCAACTATCGTTATGTGTCGCTCGCCGGCACCTCTATACTGTGTATCACGGTCATAATAAGGAGGACCGTTAGGGTCATCCCCCTTATACGAGGGGATGGCAATTTCTGTCAAGGGAACGGGATGCATTGGGCTTTGGATCTGGGAGACACCACTTCCAAGTGTTGACCTTCGTCGGCCAGGGACAATAACTGATTTCATACGATTGAAGACGGATGATCCTCTCGTCAGAGGCCGCTCTTCATCTTCGGAATCTGAGTCGGATGGGAAACGAGACATGCCAAGTGGTGGATGCTGAGGTGTAGAAACATTAGGGTCGAACGCCGGAAAAGGAGTGGAGGGGTCCCGAGATCGAACACTGGGATTCGTTCGATTCGTTCCGAAAGTCGTCCTCCGTCGTCGTAGACCATCCCATTCATACTGCACATTAACTCCATCTTCTCCAATAGACTGAAGATCCAGCTGCTTTTCATCATGTATTCTCTTAGCCTCCTCTAGTTCCTTGTTTGATCTCAAGGTAGACAGTCGTCGGATGATCGCTGCCGTGCCTCGAATAGCATCCGCTTTTGGTTCTGACTCAGGCTGCTCCTGTTCGGCAATAGTGCGAACTTGGTCCAGATCGCCTGCGAAAACCGCTGCGTCTGGAACATCTTTGGCTGATTTAGAGAGCTGGAGAAGAACGACTCCTGAACAGATGACTAAAAACCCCATTACAACGCTAATGATAGAAGTGGGGGTCCCTTTGAACCCTCTAAAGAGGACGGTCGAGGTGATGATGGTGGAGCTTGTGAAGAACACATAATAAGTAGGGGTTACCAGGGCGGCGTTGAATAGATTAAGCGCTTTCTAGAAACAGTCGACATCAGCGGATATTCAGAATGGAGCATTGGAGCACATACATTTAGGTAAATAATTTCCGTCAGAAGAGTGGCGATGACAAAGACAAACAAGACGTAGAGGAACCACTGATCGTACTGCTTAACGCCGCCAATCTGTGAAACGATAGCAGCACCTAGGCCCTGAGTGGCTACCACACTGAGCCCTCCAATCAAGCTGCAAATGGATATATAGACAAGCATGGACTTCTTGCCATACCGCGGTCCGGCCCAGAGGGCAATGAACGCGCAACCGACGATAACCACACCAGCGTAGCTCAAAAATCCAGGGGCAATAACGAAGTGTTGCATATCCTGTATAGTGGCCACAGAGGACTCAGACGGAGCATTCATGACGATGACTACCGATCCGATAATGCAAAGGAAGCAGCCAACCTTCCCGACCATGCTTAGCCGTTCCTTTAGGAATATTGCCGATAGAATAGTTGTGATCACCACGGACAATGCGCCAAGGGGCGTAACCAGAATAGCATCGACGAAAGCGTACGCCACAAAATTGCAGATCTCCCCAATTATCATCAAGGTCATTCCCGTCCACCAAAAAACGTTTTTGAGGTACCCATATCCTTCGCCAGCGACTTCGTCATATTTCTCGTTCGCCTTCAGCAACCCAACCTTCTTCAGCACAAAGGACACTCCGATAAAGCAGCCCGATGCCACGGCTAACGATATTCCAATTGCCTTGTATACCGGAGGCCTTTCCTTGCTTGACTCCAATGGGCTCGTCGAGTTTGCGCGGGCGTAGATCTCATGGGCCGTTGCGAGAACATGTGCGGTTTGGTCCATGATTGGGTTTGCGAGTTAAGAGGCGGGGACTCGCTCGAGAGGAAGGTGAGGGTCGTCAGGACGTTGCAGCTGTTCAACAGCGCTATGGGCCGCCTTCCCTTCTATTGCCCTAGCGTTTTGTTATAGTCGTAGAAGCGGATTGTGGGGGCAATATGTGGAAAATGTTGTGGTGTTCGTTAAGGAGAAGCTTTGTTGATATCGAGCCTTGTGCCACAACAACATAACACTGTCCTTGGGTATATGGCGGCAATGAGGGTATAGCGACAGGGGAAATGTGTATGTGTCCGCTCCGTCGAATGAAGAGATCGAGGGACCCAAGAGCGGTGGCTGCTGTTGTGGAGAGAGAGGTTGGTGCTGGTTCTCCTTGTCTGAAACGGATACTGTGCGAGGCTGTGCACCGGACAACGCAATTGTTGGGATGGAGAGGGCGCAAGACGAAACACCGTGACTGTGAACTCGAATGGTAATTGTACTTGGTAGAGCAGTAGCAGAGGGGAGGTATTATGGAATATTGAATATTGGATAGGTATTTTGAATAATGGCGGAGGAGAGGAGCGCAAAGTGATCTGGAGTTGGGGTTGGAGTATACGAGTACAAGGTTTGGGCTGTGTTGGCGAGGCAAGTTCCAGGTCCTTGTTCCCAGCATCCATCAATCACAACCGCAACCCACAACCAACAACCAGGTCGCCGCAGTCGAGACAGCAACGAGCAACGAGGCGGAGCATCCGACGTCGCGCATCACCATTCTTGCATTCGCCGGACACAAGGATGATCCTCAAAGTCGTCATCGAGATACTTCTTATCTATTCTTACAGAGTGCGTGGTACTGATGGTTCTGTGCGGATTACACTGTACCTACCGTACCTACTCCTGCTTCCTTTGTTCTGCTCTACTTACTACGTATATTGGACAGATTCGTTGCTTTTCCCCATTTTGCAGCTGGTGTCTGGACGAAAAGCCCTCGCATCGCACTTGATGGATGCCACGGCCATGCACTTAGCTCTAGGGCGGGATGCAGTGTGATGCGGATGCTCCAAGTTTAGATATTGGATGACCATCTCGCCCTTCCTGTCCTTCATCATCCGCCCAGAGCTCGTTTCGCAGCGTTCTTGATATGGCATTTCCACAAAGTCAGCCAGTGATGATAATAATGGATGCCACCTGTTGACATTGTCATGGTCCGCTCGAACGACCAGCCTGATATCGGGGACCCCAAACAGGTCCTCAGGTCTTCCGCCTTCAGCGTCCAGGTCTCCATGGCAATCCAATTCGCGGGCTTGATCCCTTTGGGGCGACCACCCGCTTCGGACTTGTCAGAAATAGCGTCCGCAACCAATCATCTGTGACATCTGACGCCGTCGACGCATTCTGGGCCTCACGAAACACTTCCTCTCCTCTTCTTCAACGCTCACGAATGCCATACTGCTACACAGAGGAAGTCCAGCGGCCACCGAGACCGAAAGATTACCGCCATTGTTTGCGGTAGCTCCTTCGCAGCTGTTGATATTGAATTCAGCCGTCGGTAGCCAAGAAGGAAGTCCGTTAGAAGTTTCGAGGTTACAGCATCAAGCAATGTTTCGGCGCCTTGGCCATACTTCACAGGACCCCACGAGTCGGACCAAGCTCCACAAGCTCCATCGCGCGACAGGGACAGCTAATTCATGCACCACCACGATGCCAGTACAGGCGCCATTTTCTGTTTCCACTTGCCGAGTTGGCTGCGACACAAGATGCAACATATAGCGATGCCATACTCACAGACCTTTTGCCTCATTCTTTAGATGCGCTCTGGAGGCACGTCTATTTCTCTGCGCGTTTCATCGCGCAATATCCTACGGGGATATCCTACCGCGCAAGTTACATCCTAAAATACACAGCCATAGCGTTTGTGCGACCTCGTCGCGATCAAGAACCATGTGTTCAATAGGTGGGGGGGGGGGGAATATTAGTATTTCATCGATAAATATACGGGCAGCAACTCAAGCAAAGCACAACTGGGCTGGCCAAAGATAAGTACAACAGAACAGTACATACGATTCGGCCTTGGTCGCAATCCCCAAATCTTGCGCCGTTTTGTACCACGTGATGCATCTCTATTCTGGGCTTGGCATTGGAGGCTCACTTCTTGCAGTTGCTATTACTCGAGTACGAAGTATGTATTTGGTAGAGGGCATGACAAGCCTTTGCACTTCTAGGATACCATCACAAAGTGCATGTCTACCGTCCAATCCGAATAATAAATGCTTTCATTGCACGGCATCACAAGGAACCAGGGGAGATTGGAAGTTGTCACACTAGTTATCGACCATCAACGACACCAAAATTCCAAGAGCCTTGATATTAGTTAATATCTCGGCGCCCTGACTAGGACAAAGCATCTAGTCCCGGTACCACTCAATTACCTATTCTCCTATTGTTGTCTCCGATCTGCAGCCCGGCTAATATAGATTCGATAAGCGCCCGAGAATAATAATACTAATAGGGGGGCCAGGTTACGCTGGGTGCCAAGCGGTCCATCCTTCTGGAGGCTGAACCCTGGAATCGCAATTTCGGACAAAGTCAAAACACACCAATCTAGCCATTGAGCAATCTCTGGCCGAGGCGCCAGCATCCCCAGACTACCCCCCGCACGAGACTGTGCCCTCATTAAACAGAAACCAACCTAAAATAAGGTTGGTAGATAATACTGCGCATCGCAGCTTTTCTCCATTTTTCTCTTCCAGTCTTTAGTCAGTCTTCACTGTCAGTCGTTCACTCCTTTTCGGTCTAACAAGACTCCCACGCTCCTTAATTTCTATATAATCCTAATCGTCACAATGCGCTCCCCTTCTATTCCAAGTCTAAGCGCGCTGCTTCTTCTATCAGGCGCATCGACCGCGCTCGCCACGAAGATTAGCGTCCCTTCGACCATTGCCGCTGGCGCAGAAGTGACTGTTACGATCCCCAGCGACCTCATCAAGGGCTTCGACAATTTCCGCGTCTATCTCTCAACGACCCCGCCAGGATGGGCGTCTGCAGCGGTCTGCTACCTTGTCAACTCGACCCCTATCAATACCGAGTCTCTCAAGGTGCAAATCCCACCCACAGTCGGACCTAGCGGGAAGACATATTCCATCGCCGCCAGGGGTTTCAATGGAGATGGCAAGAAGAGTGATTCTGCAGGTTTCCAAAGCAGCAACGACTTCGAACTCACGGGCGGTACAGGCCAATGGTCTGAACAAGAGCTTCAGGGTTTCTCCATGAGCAATCCGGATACCATCCCCTGCGGATCTTACGGTTGCATTAAGGACTGCAACACGAAGTTCTTGACAGACGACATCAGGAAGGCGGGTATTAATGCCTACAAACCGGCTTACGAGTGCTTTGCTGCTTGCCCGGGTGTCAAACTCCCTAGTTGGGAAGTTGTGCTCGCCCAGTCTGGCGCAGCACCCTCCAGCTCGTCGGCGGTGGCTAGCTCGACCAGCGCTGTAGCTTCGTCCACAGTGGCCCCAGCCCCTACGAATAACACCACTGCATATACAAATTGCACTTCAACTGCCTACGTCCCATCTTCAACCGCGCAGTCAAACACAACTTCGCTCAAGACCCCGGGCGCGCCCACTGCCGTTCCCACCGCCCCTTCAGCTCCAGCACCACCCGCTAATGCCGCCTCGAGCATTCAAATCTCAGCTACGTTATTATTTGCAGGCATCATGGGCCTAGTCGCCTTCCAACTGTAAGGAGTTAACATGTTATTACACGCCGTCACTGAAATAATGTACCATGGGATGCCGAGTATGCTCGTGATACCCCTTTCGGCCCTTGGTGCCCTGTATATACAGTCAAAACAGACATTACTTAATGCGGATATGGTCTTTCTGACACATTGTTTCACTGGAGGGAGGTTCTTGAGGAGGAAGGATGGCGTTTGGTGAATGAAGGAAATGACGATGATACCCTTGGAGAGAAAGGGGATGCTTGGTGATGTTATTCAAATTTTAAATTATAATATGAGGATTATTCATTCCCGATGCTCATATCCAAAATCATCCCAGTTTGTCTCATGATATATGACGTTTCAGCCTTGCAATATAGCTTCTCGGGTGAATATGTTTTGCCAAAATTCTGCTACCCGCAAGAGATTCCTATTGCGCCAAGACTAAATTGTTCCTGTACGTTATTTATAAGTAGAAATTTAAGAGCAAGGCCACTATCTGTGAAAGTGCCTGTCGAAGGCTATTAAGGATTAGAGTGGAATGAAGATGTATTCTCTAGCTACGAAGTCGTGGCCGGGATATTTAACTATGGGAATGTGCGTGGTGCTAAGCCCGAATAGATAAAGCGTAGCATCCAGTGAATGGATATCCGATAGTGCCTTTGATATCCCTTTGATGTATTGATTTGGGATCATTCTTCAAGTAATTCTTAAGTTCGTGTTGTGCCGATTACCCCCGCTCCTACGCTGTAGTCGTTGACGGCTTCAACCACCTTCGGGTATTACCTACTCGAGTAAGTAATCTTAATCTCCAGAGATCCATAGTAAATGCTCTAAAATCTAGGTCCGCCTCTCGCTGTAAAATATGCTCACCGAGTTCTCTAATCGCTTCAGGATTAGAAAACGGCGGCCGAAAATTTTGGGGAATAAATCTTGTATTGATAAACGCAATCTCCTTGATTTTCCAAGCTGCAGGGGCAGATAACAGTGGACTAGCACCGAATCCCTGAGGTCAGATCAGGCTATGCCTATAGTTTCGGATACAGAAGGTTGGTTGAATGAGCTCATCTAGACCTTACGGACTGCAGCGAAGCTTTCTCTCCGGTCCGTTATATTCTGGGAGATTGTAGATATTGCGGCATACCGAAGTGATTGAAGATGTCGTATCGGATGGACGCAGAATGGGTGCAATTCGCCTAGGGTCGACATAGGTTTCCACATAGCCTCACAGTGTAATGGCTGTCCTCTCCCCGGTTGTTTAGTGCCTCAACCAAGGCATTATCTCGTTCCATCACAAAAGTCCGTCCATGAGTTCCGTCCATGAGTTCCGTCCATGAGTTCCGCCCATGAGTCAGTCATCTTTGACACAATTCCCGCCTCCTCATTGTCCGATTATGGCAGCTCTCCTTGAGGGTCTGGTAATACCGCCCACTACTCCACATAGATATAATCTCTTTCTACTTCCGATTTTGCCCAATATTTGAAATTATTATCCGGCACATGTCTCTTCGCACCAGAACCCCGTTTTACGTCCAGTTGGATGCATAGAGGTGTGTATCCCGTTATAGTTCGATTGTCCATATCAAGCGGGAGTTGAAGTATGACTCGTAGTCGTGCCCATACCTTAGCAGTGTACATGGACCGTAGTCTCTAATACCTGAAGTTGTAGGTGTTGACGATTGCCTCAAGTTTATGTTTTGATTCTCGAGCTTCTTGAACCGAGCATCGTACTCGACCCGCTAAGCATTAACATAAGCCTCATGTTTAACCGCGGCATACCTATTAAAATATTCGTATCAAACAAAAGCAGATCAATCTCCGTTAGGCGGACCAGCAGTTGGACGAATTTTTAAAGAATCGGCTGACTATAGTATTCTTGGAATAGTTGGTGCCACACGTAATGGCAACACAGCCGTTTCGTCGCCCACGTCCCAAATCATACCAAAGTTGTTGGGCCGGACGGCGCGATCGTCGCACCTCCAATATCGCAAATATATAACCAACTTGTAGGGCTTCGGAAGTGAGGATTTCGAGACAATGTATATAAATCTAACTCTGAAGCGGGCCTCGACTAGCATGGGTATACGAGTATATATGGACGGAGATGCAATGCGTCCCATATAATCCGAGCACCAGTATTTAGATTGGACAATTCTAACGTGATCACCGATTGGAGTGCGGTTCGTGGCGTCAATGGCTGGTCTTTGTCATGTCCATGGATAACAACACCGAAGACGGTGCCTGTGAGACAGAATAAAGTATTACATGCCCTCGGATTCCAATGCGAAGGTATCCTTCCCGGTGGATGAAGTCCTGATAGACTCTCCTTCGTTTTCATCATCTTCTTCGTCTTCCGCTTTCTCTTCTTCGTTCTTCTTAGAGTTGGTTTCTATTGTTGACATATTGAACTCCAAGCTGACCATATCCATGTTCGATGATTATCTATCTATCAGTAACATGCCTTGTCCCACGTCTTATATGAAGGATCTGGTACAGCTGGATTTCTGGATCGTTGCTCATTCGTAGGGTGTTATATTGGTGGCACCCAACGTAGAATGGCTCGAATGGGATCGTTCCGCCAATAATAAGGAGCGGACCAATGTTTTTTCTTTGGCCCCTTCGCAACTCTCTTCGTCATGTTCTCTTTCTGCAAGGCTCTCGTAGCTTGGGCTTCCTACTTCGGTGAAGTTCGATGGTAGTCCATGAGTCAGATAGATTCGTATTGGATTTGGATAGCCGCTCTCTTCAACTCATCTACCACAAGCGTAGATAGGAAATTAAAATTTCCCTCAAGTGCTAGGTGCATAGAGGTATGACCGTAGGTAGGCTATTTTTATAGTCGTTGTAACTTTAGCAATCAATGGATGGTCGTCTGTGATATATCCGTAATGTGTGGGTGTGATGCGGAATGTCTAAGCATAGCCGGAAGAGATATCGTGTCTGGCTGGTGTGATTCGGTTTGAGATGACTCCCTCGGCCCCTTGGGCTATGTCAACTAGCGACCATATTCCTCCTCCTCGCCAAGTTCCTCGTGGTAATGTATGTTTCAAAGGTCCGGTATGCATCCGCAACATTGAAATTTCCCGGTTATAAAGTGGGATACACGAAGATTTAGAGCAGGCAAATAGCTACTCTGGTTCTTGCTTCCGAGGTTACTACCACATAAGTCGAGGCAGAGTCGAGGCAGACATAGGCGTAGAGGCATCTAGACCAGCTAGTGCTTTCGCTTGTCATTCACCAAGGCCAATCTTCATCCATAGTAGGTGAATGAGCTCTGTGGACAGTTGAAGAATAGGAAATTCCTGAAAGTTGAGATCGTTGACTTCTCACGGCAGGCCTGAAGCCCATAGTTGGAGATGCTGTGGTAACATTGCTTTGCAATGTGTACCATTGCCAAAGCAGCTTAGTTATTGAAAACTCCGCTTTGGAGTCAGTTGACATAACGTAACACCTCTTGAAGTGTCACTCCTTTGTGTATCCTCGCCAGGTCTGGCTTCCCCTTCGCACCTGGTTGCCTAGCGCCATTGATAAAGAGACACATATATTCCCAGCCACAGATGCATATATATGTCTCCAGCGTAGATGAGCTGCCCTCTGCCATCGTTTTCCACTGGCCCGATCCTACCGTTTCACAGTAGGAGCTTGCATTTTCTGGTGTTTCTTCTGAACAGTAAGCCCCGGTTTCCAGTACAGACTGGATGCTTCTGGGATTCTGGATATTATTAAGAACGAATAGACAGGTTCTTATACCCCCTGGCCATGGCGATATGCGTACATGATGTGCACTGTGTGGCACATTTTTAGTCTGGTTTCTGACTTCTGTTGGTTTTAACCACCGCGATGACCTTGAGGAAACGGATGTTGAAACAAATGGCATGCTGTTATGGTTTTCGCCATTAGAAGTACGCATATCCATGATTGGTGATATTGTTTCGTTGCGAGTCTCTGATGTTTCTTAAGTTCGTTGTTGATCCTGAATCGCCAATCGATGGCCCCGCCGATATCGCGGGTTGGGATTGGCCTCGACATTCATACCCCCCTTATAGCTGCGAATGTCCACCTAATTCTGTTAGAAAGAGTTAGAATAATTCTTGCTCTGAGATGATAATTCCACTTACAGGTAATGGGACATACTTGATGCGCCCGTGGGCATGTTGGTAGGCACACTATCCTCAGATAGGGTTGGTGTAGGTTATGGCACGAAAGCATGTGCGGTGATTGTGTTGCTATCGCGACGTGTCTACGACGTCCGCAGGCTACTCAAGCCATGACGTAACATACTTTCAGGCAGCAAAGTAATGCTCATCGCGCGAGTTGAGCTTCCGCTGTGTTCCCCTTGTAGCCAGTATTCCTCATGGGATGGAGGTGGAATGTGTGAGGAGGCAGTGGAGTACCATAGGATTGATACCTGCAACTCCATAGAAACATCCGCTTTGCAAGTTGGACCACATCTTCGCACCATCATATGCTTTGCATCCGCAGCATAACCACCCTTGATAGGGTTTACTACTACCAAAGCAAATGAATGTGGCAGCAACGAGTGCGGAACCTGCAAGCACTTGGCTCACGAGTGGGTCAATTGCAGGCCATCTGCCTTTTAGATTAGAAAGTTTCTAGTAGCAAAACGGCGAAACAAAAGTACAAGAACCGCCAGGACAGAGGAGCCGAAGAAAAGAGGGAGCAGGTGGGTATACCAAATACATGTATATTTTCTTTGAATCCAAGGACAACTGAATAACTGTGGTATGAGAAGTCTCTTTCATATCCCTTTTGGTGGCAGTGACTGGTTGATGTCCTGTTACGTAGTAGAGCACATATATGATGTATTTTTAATAGCGATAAGGAAGTGGCGAGCGGATGGATGGCTAGCAGAGGGGGGATAGAGCAAACACCAAATTCCAAATGCGACTGTATATAAAAGGGGGTTAAGCGAGAACAAACAAACGGCGGCAGGAATAAAGTAAAGCCGATAGGAGAAGTGAATCAAATTAAAAGGTGGAGTGATAGCTATCGCCTAGAAGGACTCATTACCGACTATATAACCGTATAAGCGCCTATCCGCACGGGAGTCTGAGCCATTTTCTGTACCTTCCCGAGGCCCTAAAATGGATACGCCCTGACCTCGTCCTCCTTCTCCAAATCCAGCCCCGCCTCTACTTGCGCTTGGTGCTTTCGATCCAGATACTCTAAAAGTACCTCCTCGTAGCGCTCCTTTCCTTTATACTTACTCACATCATCGCCCCAGCTCCTAATTGCGCTTGCCAACCTACCAGGGACATAAGGCTCTTCGGAAACCTCCGTAATTGGTTCGAAATATGTGCGGATTGTGAAGACTACACCACCGCTTCGCGGCAAACGACGCAATGTCTGGCGCTCGGAACGGAAATAATGGTGTTCGATGGCCTTGTTTTTCTCGGCAGTGAACCAACCTGCTTTCCCGGGCCAGCTGTCTTCGTCGCCAATGGACGAAGACCACGGAAGTGAGTCGTCTACTTGCAGGAAGTAGTTATTCTAGTTACAGCGTGGCATGTCAACATGCGCCACCAGGCATCAAACGGATGTTAAAAGGAGGCTTACGCGCTGCACTGGCCCGTTTGGCTCGACCCTCCTAAAGAAATTCGTCATTCCTTTCTCCAACTTTGCCTTGAATCCTGGTACGTTTCCCGAGGTATGAATCTCGCTCAGTGGCATACCGAGTTTATCTTCTAGCCTCCAGAACCCAGCGAGTAAGATGGCGCCAGCGAGGAGGTAGTACTGGCCGTCCTCTTTCTCGAACATGATAGCAAGGTCATCTTGGACCATACGCGCGGCCATCTGCATCGGGTCTTCCACTAAAGGCCGTTCGTTAATGTTGAATATCTCACCAGTGAGCAGATTGTTCATCCCGACTGGAGTCCGTTCGAATAGAGAGGGGTATCTTTCCGGAAGATACGCGCAGAATTCTTCAAGGAGCTCAACGGCGCCATCAAATGCTGCGGGCTCCGTGTAGCAACATCGAGAGCCACGGTCAATAATCCGTTTGGCTTTATCCCCATGAAACTTCATGTACTGATTGTCCAGCTCTTTCTTGCGTCAGCCAAAGTCCCCGCGCGTACCAACAAACGAGCTACTAACCTATCCACTCATCCCAAGGCATATTCCGAAGCCCCATAGTGATGTGATAAGCACCATATCTGAATGGGCGGTATGGATTCGGCTTGGTTGTGTGGACATCCCAATCCCGCGCTGGGCGCGCGTATGGTCTTCTGAATTCCACAGGTATCCAAACTGTCCAATCTTTAGTAGATGTTCAAAGTTGGATAATCTGGCTCCAACCTCCAGGCTTTCTTTCCCGCGCCTTCAGGCGCTTTCTAGTGGGTGTTTCTAAGTCTGGACTCGCTCCATTCCTCTGCATCAAGTTCTTGACGACCCTAGCAGCAACAACAACTAGCCAAACAGTGAGACAAGCAAACGCGACTACACAAACGCGAGATTTGGGAATTTGAACGATGGATTGAAGTTCTGGCTGCCCGGCAAGATGCTGCGCCCATTCTCGGCACTTTTGCATTCCTTTCCCGTTCATTGTCGCCTCTGACGTTGTTTTGAGACTGGGGTATCACAAGAAAAAGAGTCGCAAGAAGGTTTAATTGATGAAGGCAAAGGAAGATGATTGAGAGGCAGGATAGTATACAACAAATGAAATAGTTCGCGAGGGATTGGTTAAGAGGGTCAGTGAACTACTACCCCGCCACTACATGGGATGAGGTTGAGTTGAAGGGTTGAGCCTTATCGCATGGGAGAAGGGATCTTTTGTCCTTTTTCGGATTAGGGCAGCCATCATCAACCAACAAGAGCCCTGCCGACGGCGAAAGGAGACCACATCAGGAGAAGTTCTTCCAAGACTGTTTTAAAATTTGATTTTGATAACCTGTCAACATTGTGGGACACTGCCTCACTAGATGGTTTGGGCTTTTGAAGCAGTTTTAAAATCAGGCCGCGAGTTTGAGCCAGTGCTCGGCCGCTCACCGGGCCACAAAAAGCAACCAAGCAGCGAGGTTAGATCTCAAAACACTCATATGTCATGATCTCGCTCTGATTGCATCCACCAACCTGCAAGTAATATGAGTTTGCACGCGACACCGCCCATGAGCCTTCCATGGATGTTCATATCTTGGTGGTATCTTAGCACCAGTTGCTGGGTCTGTAAGCACAGAAGGGTATACAATAATTTTACACTTCATGAGGGATCATCAATCATTAAGAACCACTTCCGCCTCTTCCGTTCTGTTGCCCTTGATGGCCCCACTGTGTAGGCGCACCACCTCGGGGATTGTTAAAAAAAGCTGGGTTGATGAAAGTTCCGCCTGGAAGTCCAGTAGGATTAGCTGGCCAGTTATTTTGCATGTTTGGAAATGGTTGCTGGAATGGTTGTTGGAATGGTTGTTGAAAGGGGAGCTGCGGCGGGAACTGTGGCCAACTGGGCAGCTGTGGTGAATGTGGCGAGTATTCCATGTTTGGATAGTTAGCGGTGGGGATGGCTGAAGAGTTTTGTGGTGCCTGAGATGATGGTGGAAATGGCATCCCTTGCGGTTGGAAAGGTGGTTGCGGGAAACCCGTAGTAGGGCTCTGAGTTGGAAGTGGATAACTTGGACGACTTTGAGGAAGAGAGTGACCACCGCCACGTTGGTTCGAGTAACCGCCTCTACCCTGTCCTCTATCCCCGCGACCTCTGCCTCTATCACCTCTTCCTCGGCCTCTAAATTGATCTCTGCCCTGGTTATGTGGATAGCCACTGGCCCCACCTTGATATGGCTCCTCTTGGGGCGCTTCGCTACGTCCAACAGAATCTGCATATCCGACCGGCCGTGAGAGAGGCTTGTATGGACCATCGTCGTCGCCGTCGTCATAATTGACACCCGTGCTAGCGTCATAAGGTGTATTTTGCTGTTGCAAAGGATGACCTCCGCGGCGTGGGCCACTATTCTGTTGCATCTTCCCGCCTCGGCGTTCAAGCTTCTGTTGCTTAATTCTTCGCTTGTGCTCCATCTCAGCCTCGTCGTCTGAGAACTCCATCTCGTCAGCCCCAACTTCCTCGTCGTGTAAGTTTGAGGCATCCGATCCTTTATAAGCTTTCAAAGCTTGAGTAAAGACGTAAGTGGCATGCTTGTCAGAGTAGAAAACCTTAGTTCCTACTGACAACCCCGCCTCCGCAACCTCCCCAGCATTGGTAAAGAGTACCGAATACAACGGTTGTTGCACCCGTCCAAGGGTTTCGGAGACGACGCCAATTATACTCCTATCATCCAAGCAAAGTACGGAGCCGCTCTCAAGTACTCTATATTCTCCTGATGTTTTCGCCCTGATAAGTAGGATATTGTCAACGATTGCCTCGACATTTCCTAGCTCCTCGATGGGCATTTCTTCGGTGATTGTAACATCTGGTTTGGGAATGACCAGTTCAGGAATCTCGTTTTTTGTTCGCAGCTGAGCTCCTGCCCCTTTCGCTCCTTTTTTGCCGCCTTCATCATCAGAACCTCCACCTTCTTCCATCAATATCCGAGCTTGCTCTTCAAGACTTAGAAGTTTATACGCGTTGTCGCCCTCGTCGCTATCGTCATCGGACGAGCTGTCGTCGCTCGAGGAATCATCTGACGAGGATTCAATCGGTGAGGAGTCAATCTCCCATTCCGGATGCTCGTCTTCACCGGCGGCTTCCTCAATTGTAGACGGCGCGTCAACCAGATGCACGTCTTGAGCTATAGGGGTCTCGGCAGCCGTAGGGGCCTGGGCAGGCGTTTGCTGCTCAGTGAGGGGTTCGACGTTTGACTCTGATTCCTTGGATTCACCAGGGACAAGATCAACAGGCACATTCTGGACGTCTACCAGGTTTAAGTCTATGGGCGCAACTTCGTCAACATCTCCAGCATCTGCCGGCGCTGGCGCAGCGGACGGTAGAGGGGATTCCGCAGCAAGTGGCGCTGATGTGTCAAGACCTCCGATGAGTGCTTCTAGGGCACTGGTGAGCTTTGGGCTCTCAGCTGGTGGTGTTTCTGCAGATCCTGCCTCCATCTGCACATGCGCCGGCATCGTAGTCGAAGTCGCGGCGGGTATTGAAGGTTCAGATACGATATCTTGCTCCAGTGATACTTGAGCTTGGGCGGGATTTTCAAGCGGAGGGTCCTTATCCATTTCAGCAGGAACTTCTCTATTTGTGTTGTCTAGTTCCATCTTCTCGGAGTCCATGGCGGAAGCGGAGAGGCAAATTTGTATATATGTTGTTGGCAGGTATTAATTTGATGCCGATAAGGAAAAGTTGCGAAAATAAATTTCGACTCGAGGCTTGCAAGGCTGGACAGGCGAGGCAGGCTATCGCTAGCGTGCCACGGTTGCAGCCCGCCGGGAGACATGGGGGTCGGTCAACACCAGACTTGTCCCGACGATTATCACGGACTAACTATCTTCATTAATTGAAGCTCGTCAGGAAACCTGCGACGATGCCTCCAAAGGCAGCTAAAACCGCCCTTACTCCTCGAGGCGGCCCAGGCTCTGTCCCAGATGGACCGGTGAGAAAGAAGTCAGTAACCCCTATTTCTATTGAAACAATAACAACATGCTGACGTGCTGGTTCTCGTCAATAGGCCACCCACCCCGTTTGCAGTAAAGCCAATTGGCGCCTTCTATATATTCTTTGGGGCGAATCTACTCGCGGCGCTATATGCACCGATACAGGACTGTGATGAAACCTTCAATTATTGGGAACCTACCCACTATCTCAGCCATGGTTACGGCTTGCAGACTTGGGAGTACTCGCCGGAGTACGCCATTCGAAGCTGGTTATACATAGCGCTGCATGCATTGGTTGGGAGCTTCAGACGTTTACTGCCATTTTCAACCAAGGTTAGACTGGTTCATTCTCCTGCGTCCCCTACAAATGCTGATCCAGATTAAAATCCAGGTGGGAGAATTCTACTTCATCCGATATAACCTAGCCTTCGTTTGCGCCCTCTGCCAGACGCAAATGTTCCGCGTCATAAATAACATCCTGAACCCTCGAATTGCTATATTTTTTATGATGGCTATGATATTCAGCCCTGGAATGTTCCATGCATCTGCAGCTTTCCTCCCTTCGAGCTTCGCCATGTACGCCACGATGGTCGGAATGGCCGCCTTCATGAACTGGCGAGGTGGCTTGAAGACAGCACAAGGAATATTTTGCTTTGCTGTTGGAGGGATACTAGGGTGGCCGTTTGCGATGGCATTATCGGCTCCATTCCTTTTCGAGGAGATCATATTTGCGTTTTTAAGCAGCAAAGACGCAATTATTGATGTGGTTCTGCGGTTTTTGAGAGGGATTGTGGCTGGACTAATAGTATTGGTGAGTCCATTGCCTACCGATTCCTGACTTTGACTCACTCCCTCTTGATGTTAGTTCTTCGAATTCCTCATTTCTGGGTTCTTGTACAAGAAGCTTGTGGTAGTTCCTCTCAACATTGTCCTCTACAATATCTTCAGCGGAACTGGCAGAGGACCAGAAATCTTCGGCACCGAGCCATGGCACTTCTATTTCCGGAACCTGCTTCTAAACTTCAACATCTGGTTTGTCCTTGCAGTTGCATCTCTCCCTCTTTTCATAATGAAAAAGATATTTTCTCGATCGCAACAAGACGGTGGAGCCGCCACAGGCCTTCGTAGTCTAATATTTATGACCCCCTTTTATCTCTGGTTAGGAATCTTTAGCTTCCAGCCTCATAAAGAAGAGCGCTTCATGTACCCTGCATACCCAGCGCTCGCGCTCAATGCAGCAATGTCTCTACACATTATTCTAGCTACATTCGGCCAGGCAGACCCAAAGACACTACTTGGGAAGATCCCTGCCAGGTTGAAACTACTTCTCGTGAGCATTGCGGTCATTGGGTCTATCGATCTAGGTGTTGCTCGAATATATGGCATATATAGCGCATATTCAGCACCCCTCAAGATATATGAACCTCTTCAAAACGGAACCCTAGGAACCAGTGGAGATTCCGTCTGCTTTGGGAAAGAATGGTATCGGTTCCCAACTACTTATCATTTGCCGAATGATATGCGGCCCAAGTTCATCAAGAGCGAGTTCAACGGCCTTCTTCCAGGACAATTCGGCGAGGGGAAAACCGGGTTTGGGTTTTGGTCAGGGGCTTGGCTCATCCCATCGGGAATGAATGATCAAAATATTGAGGATATGGGCAAATATGTGAGCTGAGTTGCAAGATATTATTTGCGTCCACACAGCTAATCCCATGTTGCAGGTGGATCTACGTACCTGTCATTTCTTGGTAGACACGTACTATCCTGGGTCAGTTGCATCCAAGCTGGAACCACATTATATCCTGGACGAAGAGAACTGGGAGATTGTGAAATGCGAACCGTTCCTCGATGCGTCCAAAACGCATGTTCTCGCCCGAACGATCTGGTTGCCAGATCTTTCGATAATACCGGACAAATTCAAGAGGCGATGGGGTAAACACTGCCTTTTAAAACGAAAGGTACAAGGATAAGTTATGCCTGTGTAATATATATGTAAGATGTCAAAAGCAATATTCTGAATATCAAGCCGTGAGGGCCATGCAACCTGTGTGAGGAGAATTCGAAGATTTCAGACGTGCTTGAAAAGGTAAACCCTGATTTCCACTCCTTCACAGAGGCTATCAAATACCACTATCCAGTTCTTCACAATAAATATAGATTTTGTCATACTAAATGGTGAGATCTTCAACTGATCAGTCCTCAACAAATGCCACCAAACCGCCATCTCGTCTCGGAGACGCCCTACCGAAATCACCCCTGCACCCCGCCTTTTCCACTTCAAAGCGCCACATCTCTCTCCGTTCCTTATACATCTATTTCAGGCTGATAACAAAAAGCACCATTTCACATATATCCCCCTAACCAATTGCACATCCCTCACCTATTCTCCACAAAAGCGATCGATCACAAGGTGCCCCATTGGCATCTGCGCAATCTGGCAAAAATGAAGCCGATATTATCGCCCCGGTGATTTCGGTCCGCCACGTTCATGGCCGGTATGGGCTATAATTTGAATTTAAGGTTCTCCTATACCCAGAAGAATGGAAATTTTCTTGGTGTTTTGTTGTCTGAGAGATTATTTTATTTTATTGAACAAAAGGAAAGAAAGACAGATTTCGTAAATATGGTTTCCGCAACTGCTGCTTTTGCGCTGCGCGTGTCCGCTGGTGCAGTATGTGCGCAGCAACCGGCTTATGGGCAATGTAAGATATACCTATGACGGTGTGACAAGGATATTCGGGTGTCTGTGGTTTTGTAGAGAGAAGAAGGAGAGCGCTGATTGAGGATTGAATTTAGGTGGAGGGAATACGTGGAAAGGCGATTCAAGATGCGTTTCTGGGTACTATTGCTTCAAGTCCAGGTAACCTCCTACTACTACTTTTCTTCACCCAAATCATTACTTTCTTAGTTCAGCAAATAAAAAAAGCTAACAACCCCTTCTCCAGCGACTGTACGTCTCCTTTCCCCACCCATCCCTCACCGTGTGGATAAAGCTTCTACCTCCCCTTTCTAATTCCTCAACATCTCAAACTAACAACCCCCCTTTTCCAGCCTACTCGCAATGCATCCCGGGCACCGATCCCAATGCCCCAACTCCAACCTCCCCCGGCGGCTCTTCCCCCTCAGGCGGACCAGGAACGACTCTCCAAAAGGGCTATTACTGGATCCGCGCAGTGGCCGACCCGAATTTCCATAAATACCTGCAGACAAAACCGCAATATGTGCCTGGGACCGCCATCCTGGACTCATATACTTCAGCAGGCCAATTCCAGATCGTCGACGGGCAGCTTGAACAACGTACGTTTTTCCCCCTTCCCAAATCTTCCATATCCCCCCAAGCTATTCCCCTCACTAGCTGCTCCAAATTCCCAACCTTCTTTTATCTACACCCCAACGGGATAGTTATGACTAACGCGCTCGCACACAGTAATAACAGACGGCCTCCTCTACGCCAACGTACAACCCGCCCCCGACGCCTCAGCCAACAAACTCTCCGTAACCTTCAACACTACTAAGAACGCATACGGAACCTTCGCATTCAGCGGTGATGCCGTCCAGTGGAGCCATCCTGATGTCAAGAGGCAGAATCTGAGCGCCTGGTTGGTATGCGCTGCGCAGACTCTCTGGATTAATCTGGGCGCTTATGGGTATATGACGCCGGCGGGATGTGCGGACCAGACGGTATGTGGTTTATTTTAATCTATTCTCTTTTCGGGGTCTTTTCCTTGGGGGGGGCTTTAATAGGACGGGGATGATGCGGACCTGAGGAATTTTGTGCTGATTATCTACACCCCGGCGGGGTGATATAGATCCATTACTATAACGATGCCCATGCTATGGCTTAAATATGCTAGATCGATCGATACCAGACGCATGAGTAGCGGGGCGAGAAAACCAATATTGTACATGCGAAGAAGCACTCTTTATGTAGAAATCACTCCTTGTCTAATTCTTAGCACTATACAAAACAAAAACGGATGGCTGTCCTCCTCCTATGTGGGGTTTTATGGCCCTTGATAGGTACCTACCTATAGCGAAAATGAGATTTGTTTTATTGTAGAGTAGGAAGACGTGCCGTATTATAAACGTTTTTGGGCGGGGAAATAAGTAATGCGTACATATATAATCCCCTTCCGCCCCGCCAGCCGGCCACTCTATCTCTCGCTCTCACCTCACTCCCAGGGAATTCTAACAGAAGTGTGTTAATCAGTGAAACTGGGTGCTTCTGTATAGATTAGGATATCACCTCTTTAACAGGCAATGTGTTTGTATGCCAACGTCTTCGTATCATCAAGTGAAAAAAGGGGCGAGCGTTTTGTAAAGGTTACGGGAATGGGAAGTGCGTGAGCAAGGGAGTTAGCTTTAAATACTGTAGGATGTAGATGTTATATACCTGGTAGGTGGAGGGAGAGATTGATGGGAATACATCTAAATTTGATTACCGTGCTGGTATCCAGACAGTTAAAGGTTACTTACTATAGGCTTATGAAGATATCAATCCGTATAATCAATCACACGGAATCACAACACAACCCCTCACAATACACAAACTCATTGACAAATTCCTTGCATTCATACGGAGTGTTCAGTATGGTGCTTATCCTACTATCTACATCGAACCCTCAGCATCCCATCCATCCATGCTATCATCCAGCAGCACAGCTACCTCAATTGACTTGTCGTCCACATCCCATCCATCCCAGTTTCTCCGCCAATTTCAAAGTGTGTAAATAATCCCGCAGGTTTCCCGAGGAATATATCCAGCCCGGGAAGGGCTGACGTTGATGCATCCAAGGTACAAACAAGGAGGTCGAGAGGTGCAAAGCTGTGGTTTGCACCAGTAAAAGATATCTGAAAGAATCGAAAGTAAAAAGGAGGCCTGTTGAATACACATTAATTCGCACAATATTTACGCCATCATGTGTCTCCGGCTCCATATTCAAGCGGGTTTTGCGGCCATGGCAAAAAGCTCCACGAATATGTAAAAGAAAAAAAGTAAATGCTAGGGTGCATTCTTCAGCGAACTGGAAGAAGTACCCCACATAAAGGAGAAGTCTGAGACGGAAAGGAAAATTTCTAGACAAAACAGATACACATGTCATCCATCATAAACACTCCGGCTAACCCCATTACGCCTTGTTAAGTTACCCGCCTTATTTAGTTGTCCCAATCTTTGTACGGTATTCCCAGTTTAGCCGAAAGAAACGAATTCCATCTAGGTTTTGATGTTGCTTTTGATAGAATCAGTAAGCTTGGCCTGGAACTGGTTTCCGTGCTGGTGCACCTCCCATGGGTGGAGATGACCCAGAGCCGTTGGGCTGGATAGTTGAGTTCATGGGGCTGGGGCCGGGGCCGGGAGGGCTATTTCGTCGGGCCTGCATTTGTGCGTTTGATGGGCTGTTAGGACGACCGGATGGCGGTCCGTTGGGGAGGTTCATTGGTGGCCTACCAGACGGCGACATGGGACGTCCTTGATTCATGCCTGGCGGGCCCATTGGGCGACCTGGAGGGCCGCGGGGACCATTTTGCTGGGGACGGGGCTTCACTGGGCGGGTTGACAAGCAAGTCCGTGGGACAACACCTTGCCGGGATCGATCAAGACGGATGCAGAGAGCCTGGTCAAATTAGTTAACAGTAATCAAGAATAGAAGGAGAAAAGACTTACCCATCCATCATCGTACTCGTGCAAGACGCGGATCAGCTGACCTGCACTCAGTTCCAATTCGTCATCCATTGAAGGCTTAAAGTCAAGCTGGACACGGTGAACAGCAGTGTTGGCGGGACCTCCAGCTGCGGCAATAGCAGCAGAAGTGTTGGTCTGTGTTGGGGTAGATGGAGAATCCGAGCTGGTGCTGAATTCGGTGCCGGCAGGGCTGGGTGGACCCATGAAAGGACCAGATCTGGTGAAGTCCATAGGCTTGGGTCCGTTCTCGCGTTTGGAGGCTCCGCGCTTGAGGCCAACTGCTGCTCCAGTGGCAACTCCAGCGGCAGCGACAGCACCAGCCGCGGTGACGGCCATGCCCGAGGGGGTGGTGCCCTGAACAACAGCCGGGCCGTTGGCATTGGTGGAATCGATGGTTTCTGCGTGGTTACCGAAGGGATTGGATCTGTTGTCAGACTGGCCAGGTGCAGGTCCGCCCACGGGGGTTCTCTTCTCACTCATTGCTGGTGCTGCGCTGGCGGCCTGGAGAGCATTGCCGCGGCTGGAGCGCTTCTCGAGGATTGGAATGAATTGGGTGACGGGACGAAGTGAGAGCCGTGGAGCATTAGGATTGGTACGCGTGCTGGCCTGTCGAGCAGGTACATCGGCGAAGGGGTCGGATTGCTTCTCTCCATCGCTGAGCTTCGCAGCGGCATCCTTGCGTCTCTTGAAGCAATAGAGAACCAGGCAAAGGATGGCAGCAACAAGCGCCAAAATACCAATGGCCAACCCAGCCTTTCCACCCGCACTCATGCCTTCCGCGGATTTATTTGCAGGGACTGCAGTAGCAGATGCGGACGACTGTGCATCCAAGGTTGGTTCAGATAGAGGAGCTATGCTGCTGGTTGCAACGAGAATGGGAGCGGAGGATACGGCTAGTGTTGACGGAGCGGTGATGGCTGTAGGCATACTAGACGATGCTTTGGTCTTCTTGGACGTAGCTTTCGCATCGTCATCGCTCACTGGGGTTTGCTTTGGCTTAGGAGCAACACTGGTGTCGGATTCTTCATCAGCTGGCGAGGGCTTGGGTGCTGGCGTCGGCGTCGGCTTGGGTTTCTCGGTCTTTGGGGGAGGGGCGCCGACTGTGCTATATCCAGCAATTGGTCCGTCGAAGGTTGCGGATGCTGTCACATATACAATGGACACTTCTGGCGCGGGCATAGGCGCGGGTTCGGGGACGGGCTCTGGAAGAGCAGCGCGTCGATGGCGGTGACGAACGTGATCGTGGCTGGCCATGTTGTGTTTGTTTGATTGAGTCTGTCCCTATCGATCTATCCTGTCTTCCGCTTCGCTAACGTGGTGGGTGAGTTGACCTTCAATGAAGAAGTCTCGTGCGATGCGGTGTGGTTTGGTGTGGTGGGATTGGGATTGGGATTAGGATTCGGGAGGAGGCTGGATTAGGATATTATCGGGGAGGATGGAGAGAGCGCGATGCGTGATGCGATTATGCTTAAAGAGCGTATTTGACGGCGGGCGTCGGAGGGAGTAAGTGAGTGACGGTGGAGGGACAACAAACAAGGGCTCTGTCGATAAAAGAAGGACGACAGAGGATTGTTGGATCGATCTCCTTGCAGGATGAGGGTGAGCGGGAGGAGGGTGAGGATGGCGACGTGAACGGCGTAAGGAGAAGAAAAGGAGGATGAGGGTGGTTGAAGGGGTCCCGGGGGGTCAAAAGGGCAGTTGGACTGTTCAAGGCGTGTGTGTGTGTGCTCTGAGCTCTGTGCTCTGTGTGTGCTTCTGTGGTGTCACTGTGGAACTGCGGTTGCCAGGGGTCGGCCGTGGTCAACAACGGTCAACAACTGGTCAACACTGGTAAACAGCGGTCCCTCCTTCCTTCCCGCTCTGGGGTCGTGCTTTGGTTCGCTCCTGCCAAATTAGCCGGTGGGAAGCACTAGACCGTGTTGGGACTAACTCAGGAACCAAACGAGATTGTTCTGCTCTGTGCCTGGTTAGTCAGCCAATGGCACACCCCTGCTCGCTGAGGCCCCGTCAGTGATCAGCACCGGAAGCTGCCCAAGACGTGGTTATATTTATACAATGGTTCGTGTTGGCAGCCCACGGTTATGCCTATACATCTGCAACTATAGACTCGTGTCAACCCACAATACAACCTCTTGATTGTAAAATACCTCCAGTCGCCGATCTTGATGACTGGCGGTCATAATAATCATCCAATAATAGTGGCTGCAAGTAAGCAGCACAGCTTGAACAGTACCTACAGTGCCTGCAGCACTTCGTACCTACCTACGCATGCCCCTTTGCACAAGAGGGACGATCTCCCTCTGTGCCGCCCGCCGCAATCCGTCGTCTTCTAGCACGCCACACATCCACATGCAATCTCGCTGCACCCGCCCGATATCCCGCACCGAGGAGGAATCCACCGTACAAATAGCACTGTTATGAGTATCACAGCAGCATAGCCTCAGCCTCAACCGCGCCCATGTTCTTTTCCTCATCACAGTCTCACAGCCCAATCATAGAAATGCTTAAATTTTAATTCCCAGCGCTTTTTTTTTGCGGAGTACCTTTGTACTGGCGATCCCCGAGACTGAGTGCCAAGAGGAACCCCTATCCCCGAGAATTATTACTCGGTTATGCATGATTCATTATTCTTATCAGGACATGTTTGTGGTAAATCACCTTCGAACTACAAGATGATAAATAATACAATACAATTACCCCTCCAGGAGAGCGACAGTTTTAGAGTTTTCTTTCTTCTTGGTTTTGAGACATAAGCAAGGCGGATCCTTATTGATTGGAGGTTTCTCCTTGCCCCTGTTGCTGTAACCCCTTCTAGGTATCAATAATGGCGCTGAGGCTTCTCCCTCCCGTTGCATTTGGAACTCCTCCACTTAAATTGGCGAATTTTCGAGGGATATTATGCAGGGCTGAGAGGGATGGTTGTGACTGTGACTGTGGCTAATAATGTAGGGCTTGACGCCCGCGAGGATATCCAGGAGTACTCCGTAGGTAAGGGGAGTATTGCTGAAGGGAGAAGGTGGAAATATATATGTTTTCCCCATGCATTGGTACAACAAGGTATTATTATACATGATATATTCAAACTTCGTTACTCATTACAATTACATTACAACCATCCACCGTATTATCCTCCCAAGGCGTATTCAATCATATCGTTCGTGTTCCTCATACCTCATACCTACATCCCATCACCCATTCAGAACCCCATCAAGCACCACCACCGCCAACTACCACCGTCACCTCGTCCAACTCCCTTCTCCTCTGCATAAACCCCCATGCAAGCCCAACCCCAAGCAGCGCAAGAGCAACCTGCCAAAGCATCGCCCTCACATCCCCTACATGGCGCTCGAAAAAAGTTTTGATCTTCTGCGCCCAGCTCAGTTCCTTCTTTCGATACAAGCATATCCTGGTACCGAAGACAAGACAGCCTCGGCCACCTTCCCGGATATCGCACTCGCCATGCTCGCGGCGGCGTTTCATAAGTAGTCTAATTATTGTGGGATGGTTAGCTACATTAATTTATTCATACCAGTAATTAGAATTCGGCTATGCGGGGTGGGTCTCGAAGTCGTGGAAATAACTAGCTCGGGGAGTTTGGAGGAAATGAGATAAAAAAGCTATGCTTACTTCACGCTTCCCCGACAGAATCTCATATCGCTGCCGAGCTCGCAACCCTTGTCATGTGGACAATCAAGATGCAATCGCCGACGCTCAATCAACCATTCGATTTTCAGATTGACGCCGGTATAGACGAGCGAGTAGAAATGGCGATTGGTGTGTTTGAGCGATAGCGCATCTGGGTAGGTAAGGTGGGAGGCGATGAGAAGGTGGAGTTCGGTTGGTAGAGTCGTGAGGGTTGGGTTTGGCATGCTTTGAGCCGCCATCATTGCCTTATTTCTCTTGTTCCGGCTGTTCCTTTGATGGGATACTGCTGGAACAGATCCTTGCTTGAATCCTCCCTTCCCAGGGGTTGTTGGCCGGTGTATCTCGACCTCCAATGGTACGTTAAGGTACCTTTCGAGGATATGGCCACGTGATGTCGAATATCCACCTCGCTGTGGAGATCAAGATTAAGGGCACCGCTCCCTTGGCGAGTATATAGCGACGCCGATCTCAATGACCTCAGGTACAAGTTCTATCAGGTGAAGCCGGCGGACCCGCGGGGCTCAGAAGAAATCCGGATACCGAGGCTCGCGAGTTGATGTCGAAAACAATCCCAGGTTGAGGCAACGTTGGGCAGGCTTATTATACCTTCCTGGTTGCCTACACTTCCCGCTATTCGCTCTGCCTCGTAATGTACGAAGTAAGAGAGAATGCGACTGCTAGGTGGCAAGTAGAGGAGCAGAAAGAGGGTGAGGTTGATTTTGGATGCCTGTGCAAGGCAAAAGCAAACGTTAAGAAAGGCGTTGCGTGGGCCGAGTTGTTCCACGTTTCAGCTATTGTTAGATACGGGCGGCTGGCCGACACAGCGACGGGTCACCCAGGCGGCAGTGCTGTCAGTGGCGACGAGCTGATCAAATGATTCATGGCGAACCTGGAATAAGGACAGAAGCGACGCTTGCGCACCCATTGTATTTCCTTGTATTTTGCTGACACAATAATACGTGCTGAGACTCTGAGAGGACGGTTCCTGGTTTGGCGGCTGAGGCATTGGTTTTCGTGGAGCCTCACCACATGGCACGGTGCTGTGCTAGGCAAACTGGCAACTTCACCTTGTCAAAGGGTACGCGTCCGTTGCAAGCTATTGCAAGACTCACTCTAGGCGTCAACGGCCTCAAAGCCACTTGTGGAAATGTTAGACATTGAAGGTCGAAGGGATGTACGTAGCAAGTACTTTGTAGAATTGAGGTAACCTTATTATTAGCGAGGCGAGAAGTACTACGTACCCCTTACTTGTATGGCTGTCTGCCTACACCGTCCGTACCTCGTACTTTCAAGTTAACGGGTCACAGGTACTCGTATGCAAGAATTGCCAAAAGGTGGCAATATCTTAGAGCATTAATATCAAATAAGCTAGGTTTAGTTTACACAGCCTGTGTCACCTTTATCAGACTTTATCTAGGAAGTGTTTACCTGCGAATTGCATTGAACGTCTCAACCAAGAGAATAAACTCCAATGTTGACTTATTCCCGTCACGTGTTACCGCGTTTTAAGACGGCACATCACGCGCATGACCTTCGTCATCAAGCACCGAGCACACCGAGCATCGAGCATTCACTTGCTGCCTCATAAACAAACCGCAACAGCGCGATGGATTAGCCCAACGATACTCTCGGCATGGACATTCATGCCATAGATATAAATACCATAACCACTCCTGATGGCGGCGAGAGCGACTATGGGTCCGACTTTTCTCCCGAAGTAGAGCAAATAGTGGCACAATTGCTATCCGCGCATGATAATGACACCACAGACGACAATCCTATTCTCCGCGGCGTCGAACAACATGAGGCACTGCAGTCTCTTCATGTCCCTCGAATTCTTGGGAGGGGGGAGAGATCCCCTCTTTTCCAAGCGGTTAAGGCCGCAGAGGAGGTTGCGGAGCATGTCCGCCACTCAGTCGGCCAACCCACGAACTGTAAGCTCTTTAACTCCCCTCAAGTATATCTATGTCTGACTGATGCTGAAGCGTCTAGTAGCCAACAAGTACAGCGAAATACTACCAGACCCAGCCCCTAAAATTCCCCAAGAACTCGCAGCGAATCAAATTCCGGACACCCGATCTCCCATGGAACGATTCCGCACCCAGCCAAAGAAAGCCCTGTCTGTCACGGATCTGATCTCTCCAGCTTGGTGCGAGTTGCAGTATTGGTATACCCTAACCATTCATGGGAAGACGAGGCCTACGCCGGCAATGAAACAGGGGAGCGCGGTCCACAAAAAGCTTGAAGACCAAGTCCATACAACTGTCAAGGTTGAGATCACCACAATAGAGGATGCATGGGGTCTTCGCATATGGAATATCATCCAAGGACTCAAGACCTTGCGAGAAACTGGCTTAACACGTGAACTAGAGATATGGGGCACGATAGATGGACATGTGGTTTGCGGCATCATTGATGAATTGTCATATATCTCTCCGGATACTGAGCTTGAGGACTCCCTCGAGAGCTCGCTATCCAAGGACGAACCTCCCCCTGACCAGGCTACCATTTCCGAGTTCTTCAAGGCAACAGGTGGTTCGACATTGAGCGAAGCTACCAGGAGCAAACGACGTGCTCAAACGAAGAAAGTCTACCTATGCGATGTAAAGACCCGCTCGGTCCGAAATCTGCCCTCAGGGGCTGCATTCCGCCCTACGAGGATGCAACTAATGCTCTATCATCATCTCCTCTCTGCACTTGCGACAGGTACCGTAGACTTATCTATTTTTGCGACACGGTATAACTTCGACCCCTTAAGTGTATTCTCAGACTCCTTCATCGCACAAGTAGGAAGCCTCAACGATGACGTCTTTTATGACGCCCAGTCGAACCTTCCATCGAGCCAGGAATCAGACCAGAACTGGAGCCAGGACTCGATGTCCATTCTCTTGGCCCATAACACGCTCGCCGCTCTCTGGACGCTAATGATTCAAGAATTCCAAATCACCTTTCCCAACGGAGCTGATTCCATTGGCAAGGTCCTGCAAGCAGAATATAGATCCAGGGATGAGGGTGAAATAATAGGAAGCAAGACATTCGCGATGGATGAAGGAGAGCTGAAGAAATATATAGACCACGAAATGGAATGGTGGAAGGGAGAGCGAGAAGCAGAGGGCGTCGTCATCGAAGAGGCTTATAAGTGTAGAACCTGCGAGTTCGCGGAGAATTGCACGTGGAGACTCGAGAAGATCGAGGAGACTACGAAGAAGGTCCGTTCGAGAAGGAAGGCTGCAGCTACGTAGTCGTGAACCTCCTTCAGCTGTACTTGAAATTTTGATAATGGCCTAGGTTGGTTTGGACACAACTTGTCGAGAAACGATAAGATACCCTCTACTTACTGTATACAATAAATCTATAATACCCAAACTTGTCCAGCATAATTTAGTAGTCGAGAGCCATCCCAAGTTTCTGCATAGATTACACAATATATTACCCCCCAAGTAGAGGCAAGTCTGCGGTTTTCCTTCTAATATCTATAGTGGATGTGATAATGAGAATGTCAGGCATCAAGCGACGTTATTCCCTCTCGCCAGAAACAAGCGGTGCTGTAGACTACTTACTCCATCAAGAGTAACCGCTCTCAATGTGTTCCTATGTCACATTCTACAACTATAATTTGTCTCGAAGGGCTCTCAATCATTTAGTTCTGCAACTAAGAATCTGACATTCCGAAAAGTAAACGGGGTGTTAAACGTATCATCAACCCAAATCTTACATGTTAATGTACGAAATTGGCTCTGACTATTTGCCCCTATCATCATCGATCTCCGCGCTGAAGCCTTCATTCTCAATATTCCAACTCAAGCATCCAGGTGGCTCTTGTAAAGCCACAACCTGGATTCACACCTCTCCTAATGTCGTATGTCGGAAAAGGTGCAAGGTAGTCTGCAGTCTTGCTTCGACTCCTTGCAATGCCATCTGGCATTTTATCTCTTCAGCAATTGCAGTCCATGACTTCATCTCCGGGATATTATCTTGGGAGCTAGAATTTTGCTAATACAGCTTTATTTATAACTTGTTCCATCGTCTTCTTGTGGTCATTCACGAACCAACGGTAGCTTTTAGAGCCGTTTGTATCTTGCTATTGTTTATAATTCAGAAGGAGGTTGAATTAACTCAGGTATCCTTTGGCTACTTTTAATCTCAACTTTCAGAAACCAATAAAGAAACACGTAATGTAATATAAATATTCATTCTAGATACATATCTGTTAAGCAAGCCTATCCCCCGGCCCCTACTATTTATACCTTTTTTGAAATAGGGGAGATATCGCTTAATATCACTTTATGGGAAATCTCACTTGAAATGTGTGTGGTATTCTTTTGGTTATAGAGAAAAAGGGACTGCTACCAGGAGCAGGAGGTAGGTAGTTAAACTATAACACTACTAATATAAAATTTAGACAATGCTTTCTTGTGGTGCACCCGAACTAGCTCCCTTAGGACCCTAATAGTAATTCATTTTCACGGGTGTGGACTCAACTTACCGCCTTACCGTCTTGCCAGTTCACCCCTTGATATTCAACCCCGTAAGGTATTCACCCCCCTAGGGTATTCACTCTTTCGTTCCCGCCTTCCATTGGCGAGACAGGCTCGACTATTTAAGCCATAATTCTCTCCTCCTCTTCCTATTTCTTCCCTCCAACCTACAAACTCGTCACACATCAATCACCTTACCACACTGGACATACCATACGTCCACATCCACGTCCTTTTACCTCATTCATCAGCCTTCAAAGATGTCCAGAATCATGGCTCTCTTCCTCATGGTCCTCCAGGTTCTACTGGGCCACTTCACCATTGCCACCGCAGTCCCTACCAATGATATGGCGATTCCCATGACGGCCGATGGAGGCTACCCGGAGCTCATCCTAGGTCCTGGTATGCCAACCTTGGCATCGATCAATCTCACCACTGCGGACCTATACACCATGAAGCCAAAGGGATCCCCTGGACACCTTGATTTGCTGCAAGTCCGAGGTAAGTTGCCCTGTCTCACCTTTAGCCACACATTTTCTTCACCTTATCGGACAGAGATAACTGACAAAGAATAACAGCTGACGCTGGTGTATCATCCGCCGCCTGGGGACCGTCATGCGGCATCTACAACCTATGTCCCGTTTGGGCCGTCCAAGTCTTTATCAACTACTTCTACGCCTTTGCACCACACGTCTACTGCACTGCTAGTACTCGTGATTATAGAGGCCAACTAATGGTTCAAAATGGCTATGGGGAAGTCATGGGTATTAATCTTTCAACCGATTCTGATGTTGTTTATTCACCTTGGTAAGTTAAAAGTAACATCTCTAAATGAAAATAACATAGATGTTTACAATGTGGTGAATTTGAATAGCCACAACGTTGCCAACGCTCTAGAGAGGATTTTTGCTACATGCAAACTTGATCCTGACTTTCAGCGGCATCCCGAGGGAATTTATGGTAAATCTTTTTTGTGTTCCCTTTAGCGGTGTCTAATACGGACTGAAGCTAACGAGGCTAGGTGCAATTACTGCAACCGGGAATGGAGGCCTCGGTTTGCTTATGCATGGTATGGATGTTTAATGAATCCCTCCACTTATGATCTCAGTGAATTTCCTTCCAGGTCTTAACGTGGCAGCCTCAAAATTCAGTTGAGGTTGAGGTCCATTTCGAAATCGGAGGCTCTGAGCTCTGGGAGACAGGTGAATTACAAGTACTTTGCACAGTTCGGTCTCAAAGAACGCTTCGCAGATTAAAATCGCCACAGAAATGCAAACATATCAAAATCATTTGACTTTTGCAATTAGTCATGTCTCTTGATTCGCCTAGAACAATTAAAAACGAAAACGTTTTGGATAAACATGTATGCTGAAGCTAACCAACTATATGCAGCAATCTGTGTCCACATTGCATAAACCTATAGTGATATATTACTCTAACCCATTGAGCATTCTCATGAACAAGCGACGAAAGTTGGATGTTGTTAGATTCATGGTGGAAGAATTCGGGAAATTAAAAGGGGCATACCACAATTTATCACTCCAGGTCCAGCAAAGCGACTCTAAATGAAATAAACTAAATGGAAAGGAAACATAATGTAATTGTACTATTATTCCGAGACTTATAAAAACGGTAAATGTAACTACGAGATAGGATTCCTTTTCCAGAGTTAGCACGTGAAGCTCTATAGAGAGACGACGTCATTACACCCGCCTTAAGTACCTAGGTAAGGACACAGCGCATATTGTATCATGACATTATTGGCTTTCCTGTATTACTTAAAGTATTTTTTGACTTTCTCATACGCCTCCTAACCTGAATTCTTAAACAAATTGTATTGTAAACTAGGAATTTTGAAGAAGTAAACTCCCAACCCCCCTCCCCTTTTCCTTACATATAGAGATACTTCTACCGTGGCTATCCACAACCAATCTATCTTTGCTAGGACGAAAGAATGAACTGACCTTCTATTCTCGTTTAGAAAATCAATCCTTAATCAAGACCAAAATCTGAAATTCCCAAGACCAAAATGTCCTTCTCCAACACAGATACAGGCTCGAAGCCCGCGGACCCCTATAAATTAGCGAATATAGAGGACGACGTCAGCATCAAAGAGAAAATCGAAAATCTCAGTAGTTTCATGTCCAACTGCAAGTTCTGCATGATGACCACTCGGGAAGGCTCTACAGGTAATCTAGTATCAAGGTGCATGGCATTGGCAGCTCAAGTATGACCCCTCTCAGGCCAACTCTTTTGGGAAGAGTAGCAGTACCTCTAACCACTGGGCAGGAAAACGGTGGTGTCGACCTAATCTTTCACACCAACACCGAATCTGGTAAAACCGACAACATTGCCTCTGACCCCCATTTAAACCTCGGTTTTCTGAACAACTCCGGCGAATGGGCCTCTTTGTCGGGTATTTCAAGTATCCTAACCGATCGCACCCTTATCAAAAAGTACTACCGCCCCAGCCTCAAAGGTTGGCTGGGCGATTTAGGAGACGGGAAACACGACGGGAGTGCGGATGATCCAAGGATTGCACTTATTAAAGTACATGTTAGGTCGGCGACGTATGCGGTGGCGAGGAAGAATGCCGTGAGGACGGTGGCGGATATGGCTCAGGGGGCTGTTACGGGGAAGGTGCCGGATGTTAATAAACTGAGGGAGATTACTGAGGCGGAGGTTGAGACGTGGAGGAGTTCGAATAAGATGGATCAGTAGACCTGTGCATCTGATAGTGGTGGGGAGATGGGAGAAACAGAGGGTTTATGTGCTGTGAGAGTAGAAACGTCAGCTGCGAAACTAGCACCCGTGAACAAGATTGAGATACTTACGATACACTCTAATACCTAGGCAGTGTTTTAGTAGACTGTGAACGTAAGCTAGACCATCCTGTAGACCCTGTCTAGACCTCACCAAATAGGGTATCATCATCTGAAAAGTGTACTGATAAGAATCAATAAATATGCATGAGTGACAAGAATATTTCATTTCCATACTCATTACTCTCAATCCGAATATACGAAAAACCAAACCTCCCATGTAGACTCCATCGACATCATTTATACCATAGTAATAATGTAAACCAATCCCCCAATCATAAAATCTAACGTGGCCGATCAATCCATCGGCAATGCCAATCAATGCCAAAGGAATACTCCAAAGTAATGTCCTCAAATCATAGAGTCATACGTCCAACCCCCCTGTCTCCGTAGACGATCTCTTGCCTCAAGGTCCCTGCGAATTTCATCTTCTGTAAGACGATCAATACCGCCCCAATTAGCACTCGATGTCCTGTCCCTAAACCTGCTAAACTTATCCTTGCTTTTGCTGAAAACTTCCTCCATGTTTAACGGCCCAGGATTACCGAAGATTTGAGATGGGTCCATGGGCTCCTGTCTGGTCAACTGCTCCCTGATAGCTGGTGAGTTGGTCCAATCCGGAGCGGTAAATCCATTATCTGCATCGTCCTCGGAGTCGTCAGAGTCAGTATTGATGTCTGGAAGGTCGATGTTCTCCCCGTTTTGGTAGTGCGGAGATGATTTAGCAGCGGATTTAGCAGCTGATTTGATTTGGGATTTAGCCCCAGCCGGGCGTGCCGGAGTCTTGTATGGCTGAGGTTTAATTTGACTTGAGCTGGGTGCAAACGGAATTGGCGCTTTTGATAGTTGTGCCATGTCCATCGGATGTGTAGGCTTGGACTGGTTCACATTGTGCTGAGAAATAAGTGTCGACCGCTGAAGATTGGCGGAAGATGGAGCGTGTGCATATCCACTTGGGAATAACGATTTAGGTTGAACGTCCTGTCAATTGTTAGTACTTAGTATTCTGGGGATTTGTCTGGAAACATACCTTGGGTCGACTGCTGGATTGACGGATTGGGGGTGCAGTCATCTTGGGCTGATTCTCGGTCAAATCATCGTCATCAAATCCATCACTGGTTCTGCGACGCTTCGCATGTGGCTCATTCTGATAAGATGGCCCATTTCGCTGAAGCGCAGGGCGGAGATGCTCATCGGCGATATCTTGTTGAAGCGGTCGCTTAGGAGGGACCTTGGCTGCAGTATGCAATGCTGCGTTCACTGGTCTCCCTAGGTCCTCTTGGGTTCGATTTATCGTCGACTCCATTCGAGGCTTCGACTGGTTCATCTCAGCCCGCTGCGATGGGACAGGTGGCAATGCCTTATCTTGCAAATGACGCGCAGCTGGTGGTGGAGCTCCGGTTTGTTTCGCTCTCTCAATTTCTTGTCTCCTCTTCTCAGCGGCTTGTCTGACAGATGCCTTTTTAGCATCTGCAATGCTAGCAACTCTCTCCCGTTCGCGTTGAATATCGCGCTGGCGTTCTGCTTCCTGTCTACGCTGTTGTTCTTCTTTTCGGCGCTCCTCTTCCTTCAGAGCAGCACGTTGCCGTTCAACTTCCTGCTTGGCTTCCCGCTTTCGTTGGGCCGCAAGTTCATCCTATTAAGTTAGTTAAAAAAAGGGTCCCCGGATATATATGGGAAACCACGTACCTGTTCTTTCTTCCTAGCTGCGGCTTCTAGAGCCTTGCTAGCAGCTGATTTAAAGCTGGTTGTTGATGCTTTGCTCTGAATCGAGCTGGTGCTGGCTTTTTTCCTCAGACTACCTTGAGGAGCCCCCCCAGACGGTGCTGGTAAAGAATCCTGCAGAGATGCAGCAAGTGTTGAGTTTGATGGGTGATATTGATGGCCGCGTTGTGACCCAGTATCGACTCGGATGACAGTAGGTGGCTTGTTCTTCGTGAGAGGTTCTTTGGCCGGTTTAATGGGGCGTTTTGGCCCGGGTCTTCCAATCTGCGACTTTGGTCGGGGCACCGAAGGCGGTGGCATAGCAGATGCGTCAGTCATTTCAACGTCTCGACTGGAAACATCCCCAGAAGAAGCATTTGCAACGCCCTTGGCTTCCTGTGGCTCCTTAGCCTTGCGGGGGCTACTCCTTGTGGCCTTCGGAATATTTGGCTGGCTTGCCTTGGCCTGTTTCTCCTGTTCTTTACGGGCCATTGCCTCTTTTTGCATGGCTGCTGCTCGCTCCTGTTCAAGATGGTACTGTCGCGCCTCTTCCTTGACCTTCATACGAGCTTTTCCCAATTGGTCGGCCATCTTTTGTGCTTCTTTGGCCTCCCTGGCTTCCATCGCTTCTTCCTCCTTTCGTCGCTCTTCCCGCTCGGTTGATGCTCGGGTTTTGCGGGCGCTGGCCTTAGGTGGACTCCTGGAGATATGGCGACTGGAATCCTGGTCTAATACTGGATACAACGGCCCCTTGTCATTCGACTTCGATAACACATCTTCAAAGGACGGCGCATGTTGAATTCCATAACGTGATGAATGCGGAGACAATGCAGATGTCTTAGCATCAGCACTGACAGCCGCACTACTAGCGAATAATCCTCTAGAGGTTTTCAAAATTGAAGAGAATTTATCTTTTGCAGCCTTTAGCGGACTGCCTTTGTAGCTCCTGGAAGGAGATTTCGGGGTTTCTGGACGTCGTTCATCCACATCGAGAGACGGATTTGGATTTGATACGGAAATTGGTTTCTTGTGCCCTGGAGAATCACCTGCCTTCCGTGGCGATCTTAACACGGAGGTCGATACTGACTTGATATGACCTAAAGTGCTTGTTGTTCTGTCTGGGATCACCGGCTCACGAATGGGTGAGCGGTGCCGCTGATCTTCCCCTCGCTTTGGGATGTTAAATTGTGAGCCACCAATGCTGTCCTTACCACGTATTTCTTCCATAACATCTGCTGAATGGCTTTTCAATAATTGAAGCCTTGGACTAAAGATAGATGGTTCGCCTTGTGTGGCTGTTGGTGGGCCGATCCAGCTTTCTTCCTCGTCTTCAGGAAATGCCCCAGGTGGAGGACGCTCCCTACGCTGTGGTGACTTTGCCCTGCTCGTTGCATCTTGGGATGTTGCAGGTTGTGTAACTTGATTACTTGGTGGGGGGACCAGGCCACTTCCTGCGATTGATTTGGACGGGGGCCGAGCATGAGATTGGGATTGACCAAGTTTGCTGATTTGGTCTTGAAGTCTTTGTGTGGAAGTTTTGTAGTGGAGACGTGCCATTTTCGCATCTGGATTCTCTCTGGCAGCCATGGTATCATCCAAATCGAGATCCATGTCATCTTCGTCGTTATCCTCATGCATGACATTTCCAAGGCTCTTCCCACCGGTCGTTCGGCCATAATAACTAGTCCTGGATTGTTCAAACTGACTGGTTCTCGATGTACGATTACCGAGACTTTTCTTCGTAGTAAGTGGCTCGCGTGCTGGCAAAGATGCAAAATTCAAGCTGCTCTTCCGAACCACGATTGGTCTGATGGGGCTTGAGCCATCAGATGGGGAATGTACATCATCCATTTGTTCATCTTCAATAACAGGACCTGGCTCTTTAAGTTGTGCTTCCTCCTTTGGTGGGGATTGCAAGGTGGCTTTTGGCAGCTCTGGAGAGCGTTGTGGCGAGCGCTTATGGGGAGACGATGCCTGTGGTATTCTGCTCTGGAGCGGTGATTCTAGGATGGGTTGCGTCAATGCATCCAATGCATTGTTTGGCTTCGAATTTTCCGTGTCAAGTTGCATCTCATCCACCAAATTTCGGGGAAACTCTTCCTTCGCAGATTGGAATGAACCCTCTGAGTCCCTATCCGCAACTTCTTCCGCATTTTCAATGGTGTCGAGTATAGCAATATCCACTTTCGGCGAGAAAGCCTTCTCGACGGGCTGTGTATCATGGAGCTCGTTAGGCTGGGTGGCCTGCGTAGGTTGGGTGGCTTGGCTTCCAAAGTATCCAGAGTCGAAATGGTTTGGCACTGGTTTCCGCTGCATCGGGCTTTCCACACGGGGTGCCTCTTGCATAACAGGTTCTGGCTGACTCGGCTCATCTTCCGCTACCTGAAATGTCGCGACTGGTCGTTGGAAAAGGGTTTGTTTGAATGGACTCGGCACGCCTCGTGGGGTCGATGAGAAGACATCTGACAATGGCTTCACTACATTAGAATAGACAACTCTACTGGATTGTTCAACTCACCGGACGCGACTCCAGAGGATTGTTTTTTCGCGTGGTTCTCGGTGTCTTCCCTCGTAGCTTTCCAGGTGTTTTGAAAATATCCGCGACGTTCCTAAGATTAGGGAGTTAGCAGAGCCCGTTACTTCCATGTTGTTTACTTACACACTATTCTCACTAAATATCTCCGCCATATGCTCATTCAACCACTCGATCTCATTCCGCGCAGAAAATGTAAATTCCTCTGCTTCCGATTCTGCAATCTGCAAGGCAGCAGACCTCTCCTCCGTTATCCATGGTATTGATCCAATTTGCAATCGAGGATTTGCCCGCATGGCCGCCATGATTTAGGAATCAAAACAATGCGCGTCGAATAGTAGTAGGTAAAAGGGCGAGCCGGAAACGTTCCTGGCTATTGATCATAAGACCATCTGTGCAAATGTGAAGCCAAATCAACAATTAGAAAGCGCGAATTTGGTGTTGTGGTGGATTCGTGAAGCTGTTGAATGGATGGGTCGTGGATGTTGTCGATGTTGCTGCATTGTTTTGGTTCGCTCCCAGCTCGCCCCTCGCGTCTGGAAGCTCCAAGGCATGTTGAGCCAGGGTGTTGCCTGCCTCAGGCGTCGACATCGATGGGACGTGACTTTACGGTTACCATCACGTGGCAGACACCACTGACGTATCGTTTTCGGTTATCGCTCGGAAATAAACGGGGAGCTCTGGAACCTCTCGCTGGGCGTCGACGTATTCGGCTTTATGGGTGCTGCTCGGCCTATACAAATATATTCAAAGCAGTATAAGTCTATGCTGTCTTAATCCCATTCTTGTCTTCATGCTTGTATGACTTTTCTTCCGTCTATTTTCTTGCTATAATACCTCCCTAATAACTCGAAATATTCATTCATTGCGAGGATGCGGGGTTTGCGAGTATTCAGTTCACGATGTCTGGCTTCAGCCAAGCCTTGTCATCCACGTCCCTCTTTTGGTCAATGGCGACCATTTTCAGTATCAGGTCCACGCAGTGTGAATACGTTGATGGAAACAAGCGGATTTAGTGATACCCAATTGCAAGTAAGAGAAGCAATTGGGAAAATATGCTCAAATTTCCCAGATGTAAGTTGGTCACATCTTATGCTGTAGGGAACTAGTTACTGAGTAGTTACTAGGAATATTGGGCCGAACGCGACGAATCTGGGAAGTATCCTCATGAGCTGCATGCAGCTCTGGCAAAAGACGGATGGATTGGAATTGCTCTACCCGAGGATTTGGGCGGTTCTGGGCTAGGGATTTCAGAGGCTACGATGATGTTACATACGATTTCAGAGTAAGTGATAACTCATGGATGGGTATTTATACCGGAACTAAACTAATTCAATTTAGGAGCGGTGCTGGAATGGCAGGAGCTCAATCAATTCATGCAAGTGAGTCTCGAAGCATATAATTTTATACTTGTCTCCTAACCTCCGGCTAGATGTCTATGCTACCCAACCAGTTGCAAAATTCGCCACACCCGAGCAGCGGCAAAAGATGCTACCAAAACTTATTGATGGATCCGTGAGAGTCTGTTTTGGTGTTACAGAGCCAAACACTGGTCTTGAAACTTTAAAGCTCACCACTCGGGCAGTACGTGACGGTGACACCTACAAGATATCCGGCCAGAAAATATGGATCTCCTCGGCTCAAATTGCAAAGAAGATGGTACTTCTCGCACGAACAACACCCCTGGAGGATGTCAAGAAGCCATCTGAGGGCCTGTCTCTCTTCTTCATCGATTTTGATCGAGACCAGCCTGGGCTAGAGCTCAAGAAGATCAAGAAGATGGGTGGAAGGGCAGTTGACGCAAATGAAGTATTTTTCGATAATTACACTATCCCTGCTGATACCTTGATCGGAAAAGAAGGCCAAGGGTTCAAGATCGTTCTCCATGGGATGAACGCTGAAAGATGTCTCCTTGCAGGCGAAGCACTTGGACTTGGTTATGCAGCTTTGCACAAGGCTGCAACTTATGCTAAGGATCGGGTCGTATTCGGGCGTCCCATAGGTATGAACCAAGGGATCCAACATCCTCTAGCCGATGCCTACATGCATCTTGAAGCTGCGAAGCTGGCAACATATCATGCTGCAAGGTTATATGATAAATCGAGTGTGGATGAGACAATTACTCCGGCATCAGTTGGCGTGGCTTGCAATAGTGCGAAGTACTTGGCAGCCGAAGCTGCTTTCAAGGCTTGTGAACGAAGCGTGTTGACTTTGGGAGGGATGGGATATGCTCAGGAATTTCATGTAGAGAGATATTTGAGGGAGTGTTTCGTACCTCGCATTGCGCCAGTTTCACGAGAGATGATTATGAATTACGTGGGAGAGAAGGTGCTGGGGTTACCAAGAAGCTACTGAACAGGCCGGGATGTTTAGAGCTGTATCATAATAGATTGTCACTGAGATAGACAGCACTTAGATAAAATCAAAATCTAGATATCTGATACTGCGATCTGTATTGAAAGACACGCTTCCTGGCCCAGTCCAGCTTGCCTCCCAACTCCCATACTCCAATATGCCCCTCACTTCTTCAGCGCTGCAAATCGTTTTGCTAATTCGTCCACGTCCGGTATTGTACCACCAACCGGGCCTTTACTTTGTGTTCCTGGCTTGGAAGCCGTATCTGTGGCCTTTCTGGTAGGCTTAAAGTCTAGTGTCCCTTTAACCCTCGGGTGTAGATTGTCTGTACTTGGACTCGGTGGATTAACCCTTAACGGAGAGCTTGGACCAAAGTTTCTCGGTGGAGTTGCCTTACTTAAAGCCTCCCGTTCTTCAGCCTCTTTTGCAGCTCCGTCTGCGGGGAGTGGCGCCTCCAGAACCTTCTGTGCTTGCCCACCACTAGGATTCTCGTCGTCGTCGTCGATATAATCAGGAGGATCGCCCAACTCATCCTTCGGTTTCTTCGGCCAGTCAACGCCATACGTCCTCGCTATCTCCTCTAAATACCCAATAACCAACTCCTGAGGAGGTGGTGTAACAGTCAACTTCTTTAGCACCTTCTCCGAAATCTTCCCATCAGTATTATCTACCGCCTGCATTGCAAACTCCTTTCCATATTTCTCCATGAGTAACGCTCGCACTTGCTGTAACTCCTTTACTTCAGTTCGAGGGGCGGCATATATTAGACTCTTGATAGCTTCTTCCAGGCCCGCATCGCAGGTCGGTCCCTCCATTAGCCCTGTTCGCGCAAGTAGGAGCTCGCAATAAAGCTCGAGGATCTCCAGTAATTCGGTGGTGATGTCGGAGCGGATAATATTCTCGACGCGGATTTTCGCTGACTCGACCTTACCGGCTTCTAATAGCTGAGCCATGGCTCGCCGCTGTTGCTTGGATACTGCTTCATCCTTTTGCTGCACCATGCGCAGACGTGCGATGGAGAGCTTGAGCTGGACTTTGAGCTTTGCCTGGTCGTGCTGTTAGTTAAACTTATCTGTTCGGCCAAATACTAAAGGCAGGCGGGGAGCGCAACTTACTATGAGGGTTGAGGATGGCGCCATAGTTAACTTCGGCCCCTCTCCATTAATACATGAAGGTTGTACGAAGTATTGAAAGTTACCTGAAATTGATGTTCCAGTATGTAGGTACCTTACGTACCCGCGCGTCCTCGAGTCCACGACCCCGCGGTAGCCCTTGTTCGATAGCTACGGTTGTTGGTTCAGACCGACCGCGCAGATATTTATCTTTTTGATCCGAGGAACTTGCACAGCAACAACAGTCTTAACGTCATCTCTCACGAGACGCCTTCCGCAACCGATGACCCTATGAAACTTATCGAAATATGTTCAATTGGACCAAATAAGCATCGCTACGGCGAATATATATCGAGTCTGAAACGATGACTACGAATCTTCCTCCTACACGGAAACGCCGATTTAAGGACATGTACACGATTGGGGATATACCGGGATAGGCATATGGATACAATTAGACCTGGATAACCATCTGGACGTGAGTTACACGTTGAATATGGAGAAGATCCAGAGCAGCTCCAAAAGGCTGCACAAATGGACAGAGAAGCGCACCAAGGAAATATGGGACAACCTAGGGAAGAACCACCTCTGGCAGAGGATGCTCAAAAATACACTGGCAACGACAATTGCTGTTATACTTGCGCTTATTCCAGCGGTTGTGGGTGTCTATGGCAAAGCAGCATATTTAGCTCCCATCACCACTGTGTTTGGGCATCCAGGTAGGAGATTTGGGACGATGGCCGAAGCGCTTGTCCTAGTTCTCGCTGGAGCTCTCATTGGGATAGGATGGTCCATGCTCGGAATCTACTTGTCAAGTCTCGTATATGAGGAGAATGCGCCGGCTGCGTATACCATCCGTGGGATATTTCTCGCGATCGCTCTACTCCTCCACGGCTTCCTTCGCTCACACACTCCAAGGCTATTCTTATTCGTGCTCCTGTTGGTCATTGTTTGTGTTGTTAGCTTGACTAGCACAGCTGTTGCTGTGACCGCGTCTTTGGCAACTCAAATATTATATCCTATCCTAACAGCTGCTGGAATTTTGATTATTATCAATCTTTTGGTCTTGCCTGAGTTTTCAAGCAGTTTTCTTGGAACTACTACCATTGAAGCGCTCGGAGAGACTGTGGATACCCTTAGAGATGCCGGGAAATATTTCGTAAGTATTGTTGAAGAGCCTCAGAAGGGCAATAAGGAACCTGCATTGGAACCTGGCCGTGAAAGCCAGGATACTTCCGCCACATCCATTGCACAAGGCGGGCAAAAGGCCGAAGCAGACTCCAAACCGTCCTTGTTGCATAAGGCTATACATTTATTTTTGAAGCGGAAGAAGCCCACCCAACCAACAGATACAGCTCCAAAAATAGTCCGCCTTGAAACATTAACAGGAAGGAAAGCAAAACTGCGGGCACAACTTGGAATCTGCAAGGCGGCTCAGATGGAGTGCAATTTTGAGCTTGCCTGGGGAGTCTTGCCGCCTAGAGACATGAAGCCCATCAGCCAGACTGCTATGAAAAAGCTTGTGGAAAATACCATTTCCCTAATCGGAGCCTGTGAGAGCAAGTATGCCTTACTTGGTGACCCGAACGAGGAGACCGCATCCGAGAAGAACAGCCCCAAGTTGGGCGCCGATGAGGCAGGAGTAGATACTGGGAGTGGCGAAGAGACTTCCCGCCCTGGTACAGCAGTCTCGCAGTCAGATGATGGTTCTGGAGACTATAAAACTACCAATGGCAAGACGAAGGACAAAAAAAGGACTAAGCGCCGAAAAAAGACAACAAGCAAGAGCAAGAATCAACTGGGGAAGGAACGGGAGGACCTGGAGCTCGTTAAGCCAACAAAGGAGATCGAGTCGGGCGATGTAGAGCTACTCAAATACCTCGTCACTCCCATTGCAAAACCACTCGCTGATCTTCAAGAGAAAATTGATAGGAGTGTTGACGTGGTCACTTCCTGTCTGGCTCATTGCTATGGCGTACGCAAACTGCCGTCTGGGGCTCGCCCGCCGGCTGGCATCCAATTACAAGAAATCGATGTTTGGATTGATGTTTTGCTTGGAGCATTGACCGAATTCGATAAAAATTCAGCAGTTGCTCTCGAGGGAGCAGCAGCTGTACATGACCTCGATCAACCTACGGTTGACGTCATGCCGCGCATGGAGATCTTTCTGATTTCATCCTTTATTCTAAACCTTCGGCAAGCTGCTCTTCACACTTTGGATATGCTTCGACATTCTCGAGTCATTGTGGAGAAGTGGCAAGCTCGGCATGGTCGATCACGATTCTACCCACCAAAGATAAAATGGAGAAAATGGCTGTTTTCTGGTGGAGAAGTAGAGCTGGGTGCCTTTTCAGAGGGTGTGAGACCCGATGCTCGAACAGGCAAAAAGCGGAATGTCTCAAATCAGGATGATTCCCCTACGCCAATTAATGAATCTCCCTCGAACAAGAAAGATGCTAAACTACATCCAACAATGACAACCCATTCACAACGCCATCGGGGTGCGATGAAGAGCAATTGGGAACCAAAGCCAAAGGTCGAAGACCCACCGAGAAAAGATCCTCTAACTCTCCGTTTACGCAAAAAGCTTGCGGACTTAATCGAGTATACGGTTGATAGTGATGATGTGCTTTACGCCATCAAATTTACCGCTGCCGTCTTTTTAGTAACATGGCCTGCCTTCCTATCTCAGTGGAACACCTGGTATTCTCTGAATCGCGGCCTTTGGGCTGCATTGCAACTCGTGTTGGTTACTGAAGTTGCCATTGGTACCTCGCTTGTCACATTCTCGCTGCGAGCGGTTGGAACAACTGTTGGGTGTGTGTGGGGATTCATTGCATACCAAACTCATAACGGAAACCGGGTGGTTTGTGTCGTGATGCTCGTTATTGGTATCGTTCCATCTACATACATACAATTGGGTAGCAAGTACTTCAAGGCTGGCATGGTGTCGGTCGTCTCGATGTGCGTTGTTGCTTTGGCAACAGAGGATATTACAGTCCCAGGGACAGCGACAGATAATTTCCTGAAACGGATGATCGCCTTCCTCATTGGTGGTACCATGGCTTTGGTAATCCAATTTGCGATCTTTCCAGTGAGAGCGAGAGATAAAATGATAGAATCCTTGACATCATCTATCTCTAAGATTATGGAGATGGAGGCTTGCCTTGCATATGGCATTGAGCTTGATATGAATCTTGATGCTCGCTCTGATAGTATCGCTGAGCGATTCCGCCGTGCTAAGGGAAAGGCACAAGGTGCTCTGACTGCAGTAGAAATTTTCCTTCCGTTTTGCGTCAATGAGCCCCGTTTGAAAGGATCTTTTGCGGGTATTGAACCCATTTACGCTGAGATGCTGTACGTCCTCCGCGCTATTGTGGACAGAATGGACAACATGATGTCACTTCGCCACGAGTATGGCTCGGGGGTACTCGAAGAACTCAACCCCAAAGTGCACGCCTATCGGCGCAACGTCGCTGGCAGTATTACGGTGATCCTCTTCTCAGTACGAGAAGCCCTCACCACGAAACTCCCTTTACCTCAATTCCTACCCTCCGCCCGCCTGGCGCATCTACGAATGATAAACCGTGTCCGGGAAGTTGTTCTAGACAGAAGAACTTTCGAATTTCCTCAGGGGCATAGCGGGCCGCACTCAGAAATAGAAAGCATGATGCTCAAAAATGTGCTACGGCAGAACTTCCTATCATGGAATGCATTTTCCGCGGGACAAATTGAAGTCATCGAATTTTTGGAAGAGCTCATTGAGTTGGCGAAGTTGCTTGTCGGGGCGAATGAATTTCGGAGTGGAATGCTGACAAGGCCTACATATCGGGATTACACGGATCATATTGATGGGAATACTCTAGAACCCACGCGGGATTTAGAACGTCGCGAGTCTGACTTGCAACATGATGATGAGAGAGATGAGCTGAGGGAAATGATATTTGGAGAGAGTCTGAAGATGAAAACGCACACGAGAAGACGGCGTGCATTATCCGAGAGCAAAAGTGCTGTGGACGAGAAGAAATCCCGGGGTGAGGATGAGCAGTCTAAAGATCACAAGCAACCTGAGGAAGACGTGTTGCCGATGTCGCTGCAGAGGGTTCGTAGTCGAAGGTTGAGTCTTGCCAGGAGCAGAAGTAATAATCTTGAAGGGACGAGGAGGGGCACTTAATCAAGTTTATTTGCAAACGAGTTATAAAGACAAGGTAGTTTTCCAAACTTGTCATCTCTACTTCTCCGATACCTGCTGTGGCCTACTAGATTTCCGCCTTGTAAAATTTTAAATAAGAGCCGCGTCCTCAAACTTGTCGTGCCATCCTCGCGCTCTATGCCTATCGATATGGTGATCAAGGGACTATAATTTCGGGATTCGGCCCTAACCCAAAGCTGAACAAATACCTTGATATCGTTGTACTGCACTCTGAAACCAAAATTCTTTTTCTAGACGTAATATTAAAAGGGAGCTTATAGTGTTAACGAACTAGTCTGAACAATTGAGTTATAAATTATATAATCTTGAAGTCTATAAAACTAGTCCCTGCCAGTTCCAAACGAAATGTAATCTGATGGGTATCATTAATATTACCAAAATATACACGCAAATATGAGCAATCAACCTAACAACTCTTTGATGATCATCTTGGGACCCTCGAAAATATATTCCTTGTCCACCCATCTTCCATCACAGTATGCTCCCTAATCAGCCTGTACCCCCCAATCTTTGGTAACAGTACGGCCCAAACAAGCCAATAAATCGCGCCACCCGCAAGAATCCCAATCCCGACAACGCAATGAAGATAGTAAGGCAGAGCTTCGTACACATTCTGGCCATCGGTTGGTGGAACGAATGGTGCGACGACGAGGTATATGTTGGATAGGAGGAAGAAGACGACCACCGGGAGAGTGGCGCGGAAGGGAGGCGACCAGTCTGTTGGGTTGCGGTGAGGGGAGTAGGGGTGTAGGTAGAGGTGAACCAGGCCAGCGGCGACGAAGACGTTGACTACTGCTAGGGGGTATGAGATAACACTAGAGGGCAAGAAGGGTTAGCAAGATATTGCGAAAACCTGAATGTAGGGGAAAGACGTGGGCGGTCTCGATATAGGATTAATAGGTAGACTAACTTGAGAATAAAGTTATATGCGTCGCCAGGCGGAGGTGCAAGCATAATAACGACGGAAACCACCCAATGCTCGAAGAGGCCCATGAAAGGAGCGTTCAACGGCTTATTGCTTGCCCAAAGGCGGGACCATGGGATGATGCCTTCCCGGCCAATCTCTTGTACCACTATTAAAGGCAAATTCGTTAGTTCGACTGGGTCTCTGTTGGGTATCGAAGAGGGTTTTTGACTTACACCTCCCTTGTGCGAATATCACACTGAGTACGTTGCCGAATGCTGAAAGAGCGACAAAGACAGAGAGGACGCGCTCTGCGCGTGATCCGAACATATTGCGAAAGAATGATGCGGCTAGAATTCGGCCTGAAGTAATAATTTCTTCCTTGGGGACGGCAGCAAAGTACGCAATCTGGAAAATATTAGCTTATGTCAATTACTCTAGGTAATTCCTGGACTTACGTTGACCAACATGTATAAAACGGAGACAAGGCCAAGTGCCAATGGGGCTGCAATCTTAAGTGTCCGGACAGGATTCTTCGTTTCAGATAGGGAGTAGTTTGCGTTGCTATAGCCGATGTAACTCCATATAACATTGTAGAGTGCCGTGACGACTCCATATCTGTGATCTGGTTAGGAACTAATGACGACCGAAGTACTGTCAAGGAAAGTCGACTTACGCGCTACCAGTGGTTCCCTCGAACGCATTTGTAAAGTTATCTGGCTTTTCGTCGATCTTGATGTGACCACCAAGAGCAGCCTAAAATTTAACAAACCGCAATTAGTATTTGATATCGAGGACTGGATTCCGTTCAAGGAAAGGAAGCGGAACGTACGAAGCCGGAGAAAACAATAAGCAACAAGATGAGCAACTTGATTATCCCCAAGAAGTTCTGCAGCCTCAAGCCCCAGTTGAGAGCAAGTCCGTGGATTAAGAAAGCGCTCGTAATGCAAGCCAAGCCCACTCCGCGCTGATTCCACCTATTGACCTCAACATTGGCAGCACTTAGGATGTACTCTCCAAAGATAACCGAATTTGACCCAGCCCATCCAAGAAGCAGAACATAGCCGGTATAGACGCCAGTAACGAGGAATTTCGGCTTGCGATACACGTACTCGAGATAGTTTTTCTCGCCGCCGTTCCGTGGAAGACCAGTTCCGAATTCCATGTAAGTCATTAACCCGGCGGCTGCAATCAACATGCCCACAACCCAGATGAATAACGCCAGTCCCACTGATCCGGATAGCGAGAGAATCGCACTGGGGGTTGCGAAGATTCCCGTGCCCACCATTCGGTTAAAGATGAGGAAGATGGCGGAGGTGAGGCCGACCTGACGACGGGCATCGGTAGTCTGGTATTGGGCATCGCCTGTAGAGGTTTAGCATTCGTCCTGCATTGAGATATAAAGTTTGTTAGAAAGGGGCTTCGAGCGTACCTATACTGATGTCGTCGGTAGCCACACCATAGGTTTTGTTGTCATCGTTTGGGGTTGGAGCTGGATCACTTGTATCGCTACCAACTGCACCAACTGTGGTAATCCCCGTTTTCGCCATGATACGCAAGAGATGGACTCAATAAAAAAAACTAATCGTATGCAGTCTAGAAAGCGATCGACCTTCAAAACAAGCAACTTGAAAAAATCAAGATGATAAAGGAATGACTCGTTATTTAAGAAACGCAAATTCCACTGCTTCTCTCCCAAGATGAATACAGTTTCAGACCATCTAAGACGACTTGTATGAGACAATCTTCGTGCGAAATACACAATTCGGAGCTTCCTAATCAGAAAAATACCAAGTATGACGACATCCTGGACCTTGAAGGGTTTTTCACGCGCCGAGTCGCCGCACCACTCACCTGTGGTTACGAGTAATGGATGTCACAATACGGATTGTTAGTGTTGCTGAGCTAGGCTTGGCGCGATCACGTCTTATGGCCTATACTCTTGTAATCAGATTAATCGTCCTTATCTATACTTTAGGCAACCCTTACTTTGACTATATCTGCTTATAGTTATTAGGTCCATTAAGTACGGATCGGGGGTTTGCAGAATGTGGCATGATGATATACGCATTTTCTGGGAGCGATTCTCGAAACAACATCACCTATAGGATATTCTTATTATAAGGATGCGTCCTATAGTTTAGTCGCAGAGTAAACTTTAACCTTAAAAGAGTACGAGTATCGTAGAGTAAAGTAAACTCGTCGGATCGGCGTATCGTGCAAAGGCAGGGTCGTCAGCTCGGCGACTCGGCGTATTGTTTTTCTTTTGCTCCGGCTCGCTACACACTTTTGCCCCTGACCGCCACCTACCCTACTAGTCCAAGGCGATAGCTCTAATAAGACAGTAAGGCGGCAGGTCCCTCGGGAGACAGTCCGGAGACAGTAGTAGACAGTAATGAGAGCGACATAGTCCTACAACCTTAACCAAACAGAGCTGTCTTGACAAAAATAAAACCTGATATTAATTACGATGAGCAGATATATCTTCTTAACAATTATCGGGTCTCTTTGCTAGTAGAGTTTTGTAGGTGGCATATGTTAATTACCCGAGTATATGATAAACTTGGGATATTGCCAGATCCATTCTACAAATCCCCGATGGTACTTTGGTTTATGCGTTGATTTATAAATCTAACAATGTTAATCGAAAATTTACAGCCACGACGATAAATACATCACGTGTGCATGTTCTAAAACGGGAGATCTTGGCCCCACGTGTTTCGTATTTGGCGAGCCCTTAGTGCCGCATACCCGTCTTCGGTTGCTGACTTGGCAACCGTTACCTAAACACTTACTGCGTACATCACAGAGTATGCGGGGAATCGTAGATTCGTAGCCCAGACAGTTATCTCTGGAACAACTCTATGGGTCGGCACTCAGGTCAGTACTCGAGATAACCGATCAGCTGGCATTTAGATTAAATCCCCGATCAAGCTTTTTAACCTTAAGTCTCGGCAGTTGCTGGGCATTCGCGAAGGCGCCAATGAACTCTAGCCCCCCTCAGTTTGCTTGAATATATCCTTTGCTTCATTCTACCATTATTACCCAACTGGGGTTTTAATCTCCGGCAATTGCTCTTACAGTCCATCTGGGAGTCTTCTGACAATAGCACCGGCTTTGCAACGTCGGAGTACGCAAAGGAAGTAGCTCAGCGTGTTTGTTCCTATAACTTGAAGAATGGTGTTGTGCTCGCCTCATCTCCTTTTCGCTTTTCGTTTTTGCATCTCTTCTACTCCGTCTTAACTTTACTGCTATTAAAGCCGTGCCCAAGATGCAGTGGAAGTCCCTTGCCGTTGCCGTTGCGCTCCTTGTGCAAGATGCTCTTGGACAGCAAATGCTGCGCTTCTCTTGCGGGCAACTCGTTATCGAGCGTGTCGACCCTTTGGTCAACCCAGGATCTAATCCATCCCCACATCTCCATCAGGTCGGCGGAGGGGATTCCTTTAACGCTAGCATGACCGCCGTTGAATATGATCCTGTTAAGATGTCTACTTGCACGACTTGCACCTTTAGCGAGGACTTCTCTAACTACTGGACTGCCAATTTATACTTCAAGGCACGCAATGGAAGTCTCAAGCGAGTTCCCCAGATGGCCAACCAAGGCCTCAAGGCAAATGGTGGCTTAACTATCTACTATATCCCACCATATGATGGCAAAACTACTGTTACAGCCTTTAAGCCAGTAAGTTAGCCCCGTAAGACCTTCAGACCACTATATAACATCCACCATAGGGTTTCCGTATGCTTGTCGGCGACGCGATGTTGCGCTCAGCAAAGGGCCAACAACGGGGTATCTGCCACCGTTGCTTTAGTACCATCAATCAAGTTCCATTTGGAGGTGCCCCTTGCACTGGTGCTGATACTAGTTCACTGCCAACGGGGTTTTGCCAGGGAGGTATCCGCACGACTATCACGTTCCCAACGTAAGTTATTGGCACTTTTCCGTACTCCGATCTAAGCAACCTGCTGACATACACAAATCCTAGTTGCTGGGATGGAAAGAATGTCGACAGCATAGATCACAAGAGCCACGTTGCTTACCCTAGCAGCGGGACATTTGAGTCGACCGGCCCATGCCCATCAACTCACCCTGTTAAGCTCCCTCAACTGATGTATGAGATTATGTGGGATACCAGACAGTTTAATACCAAGGACCTTTGGCCGACGGATACCACCAAGCAGCCATTCGTCTATAGCACGGGTGATGGGTAAGTTATTGCTACTGGGGAAAGCGATAGATGCTAACCATGTACTCGTAGCACTGGATACGGCCAACATGGCGACTATGTTTTTGGCTGGAAGGATGACTCTCTGCAGAGGGCTCTGAACGCTAGGTGCAGCAACGACAAATGCAGCCAACTTAAGTCTCAAACCTCAGAGGCTGCAATGAAATGCGCTAAAGCACCATCTGTCAACGAGCTGACCGAAGGATGTAAGTGTCATTATCCCATCTAAAGTCATGAACGACTTCTAACAACACATGATTTCTTAGGGCTTTCTGAACTTCCTGGTAGCCTGCCTATTACTTACGCTTGATGGAAGCTATGCGGAACTTAGGTCACAGTCGAAGAATATCAGGATAGCATAGCACGCTTTGTCCGCCAGCAAATCTTGTCCTGGTAGACTGAACTACCCATTTGAGAACTTGAGATTTAACTAATCTTCGTCAATTTCGCCATATACCAAGCCCCTTGGCGCTTCTTTCTAGGCATCACTTGTACGATCATGAATCTAGCCATAACTTTCGTAATTATTAGCTCTTTAGTTATCAATCAACCATTGTATCCTATATAAGTTAAGCAGGCTGGAATTTCTTGTATCGCATCAGTATGGTTTATCTTAGGGAGAGCGATAAGATGTGCCCTGTTTACATAGTTATGCGATAGCCCTCCGGGATACCGTTTTGGTCTACCAAATTACTTCCATGCGCAAGGAAGCGGTAAAGAGGCGAGCTGCGCCCTGGCATAATTCCTCTGCCTCAGTGCCACATTAAAATTTCCCTCACGCTGGCTAGCTGACAGAGTAATCAGTCGGGTCAATTTAAAAAGAACATATCGTTGGTATCCACTGCGCCCCAGGATGTAGTTTATTAGTGTTACGGACAGAGATATTAGTGCTAAAATACAAGAAGCTGTAGCTTGTACAGGCGGTATAAGGCTGGTCACATGCCTGGCACTTTTCCCTCGCCTGTCCCATACATGGCCAAATAAGCAAATATCCCTTAACGAGTACAAGGGCGTGGCACTTGGCTAAGTGTGTTCTGGTCAAATTGTACATACGTTATCGCCAGGGATGACAGGGAAAAAAAGGAAAACAACAACAGAAGCGACAACAACAAAAATCGACAAGAGATGTAGGCAATCGCCCGGGCCGAACTCTTTTTGCTCCTCAAGTACATAATATTACTTTTGGCTGTAATATTTTTGGCTCCTTTTTGGCTCTGTAATAGATATTAATTTAATTTAATTTTATATAACTTCGCTTATGGCGGGTTCTCGCGAGTTGACGGGAGGCTATTCGCACCGCCATATGTTCTCGAAATTGCCAACTCTCCTGTGAGCGTGGTAGCTCTCCGAATTCGGCACGTTTCGCGCTTCTAATTGCAGTATTACATACGCCGAAGGACGAACACGATTCAGTTTCTGCGCCGGCCTGAAAATGAATATGTGCATCTCGTTGGTCTGGTGTTGAAGAAGGGGGAAGTAGAGTTAGCGGTTGAAGAGACAAAGGTTGATATAAGCCTAGTTCCCCTTGAACTTGGCTGAGACCTGGTGGCTTGGCATTCTCGGGGCTCATCTTCATTCAGTTTCTCAACCCAGAGAAATTAACTCCGTCTCCACGACGCGTCCCAAACAACTCCTTGAGGTTAGGAGCCATTGTCAGCTCAATACCGACTACATCGACCATCAAACAGGAACGAGCAGCCTCCTCCGTCATACACTTCGGAAAGCCCCGAGCTACAATGTCGGGTCACCAGGATGAGGGTCTCGAAAATGAAGATGCTCCAGGGAGCATAGTGCAAGCTCAAGTGCAACGCGACTTTCATCATCCATATACACCTTATGCCATTCAAGATACCTTTATGGATACTGTCTATCAAGTTCTAGAAAATGGCAAAATTGGCATTTTAGAAAGTCCTACCGGTACTGTATGTTTTTTCGCATCTTAATTCTGTATCACGTGATTATTCCGAGCGATATATTATCGTCTGGGTATATTATTGGTTAAATTGAAAGTTGTAGATGTTAATGTTGAAACGGTAGGGCAAATCATTGAGTTTAATTTGTGGTTCTTTGACTTGGCTGCGCGATTACAAACGGAAGACCTTTGAACAAGGTCTCGATTGGGGTCAAGGTGGTATGTATTCAAATCCCTAGGAAGTAATGTCACGTATTTTCTAATACACTTCCAGACTCAGACGAACCGCAGTGGATTATCGAGCAGACAAGAGCAAGGAAACGGCGCGAGATGCTTCGTCAACGGGAAGAAATGGAAGCCAGATTAGCAAAAGTTCGAGCCAAGGAAAAAGCGCAGCGTGACAGGTACATCAAAGGGGATCAGAAATTTAAGAAGAGGAAAACCGATAAGGAGGCTGCCGAAAATGATGATGACGAAGAGCAATTCTTTCTTGACGATTACGATAGCGACCGCGAGGAGCAGGGTTTGAAGGACGACGGAGGCAGTCACTATTCTGCAGCGACCTTGGCGTTGATGGCGAAGCTTGGAATGGGCCCTACTGTGTTAAAAGAGGATGAAGAGGAAGTAGAAAATGAGACCAAGGTATGTCAAATTGCCAGTCCTTTTCAACATATCTGATTCTTTCTAGATTTTCTATTGTTCTCGGACACATTCCCAGCTCACCCAATTCATCAATGAACTCCGCCGCGTGGAATTCCCAGCAGCAATTCCGGACGAGGAACCAGGCAAGGAAATAAAGATCGAAGATCTAAAACACCTTACTCTTGGGTCACGAAAAAACCTCTGTATCAACCCTCGAGTCAACAAACTGAACTCAGTAACGGCGATCAACGAGCGTTGCGCTGAGCTTCAAAAACCAGGAACAGCTCAAGAACATAAATGTGAATTCTTACCCAACAGGGAGAATCAATCCCTTGTTAACGATTTCCGCGATCATGCTCTTGCAACGCTCCGGGATATCGAAGATATGGGGTCGCTTGGCAAAGAGATTGGAATTTGCCCCTACTACGCTTCAAGGGCCGCAATTCGACCGGCAGAGATAGTAACGCTACCGTATCCCCTGCTGCTTCAGAAAAGCGCTAGGGAGGCTTTAGGGCTCAGCTTAAAAGGGCATGTAGTTATCATTGACGAGGCACACAATCTGATGGACGCTATTTCCGGAATCCATGGAGTAGAAGTTAGTCTTAAACAATTAAGGCTAGCTAGAGCACAGCTTTGGCAATACCTGCAGAAGTTTCGTAATAGGTTGAAGGGCAAGAATCGGATTTATGTTAGTCAGGTTATTCGAGTAATTGATTCTTTGGCTGGATACCTGGAGGGGAGGTTGTCGATTCCGGTATGCGCTGTCATTCTGGTTATTGAATATGACAAGTGCTAATATGAGATATAGCAAGCAGATGGCACTGTCTCCGAAAAGGAGCTATTTTCCGGCAAGGGAGTTGATCAGATCAATCTGTTTAAGTTATTACGCTACCTTCAAGAAAGCAAACTTGCGCGCAAAGTCGAAGGCTACGCCGTCCATATAACGTCTGTTTCCTCGAAAAGCAGCATTCCCCAACAACCTGCCCAGCCTAAACAAGATGGATCCGCTACTCCGGTACTCCACCATATCGCTTCGCTCCTTTCGGCACTCACTCACCCTTCGAAAGAAGGCCGGCTCTTCTTCTCCAAGCCGACCAATTCACCGGAGGGTGAATCAATTTCTCTCAAATTTCTTCTCCTGGACCCATCCACTCATTTCCACGAAATCGTCAGCGAAGCGAGAGCCGTGATATTAGCAGGCGGTACCATGTCACCATTCTCCGACTATACCTCTCATCTCTTCCCCTATATCCCCCCAACTTCCATCGTGACCCTTTCTTGCGGTCATGTAATCCCCAAGTCCAATCTCATAGCATGGAACCTCTCCCGCGGGCCTTCAGGGCAAGACCTCGAATTCACATTCAAAAACCGCAGTAACGCAGAGATGGTCAACGAACTCGGACGCGCACTCTTAAATATTTGTACCGTCGTTCCTGACGGAGTTGTCGTTTTCTTCCCAAGTTATAGCTACCTCTCGTCCATCATTTCACAGTGGTCCGTTATCCCGAATACCAACAGTAACCAAACAAACACTGAGAAAAGCATCTATCAACGCCTGGAAGCGAAGAAACCTATATTTACAGAGAAAAAGGACCTTTCAGTTGATGCCATCCTCTCCGAGTACGCTAGCGTAATTGACACGGGTAAGGGTGGGCTTCTGCTCAGCGTCGTCGGTGGCAAAATGTCCGAAGGGATAAACTTCTCAGACAAACTGGGCCGCTGCGTCGTAATCGTCGGCCTTCCTTTCCCTAATATCATGAGCGCGGAATGGAAGGCAAAAATTTCCTACATCGAAGCTGCGACTCTTGAACGTCTGCAATCGCAGTGCAATGCTAATGAGGGAGCAAAAATGAATAAGGACGAAATGAGCAAGAAAGCTAAGGAACAAGGAAGAGAGTTCTACGAGAATGCTTGTATGAGGGCGGTCAATCAGAGTGTGGGCAGAGCTATTCGACATAGGGAGGATTATGCGGCGATTATTATGGTGGATAGGAGATACGAGGGAGAGAGGATTAGGGGGAAGTTACCTGGGTGGATTAAGGAGGGCTTGGTTGAGGGAGCGGGGGAGAAGACGTTTGGAGCGCTGATGGGGGGTTTAGGAGCGTTTTTTAGAGGGAAGAGGGAGCTAGGTGGGTGAATATGTGAAATGGAAATGCATGATTATAGGGGAGGTCCTGTTATCCACCACTCTCTACGGATAGGATTTTTAATTAGGATAACCTATGCTAATGTCATCTCAAATCCATATCAGATGGTGAAAAGTGCTGACCCTTGGTCAGATCTCATCTGCTGCTCGGCCTTAAGTATTGAAAGTCGGATCTATGCTCATATGCAAGAGTGTGAAAACATAAAAGTGTTGGTAATAACTTGAAGTTTCGAAGGAAGGAAGGGTCTCATCCGATTATTTTCACTTGTATTGCTTAAGAGTTGACCCATGAAACTACTTAGTTGTGAAAATACCAACAATGTGTAACTTAGATCAAAGGCTGAGTTTAGAAAGTCTCGGAATTATATCCAAGCAACAGTAATAAAATCTACCTCGGGTATATGCTAATGTGCCAAATAACCGCCCCTTGTTTATCCATTATCCTTGAATCCATTGTAGTCCAAACGCCCAATTGATGCCGCAATACTACCCGTAACCATAGTTTATAGCGAGATCCTGTCCCATATATACGCAACAAAAAAGACCAATTCGAATGGTTATTTCCACCTCATAAATACTCATCTTCCTCCCTAATTTCAACTCTCTCTGCATACTTGCCTATATCACTGACAATATTCTCACCAATATCCTCCCCTCTTCCACCAGCAACTCTCAAGATCAAATCATTAAGACTCTGCCTGCCCAGGATGTCGACATGGTCGCCAGTATTCGGGCCGCCTCTAGGACTGAATCTTTCCGGCTCATGAGGCATCTCATATACGTTGACCTTCACCCCAGCAGGGTTATACCTGTGCATTTTCCAACCCTTGTTGCACATGTAGCCTACCGAGAGCAAGTTGACGGTGCCGTCCCCTTCGCCGAGGACAACACCATGATCGATATTATCCTGCGTAAGACTGGTGTCAATGGTGATATTAAGGTTCGAGAAGGGGTTTTCAGAACGGCGGTAGAAGTACGAGCGTTCTGTTGGTTTGCCGATACCTTGGTTTCCATTAGCAGAGTCTCTCTATTAGGAGATATATGGCCTACCGTAAAAGCAATAAATCTTCAAGTTGGGAGCAAGGGGCAGGCGAGTCTCGAGTGGGTTAATCCATTTCCTTGGATCCTTCTCGTTGGCCTCGACTTCCGCAGTGGTATGAGCAACGCCGTTTGAATAGCTACGTCCCACCATGCGTCCATACCACGGTTCCGTAACGTTCCCCAAATACGAAAGGCTGTCTTCTACAGTCAAGTTCGCATGCTGCGTGGTACCATTCCGGAATTTGAAATTCAGGAATGGCCCAAAACTAACATTTTGACCCGGAAGATCGTCAGGCGCCCATGTTGCATTGCCCCATACTGCATTTCCGCCCATAGGAAGCATGGAGCTAATTCCTGGCATCGCTCTAAAAATCTCTGCTCGCTCGTCTTTACTCAGGAACTTCTCCAGCCCGTAGACGGCAAAAGCATTCAGCTGTGCAGTGTCTTTCATCTCACCTGATAGAACTGCAGGAAGGCCTTTCAGTGCACCGAGCATACAACCACTAATGTTGATCCAGGAATCGACATACTTGTCAACCCAACCATCACCACCTCCACCGCCATCAGCTGCCGCGACCCAGTGGAAGAAGTAGAACAAGACCTGACTACCCATCGAATGAGATATAACCACGACTTTCTTGTTTGAAACCTGATATGCCATCTCTATATATATCTTCAGCCTCGTGAAATACTGGTCTCTGACCTCTAGATTCTCATAAGAAAGCCTCCAGTCATAAGCGGCCGTGAAGCTGTTCGTTGGATCATAGCCAATGGTCGCCAAATTCTCGAGGATTTTATTCCAGATCCAATATCCAGTGATAAAGAAGTCCGCAGCATCAAATCCCTGAGCAGCTCTCAGTTTGATTCCATCTGGCGGATCCAATCCCGTGTCTTTATCCAGCATAATATGCCTCTTCCAGCCCTCCTTGTCCAACACCAGCGCACGCATCATGCTCCAGCTGCCCCATAGCCTCTTTCTGAAATATTGCCGTGTGCTGTTTGTCGTACCCCAGCTCTCCAAACCTGTGGAAATCACACCTGGCACCATAATCACTGGATGGTTGGCCCGGATGCCCTGGGCAAGTAGATTCAATCCCACCGAGAAAGAATCATAGTTCACCGTCTCCCGTTCCCCCCTTGCCATATCCCGCGCATCCTGCATGAAGCTCGCGGGCAATATGTCCATCAAGCTATCCATGCTTAGGTCTCCAAACTCGGGGAAGTCGATAAGGTCGGAGCGGTTCGCGAAGAAGCCCGCAGCCATAATGCCGAAAAGGCCGCCGAGGAAGAAGATGAAGCCATTTCGCCGTTTGCGATATTTGGGACTTTGGGAGGATTGGGCTTTTGAGAGGCGAACGAGCTGTTGATCGGCGGCTTTGGGAGGGGAATCGGAGGGGTTTGCGTTGCCCCAGATGCGGCGTCGAAGACTGGAAGACATTCCGATTGCGCTGTTAAGATGCGCAGTGAGGGAAGAGTAGGACAAGGAGGACGGGGGCTTTATATGTTTTGGAGCTCATGGCTGTCTTGCATATTGTACCTACGGAGTAGGAAGCTTGTTCAAGCCAGGGATGAATGCGCCGCCTCGGCCGAGTCGATCAGCGCGTGGTTTTGTTTGCGGGCCATATATTTGCCGATTATTCACCGAGAACACAGTCTAATTGATACTGGAAAATAGATAAATCCTAAACTACAGGTAGCTTCACATTAACATGTTCTCAACGAAAGAAAACAAACATCTGGACTAGATCTCACAAGTTGCCAAACCGCAAAGCAGTTAAGTGCGAATCTACAAAGCTCTTGATTATACATTCCTTAGTGTTGCCGGTGTTGTCCTGCGTGCAACAGTGGATTTCTTGGGGACAGTTATGGGTTAGATACGCCGTATGCGGCCGGACAAGGCGCATATACGAGGTACAGTAATTCATTTCGTTTACTTCCAAGCTGTGCCCACAAACTCGATCAATTTATTAGCAGTTCGTGTAAGAGACCGTTAGCTTGTCTCCATTGTGGACGGTGCGTATGTCCATTGGCATCGACACATATTAGCATTCGGTGTCATGACGGGTGGACGATGTCCCGCTGATGCCATTTGAAGAGTCCCTAGGTAGGTTATTGAGCATAAATTCAGCCCGGAGATCAAGTATTCTGCTCTAGAATCACTCGTTCATAATGGCCGCTGAACTCCAGCAAGCACTCTTAGAGGTTCGTATGGTACCATTTAGTATCATTTCTTGCAATCACAATACGTTTGATGCTAATTCATAGGGCTAGGCAGGTGGTAGCACTTTTATGTGCGACCTTTGTCGTCCTTCCATCGAGGACAACGTACCTATCTTGGGACTGCAGGAAGAGAAAGTCCAGGACCTTCCAAATACCGAGATCAGGATGTCCAATCGATTAAGTGATATTGTCAATGCCGCTAATCAATGTTGGGTTTGTGGATGGTTGCTGCTCTTGTTCCGAAATCGGTGTTCTGAGTCGTTCGCGGAAATTCTCCCAGCTGATTACGAACGTGTATCGATGGGAATCGAGCCTCATTACATTCGTACTTCTGAGAAGGGCAGGGCGTCCGGAGACGTTCCCAAGGACCAGCGGGTTTTAATTCTAATCTCTGTCTATCTCGATCCGCGAGCCATTTCTAGGAAGTTTGACTATTTCCTGTACCTACAACAGAGTGACCAGCAAGCTATACACCTCCCCGATTTACTAGACCAGACGCACTCTCTGGAATGGCCAGCACATAAGCCGTATGAAGCGCGTATTCGGCCACAAGAGGCGGACCTGCGGTTGTGCAAACGGTGGAAGGACCATTGTACCGAGTTCCACAACGGTATCTGTGGTGACGAGATCAAGGTACCCAGGATATCTACCATCAGGTTAATCGACGTGACGCTTAGATGCATTGTGGATCTTCTAACAAACGTTCCCTGGGTAGCTCTGAGCTACTGCTGGGGAGGACCACAGGAACATTCGCTGCGGAAAGACAATCTTGCAGACTATGGAACACCAGGAGCTCTGACTGAGGAAAGACTCCCTCCTGTGATTTTCGATGCATTGATAGCTACTAATGCACTAGGTGAGCGCTACATTTGGATAGATTCACTTGGCATTGTTCAAGACGATGAGCTAGACAAAGCGAGGTATCTATCTGTCATGGATGCGATTTATGCTCATGCTGTCCTCACAATCGTCAATGCTGCTAGTGGTGATACTTCATCTGGTCTTCCCGGTATTCGACAATTTGTCCACCGCCGTACTCAACAACCGTTTGAACTCAACGGTGTCTGGCTCACTGAATCACTTGATCCCGGACCCAGCGACTATGCCGGCTACCTTCAAAGATGCAAATGGAGCACAAGAGGCTGGACGTTCCAGGAGGGACTTCTCTCGAGGCGTTGCCTTATTTTCACCGCGGACCAGATATACTGGCAATGTCAGAAATCAACCTGGTGTGAAGGTAGCTTTTGGGAACGCATCGATGATCTCCAGGTCTACCGCCACTTTCACGGTCAAAACCTTCTCACCTCCCTTGCCGACCCCATCATTGAAAATTGGGCCCCGCTCTTCATTACTATACTCCAAAAATATGCGCAGCGAGAATTCACTTCCGAGGGCGATGCTATGCACGCTATCGCTGGTGTTCTTCGAGTCCTGAACCAATCTACCGGACAAGACCATTTCTGGGGCCTCCCTGTAAATGTCCTAGAACATGCCCTCGCATGGACTGCTTCCGGACCTCCATCCCGAAGACAATCTTATCACAAATACGTTAATTCCAGAGGGATACTCCTATCCTGCCCCTTCCCTAGCTGGTCCTGGATAGGCTGTAAGTAAATTTAGAAAAAACTCTTCAAGACGACCTTCCATAGTCTCTATGTCAAGGCAACGAGACACGCAGATCCGACAAAAAGTCTCTCGATATCCTTTACCTCCCCAAAATAAATACCTAACTTCAAATTCTTCCAGGGCGCAGCAATGGACTCGACCTACGCGCTCTCAATCCCTCCGCCACAATAGGAACTCTAGGCCTTCGCTTCTACCGCATCGACGACCATGGCAATCCGACACCTCTCTTGAAAACCTGGCCACCTCCCGCCGATGACACAACCTACGACGACACGCGCCAACTAACCCGGTACCCTCCCTCGGCCATCCACCCCTGGCTGGACACCACTCGTCAGACTATCACATCTGCCGATGTTCCACCCTTCCTTACTTCTTCTTCTGTCGTCCCATCATTGTTGTGCTTCTGGACGTCTGTTGCAGTGCTCCGCATCGAACAGCGTGGCTGGAACGGGTATTGGAATGAACCATTCATCGTTTTATGCGATCCAGATGGGGATGTCGAATTGACTGGCCGGTGGGCCCCTGGTGGATTCGAGCGGAGGCCAGGGCGAGAACAAGAGCCAGATGTTAGCCTCAACCTCCCGGAATACGGGAAGTTTATAGTCGTTGGAGCGACACGGCAAAGGATGAGCCATGGAGGACGGCTGACGCTGACACTTGTGATGGTTGAGCCGAGGACGGGTGGTGATGAGGCAGAAGCTGCGGCAAGTGTGGTGTGCAGGAGGCGGCATCTGGTCAAGGAGGTTATGGAGAGTCAGTGGGAGAGTTTGCAGGGGACGAAGAGGTGGGAGCTTGTGCTTTTGTCCTGAAGTAAATCTGGAGAGAATAACCAGGTACCTAGGTAGGTTAAGATACATTTAGGCAAGGTAATATTCAGCAGTTGAGGTCTCTCTACTTAATACTAGATGATTTAAGAATATCCTACTCCATTTCCAACGTTTGAATTGAGCATAGGTTTAGCTAGCGATTGCGGCGCCTAGAATCCGTGCAAGACCAACGAGAAAGCTAGAACGGATCCTTGCCGACTTTTCCAGGAAACCGCAACTAGGTTTATCTTAGATTCGGAGAAGGGCCTGCGAAAAGTGAAATTCGTGTACTTCAAAGTAAGGATACATGTCCCTCACCTCTAAAATACCTCTTCGTCGTCACATAATATGGCGAATTCTCAGGGCAAAACCCATATTCCCTAGGTATTATAAGAAAGAAAAATAAATACTACGGAGTACGTACGTATTGTATGTTGTCAAACACTACCTAGGTACCTGGGTACTTTGCACGGAAGCTTTGGCTGTGAACCGAAGTTTTAGCGGGAGTGACGTTGGACTTAGGCGAGACGTCAGGTGGTCAGGGCCCCCTGAAAGGTTTCCATGTGAAAGTCTTCAAGCTACGAAGCTAAAGGTCCCCGAGATCAACTCTTGCTTCGTTGCCCCACTTCAACGTAAGGTACTAGATAGACTATCGCCATCGTCAATTAATCTTATCCCCACGCCTACAAGCAAGCAAGCAGAAATGGCCTCAGAAACGAACCTCGAAGCCGAAACGAAATCACCTGTGCTCTCCCTACTGAAGGAGAGCTCGGGGACTCTTCCTGCAGAGCTTCGCTACATCCAATACTCACACAGCCTCGAGAAACAATACTTACCTTCAATCCGGGCATTGATTTCCAAGGACCTCAGTGAGCCATACAGTATCTATGTGTACCGATACTTTCTCTACCAATGGGGTGATTTGTGTTTTATGGTACGGTTCTATTCTCCAGTCTACACCCGAACATACCATCTCCCCGAAGTGCATAGTTTAGATACTCCAAGCTAAATCTCCCTCTTCCCCAACTAGGCCCTCTCTCCAACCACCGCGTACACCTCCCCCAAATTAATTGGCGTCATAATCTCCAAACTTGAACCACACACACCACCCTCCCACTCTTCCCCAACGACCCTCCGCGGCTACATAGCCATGCTCGCGGTTTCCTCCACCTACCGCAACCACGGAATTGCCACTACGCTGGTCCGGAAGGCGATTGATGCAATGATTGAGAGGGGGGCGGATGAAGTGGTTTTGGAGACCGAGGAGACGAACGTGCCGGCTATGAAACTTTATGAACGCTTGGGCTTTTTGAGGAGTAAGAAGCTGCATCGGTATTATCTGAATGGGAATAGTGCGTTTAGGCTTGTGCTGCATTTGAAGGCCGTGGAGGAGATGACGGGGAATAACGAGGAGGAGATATGAGCTGCGAATCTGGAAGAGTACCCATTTGGATATAAGTCTTTGCGATCCAGGGCGTTTACAACGGTTGCTGATTGTCCTTTTTGCGATTACGACTCCTGTTACGACTTGATGACACGGATGAGGACATGAGAAGTATACAAGTCCTCGGCGTGGGAAGGCGCAATTGTTCATATGAAAGGTAGTCCTGTTAAGATGCAGCTGTTGCACAATTCAAAAACCATTCGTGCAAAAGGGTATCTAGCAAATGGGTATCCGGAACACAATCACTCCAAACCCACAGAGCGCCAACTGTCCTCGTCTTTCTTCTGCTTATAAAAGTATCCATCAACCTTTCCATCTTTCATGCCCTTGGAGTCGTTGGATTTTGGCTTCAAAAATTCTCGGGAGTCGTAAAGCGATGCCTGAATGCCATACCGATTGGCACTATTAAGGCCAAGATATGTATACGCATCTGCAACGTCAATCAGCTTTTGACATGCAAAGCAATATTGAAGAAGACTCACCACATTTGTAGTATATGGATTTATTGCTCGTCGCGTCGACGAGGCCAAGACTCTTTAGCTTGTGGATAACTCGAGAAACATCTTGTCTGTCTGTAAAATCCTTGGTATAAATGCAGATAAGTCGTGGCTTCCTGTTGTTTCCATCATCAGGGGCCACTTTGGCTGCAATTCCGAGGTCATTCTCGGCGGTAGCACGAGCCACAATAGACCAAACGGCATTGACTTCTTCAGGTGGGCAGAATATCATCCACTATTTCTGTTGTTAGACCATAGGCACCTTGGGTATGTAGACATATAGTCATGGAAAGTGGCAAAACCCACCTTTCCTGAAGTGCAGTGCAACTTGGCTGCAGTGTCGAGGATTTCTTTCACAATCTTGTTTTTCTCTGCATTTGCCGCCTTGGTAATCGTGCTTTTTGCCTGGCGGAGTTTCCTCTCCTCAATCTCATTCTTCACTACTAACAGCTTCTCTAGGAGCCTTTGGCCTTGAACAACAAACCTTGCCCATTCACTCTCCTCGTCAGGCGGTCCTTCTGCAGTAAGGTCGTTTCCCACAGTCCTCTGCTCAGCCTGCTTGGGAACCTTTCGATACGGGTTGCAGATCCGAATCCATGGAAGTTGCTCCGATAAAGGAGTTGCTGCGGGAGGAAGTCGTCTCAAGAACTCCGCCACGGTTTCTTCAAGTTGCCGGCCGCCGGGGGTTCCTTGGTAATAGTTGTAAAGAGTAGCAGTTTGTTGTAATTTTGCAGTTTCGATATTCAACTCTGCAATTTCCATGAGGGAGGGAACTTTATGTTTCCACCATTCTTCTGGATTGAAGTTGTTTGCGCGCTCTTCAAAGTCTTGCCTCATAGTTTCGTCACCTGATGGGGCGGTCAGCGCTATTTGCAATCTAGTTTAGGGGTATTACCGTAGAAATCAGATTCGTCCGAAAGATACGCTGCATCTAAGTCTTCTTGCTTAAAAGCATGTCCGCCTCCCTTCATTGCCATCATGTTTCACCATGGAGACGTTTGCGTGTGAGTATTGCGAACTCCGTCCGTCCAGCGCTTGAATGAGTGAAATAACTACCTACCCCACGAGCGTCCCGCCGCAACTATAGCGGGGCAAACTAGTTGTGAAAAAGAAAGCTATACGATAATGAACAAATAAAATCTCTAGATGCGAGTAGTTAGGCATATAATCAAAGATAATTCAATATTGTTTGCTAACGATGCTAAGTGACCAAAACTGGGTCAAAGATAAAGGTGGCAGGAGACGCCACAAACGCTTGGACTCGGGATCCTACATACGACCTCCTTAACATGGACAGCAAAACGCGAAAAGCAAAAAAACTATATTTCTTTTGAATTACTGTCTAATAATAGGATAGCCCGCTAAACTATCACGTTACAGCGATACGTCGTATTGGGTACAATAACAGCACTAAAAATTTCGCTAAATTTCGCGTGGTACGAGCATTGATGAGTTAGCCCCTGGAAATTCCGAGTTTCCGTCCTCCTCACATCAACATCGACACTCAAACAGTAGAGTTTTTATCTCCACACTCTCCGGATACCTGCAATAGAATGGATGGACAACATATCCCTCTAGGGATATCCCAGCAGAAATTCAGCAAAAATATCCAGGCAGTGACTTCTCGAACCCTGGATTTACCGCCAAGCTGTATAGAGTTTGTCCCACGGGAAAAAGCTCCCGTGGAATTGGACCCTTCTAGTCATTACTTTGTCATTGGGACATACAATTTGGAGAAGAATGACCAAACTGCTGCCCGAACAGCCGCTGAATCTGAGGGTAATGACATGATAGCGGTCCCTCCAGCGCCGCAGGAGAGAAATGGCACTTTAAATCTATTTAGTATTCGAGCAGACAAGTCATTGTAAGGTTCAAATCCACCAACCTTCATTTTCTATCATTTTCAATTTAGAAGCTTTGTACCAAATTTTCGTATGATCCATTCCTGACTCGGTTTGAGTAGGATCCTTGTCGAAAGATTGTCATATCCTTCAGCCATTCTTGACCTTCACTTCATCCCTGGGGAGCCTATTTTTGCTGTTGCCTCTAGTACCGGCGCCATTTCCATCTACACTTTTTCCCTGGTGCCCCAGACTGTTGAAATCAAACCAGGGAATATTGGTCTAAAGGCCTGGGAATGGGGCATCAGACATATAAAAATGCATCAAGTGTTTGCTACAAACGTCCTTGTGCTCTCTTTCATCTGGCTGTCGTACTCGACAACAGCCGATGCTCCGCCACTTTTGGCAGCAACAACTTCCGCAGGAGAGATCTATATGATCTCATTTAGCGACTGGGACTTTACAGGTTTCCAGATTCTAAACGACGAGCTACCAATAAATACCCACGATGCCGAAGCATGGTGTTGTGCCTTCTGCCCATCCACGCATTGCCTCTACTCCGGCGGCGACGATAGCTGGCTCCGCGTAATCGATCTCAACCTCGCTGCTTTACAAGAGCCGGAGAGCACCGACGACTTAATTGGCCAGGCTAATACCATCCGAGGCCACGACGCAGGCGTCACTGCTATCCTCCCATTACCATATCGGCAACAAAGAATGTTTCTCACCGGCAGCTATGATGACCACATCCGCCTTTACTCTTGGCAAAACTCCTCAGGTTGCCCCCTACCTAAACCAAGAGAGATGACGAAGCTCAACCTCGGGGGCGGAGTATGGAAATTGAAGTTTTTAGAAGATCGCCCTATGAGAGATGGACCAGGAGGGCACGTCAAATTTAGAGTGTTAGCATCATGCATGCATATCGGCGCGAAGATCGTAGAGGTTAGTTTGGTAGGGGGTGGGGAGTGGAGGATGGATGTTGCCGCAGAGGTGAACGTCCATGAGAGTATGTGTTATGGATGTGATGTATTGCCACTCCGATCTGGTGTGAAGGCTGGGGATGAGGTGGTGGAGCCAGAGGCCAAGAGCCAAGGGAAAGAGGGAGCGATGACTGTCGAGGTTGATGGGGAAGAAAAGAGGTTGGTTGTGAGCACAAGTTTTTATGATAAGTTGCTATTCGTTTGGATGTTTGACCCAATAGCTGGCAAGGAATCTACCCCAATATTATAACCAGCTTTTCAAAACACAACCCACACATGTAACTTTTTCTATGATATCTATATCGATAGATTATGGCGAGGAGATATTCTAAAAAAATTGCTTAGCCTATAGGTAGGTAGGAATTCTTTAAAACCCCCCTCCTCGCCGGGACCAGGCTCCTGGGGTGGAAAATTATCGCCCAAGTTCTAATCTTGCACCTCTGGAGAGCGCTGAGCTGGAAGTTCAGAGCAGACGTGTAACTAGTCACGACAGCGCTCATCCTATCAAGAGCCTTCTCGTTCAACACGGCCTTCCAGTCTGGCTTCGGAAGCCGCTCGAGCTTCTCCGCAAAGGACTCGAGGAAATGGGGTGCGAAAAATCTGCCCGGTGGTAATAAACGCTCAACAACGCGGGGGAGGTTCAATAATTCAGTTCACTGCCACCACAAGCGGAACTTGAAGGGGGCGTATTGGTCAATCTGCCATGAGGCGGCCTCCAAGGCGGCCGCTGAAGCAGGCTCTAGGTTACACAGAAAACCCGAAATGTTATCTTTCCCACCACCAAGTGCCTGAATGCTCCGAGCTCATTTGCAGGCTTTCTCTGTTCCGAAGCAAGCCAGGTGAGGCAATCCACGAGCGTAGACTAAGTAGGCATTCGAGGGCTCTAATGAGGCAAACGGGAAAGCCACTTCCTAAAGGCCCTACTGCCTGGCTGCCTCCAATATACCCTGCTTCTCAGCCTGTCCGTTTGTCCTCAGTCGTACATTTTTTTAAACATGGCCTGGGGCCGGCCCAGAACTGCCTGGGTCAATCTTTGCTCCAACCCTCCCAGAATTCCATCCGGCCCGGACAAACAAGGACTCCCGTTGCGAATCTCTACTAAGTACCGGACAAACATCGTGTAAGATTCTACTCCTTCTGGCTTGCCCGCTCATTAGCAGGATGAATACTTAATCCCCAACAGACTCGCTATTCAAACTTACAACTTAATGCTCTCTGGAAAGATTCAATCGCGTATTGGAATCTCACCTACTTGGAAAAGATATAAATTTTAATTAATTCTTTACCGTCCAAGGTGTTTCTGGGAGTTCGTTGAAGAAAATGGGATGTACATGCAATGATTACATTGAGACAACGTATGGAGGAAACGGGTATATGTTGGATTATTGCTGCCCTGTTGGCGACTGCTGTGAGGGCGGTTGTTGTGAGGGATGCTGTGGATGTTGCGGAAACGACCTGATTTGTTATTGCGACAATAGCGAAGATGACGATGACGATGACGACGAAGATGGAGAAGACGATGATGATGAGACGGCAAATGTGACTGCAACTGCGACTGTGTCTGTGTTTGTGAGGGAGACTGTTGTGACGGATGCTGTGGATGTTGTGGAAACGACTTGATTTCTTACTGCAATGATAATGAAGATAACAATAATGCCAATACATCTAGATAATAACGATAATCGACTACTGTTAGCGTGTCTTTTCTTGCTACTTTTGTCGATTCAGCAGGCAATTCTCTTAGCAAGGAAGTACCTATGTATATAAGCTCTTTTTTATTTAGACAGGCGCGAGGCTAGGCTTCGGGCTAACTAAAGTGGCCCTATTTACAAGCAACTATATTCTCTGCTCTACAAAGCTACTTAGTAGGATACAACACGTCTTCGGGCCTTCTGGTTTTAATATAGGAAATACAAGGTAAATGTTCATGTTACAGATATAAGTAAAGAGTACTTTAAAGTAAAGGTCTCTTTTAAGCTAGAGAGAGAAGGAGAGAGGATTTTATGTAGGAAGCCTTGATAAGAATATGAGCTTTCTCTTCGAGTGCAAAGGGCATGCCTCCTGAGCCAAATTACATGAACAGATATGGTGGATAGCAGCGAGGGCCTCAAGAAAGCTAAGATCGGGAGAATGTCTAAAATATGAGCGGAGAATGTTGCTTGTTTACAGACACTATAGCGAATTTGCACCTCAGTACCCTGGTCAAGTATATCCATTTCTCCCCTTAATCATTCCCCTCAATAATGAGCAGCCTCCTTCCCCTCATATTTTATCCCCAGCTCCCCGACCAATCCCCCTCCACGATTGCTTTACGACATCGCAAGGCCCTATTATTAGCTTGTGAAACCTCAAGCCCCGACCCCCCTGCAAGACTATTCAATACCATGCTGTTTTTAGATTTAAAGCCCCGAAATCCATGCCCAATACTTGCAACATTAGCCCAAACTCCAATTCCAGAAGCCCCAAATTTAATTCATGGGTATCATATAACAGCGCATCGCAACGCATGAGATCACTTGTTGAACATCCCATTCCATTTCCATGCAATGCATCCTTTCCCCCACTCGCGTTCCTCATATCATCATCAGACAGCTTCAAAATTTTCATCCCATTCCCAGGTCCCATCATATTTCCAGCAGATTAGGTGCAATCAGTTCCCAATACTCCACAACTCCACCCCAACAATCTCAAATTTCTCTCCCTCCTCGCTCAAGGGTTCGTTGCCAAACGTCGGGCAAGAACTACTAATTCCCTTCTCGAAATTATCATCAAGCCACAGCCCATAACGTCCATCTCCACCACCAATGCTTAGGAAGCCTGTCTCGCAGAATATCAAGTAGTCGTTGACGCCGCTGTAGGGGAAGGCTTTGAAGCGGATACGTTCAGGTGTCGAGGCACCTGTCGGTAGAAGTGGGGATGGTGGCGGAGGGAAAAGACTGTTGGGGGTGTTTGATACCGGGGGAATGGAGGCTGATGAACTCGAGGCGATCGTGCTGCTGCTTTGGAGGCTTGTAGCGTCGGATTGGGGAGGTGTTAGTGCGGAGGAGAATGAGGCTGGCGACAGGAAGGACGCGCGCCAGAGGAAGCATTCGCCCGTGCCAAAGTAGTGGGGAGATGGGTGTGGTCTCTCTGTTAAGTATGCTCCGAATAACTATTTCGTGGTGGTTTGTTAGCTTGAATCCATGTACATGTTCATATATCCTTCTCCAGCGTTGAATACGGGGAACAAAGGAACGGATAGGATAAAATAGGGGATCATACACCGCCATCCGCATCCTTAACCACTAACACAAATCCATTTCTTAGTCCCGATAACTTATCGCATTTGCTATACAGCGTCCCAAGGCTAACCCCATCCTCCTCAAGAGAATACACGAGCTTCCACTCCTCGCATAACTGTAGCCTTGGTGGGACTAGCAACCGGATCTCTTCCGCCAGCTCCTTGCTTAGCAGCCGCGCTGACTCTAACGTGCTCTCTTTATATCCCGATAATGATATAGGATATAGAGGCGGGGGTTGGAACGGTGAGGCGTTGCGGTAGGGAGGAGTATATACGCCGTCTATCCCCTCGTTGCCGTTGCCGTTGGCTTTTGAAGCGGAGAAGTTTGACGAGTATTGCTGTTCAGTTGCGTTGATCTTATGCGGCTCGCTGGAGAAGCGTCGCATGAGGCCGCCTACAGCATGGGATACTGTTGCGGGCAGGATCCACGAGGAGGATAGACTGCTGCCACCGGCTGGAGTCGATGCACCCGACGATGGCGATGACGTTGGCGTTTGGTCGTGCCTCGGATTCATTGTTGCGTGTTAATGTAACGAGGATTTTAAGTAGTAGCTGGTGGCATCCAAGGAAAGATATAGAAATTCGGATAGAAGGGCTTCTAGGCCTTCACCAGGTGCTTGAAAGGTTAGATATTAGGTAAATGTTGCAGAACCAAGAGCTTGGTGGTTTGGCCACTGGGGGACCACTGGTGGACGTTGCTTTGCCAATGACTGCACTTGGTGATACGAGTAATGCTTTTGCCTCGCCATGGAAACGAGCTGGTTGGCTGGCTATTTGCGAGGCTGTCGAATCGAAACACGGCGGACTCGGTCCTCGGAGCTCCGCGATATATCGTATGAATAGGGACAATAGGGCACCTAGTAGTAGCACAAATACAGCAGATTTGGAGACGAGAAATCAGCAATATTTCTAATAATTTAGAAGCATGGGGCAAAGCTAGATTTATTTAATTAAATACTATTTCTCACATAAATTTGTTACACTTGGTAGAATGTCTTAAAGTCTGTTCAAAGTACCTAGGTAATTTGCATTCCTGGGCCATACGAGGCTGTGCATGCCACCACGGTAGTTGGTACTCTCAGTTGTCTTGACTTCTGTCTACATCTCAACAACTCTAAGGCTCTTATGCTCAATTCGAGAACAATATTACTTGCCGATTACTTATATGAGCGGTGAATTCTGTGTAATTTCTAGAGTTGAGACTCCTCTATAACGCCTTCCCAGACCCCAATATCCCCATATCTAAGTACGCATATCAATACACAGCATACGCATCCATCTTCATACAGCCGTACAATACTCATACATCATATACATCTATATGCCGAGCCAGAACAAGCCATCCCGTGTCTAATCGCAGCTCCCATCCTTCCAACCAGTCCGCCACCTCTCCTCCCACTTATTACAGTCGAATTCGTTCTTCCCAAGTTTCCTGTTAACTTCATTGTGCGCTTCGCACATCCACCGTCCAAATCGATCCCTTGTCTCCGCCCTAACCTTGTTTCTTTCCATGTATGATTGGAAATCCTCCGCGCATACCCAACAAGGATACAGTTTCCCAAACAATCTCATAAATTGCTTCACATCATTCTGCTCATTCGGCGTAGGAGTTTCGGGATAGGTCGCCGTTATGGAGTGAAGAAGTGTCCAGGAAGCCCGCCCAAGTTGCTCTACATCGGGAGGACAATTAGGCGGTGGCCCGGTGGCAGCTTGGAGAGCTGCAGTGTCGGCAGCTGAGGTTTTGCTTTTGGCGAATTTTTTGCTTTGAGCAGTCATGTCTGCAAAAGAGGTACAAGAGCGGCACCTTCCTCTATGATCAGCCCTCCGATATGTGGAGTCGTATCGCACAAGGAAGCTTACGGTTTTCCATCTTTGCCCAAAACAACACCTTTCCGGAATTTTCTGGGTGGCTCCGGTGGCGCCGTGATAGTTGGGTCGTGCAACGAGCCGTCTCGGGTATCGTCTGCCATCGTCATCCTAATTATGCAAAAGATTTTGCTCCATGATCAGAAGGGGAAGGGTTGTACCAAGGAGGTTGAAGCCTGGAGAGAGTCGCTTTGTAATTCAAAAGGCTGTGCCGAGGATATCCCGCCGGGAAATTTTGAGTGGGATAAAGTCTCAGCCTTATCGTCATCACCACTTGACCAACAACCATCCGTCAACCCCATGCATAATGCGGCCACAATGAGCTCAATTGATATTGGAAGGGGAATAAAAACTCCGATATATTTGCTTAAGACGAAATCAACTCCCCATGATGCTTACGAGGAGCAGTTTTCTGCCCCAAAAGATGGAGTGCAGTTTGAGCCGATTTTTGTCCCAGTACTAGAGCATACGCATTTGGAGGAAGGCATGAATTTTGTGCGAGACGTACTGCACAATAAACACATTGGCCTAAGGGAGGGGGCAAAATATGGAGGCATGGTTTTTACCTCACAGCGAGCTGTGGAGGCGTTTGCGAAGCTTATTGCCGAGGGGAAAGGTTCGCAATTCATGTCCCGCGACGAACGATTCTTTTCACTAAAGTCTATCTAACATTTGGGTTAATAGGTGAAGAAGGATGGCCTTACCTTCAAGATGTCCCAATTTATGCCGTTGGCCCTGCAACCTCTCGAGCATTAAAAGCAATTCTTCAGAACCCGCCCCTCAACGTATTAGGAGAGACGGTAAATGGCGAGGATTTAGCACATTTTATGCTGGATCATTACGGCGAATTATACAAAGCCCGAAGCGGCAAACCGCCTCTCCTATTCCTTGCGGGCCGGCAAAGACGAGATATCATACCGAAAACCTTGATGGACCCCTCACTTCCTTCGGAACAAAGAATACCAGTCGATGAGCGCGTCGTCTATGAAACTGATGTCATGCGATCCTTCGGGCAGAACTTTTCTGAGAAATTAGAAGAGGTTGGAAATAGAGGCACGAGGTGGGTGGTGGTGTTCTCGCCCACAGGCTGCGATGCTATGCTCCGAGCATTGTTTTACCTTGATCCGGAAACGCACAAATATAGCCCTAGAATCTGGGACAAGGATACTACACATATTGCATCTATTGGAACCACTACTCGGGATTTCTTGAAGAACACGTTTGGCTTTGAGTCTGATGTTTGCGCCGCAATCCCTAGCCCTGAGGGTGTAGACAAGGGTATAATGAAATTCATGTCGGAACAGAAGGGATGATGGACACAAGGGTAAGGCCACGGGTTATACTCTGATGATATGGATGATGTTTTAAAGTTATATATCCAAAGAAGATACGTTTACACAGCATTAGGCGACGTTGCCAGAGTCAGGACCATCTGCGGGCTGTTGCACTTTTTGTGTTACTGAACTTTTACTCATCAAAATCTCGCCAATTGGAAACAATTCCCCAAGTGTAACTTAACAAGCACAACCGCCAACGCGTATCACTGGATTGATTTGCTATTTCGGGGGGCATTGTATTGCCCATGGGGGTTTAAGGTAGGAGTACAGTCTGACACGCCACATTGCTGGCTAAGAGTAAGTCAAGCAAATAACAAAACACAGGCCGGTAATCCAATAGGCCACATTTTGGACCTGGTGAATACCAAGAACGACTTCCTGAAAGAAAATAATCCAGGCTCTTGGTTTCTACCTAATGGGGATTATGTGGGGTGGATGTACCACTAGCTAATCTTGGGCTTGATGGTCAAATTTATATGTTGCGATGTATCCGGAAGGGATATTCTTACCCATATCTATAGAAACCCTGTGATACTTAAGCTGTTAAGTCGCAAATCAAAACCAAAATTCGGTTTGATTTCAAGATATGTGCAAGCTGCACCGGGACCTCATAGTCAACTTTTTATTTTCAATTTGACGCTGGTCCATTTTGTGTCCTGATCTTCATTACTTTAGCCGCAACCCAATCGCAATGGCTCTGGGCTCTGATTTTGCCGTCCTCTGGCGTCGCGAGTTTCATCTATATGTCTTAGCCTTTTCGTCTATATCTCAACTGACTTCGTGTTATCGTGTCCTTCTGAAATGCGCGATGGTATTTAGTTGCGAAGAATTTGAACAATTTCAGAAATACATAGTCTCCATAAAACCTCTTGTTTAATATTGGCTGTGCCAAAATTTCGGAGAGTAGTGTGTTATCATGGCGCAAACTACTGAGGAAGTTGTCAATTCCTACGAATGCTCACCTGATAAACAGCAAATGGTACATAAATTATCTATTTCTCTGGCAGGCGACACTCCATCACGAAAACATAGCAAAGAAGATATCCTGCGCAGGCATTACCAGAACTTACAGCATCTAGAGGGATGTGCAAAGGCCAGCCAAGTCAAGCAAGTAATTTTGCCATCCGCATATTCCCCATCCTCTGTGCCGCTGGATGACCTTCAAAAGGTAATGTGATAGTACTCCTTTTAGAAAATCAAGACCCCTAGCTCTCTACTAATAGAATCTAGATTTCGCTCGATGATCTAAAATTAGAAACCCATCATCGCGGCTGCTTTGTCACTGGCATGACCATCACACCACCATACCAGTTCTCAGAAACCATTACTATCATCCAAGACGAGAGTGGCAGCGTTGCTAGTCTTATACTAGGATTTCAAGATGACTCCCTGCTCAATTCCGGAGCCAGTCTGCCTCAAAATAGTACTGTGGCTATAAAAGAGCCATATGTTCAGATGAATGAGGATTCAGGCTATGTTATTCGTGTTGATCATCCTTCTGATATTGCTGTTCTTAGAGGAGATGACCCTGCGGTTTCAATGATTATGCAGTTTGTAGCTGAGAAGAAGGAAATATCTCCTATGGAGTGGAAGAAAGAAGGCGATAGGGCCTATTTGGAGAGGAAGTACTCGTCTGCAATTGAATGGTGAGTTGCTCGTTACTTTATTATTCGTACCTCTCGAAGGAAGTTGGCCTAGGTTTTATGCGTTCAACACCAAAACTGCTCTGTTTGATGTTCTAATATTTGGTGCACTAGTTATACACAAGCCATAGATGCGGGCTTAAAAGAGTGTGATCAGACTTTTGTAAATGATGCATACCGAAAACGAGCCTTTGCCAATCTCGCAGCGGAAAGCTTCCAAAACGCCAAAGCAGATATTTTATCATCCTGCCCAGAGGAAGCTGTAGATTCCAAAGCGTGCTTTACGATTGGACGAGCTGCCTACGAGCTAAGAGAATATGAGGAAAGCAAAAATTACTTTGAAAAGGCTCTTCAAGCTACGCCCAACGACGTAAAGGCAAGGAAAGAATATAATCGTGCTTTAGCCCGCATTGGAGAGCAGGAAAGTGGAAATTATGACTTCGAGAAGATGATAGCATCGGTCTCAGATCGTCATGTCCGCCTTGATCACGCAGATTTCAACAAAACCAGTGCTATTGGCCCTACTGCTTATGCCGGCCGAGGCGTCTTCACTACTCGAGACGTCCAAGCTGGAGAGATTATCCTCTGTGAAAAGGCGTTTTGCCTCCCTAACATGTATAGTGGGGATGGGCCAACTGATTCTGTTCTTTACAACTTCAACAACGGCTCGCAGACTCGCAAGTTCGCCCAGGTAGCTCTTTTCCAGCAATTAGTTCAAAAGCTATATAAAAACCCCCATCTCAATCAAAGGTTGCTGGAACTATATGCTGGGGATTATGAAAGGTCAGGAAAGGAAGGGGATATGGTAGATGGGGTTCCCATAGTGGATTCGTGAGCATCCACCTCTTCAACCCCCCGAAATGTGTTCATGATTTGCTAATACCCGCCCAAGATTTCTCATAGAAGCCATCCGTATAAAGAATTGCTTTAGCTCTCCACGCATTTCTCGCAACCTTATGAAACGCGCTCCTCCCGTACAAGAAAAAGAACTCACAAGCGCAGTCTGGACTAGAGCAGCATACACAAACCATTCATGTGTTCCCAACTGTGGCCGCGCCTTCATCGGCGATATGATCGTCGTCCGCGCCCTCCACTTTCTCCCTGCAGGCACAGAGGTGACTGACCAATACCTCTCTCCCGATGCATCATTCATGTACCGTCGCAACATGTTCCCCCAAAGCTGGGGCTTTGACTGTGCCTGTCCACTATGCTCAGCAGAGAAACGGTCCCCTGACTCGGCGCATCAAAAAAGGAGGGACCTTGCTACGAAGATCAAGACTGAGGCCACCAAAGTCCCAATATCCACAAAACTTTCCACCACAACCATAAAGCACATCGAGCGACTTACTAAAAAGCTCGAGGATCTCCATGAGCCAGGAATATATGCCACACTCCCCCGTCTTTTACTTGTTCATCCTAATATTTGGCTCATGGAAGCGCATCGAGCGAGTAAAAACCACGCGAAGACCGTCAAATATGCGTTAGAGCTTTTAAGAAATTTCGGGTTTGTGAATGCACTGGAGGTGGAGTTCCAATTTGAGAAAGGGGGGCTTGTGAACTCCGAGAGTTTTGGGGCGCTAAGGTATGCGGCGGAGGCTTTTGAGGCGCTGGGGAAACTAGAAGGAAAGGAGAAGTGTATGGATGCCGCTAGGAGGATGTATGTTGTGCTTGGAGGTTGTGATGTTGGGAGGGATGAGTTTCTGGCTAGCGGAGAGTAAGAACTAAATGGAGGACAGGTTTTGGCCTTTGAGGAAGTAATGGATGGGGTCTAGGGACTCATCTTTAGGGCGAATTTCTTGCTTGAAATTTGCAACTTGGTAAAGATCTTCAGGAAATTCTTACCAGGCCCAAAAGAGCATAAGATTATGGCTAGTTTGGATATGGACTTAAAAAGGAAATCAAACACCAAGCTGCGACCAACATGATCCACGTTAGAGCGACAAAATCTTGACAGCGTGGATTTAGGCTTGTGGTGTGACGCAATAGAGTCTATTATGTAGAAGGAATCGTGGTTCTTGTAATTTTATTGTAGGAAGAGTACCCCGATACGAACAACTTCTCCTTGGGCCATATGAATTAGTGGGATCAAACGGTATGGCTCTATTTGTCCAATGTCGCCGTATCATTGACATCCATCAGAGCATTTAGTGACTCTTGTAGAACAAATACAGGAAAGTTTCCACAGTATGTTATAATTGGAGTGTATCCAGGAAATATATCACTTGATCTACGCGACTAAGAGCATCTTTCTTATTATGCAATCAATCGGCTGGTAACCAGCACGCCTGGCTATGCTGTACAAAGTAGAGCATGTATTGGTACGAGTAAGACTAGGGTTGGAAGGATCTGAAATGATTTAAAGCGCTTGCCACATCCGCCTAGTTTTAATAGGTCTGACTCGCCTGAGTATTTCAACGTTTGCAGGAATATAATACATTAACCATGCAGCAAATCGTAACATCTCAAACAACCTTGAACCTCGTATGGCCCAAGGCCTCATGCACTGTGAGTTATAGCCAAGGGATGGGATCTAGAACCCCACGCTCTATTTGTGGCTTTGCTTTGCTCCGTAGCTAGCAGCGATATCGCCAAGAACCCTGCGAAATATTTCGCAAGTATTTGGTGGTATGATGGTTTTGTGCAAGGCCATGGTTCTTAATACCTCTCTCTAGCCATTGGAACAAATCCGCAAATTATGTGCGGGCGAGAGAGAGGAGAGAGAGGAGAGCATTCGGAGAGAATAGAACATTTTTAATAATCCACCACGGCCAGATAATGGTGAGAGGGAGAAGAGATATGTAGGTAAACCGAAGCAAAAAAGAAATATGAGAAAAGTATTACATCCCACGCTGCTCCTCAACATATTATCGCTATTGACAAATTATCTCCTAGCCCTAGGAGATATGGGATGCCATTCCTGCAGATTTTCTCCTGCCCACTGGGCTAGAACGCCAAGAATGGGGTGCTCTAGCAGTCGGGAAACCACTAAGGGACGCCACAACTGAGGTTTCTTTCCCGTCAAAACATAACATGGTGATGCCAGCCCATTGGCGACAAATAGGTAATAGTAATGACCGATTTTCATCTGCCCTTTGGTAGGTAGGTGGGATAATAATAAGATATAAAACTCTTTGCGCCCGCATGGAAATCGGATATTCCGAAAAATACCTCCACCCATAGCAAAACGAAAATGAGCCCAAATAACGCCAGTCGCGACTACGAGAAGGCTGTAACAGAAACCTCAGTGCCACAGCCACAGCCACAACCACAGCCATCACTGCCCGCAGATTTTGAGGATGGACGTGGTACTGGAGGGAATGCCAATGTTGAAGATCAAGATGTCGCGATCGCTATCGTGGGGGAGCGCAGTCAAGCAATTGACCCCGCGGCTGAAGCGCGAATTGTCCGAAAAATCGACCTTTTTTTGGTCCCTGCGATGATTGTAGGCTATGGCCTGGTGTACTATGATAAGGTGTGTGCATATTTGTGACTGCCTTCCATTCTGGTATTCGATTGGGGCGAGACTGATGAATTGAAGGCAATCCTAGGTTCAGCAGTCCTTTTTGGAATGACCACCGATCTCAACCTGTCCCAAATCGACACCCGCACAAAACCCCCCACGACCGACACCTCCCGTCTGAGCTGGGCTACGTCTATGTTCTATTTTGGAATGCTGGCCGGCTTATACCCCATGACCTTTGCGCTACAGAGGTTCAACATGGGGAGGCTCTTGGGAGGGGTGGTGTGCTTCTGGGCGCTGGTCTGTATGTTGACGGCTGCGGTGACGAGCTGGCAGGGTCTTTATGCCCAGCGTTTCTTCCTGGGGTTTGTGGAGAGCATAATCCCCACCGGATTCATGTGCATCATTAGCTCATTCTATACCCAGAGAGAGCAGTCCTTGAGACAGAGCTGGTGGTTCTCCTCGACCGGCTTGTTCACGATTATCGGTGGGGCATTGAATTACGGGTTTGGACAAATTACTGGAGGGTCACTGAAGCGTTGGCAGTACATTTACCTGTTCGCTGGAGCCCTGACGTTTATGTTCGGCCTGTGCTGCTTTGCCGTTCCAGATTCTCCTGTATCTGCATGGTTCCTCAGCAAAGAGGAGAGAGTAATCGCTACGGAGCGCCTACGATATGGTCAGACTGGTGTTCGCTGCACAAAGTTCAAGTGGTCCCAGATTCGAGAATCCTTTCTTGATATCAAAGTGTGGCTAGTAGCGTTAATGATGGCCTCAGCCTATACGGTTAATGGAGCTGTCAGCGGCTTTGGCCCCTTGATTGTTTCCACCTTCGGCTACTCCACCCTGGATTCTATCCTCTTCCAATTCCCCCTAGGCGGCATCTGCTTCATATTTATACTTTTGACTGGCTATCTCTCTTCGCGTATCCCCAACATCCGGCTTATCTTGCTCATACTCTGCTGTCTGCCAGTCATTGCCGGTTGTACTATTATATGGAAAAGTTCATGGCACCACCATGCGGCCGCACCAGTCGCGGGGTACTCTATCATTGGGACCTTCGGTGCTGTGGTCTCTCTTATCATCACAGTAGGCATGGCAAATGTTGCTGGCCAGACAAAGAAATGCTTCATGGCTGCTACTATTTTTGTAGCCTACTGTGTAGGCAATATCGTGGGACCCCAGTTGATCAAGTCACAGACTAAGTCCCGGCACTATCCTGAATTGTGGCTTGGTCTTATAATATGGTATGTATTCCAAGTTCTCTGTAAGATGATTAGAGTTTATATACTGACCCATTTAGTTACTGTATCACGATTATCGCGGCTGTTGTGTTGTATAGTGTGTTGAAGAGAGAAAACGAACGACGATCAAAGTTGGAGTTGAATGACCTTGATAGAGACAAGATGGCATTCCAAGATCTGACTGACAAGGAGAACCCGTATTTTCAGTACATGCTATGATATAGCACACTTACCAATTGGCCGGCATTGAAGCTAGCCCCTTACCATTATGTTAGACTTTTGATACCCCGGCTTGAGTAAGCAGCGAAGAGAAGCACAAGACGTTTCCGGCTATGTAGAATTAAAAACAGAAATATATTTTTGAAATCTGAACTGTTCGTCATTCAGTCCTCGGAGCCCCTCTCCTTGAGGCTCGGGCCCGTTTGCATGAGTCGGTAGTGGACTGGATCCTGCAGCGGGGATACTCATTCCTCCGATTCCCGTCCCTATTTGCATTACCAATTGCTCCAGAACGGGTCAATAACGGTCGCACACAAATAATAAAACCACTGTTTCCAAGACCCGGGAGCGCATGGCTCCTTCGGCACGGCGCTTTGTCCTAAAGCAGAATCTAGCAACGAGCCTCGGCATAACCGCCTCAAGGTTTCGCCAGCAACTTATCAACACGACAATTACTCCCTACTCGTACATGACTACGTAACCCCAAATTGTTTTATGTCTCAAGAGAGTTTTGTAATCATCCCGCTCACCATTATCATATCCTCGCTCCGTATATTATATAAAGGTCTCGAGGTTGCCTCTCGCTGCAATGAGCCAACCAATCCGTCGCCCTCACAACATCATGTCTCAATCAACTTACTCCTCCATCGTTCTTGCAAAACGCCCAAAGGGGCCTATTCTCCCCGGAGAGACGTTCACCACGAAGAGCAATCCTATGATCTCAGAAAATGACTTGAAAGATGGCCAGATTCTAGTCGAAGCTCTCTATTTGTCTCTCGACCCCGCCATGCGCGGCTGGCTTAATGGTATCTTTCCCATCGGCTCCTCCATCACCACTCAACACCCGTTCGATCACTTTCACGTGACTAATATTATCTGTAGATATCCGCTCCTACCTCCCACCCGTCCAAATCGGTGAAATCATGCGTGGAGCGGCAATCTCAAATGTCATTGCGAGCAAGTCGTCCTTGTTCCCGGTCGGCTCTCACGTCATTGCCAATATTGGATGGACCGAGCTAGCCATTGTTGACGAGAAAGATCCTGGCCTGAGTCTCGCCCAAATCCCGGAGAACGGCAGAGTGACAGACGCCCTCGGCGTCCTAGGTCTCACCGGCATGACCGCCTATTTTGGCATGCTGGAAGTAGGCCAGGTTAAGGCAGGCGACTTCGTTGTCGTGAGCGGCGCAGCAGGTGCCACAGGCAGCGTAGCATGCCAGATTGCGAAGTTGAAAGGTGCCACGGTTTTGGGTATTGCAGGAAGTGATGATAAAGTTGCGTGGTTGAAGGAGTTAGGCTGTGATGATGCACTGAATTATAAAGCTGCTGATTTCAAGACCAAGTTCAAGGAGAGCACTAAGGGCCTTATTGATGTTTTCTTTGATAACGTGGGAGGGGAGATCTTAGAGCTGGCATTGACTAGGGCGAAGCAGCATGCGAGATTTGTTATGTGCGGTGGTAAGTCTTATTTACTCGTGTCGCGAGAGAAACGCGTTGCTCGGTACTAACGCGCTGAGCAGCTATCTCGCAGTATAACTCCACCCAACCTCAGGGACCAAAGGTATAATCCCTCCCTCACTGTTGAATCTCTACGCTTCTCAGAGCCTGACCTAACAATATTACTAGAACTTCGGATATGTCATAACTATGCGGATCCGGTACGCATTTTCCCATCATAACGTCGTGGCCCACCTTTCAGTGCCACCTGATATTATTTTACTCATCTACCTAGGTAGGATAATCCGCTGACAGAAACCTCATAGACTCCAAGGCTTTATTGTCTTCGATTATCAAAAGCAATATCCCACCGCAGCTAAAGATATCGCGCAGTGGCTTGCGGAAGGCAAACTCAAGCGAAAGGAAACAATTATCAAGGGAGGCTTGGCGGCTGCCCAGCAGGGACTGGTGGACCTTTATGATGGTATCAATACTGGTATGTTAACTTATCACTACTGGTTGACGCTCCTATTGGCCCAATAATGCCGAGGGAGGCAAGCAGGAAGGAGACAAGTAACTGACGAGACATCAACTAGGCAAATTATTAGTGGAGGTGAAGGAGGACAATGGCGAAGGTGTTGGGTCGAGGCTATAGATCCCCCCATCGACTACTATCTCTCGCGGATAATATTGCATCTAAAATGTCGATCCTGTAGATGAAGAAATAAAGAATTATAACAACTACAAAAAGTAGCTGAATTATACTTTCCTTCCATAGCCGAATTCATGCGGAGGGTCTGTGCAGCAAGGTGTCTCGAGGCTAAGAGCTTCTATTTAATTCACCGCTCCTAAAGTCCATGTGACAGTTTTGTTGCACATCGCAAGGCAGAAACGTAGAGAGCTTCAAGTGTCTCAAGAGCCTCAAGCGAAGACAGTAGTTTTGTTGCATATCGCAAAACTCTTTTGAGAGAGCAGCCTTTTGAAAGAAGAGTCGTGTTTTAAGAGAGTCGTGTTTTAGAAGAGTCGTGTTTTGAGAGAAGACAGTAGTTTTATTGCATATTGCAACACAAGCTATAGAGTTTCAAGAGCTTCAAAAGAAGAGCTCAAGAGAAGAGTCAAGAGAGAAGACACTAGTTTTGTTGATATCGCAAAACTCTTTTGAGAGAACAGCCTATTGAGAGAAGAGTTCTTGAGAGACCGGGGTTCTTGAGAGAAGACAGTAGTTTTGTTGCATATGGCAAAACAAGCTATAGAGAACTCAAGAAAGACTAAGAGCCTCAACAGAAGAGCCTTTCGAGAGAAGAGTTCTTGAGGGAGAATAGTTCTTGAGAGAAGAGTTCTTGGTCTTTCTTGACTTCTTGGTCTTCTTGGTCTTCTTGAGTTCTTGAGTTCTTGAGTTCTTGAGTTCTTGAGTTCTTGAGTTCTTGAGTTCTTGAGTTCTTGAGTTCTTGAGTTCTTGAGTTCTTGANTCTTGAGTTCTTGAGTTCTTGAGTTCTTGAGTTCTTGAGTTCTTGAGTTCTTGAGTTCTTGAGTTCTTGAGTTCTTGAGTTCTTGAGTTCTTGAGAGAAGATAGTAGTTTTGTTGCATATCGTAAAACAAAGTCATAGAGAACTGCAAGAAAGACCAAGAGCCTCAAGAGAAGACAGCCGCTTTGTTGCATGTCGCAAAGCAAAGCAATAGAGAGCTTCAAGAGAGACTAAGAGCCTCAAAGAGAAGCCATTGGTTTTGTTGCATATCGCAAGACAAAGCTATAGAGAACTTCAAGAGAGACAGAGCGAGAAGCGTGCTAAGAGAAGGCGGTAAGATCTTGTGGGCAATACCTTTTACCTAAGCGTGCGAGAAGCCGAAGTCTAGACAACTTTAACTATGGGGCCGGTAGAGCTGTGGCATGAAGTGCATCTCCGTCTCTAGATATTTGTCAAAACAGCACCCATAGTTAAAAGTCTTGACAGAGTAGAGGTGTGATACTTTAATTTACAGACAAATAGGGTATATAAGCCGACCCTGCGCAAGTAGAACTGCTTATAATCAGAAGGAAGTGAGTCTCATTTCGTTCCCATCAATCATCCGTCCCAGAGTGCCCAAAGACAAGCTCTATACGTTCGTATATACAGGGTATATCTCTCCTATACATTTGATTTTCAACTCTTACAAGGGTGTTGGCCGCTTAAAGCACTCTATCTCACCGCACCACATTGCTCATCGCAGTCTCCATCCAGAGCTTCGTATAGAGCCGATGCAAAAACTCAATATGGTCCGGCATGGGCTTCGAATCGGCCTTTCCACTCCCCTTATAAAGAACGCTTTTCAACTTAAATTCCGCAACACCCTCCTCCCTCTTCACATCCACACCCATTTCGAATAACCCATCCGAGTCCCTCACTCCAGTAATTAAAGGGGAGTCGCCGCAGCGCACGACGATACTAGATGGTGTTTTGGAAACGACTTCGAAGTGGTCCGTTATTTGGGTCCCGACATCGTAGGAAGAGTTTTTGAGTTCGGTGGGCGTCCAGAGTTGGTGAGCGGTTGTGGTGGTGTTTTGGTATTTCTTCGCGAGGTATCGGCGTTGGTACGCGTAGCCTATTGTGGATTGAATCAGCATTTGGTTATTTCAACTCCTCATGTTTTGTTGTTCCCATCACGCTCCTCTCTGGCCAACATACTACGATCAAACTACGCCCATAACGAGCCAGGCGGCGGGGGAAACTAGAACGGCTATCTACCTAATCCACTCCATACACCAGCACAGAACGCCTCAACTAGCTTTCCTTCGCTCTCCTTTTCTAATAACTGCGGTTTGATATCCGATAGAGGTACCCGTCGTACGCAGAGGTCTTGTGTGCATGGATTCTTGTTTGGGTTGTTCCGAACGAAGGCTGGGGAGGAAAGAATCTCATCGTGCGGGGAGAAGGGGACGAATTTCGCTATGGGTGGAACAATTGAGTCAGCTTTTGGTTATAGATATTTGATATTGTACTTAACCGCAGATGGAATTTGTGGAATTAGTTGGAGAGAAAATACAGGATGATTGAACCGGCAGAGTACAGCATGAGAGTGGGATGTATGAGAGAGATATTTCCTTACAATTTCTGGTCCAGAATGCGAATCCTGCTGCGCTGCCGGCGCCACCGAGAACGGCGGTCTTGAAGACCTTCTTGATAATACCCATTTTTATGTCGAGGAGGAATTGGGGGATATGGGAGATACTAGAGGGGTTGGAAGGTTCAAAGGTGGTGAGACATAAATATTATAACCTTGTTATTCAGGCAGGAAAACAGGCAGTCGTACAGGCAACCGTCCTCAACAGCTCAAATATTGCTACCAAAACAGATTACACATACATATTATCCGTAATTTAGTCATCATGGCTCCAATACGGAACCCAAAGATTTGAGGGTATTCCCAAGGTTCCAGGCGTCTGTCTGTGCGACGGCATCAAATCTGGGCCACGTTTCATCCGTCCTCCTGCATGCTTCCAAAGCCCAGAGCCGATTCGACCAAATTTGTTTCCCAGACACGTTCTGAAGCCGCCGTTTATCTCATATGGTCACACTGGAAAGTATTTATGTCACCTTTTTCCGGTCTTTTAAATTTCGTCTTTCATTTCCATTCGTTTGCCTGCTTCAGTTTGCCTACCTGTGTGTTTTCTCAAATTCAAGATGCCCAAGTCCGGCGGCGTCCAGCGCCTCATTTCATTCACCTATAAACCTCTCCTTGCTGCCCTAGTCATATCCATCTTGCTTCGCTGGACAGACGATTCCAAAGATAGGAAACTACCGAACCCACATCCACATCTTAGCCGCTCTCTGGTAGTTGCCTCAACTACCTCTTCAAACCTTACATGGCTCGCGCCCGCTCTCGCAAAGTCTCACTGGACACCCAAAGTCTATGTCACCGACTCGGCCAATACCCCTCTCACTGTACCAGTCAATAAGGGGAATGAGGCGATGACCTACCTCACTTATATCATCGATAACTACGATGCCTTACCCGATATAATATTTTTCCACCACGATCACTCTCAAGACTGGCACCAGCTCTTCTCTTCAGCCTACGAACTTGCAATCTCAATCTGCTCTCCGTACAGAAATACGGATACCTTAGCCCGCGTTGCCTGCCCGGCTGCGAAAATGTAATTGAATTGAGCGGCGATGTCTCCCCACTAGAGGATTTAAGGGGTGCACAAAGAGATGTGCAGATTTCGAGTGTGTTGAGGGAATTTTATGATAGGGAGCTACCGAAGAAAATTGCAGCGCCATGTTGTGCGCAATTTGCGGTCAGTAGAGAGGCTGTTCTGGGGAGGCCTTTGAAGACATGGAACGCCCTCAGGAAATGGCTTATTGAGACGCCACTGGATTCGACGAGTAGTGGGAGGGTGTTGGAGTATACTTGGCATTTGTGGTTTGGGATGGAGCCTGTACAGTAAGTTTTCCATTTATTAGCTGTTCATATTTCCATGAATGATGAAATCATGCTGACGCTATAGCAGTTGTCCCGAAAAAGCTCAATGCCTCTGTGATGTTTTTGGCGTTGGGAATTGCTCCTAACCCTGCCATTCCGTTGCCGTCGTTTCCCTGTTCGTCTTGTATTTTACATAAAATCTATTGCTTAAACCTTGGAGTTTGGGGAGTTTGCGTTGGATAAACTGGTCGGCTATTGAAATCGAAGCGTGTAGTTACTGCATCTTGGCTATCCTGATACACTACAATCCGCTCCCAAAACCATCATGTGGCACCAAAACATTGATTCGCGTCATGCCCAATCTCGCCATGCCCAATCTCCATTGCGTGTAAGAGGTAGGGCGTGGAGGTGTTGGATTGAGATATGTAGGCGGGAACTACTCAGTGGGTGCCCGCACTTGTTGGATTAGCGGGGTGGAAATATTGTGCGAGTACAATGTATTATGAGGAAACATTATAGCACAGTTGTTCCATGAGTGGGTGGGTGAAGGATGACGGGTGATGTGTCGAAGTGCCAAGGTGAAGTGTTGGGCTGGACAATTGTATTGAATCTTACAGTTTGTCAATTATAAAATGGTTGGGTATATGTTATTGGCATTATTTAGAGCTCTGATCAACACCAGGCGCTTGAGGTAAAAGTTGAAGTACAGGCTATGGAAAAGGTATTAGGAAATCGCTAAGACGGTAAACAGTGCTATACTACAGAAATGCGCAAATTGGTATCATTTATCTCCAAACCGACATATCGTTAACTGGTTATCCAAATGTTTTTTCCTTCATTCCCAATTCATAAAGATTATGCGATATGTGATGGTTGATGACCGACAGGCTCTATTCCTTGGTAGGGCGCCGCCGGGGCCCCATTATTGTATGCCGGTTGTCCGTTGTTGTAGGCCGTTGGGGCTCCGGTATTGTAGTAGACGGGAGCATTGCTTTGATAGGCTGTAGGTGCTCCATTTTGTACGTACGCCGACGGCATTTCACTGTTGTATTTGGTGGGCTGTTGCTGGGTCATCATAGGATTCCCGGCCCGTGGGCTCAAGATGCCGATTAAAGCAATACCGAGGAAGATGGCCATGGTTGAGAGAACGGAGATAAATGAAGCCGCCCATGAGACGTTGATGTAGTCTTTGGTTCGAACTTCATCAGGGAAAGTGGCTACTGCGTCTGAAACGAGGGCGAATAGAGAGCGGAAGAAGAGTCCTGGCGCTACGACTGCGACCATGACAAGAGTTCCCTGTGATTTGGTTAGTTATGGACACACCAGGGATTCAGTTTGAGATAGTTTACCTTGGACCGCTCCTTGACAAACAAAAGTGCCGCAAACACCACAGCCATGATTGTTACGATGAAGTACAAACAATCGTAGGCCAGGTCGACATACCGCCCATTCAAATTTAGTGTGCGTGGTCTACCATAGCTCGAGCCACTTGCGATTACCCACCCGGTACCGATGGAGTAAAGGATCCACCCAGCAAACGATTGCAGGGCCAAGAGGATTGTGGATACTATGTTTATTGGAGGTAGGTGAGTTACCATTGACGACGCAGTGCTCGCATATAGCGTTCGGATGATAATAGCGAGGATCACCACTTCACCTATACGTACTGCGCCGGATTGTAAAATGTAGGCAATATAGTAGAGGCGAGTGACCACCGTCTCGGTTTCCTCAAGGGCGATGACGATAGTTGCAAGGATGTAGTAACTGGGAGAATATTAGTTTGGCTTCAGATATACTAAGTTGATCGCGTCATACCTCATCATAGAAAAAGCTGCGAAAACGTAGCCTATGGTTCGGAGACTGTCCCGTCCTCCTCTCCGGACCCATTTGAAGCGTGTAGCAAGCACGAGGCAAGCGAAAAGAACCAGCGTGGCTATAATGGCAAATGCGAAGAGGGCATTTGTTCTCGAACTCTGTTGAAGATATCAGCAAGCTGGCTGAGAGAATGGCGAGAGTTACCATCTCGAATGACCTATACATACCCGCCAGTGGAAACCATAGAGCTCCAGCTCATCGAGGCAGGCACCGCAACCGCTGCTACTGCTATAGCTTGAGCCTCCTCTCCTAGGTGCCATGTTCACTCGATATTGGATGTTCCGTCGCAAGTTGACGATTCGATCACGGAAGTTCTGAAGAGATGACTGACGCCTTCGAGATATTTGGCGGGGGGAGGCGTCGTCAATTATGAGCTGAAAAAGCCAAAACGGCACGCCCACAGCCTTGAGACATCCATCGCCGCTGCAAGGCTCCGCACAGGGCGCTACCGGTTGCTTTACACCCCGATCTTATTTTTGTATGCTTTCCTAGCATCCAGATAGGGAGTGGATTGGCTGATCGTTGTGCCAAGAGCCGCGAAGTTATTCATATCGTTAATTGCGTCCCTCAACCTTACCTTCACTGTCGCGGATTGGGGCGCTGCTCAGGATCATCGCCAATGGACGGCTGCGCTTTGGCTTGGCTTTTGCGAAAATGACCAGTGGGTGGAAATTGCAAGGACTGCGCAGCAAAAGGGCAAGGTAGCGCAAGCATCCTCTTTATATGTACGTACGGAGTACTACCTTGGTAGGCACCTAGGTGGTGTACGTCGTGTAGTATATACACGAAGTAGGGCTTTTGATTGAGGTTCAGCGTTAACGGAATAGGGGGTTATGACGCAGAAACAGGCTCTGACTGCAGGGACTTCGAACGGAGTAAAGCCGCCCCATCTGGAGAGAATTGTCGGCTGCCTGCACCGTCTCCACTTCTTGGGTTGTTTTACGAAGCATTTCGTACAATGTGAGTTTATTCCCTGTCTCATACTCCTACTAGTAAGTACCAAGTGCCACCAGGCCAATACCAATGCCGCAAGCCTCCCTTGGGCCAAGGTACCTTAGGTTGGGTAACAGCCGCCTTCACTGCCGCATCTCTTGCAAGCCTGGCTTCTGGAATCCCGCTACCCCTTTTCCTTCCTTCCCTTCCGAATAGCCCATAATTCACTTCAAGACCACTTGCTATTCTACCCACCAGTCTCTACAATACCGCCTACTATTCTACTCACTTACAACCCATAATTACTGACGACTGCAGTGCACACACGCCGTGCTACCGCCGAAAAGACCTTTCACGGCATGGGTTTGAAAGCAGCAACTAGGCACAAGAAAATTGTCGATTAAATATTGATTATATATGCTTGCCTAGCCAAGACCAAAAGGTATTTGAATTTAATATTATTTATTCAAAATGTCAACATTAGCAGCATGAAAAGGCGCGATGTTCCTACTTCCGGCACAGACGCCCGGTTTGCAGAGTCAACCAGTCCTCTTGGCCGGTGATATACCAGTCCTCACTACCAACGGCAGTAGGAGCCCAGAACACACCCCACGGATCAGTCGCCTTCTTGATACGCACCAGCCTGTCATAGTTGGATCCAAAGAATGCCTGCCCAAAGTTTGGCTCCATGACATCGCCCTCGTTGCCATAACCACCACCGCCAGGAGTAATCTTGCGCAAGCGCTCCATCCAGTCGCGCGTAATCTTCTTGTTTGTTACTTCCACCTCTTGCGGCGTCGCATCCGGAGCCCATCCACTACCAATAATGCCATACATCACTGCCTCGCGCCATGCTGGGTTCACAGCGTTCTCAGGTGTTCCTGCTGGTGCGGCTCCGTTGATATTGTACCCAATGAACGCGGATCCTTCCTCGATAATCCCGCGAATAGTAGCGATAGTCTCATTGAGGGTAGCCTCGCTGTCCCAGTTCTTTGAAGGGAAGAGACGCGATGCGGTGCGCAAGTTGGAATTGGCGACCGCCTCGGTGGGGAAGTGAGTAGACCATGCGTCATAGAAGTTGTCGTGCTCGAAGTACTTTGGCTCAAAGACGAGGCCCAACGCGGCCCACTCCTCGAATAGCGGAGCCACCATAACCTTGAAGTCGGCGAGCTTCATCCCGGGGACAAGCCATGGCAGCATACTCCACATGTAGCCAGCATCAGGGCCGCGCGGGAAAAGAGTGGAATAGCCGTAGGAGCCCTGGGCGGCGTAGGAGGGGAACTTGCGCCAGTATGCGCTCATGACGGACCAGAAGACGTCGTCAGTAACATCGGTGTCGCTGCCGCTCAAGATGGTGAAGGTTACGCCGGAAAAGGTCATCTTGGGGAGCACCTTTACTGTCATGCCAGTGACAACACCAAAGGTGGCACCGCCTCCGCCGCGAATTGCCCAGAACAGGTCCTTGTTTTTCGTTTCATCAGCAGTGACGAAGCGTCCATTAGGAGTTACAACATCAATGCTGAGGACTTGGTCGGCACCCATACCGTATTTAGACGATACAGGAGAGTGACCACCACCAGCAATGTAGCCGCCGGTGACACCAACACCCTTACATTCGCCGCCAACAGCAGTCACGCCGTATTTGCTAGCTGCTGCATAGAGATCACCGACCTGGATACCAGCGCCGAGCTTGAGCGCCGGCCCTTTGTACGAGGGGGAGCTATAGCTCTTGATGAAGTTGACACTCTTGAGATTGTGTGTCCAAATTGAGAGCGCGCCGGCACCGGTCGATTTCCCAAGGAAGTCATGGCCAGTATTGTGAACGACGAGGCGGAGGTTGAGGTTGCGGGCCAAGTTTACAGCGAGCTGGATCTGAGCGACATTTGTTGCCTTAACAGAGTAGGAAGGGAAACCGCCCAGCTCGCAGGTGCTCGTGTTTCCATTTTGTGGCATGCAGGTCTCTCCCTGGTAGAGAGGAGACATGACCGATGTAGGGTCCCGGGCGCTGCACCGTATTAGCCATGCCCATCTTGTTGGAAACGAAAAGGGAGGAAAGATTATAAGGGTTGAGGCTAAAATATTCAGGTGGACTTACTGGGTCTCCGACTCCGTCCAGTGCTGGATAATATCCGCGCATTTGGCCGCGTTATAGTGACCGCTGTTCTGGTAGCAGACAGCTCCGATGGGGACGGTCTCGATCAGCGCGCCTCCAGCCAAGAGGTTGAAAACCTTCCAGACCAGCTTGCTAGGCCAGAGAAGGCTACCAGGGGCGGTCTTGCAGCCCAAGCCGAGGGACCGCTTCTCAGAACCTTCCTCGGGAAACTGGAAGAGTGAGATGTTGCTCAGATCCAACGCCGTTAAGTTCGCCAGGACGGCATCAGTGAGCTGGAAGGCTTCAGCATCGGATGAAACCGAGGCCGTATCTACCACGGGTGCGGCAGCTGGAGCCACGTTTGTCTCGTCGGCAACTATATTGTGTCAGCAAGAGGCGTAGCCCTGAAGACGACGAATATACCGTACCTAACAGCTCGCCATTCTGATAAATTGTTTGGGCGCTGACCAGACCAGTTTGGTGAAGGGCGCTGGCCAGAAGTAAAGCTCGTGTAAGGAAAGCCATGATATGATGCCTTTGCCTTAAACGACCCAGGATGAACAAGATAAACGAGAGGCTTGTTAAACACCCCACAAGATCGACAGATTAAAGAGAGACTTGTCGAATGGGGAAGGAAGGCAAAGGAAGTAGCAGGGACGAGGTGCAGCCACTATTATATATTGCTGGTGAGAGCTTCATTTTGCCTCAACTGCCGCATGTCTCCACGTGGCTTATCAAGCTAGCAATTACCCGACAACGTGGGCTGGGATTCTGGGAAAGGTATTTCAATTTCGGTGGTGGTTAACTGGAGCCTGTGGGCCTCGGAATTCATTTGACATTGTTTACTACCAGCCTCCCAGGTCATGTGGGGTCGGCTGGGCGTGATGCATGGAGGAAGTAACTTTCCACACCCTTAATCATATCACGGTACGTTCATTACTTGGCTTCCTTTTCAATTTTTCTTATCCTCCATGCTCTATTCAGCTACTCTACTCCGTAGACGCTATGTATAGATCCACTATGCTATATCTAGAAGGTGACAAATAATTACTAAGTACCTGCGTTACCTCTGATTTTCTTGTCTTGGCAGTCATATTTAAGCCTCTGCGATCTTCATGTATAAACCAGAAATGGGAATACTTTTCGACAGAGCCTGTCCCCTAAAAACCTTAGCAGAAAGACCTTGACCTTGTTTTCTATCTGAAGTAATGTTTTTTGGGTATTTTGAGCGAAGAAGGTGGGTAGTTGTCTCGCCGGCGCTGCACTTAAGTAGTGCAAACTCGGGGAGCCTCCGTTTCACTTCACCACTACTGGCCGAGATCAAAAGCTTTAGATAACACGAGGTCCGAGTCCTCTGATGGTTACTAGAAACATGGGGAGATGGGGAGAGTTCTTTCCCGTACCAGTGAAGATCATCGTTTTCCTGACTCGGTTTGTTCCTGGGCTATGAGCTAGGCGGCTTGGTTACTCGGTCTTGGCGATCATATACAGGCTGGTTCCATTCTTCTCCATAATTCACCTGTGCAAGAACCACTAATAGGCCACGGAAGTAGAGAGCCTACTTCATCTCGCTCCTTGAATCCAGGCCTCTAACTTTTTCTCAAGAACTGCCAGAATGGAACGGTGTTCTTGGGAATTATTTCCACTCTCCTGCAGCCTGCAGCACATATGTTGCTCCACTTTGATCTTATATATCTTCAATCTCGTCCGCGATTTTCCAGCGTCCCATTTGCCGATCTCTCCCTCGAAACTTTATTTCTCTAAGGTCAACGCCCATCGGAGCTTGCCTTTGCTGCACGTAAGATGTCGATAATCCTCCCAAGGCGGCCATCCCATGGGGATGTGACCAAGATCCCGACACCCTCACTGCAGGCGGCAGGCATATTCATCAACTTTTTTTTTCCTGCATTCGCTCTCGTGGTTGTGAGCCTTAGATTCTATTCAAGAATCACAATGCGGCAATGGGGTTCTGGTGAGTGTTCCAAAGCCATTTCAGCCGGCGCCTTAATATACAATTGGCCCAAAGAATCCCGATATCACACGTTATAAATCATGTCTAATATGAATTACTAGATGACTACCTAATGGGCCTTGCCATGGTATGTATTAGTGAGAAGCAAATCTCCACAACTCTAACTTAACAAATTCAATGAACAGAGCTAATTCCTTTATGTAGTTATGTTCGCTTCTCATGTGTGGGCCATTCTATATGTGTAAGTGCTATTCTTCTCGAGAAATGTGAGGATGAGAACTGATTTTGGTGACATTATAGACATTAAGCTGAATTACTTTGGCTGGTATGCGGTGGACGTGCCCGAGTTCGATCCAGCACCGGGTCGGTGGTGGTTCTACATGGCACAGTTATTTTATAATCCGGTCCTCGCCTTCGTGAAGGCCTCAGTGTTGCTGTTCTTGCTCCGTCTGGGAGGGCAGAAGCCCGGCGTCCGGTACGCCATCTACGCACTCGGTACTTTTAACGCCTTGCAGGCCGTCGCTATCTTTCTAGTGGCACTGCTGCAGTGCCTACCCATCGAGGCCAACTGGGATCTTGCTGCTGCGGCTACTGCGAAATGTGTTGATCCTTCATTCCACATATCAATCTCGTGTTTGACCATTTTCACCGATATTCTGGTACTTGCCCTACCGTTCTGGGTTTTCTTGGGCTTGAAGATGCCGATGGCGTCAAAGCTTGCTGTAATTGGCGTGTTTTTGCTTGGAATATCGTAAGTGGATATTTTCCGGGGCATTTCTCGGTTTGGGATTCCAGCGCTGACCATCTTATCCCACAGAGTCACCATCGTCGCCATTGTTCGCCTTGTCGAGCTGTACAGGCTATTCTACGTCCCCAGCGCGAATGCCGATCCGTACCATTCCATTAGTATCACCCTTAGCGCCGTCGAAATCAACGTCGCCATCGTGTCCGCATCCATTCCTGCTCTTCGACCCCTTTTCCGCACCTGGCTACCAGGTATCTTCGGTGGCTCAACTGGCCAATACCAAAACACCAGTGCGAAATACGGCACCGCATCGAAGAGTGGCGGTTTGCCACGCAGCGGCACCTATTACAACGACGCGAGCACCACTGGTAATGGGACCAATAGTGGCATCGCGATGAAAAGCATGCGTGGGACACGGTTACAACATGCGGAGTGCCGCAGTGTAAGCCCTAATGGGAGCGAGGAGGAAATTATGACATATAATGGTATTATGAAGTCCACGGATGTGCGTGTGCATTTTGATGGTATGAATGATAGTCGCTCATTGTCCCGGTTGTCGAGCGATCTTGAGGGATTAAAGGACCCTCGTGCAACACCGTTATGAGCATAAAAAAGTCAAATATCTGAATCATGGCATATATGAGGGTTTAATAAGAGAGATGAATTTTGGCGTGGGTGTTTGATATACCAGGTATTTCCTATTTGTACTCTTAAAAATTAGATACCAACACGCAATGAACGTGGTTATTACCTCCCTATCAGCAGTGATAGGGAGCGCACTTTTCAATAGTACTCATACCCCTTGGTCTAGGACCACTCCAACCACTTCCTCCCATACCTGTTGAGCGGTGTTCGTTTTAACTTTTAAGTTATTCTAAGACAAAAGAATATGCAACTAAACCTTGCAATGTGATGGGCTAGGGGCCTCCTTTTTGCTTTTCTTTTCTTATCTTATCCTACCTTTACTAGGTCTGATTAAACCGTGCCGCATTGGCGCTTCGAACTTGTCAGCGGAGATTTATAGTTCAACGAGTGAACCGCGTCCCCTCTAAAAGAGAACACGATCTCGATGATGGAGTAACTCGCATACAAATGAGGTGATAGTAAGATTTTTTTATAATAATAGGTATCACGTTTACTTTCACAATTTTTCGACATTTTATTTTGTGCAAAATCGTATAACTCTGTGCTTTATTTATACTATTCAAATATTAAAGTTCTTTTTTATCTGGTTATTCTCTAAATCTTTATTCTTTGTAGGTAGCTACGATATTTCAAGAAAGTAGTATGCTAATTAATTTATACATAATACCCTAGTATACGACTGTGTGCTATTGGATGCCGCTACATGCAAGATAAAATTAAAGTATCCCTAGGTATTTAATATTAACGATGCTCATATAGCATACCTGCATAAAAGCTTGATTTGCGAGTATTATTTTTTCACTGGGCATTCTTGAAAAAGCTTAATATATTTATAAAAGTAATAAAATACAAATAAGCTAATTGTTAGAAGTTACAATAGAAGTACCTGGCTTAATGTGCATACAATTGTTATAAGAAATTGATGCGATTCATATAGGTACCTAACAGGTAGTAGGCATGGTCGGTTGTCCTCAGGCTGCTGACAACTTGGAACGGCCCAAAGACCCGCCTAGCGTGTGGCAACACCAAGGCCTAAACGAGGAATGGTGCCCCATATTACCACATCGAAAAGTCATGTAAACCTTATACTCCTAGAAAATATGTGGTTTTGAGTTCAAGCTATGCAGAACCTGCTCTTGCGCGAGTTGCATAGTTGGGATGATTCTGGTAGCAATCCCCAGCGACTCCCACAACCTTCCGAGAGATAATTGCGCCCAGTTGAACTTCTTTGTGTGCCGTGGTTTATTCGCGCTTACTCATACGAGTATATCCTAACACCCGGCAATTTTTTACTCGTGGAGAAACAGCTCCGTATCCCTCACCACTCTGCTCGCTGTACGAATACTAGTAGGTTAGCACCCGTTGGACGTACATTGGCGTGTTCGAAATAAAGACAACACCAATCCTCTCCTTGTCGCTTTGCGGGGACTCGTGGAGTTCTTCTAACGTTTCAAATTTCGCACGGATTTTGGCCGAATCTCCGATCGCAAAAGCTTTCCAAGTGCTGGACACCACCTTTCCGATTCGCTCTCTTATGGAACATTTTGGTCCAAGTTCCGGATCGCCAGCATCGTGACCAGGAAAACCTAGCGATTCCCGAGCCTCGTTGGTGATGATTGAAGTATGGACAGAAGTTTCTCCGAAAAAGACCCATTATGGTTATTAGAATTATTGGGGTAGATATTGAACCGAGGTGAGGGGATTCGTGATTTGCTTCAGTCTGGCATGCTGTTTGTTGCACTATTCCTTTATAAGTAGATTATCCTCCTCACTTATTTTTCGAGCGTTGGGTTACATTGTGTTGGAATCAAATCGTGCGTTGGATCAAGTGGATATCGTTTTTATCGACACATCATGCATCGTTTTAGCCTCTTTAGTTGTCTTTCAACAGTTGTTCTCGCTGCAACTTTTCAACTTGCCACTGCAGTAGATGCTGATCCGCCTTCGAACGGAGTATGCTTCTGCACTGAATATTCTCAAATTTCGGTTGCCGTGGCTTCATGCACGGCCATCACACTTCAAGATATTGCCGTTCCAGATGGTGGTAACAGCATCGACCTTTCCAAACTGAAGGACAATTCAGTAGTCACCTTTGCCGGTAAAACTACATTTGGTTTCACCAACTCTAGTTCCTTCGACCCCATAATCCTGGGAGGGAAAGGCGTTACCATTACATCCGCCCCTGGAGCTATCATAGATGGAAATGGACAAGCCTATTGGGATGGAATTGGCTCAAATGGCGGAGTTCCAAAGTAAGTAGTAGCCCGAATTATTTAAGAATAAAACTTCTAACAGGAGTTGTAGACCAAACCATTTCATCGTCGTTAAGCTGACCTCGGGGTCCGTAATCAAGAACCTGCATATTCGCAATTGGCCAGTCCATCTCTTCACGGTTTCCCACTGCTCAGATCTCGTGATGCGGGATATGGTTCTCGACAATCGAGAAGGTGACGTCCCGAATGCACGCAGTGCTGGTCTTGCAGCTGCACATAACTCAGATGGATTTGATGTCGGTTCGAGTACCAATGTGCTTATTACCAACACGACAGTGTATAATCAAGATGATTGCGTCGCCGTGACTAGCGGGAATAATATCACAGTGGATAACATGTACTGTTCCGGTGGGCATGGGCTGAGCATTGGGTCGATTGGAGGGAAGAGTGATAACACCGTGACTAATATCAAGGTATGTCCCCCGTCTAAATCATATGAAAAAAAAGGGAAATTGACGCATTTTCTTTTTCTCAAAAAGTTTAGCAACAGCGTGGTCGTTGACTCTTCTAACGGCCCGCGCATCAAAACCAACTTCGACACCACTGGCCTCGTCTCCAACATCACCTACAGTAATATATCATTGCAAAATATCTCCAGCTACGGTATCGATGTGCAGCAAGACTATCTTAACGGTGGCCCCACGGGCTCGCCGTCCAATGGCGTTCTCCTCGAAAATATCTTGTTCGACAATGTTACGGGTACAGCGACGTCGAGTGCGAAGAACTATTACGTCCTGTGTGGGGAAGGGAGCTGCAAGAACATTGTGTTCCAGAATGTGGATATTACAGGTGGCCAGAAGAGTTCAAGTTGTAATTTCCCGGAAAGTGGATGCCCAACTTAAGGGTGCAAATCGTCAAATATTTTGGGCAGTGTATATATTTCAATTCTAGTTCTTAGCCGAACCTACTCCCTTATACTCAGTCCATCCCAGATGTGGGATAAAATCATAAAGAGATGAAGCCCGGTGAGCGAACGAAGCTGCGGACCGCAGCAAGAAACCACACTAGATTTAGCAATTCAACCCTAATCATCAATCGGATAACATACCACACCGTAATAAACCATTGGAAGTAAAGCTCTAGGAATGCTCAGCTAAGACCAGCAATGCGAAGATCCATACGGGTACACATTGCCGTCAGCCCCTTGCTTAACTGAGCCCCTTTTCTTTTATAATCGCCAGTTTCGCAGCTTATAAAAAGCTAAACCTACCTGCTTGACGCATTTTATTAGGTAGGGCATAGAATATATTACATAGAAGCAGACCCAAAGGTACTTGTTTAGGCAGACCAACTCCCCTAGAGCAACTCTTATTTATTAGATAGGAAGTCCTAGTTTGCTGGCGATTAGGAGCATACGCTTTTCCATTCCAAAGGGTCCAAAAACCCCCTGCACGGACAATAAAAAAAATTAGCAATCTAAGTAGTTTCGATTAGTATGTCATGTTCTTGCGCTGGAGGTAGAATATGTAATGTATTTGGGAAGAGAATCAGGGTGTTTACTGGTATGCTGATAATTTTGATGGTGGCGGATTATAGAGGGGCCAACAAGCCTAGCATTAGCCTGTAGATCCCGTCGCGCCGAGCCGAACCGTACCTAATCTATACCACTAGATAGTATTGGGAAATATATCCATGACTACGATCTCTAAGACGCATCCAATCGTTCCACAGAAGCTGGGGTTTTCTTCCAGGCGGGAAGAAAATAAACTAAACAGGGAGCTTTAGTCAAAGTCTCATTGGCTATGTTGACGTGATCCGCCTGCTCTACCAGATGCCTTCCATTTCTAGCAAGTGGGGTCAAAAGTGTCATCGCGGGGGTGGCAAACAACAGGGACCCTTGCCTAAGAGATGGCGAACCTACAATATCTCACAAGAAAGTGCCGTAATGGAGAAGTTGATCATAGATTGCACTCTGTAGCAGGGTTTAATGCGTGATATTCGTTTATATCAGACCATCTCATAGTGGAGATATATAATGGACGGTTTATGTGATTCCCCAGGTTCCCAAGTCATATATGAAAACAAACAATACTTTTGGATATCCGAACGGATCGTCAGCACAGTACCCGCCTGGCTAGGTGCCCTTCCTTCGTCTACTCCATCATTATGCACTGCAGTTGCGCCTTCTTCCACATTAACTCCCACGCTCCCATAGAATCCCACAACAATCATAACAAAGGCATATCGTTTTTCCGTCATGGTGTAAAAACCCGATCCATGAACTGCATACCCAAAACATAGACATGAGAGCCTAGGAAAAAGAAATCGCTCAATAAATTCAATGCTTAGGATGCTTCTTTCCCGACTTGCGTCGGCGATGGCGACTTCTAGGTGAGGATGACGCTGGAGATCCGGAGTCCGGGGTATAACGGGACAACTGCTCGAAATGAGATGCCATGTCTTCATGGCGATGAGGCGTGATCGACCACTCGTTAAGCATAGACGGCCCCGTGGGTACAAGCTTGAATTCGCCGAACAACGAGCAGCGCTCGGGAGAACGACTGGCCTCATAGAGGTTCTCTACACTATGGGCCGTCTGGGTGAGGTCTGCCATTGGTTGGAGATTTTCGCTGTGATCAGGTGGACCGTATGAAGTGTACTTTGGGCGATAGGCGGTCTGACTGTTGCTGTTGCCGTTGTAGATTGAGCCATGATTTGGCGTTGTCGAGGCTTCTTCATCGATAAAGGGAGTATCCGAGTCATAAAGGATGAAGTCTTCGTAAGCGTTGGTTCCGGTGGTGGGATGATCATTATCGCTGGCGTCGATAAATCTGCTGTCTTCGAAGTTGTCTTGGGCGAGAGCAAGACCCTTAGCTCCGGAGGGGTGGGAGCCAGAATCATTTATTTTGCGTGCATGATTGATAGAGTAGTTATGAGGACACTCGAGATCTATGGTGGTGGCGACGGCTTGGACAGACCGTCCGCCGGCTTGGTGTTGGGGAGTCATGGTCAACAGCGGTCGATCGCTAGGCAGCCAAGTCAGCAAGAAGTTGCTAAATAGAAGTGGATGGGGGAGTCGCAGTAACATACTCCAGGTTTTGCATAGTCGTGGGCGGTGTCTTGTTGAAAGGGATTTAAATATCTGCGGTTACCGCTGCAAGGTTGCTCGTATGAAGGAATGAAAAAGATAAGAGGGTTCAGGAAACCACAGTGGTGAAGGGCGGGGAGGAAACTTGGACTCGGAGTCGAGGGAAGCGACAACAGCAGAGACTCAACCTACCGTGCTCCGTAGGTATGAAGGGAAAACCCAACGCCGCTTCGATGTACCTTGGTACGTACCTACCACCATACCAACTGTCCATCACTGACCTACCAGCTTACACCTCTCCCAGTTTTCCGCTCTTCCCATCTCCATAGGAAGCATCCGGTCCAGTCTGGCTAACTTACAAGGACGGAACGCAATTCGCAGATTACCGTCATGGAGCACCATGGGTGGAGCGTGTACCCATATCCAGGAGCACTTGCAGTCCGAGGTCGAGGTGGAGGACGAGTTCCAATACCTCCTCCATCGTCCTATCCCACATCTCCGCAGTGCCCTCTGCTGCTTGGCATTGGTGGTGAGCGTACGTGTCGAAGCAGCATCCACGGTGAGCGAATCAAGAGAGAGGTGATCAGCATCCAATGAGGCGTCGTGGTTGGTCCTTTTAGTGGATCCGGGCCGAATCCGTGAATCCAATTGGCTGACTGCAGGCTTCTGCAAGTCGTAACGGGACGAGAGAGGGCAGAAAGGGCAGCAAGAGCAGAAAGGGCGAGTCTGCCCCGTCAGCCGCCAGGTTGCAAATTTTGACCTGCGACCAGAAGGGACAAAAGTGCTTGTAGGGGATGGGAACAACAGAGTCGCCTTCAACATCTCCTCCCAAGGGCTTCGGAGGGCGCTCCCTTATAACCTATTCTCCTCGCCTCTTCGCCCAAACTCCACATGTTATGCAATAATGAGAAAACTTCAAGGGTTCACCTCGTCCAAGCAAGGGCAAAATCCACCGACGAACGGACAACAGCAGCGCCTAGTAGCCATGGCGGACAATGATTCGAGGATATGAGTTGTGGTACTCACCACGGCCGTCGATCCGCCTGACCGCATGACAAGGGCTAGAAATGATGGCGCAGTAAAGTGATGAAGCGGCTACCGACCGGGCCTCCGAGAGTTGCAAGTTCAAAACAGGCAGAAGCAAACAACTGCATATCTGGCGGTGGTAGCGGCAATGTGCTGCGATGAGACGGCATCAGTATTATGATTCGTCCACTTTTGAGGCCCCCAATGCAGGCTCGTGAAGCCTCGTCACCCTGCGACATGTGTGTGCTCCTGCTTTGCCCGAGTGATGAGCCATAAAAGGTTTTGGGATCCTAGCTGAACAACAACTGATGCGGTCCCAGTGGGCCTCGCCTTCACCGAACATGACGGGAGTCAACAGTTCGCTTCCACCCTCTCAGAGACCGAAACTTCGGAAACAAGGACGCCAGCGAAATCCCATCCATCTTGTGGAACTATCCAACGATGTGATGACACGGCGGGGGACTATGCACGAATGCCTTCCATCTGTACCGCCAGCCATTCGGGTAAAGCTAGATGAGTACTGCGGATGTACGAAGCAGGGTGACGGCAACAACGGTAATGTTGGGTCGAGACTCCAAAACCTGTTACCGCTAGTCCAGTCGCTTGGATCTGCATATTGCATACCCAGCATGCATGATACTCCTGTATCCGTAGAGTCAATTCGAGAATCCGGTGCACATGACCACAGCTGTCCATCGGAGTGTGCTCTCCACCATTTGTTGTGGTGTTGAGGAGATCAAGGAGGTCAGAGATGTGAAAGGTTCGCTCCATTCCCGCCTAAGGTACCTAGGTACATAGCTGGCCATTATATCACGTGACTATGACATTCTCGTTGCTGCAGTTAGAATACGAGGTAGTAAATACTAGCAAGGCGAAGTGTATAACAATACTAAAGTACCTAGGTAGTAAAAGTATATAGTATAGTATATATAGTGCCACTGATACAAATAAAGAGTGCTTGACAGCGGAGGATCTTTCTGTTCGACTATAACCGTAGGTAGAAAGATATTAAGTTAAAGAGAGACCAGAGCGTTTTACGTTTTTCAACACGCAACGTTACACATCAATTACCTCTGTCCAGCATCTTCGTCCGTACCGTACGAAGTAGACGTTCGCTTCAAGAGTCTCGAAATCGTCTTCCAACCCGCTACGGAAAACTTCTCGCGCGATAAGAGACCCGATATCTCTAATGGCTTCGATGAACGTGTCTTCCTCATCATTAATCTCCTTACCTACATCTTCATCTCATTCCCCATTGTGGGCTTGAATAGTGGCATGGCTAGCTGCGTGTCTGAAGGATCTAAAGTATTGATCTAGCGTGCTAATCGATATGGGATCGTTTCCTAACCATGCCAGCTGCTCAAAGCCCTACAGCACGCCGTCAGGTAGATTGCGATCTTCAGGTGGCATCGATAGTTTGGCTAACAGTCGAAGAATATGCGCTAGCTGTATTGCATCGGCTACCGCATAGCGGTTTTGATCAACGAGGGTTAGCTGCGTAAAGAGGGCCCGAACGAGGAATGGTAGACACCGGCATTTAAGTTTCATTGCTTGTCCAGGACAATCCCGAGTCAGTTTAATTACTGCGTAACCGTCGCTTGCTGAGAGAAGGTCCTGGTGCTTTAGCCGCTTTGCTCAAGAAGCCGATGTAAACTTCTTACATCAAAAAGATTTTGGGGATAAAGACTGGATTCTACGACTTTATCATCTGGCCAGAGGTGCCAGTATTTAAGTTGTTGTACCGTCTCAGTGGCAGTGCGGACTTGGTGGATGTGCTTGGCTGCCGATGTTTTCTCCTGTGTCAAACCTAGATGACTTTAGCTTCAACTTCCTGCACGCATCCATTGCTCTCTGATCATCATTGACAACAGCGTTGACAACGACCTGACTAAGTTTTATATCAACGAACGCTACTTCTGTAACTGGGATCCCTCTCCACCCATCTCCGGCTGATAAAACTCCGTATCCACTACAAACACTCTTGGAGCATCTGGATTTGGATCCGAAATTGGCAATAGAATTTCTGCCAAACCAGAGCTTCCGCGCAAAAGCTTGATAGCCATTTTGTGTAGAACGCTTCGGCCATCCAGCCTCTCTATCAATGTTCTCGATATTTTGGTTTGTACACCAGCGCTTTCAAAATTGAAACTGCGGACAGTTGTTGGCTCGAAAAGTCCGTTTGTTCGGCCGAGCTGTGGAAGAACCCGAACCGTGTCAGGAGCCCCCTGTACCATGACGGATTTCATTGTGTCACAATGTGCAAGCACCTCACTGAGGGTTTTAGGCATACAAAAGGATTTTTTTTTGTCATTCTAGCGCGCAAATGGGGCACATAGGAGCGTCGTGTCAAGGCTCAGCGTCATGCCGAAACGACAGGATAGCCTTCGTCGGAGGGCGAAGGGAATGTGGCTTCGGAGTTTCTTCTGGCCGACACTGGGCCAATACATGGGGTATTGACCTTTTGACTTGTCCAACCAGTAAAATAGCACACTGAGCTAGAATATGTTAAGATAAATTCTATCCTTTAGATGAAGCAGCTCTCTTACTGGCTGTGTCATTTCTCTCCCCAACGGTGATTGCGAATACGCCCTCAGATTTTCGAAGTTGAGGATCTATATTTTGCAGGGCTAGTGATGTGACTCACTCAATCGTCTTGCTGGAAAAATTCCACTCCTGGATTATAGTTGCTACCGTTTGTGCGGTTTTATTGACTCTGAAGTACTCGAGGTGTTTTGAAGTAAGGACAATGATCTGAAACCTAGATTCGGACTAATAATAATCCAGGAGCCCTTTGCCCAGAGCCCGGAGTAACGTCGGAACCCAATTGCGCTAAATAAATAAACAACCCCGCGGAAAACCCCGCCATTCCCAACTTTCAATCCACGAACAATGGCTTCACATACCCCGTCACAAAGATACCTCAGTACTCGGGGAGGCTCCTATGGAGTAAATCCGCATCCTTCCCAAGTCAGGTACAAATGCTAACAATGAGCAGCTCTCCTTCGAGGAAGTTGTCCTCAAAGGCCTCGCGCCTGACAACGGATTATTTATCCCTCAAGTCATTCCAACTCTACCATTAAACTGGCAGAAAGACTGGCTTAATCTATCCTTCGAAGAGCTTGCATTCCAAATATTCAGCCTCTACATTTCGCCCGCCGAAATCCCGTCCGCCGCACTTAAGGACATTATACACAAGTCGTATGCGACTTTCAGGGTGCCGAGCGTAACACCCACGGTAACGCTAGATAGCGACAGGAAGATTCATTTACTGGAGTTATTCCATGGCCCGACGTTTGCGTTCAAGGATGTGGCGTTGCAATTCTTGGGTAATCTGTTCGAGTACTTCCTTGTTAGGCGAAATGAGGGAAAGACCGGGAAAGATCGCGAGCACTTAACAGTCGTCGGAGCCACAAGCGGTGATACTGGATCAGCCGCGATATACGGCTTGAGAGGCAAGAAAGATGTTTCGGTGTTCATCATGTATCCGACTGGGAAGGTTAGCCCGGTACAGGAAGCGCAAATGACGACAGTAACGGATGAGAATGGTATGTTCCCCTCTTTCTAATATTTGTATTATGCTTGCTTGGTATTAGAATTACTATTTTATAGACACGAAGTTTGAGCTTAGCTAATTATACCGCCTATAGTCCACTGTTTAAGCGTCGATGGGACGTTTGATGATTGTCAAGTATGCTACCTTTCTCCCTCTACTAAAGACAATATATTAATAAAATGTAAAAGGATTTCGTGAAGGCCCTCTTTGCCGACCCCTTGACAAATACAACAATGAAGCTGGCCGCGGTCAACTCTATCAATTGGGCCCGGATTTTAGCACAGATAACATATTACTTTGCATCCTACTTTTCGCTAATCCGCTCTGGCATATTGAATCCCTCGACGAGTGATATCCGGTTTGTTGTCCCTACAGGGAACTTTGGGGATGTTCTGGCCGGATACTTTGCAAAGCGAATGGGCCTCCCGATGTCGAAACTCATTATCGCCACAAACGAGAACGACATCCTCCACCGCTTCTGGAAGACTGGTGCCTACGAGAAGTCTGCTGTTCATGGTGCTGCCGCAGAGGGTGGCCTGGTAGAAGATGGTGTCGAGGCGCATACCGAAGGCGTGAAAGAGACGTTGTCCCCAGCGATGGATATTCTCGTGAGTAGCAACTTTGAGCGGCTATTATGGTTCATCGCGTATGATGTCTACGGCTCCGATACGATGGCTGTAGAGGATAAAACACAAGCGGCAGGCCTGAAAGTCAAGGAGTGGCAGGCGAGCCTTAACACAAAAGGAGGGTTTAGCGTAGAGAAGAGAGTGCTTGATGCGGCAAAGGCGGATTTTGCGTCGGAGCGGGTTTCGGATGCGGAGACGGCAGCCACCATTCGGGATGTTTACAGATGGCCCAGCACTCCAGGCTCGAAAGGCTACATCCTAGACCCGCATTCTGCTATTAGCGTGACTGCCGCACTGCGATCAGCCAAGGAGACGCCGGGCGTGGATAATGTGGCCCTATCAACGGCACACCCAGCCAAGTTTAGTCATGCTGTAGAAATGGCACTAGAGAAGGAGGAGGGGTTTCAGTTCAAAGATGTGTTGCCCTTGGAATTTGTTGGACTAGAGGATCTTCCAAAAAGACTTACACATGTACAAAAGAGCTCCGGGTTAGACGGCATAAGAAAGATTATCGTGGACAAGGTGGAAAAGGAGTTAAATAGAACAAATGTATAAGATTTTACCGCAGATACGCGTTATGCGTACCGCCAAAAAGCCCGCCAACCACATCTGCTTCAACGTGTGAGACCAAGGGTTGGGAAGTGTCGAGTAACCTTTCCATTAGACCGACCTGGCCGAGAGTTAGGCTACATCGTCAGGTGACTCTATTCGTAGGAAATTGTCTCCTTCCATCGTAGTAAAATATGGAAATTAATACTCTATCTATTGCTAGGCCGTCTTCATTACCTGGCAGCGGCTTTCAGGCAATCGAATCGTCCTCACCTAGACGACGTGCTAATCATAAGTATACCTCAGGCTTAAGAGGCCTTAGTTTAATACCAATTCGTTATTAGATCTTGAGTAAGAAGTATAAAATGGCCTTGTGATTCCGGCCTAGCGAGAACCAACTTTCTAAGGGCCTGTTCGGTTCAGCTCTCGTTGGACGATATTCTGGTTTTGCAGGCCTTGCACCGTATCTTGGGCATTCTTCCGAAGTCCAAAGATTATTATATTGCAATGCCGCCCTAGCAGTGACGCCGCGTTCTAACTACGTCATGTCCCACCAAACTTTGACTTTAATCAATGTCCATAACCTAAGGATCTAGACTCCATATTATCTCAAATGAAAATCTGGCTTTAGACCTTTAAATTTGACTCTTGCTATTCATATAGGACTGGACAAATTAAGTGGCTTTTCCGCTTGCATATTGCCGTTATCGGACTTGGATATCATGTTTACCATGGAAATACGCATGGCGTATCTTAGCTCATAGGATGCCAATTGGAATATAGGGTCATAAATATTATTATATGTCAAGAAAAGGTTATAACTTATAAAGCATAATGGGCAGAGTAAGGGCAGAACGAGTTTCTAGAAGAAATATTGGCATGAAGCTACACAAATTCTCTCCAATACTGCTTTAACGCGAGCTAGGCGAAAGTCCCCTGATCTCAGTGCCGCCCCCTAACAAGCATAAGTAGGGCAAGAAAATAGATTCTTATAGCTCGTTAAATGATTTACTTGGTATATCTAAGCTGAACTGCCTGCTTTACACCTCTATTTGAGAATGTTATAAACTGCGGACTTTCGTACCAATGGAAGTGTTCCAGATTGATTGTTGATGGAGCCCACTAGGCGAGACTGCCAACGGCCAATAATGTCGCGGACAGATTAATACAAGCCATCAATTTGCATACGCCAACCATATGTGTTTTGAGATTTCCAGCTGAGTCCCAAATAAGGTGCCTCGAGCTGTTATCCTAAAGCTGCCTGCTGACATGTTTGGTAGAAATAAAATTAATGACAGGTGATCATGAATGGTAGATAGGGTCAGGTTCTATGAGCTCGAATCGGAAAGCCGTCCGAGTTGGATAATTTTCGAGTAATTAGACAGTAGAATTGCGAACTCTGGGAAAGCATTTGATCTTCATTGTACTTGGATCCTCACGACTAGGCAACCAAATATTCCGCTGGCTCGGTCTCAAAATATCTTCAGAAAGTAGGATCTTAGAAATGAAGTAGTGGGGTTGCCTCTTACTAGAGGGAGAAGACAATTGAATGCTAGCAGTACCTACTCAGGTCCTGGGAATTCGTGCCTGAATGTCACTCGACTACTCAATCGAATGTAACAATTCCAAGCGCCAAGGTATCGAAATAATTGCTGTCCAAAAATCCACGTGGTAATTCATGCCCATCAAGTTGTGTCGATCATCTGATTCAGAATATAGACGAACATGTTCGGGGGAACCCTGAAACCGAGAGCGCAACACAGTTCATCTGTTCGCAGCCCACACGTTCCACGACACGGCAATCCGAGACATGAGCTCGGCTATCTGGCAGATTTCCTGATGCAAGTCAAGCAGCAGTTATATTAACATTGTGATAGATCGATAGAAATTCCAGGGGCCTCCATTCTTGGAAGTGGAGGGGGACGACTCCCCAAAGGAGGGATTGGGAGTAATAGGTTGGTTAGGTGCGTAGGTAGCAAAGTATATATCTATTAAATAGGAAAATTGAATGCGACTTACTGGTTTTGTGATTTTTATCAAGTTAATAGATTAGACTTCTACGTTACTTGCCTTTGCCGTTGTGCACTTCGGCATAAACCCCAATCTGGAGACGAGATGAAAAATCTCCCGACTATCGTCCAGTAGGCTAACAACGACTTCTCAAACAGGCACCACGCCGGTAGATCCTTCCCAAAAGTTTAAAACTGCTTCCTTACATCAAACCATTAAGCATTACGAACAGAGGACAGACTCAAATCTGTGACGTAGCTGTGAGGCTCCACGAACCCACGCAGGCCGGCATATAAGATATCCAGAAACTCCCTTCCATTAGTTCCTAACCAACTTTCGCAAGAGACACAGCAGCGCTAATCAATTATCCATACATTAAACACGTTCGTTTGATACGAACTCCTTTTCTCACATTCTTTCTGCTGGCAGCGTATATTATCATCTTAGTTCAATTTTAATCAGACAAATCCTATAAATAATACCATTCCAGCAATATCTTTGATCGCCATCAAAAAATGAAGGGCTTCACCGTCTTCGCTATCCTCAACTGTAAGGGTTCCCAGTTCCTGGTTTATATCCAACCATGTACTAAGCTCGTATACAGTGGCCCTCGCGGTCTACGCTGTCCCACAGTTCAACAAAGACGGCGCAAAGAACGTTGGCAACGGCGCCGGCAAGCAATTCATCACCGGCCAATGTCTCTCTAACGCTGACTGCGAGAGCACTTGCTGCGCAAACCCCCTTGGAATTTGCTCGGCACCGGCGGCTGCGCTCCAAAATGGGAAGACCGGCTGTGGATTTGGATCCGGAGGTGCTGGGGCGGCAAATGCTGGAGCTGCGAATGCCGGAGCGGCTCAGGCTGGATCGGCAAATACTGGAGCAGCAAATGCTGCTGCGACGGCTGCTCCTGCAGCGGCTCAAGGAGCTACAGGCGCGGCAGCAGCTAGCAGCAACGCGGCTGGCGGTCCACCATTCAACAAAGACGGCGCAAAGAACGTTGGAAACGGCGCCGGAGAACAATTTATCACGGGACAGTGCCTTTCCAACGCTGATTGTGGAAGTGCTTGCTGTGCCGGCCCGGCTGGAATCTGCTCCGCCGAGGCGGCTTCGCTGCAAAATGGGAAAACTGGCTGCGGCTTTGTGTCGACGAAGCGCCTTGTTAGAATGTAATGAATGAATGATGAAGAGCGTGGTACAAATGGAAATGGAGGCTTGACTGCCGAATATATGATTATGATAGAGAAGCCATTGTTAGGACAATGATATAGTAGTTCAAGACGTTTGGCATCGTGGATAGAGTGCGTAGTAGTATACGGTGATATAGGTTCTTGAAGATGAGCCGAATTATATTCCACTCTGGGGAACGGAAATGTCACTGAAAAATAACAAAGAAAACAACAACTCAAATCAAGTTCTAGACCAGAATTCTGGTGCCCGTCCATATCCTAGTTGAGAAACTATGCCAAACCCCTGGGCCTTGAAAATGGCCAAAAATACTAGGGTTTATATTACGTACGGCTACGCACGAATTCAGACAGTGAGGATGTTGTTGAAAGCCCAAAAGGCAAGAAGAAGGTAAGGATACTAGATATTCATTATAATGACCAACTCTGCCTCCACCATGAACAAATGTTCATTTTGCACTTGCAGCAATCGGGTGAGATTCGAATAAAGGGAGGGCATTTCCAATGCCGGAAACGATATTTCCAGACCCTCGTGGCACGCTTGCAACTGCAGACTTGCAGATGCATATGTTGATACGTAACACTCTAGGTGCATGTATACCGGGGAGTTGGTTGGTTTTCAGCACATCAAAACTCGTAAAATCGCAGGTCCTTCGTGTATTATTTCCCTTGAGAAAAGTAAAGAGTGTGGAGTAACCTTTCCTGTTTCAAGGTCTAACCTGAATTTGCGATGCGATTTCCATATTCGACCTCGCGTGAGAAAACGGCAAATCTCGAAGGCCTCAAGATGAGTGTCGCAGAGCCATGTTCACGGCAGCCCAGCGCGCGTTGTCCTGTTCGACCCTTCGTAACTGCAGGTAACTGCAGGCAACTGAAGGCACAAGAAGTTATGAGCAAGGCATCCTAGGAGAGTTCCCGTCTCTTAAGGAAGATTTCGCGATGTGCGCCGCAGGATGGGTTGGTGGTGATTGCGAGAACGCTACCTCTATGGCTACCCTGGCTCCAAAAGAGTGGCTGGGTACGTCCTCCTGATGAGGCAGTTTTGGAGAGTAAATGAAGAGCATCGACTGCAGCGTTTCCATGACGCGTCCGGATTTATGAAAGGAATCTCACTAGTTGAAGATCTTGTCGTTATGGAATATTGCTCGATGAACTGCTACCAGTTTCTAGAGAACCGCCTATCACATATGAAAGGGCGCCTTGGGCACTATGGAGAAGAAATAGGTAACCCGAGCAACCCAAACAGTGTCTTGAGTTGACAGAAGCCTCTCCCAAGTGAGATAAATCTAACTGCAAAATAGTCTTGCGATTGAAACGTCGCTAGCCCACGTCCATGAGAGGAGAAATGCACCGTCCCAACAGCTGATCGACAAGCTGATACACCGTATCTGCAATCTCGATAGCTGGGTAGGACCGCCCGTGGATATTCGCCCCAGACTGATATGCCGTGACATATGTAGGTAGCATGCGTAAGCTCTACCGGCGACAACAATGCGCAGAGTCAAAGTCGCTCGACCATCCCGAGGAGAAACCCGCGGGATCGACTATCTCAGCGACCTCTCCGACGGCGGCCGCGTTACTGCGCAAGCCCGGGTTGGCCGCTGCCGGGGGTTTCCCTCGAGACGGCCGACCTTCGAGGCCTTTTAATTTGCATTAAACTCTAGCCCGCCGTGATGGGCGCTATCATCTACGCCGTCGACGACGCCAAATCCGACTTGACTAGACTCGGCATCGGGATGCCCGGAGCCAGAGCCGGAGGATGACAGCTATGATGATTTCGACGGTGAGTACGAAGTGCCGTACAGTACGGAGTAGGTCTGGGTCTGTAATCTGTATGTCTTACTGGAAGCGATGTTGTTGATCACTGCAAGCGAGCTTGCGGCACGTTCAGTCCCGGTCGTCATGCTTGCAAAGGAGGCGCATTTTGAACGATACGGAAGCAGTGTTTCTATTCTTATTGTCGACCTGGGCTGTGTCCAACGTAGAGGAGTACATTACTGTTCATCCACCACCATGACCAAGCAATATTGTTTGTCAGTGGTATCAGCCCCGGCGCATGCCACCAGGAACGGCTCCCGCCATGACGGCCATCCACGGACCACCGATCGCTGGCCGCTGGCGATAACCTACCAGACGGGTGGGCATTGAGCGGTGGCTACAGAGAAGTCAAGCTTTCTTGTGGACACCGGGTTGGTTCTAGAAGGATGGCTTTTGAATGGGTTCGGCGAGCGGAAGATTTGTGAGCAATTGGCAATGGGCGTGCTTGGCTTGGAACTCGTACACTAAAGATCTCTGTGCAGGGAGAGGAAAAAGAACGAAGGCTTGCATATACAGTACCTCCGTAACTTGGCAAACTGGCAATTTCCATTCAAGACAGTACACGTCCCAACGAAAGGCAAACTCCGGGGAAAGCAGTAGTGGGTGAACTGAAGCCATGCTGCGTTGGGACAGTCTGTGCGATATGCAGATCACGGGCCCACTGGTCCACTTACGAAGTACTATTGGACTCGAAGACGAGATGGATCGTTGCCATTATTATTATTAATAAGGACTTACTTATTACAGTACTTACAGTACCAGGGGCTTCTGGGAACCCCTGGAATATCGCATGGCGCACTGTTGTGTATGCACTGGCCCTATGTCTGTGCCTCCGGGTTGCAAGAGGTTTAATGCATGGCTACGGAGTAATGTCTTGCTTGCAGGATACAGCAGTACATACTCGGTTGACCTACATAGCTAATGGCAACTCCAAGAGACTCCTCGAGTACCATTCCAGTTACTCCCTCCGTCCTACGCCCTCTACGAAGTACATGGTCCAATTTGGCCCAACTCAATGCGGGACTCGGATGCCTCCGTGCTCGGTACCATGATGTGGGGGAGCCAAGCACAAATCATCAAATACGGATATATGCTTGCTTCCGGGTATACGAAGGATGAACGAACCGGTCCAAGTGGGCTGCACTGCTCCAGACGCCGCTGGTTGGGCCAGCGACGAAAAATGTCATGTCGAAGTGGCGGGAGGCGCCTTATGTTATGTCACTTTAATAAGATGCTGCGTCCCCGGCGCCTTGAAGAATCCTTTCCCCCTTCGTTCGTTGATTACCACGTCCCCGGCCCCATGCATGAACTGTCTACAACCCGTCCCCCCACTTCACGTGCCATGAAAGCGTGTCGTTTCTTCTCCTTCGTTGTTCGTTGTTCTGAACTCTGGATTTCTTGTGATTCCCCCAAATATACTCCGTAACATCGCGCTGAACCCGAATTTTCGGAGCTACGTAGGATGTCGGAGGCCTCTGTCCCCGGTCCTCCGCCTCCTGATTATGGGGTATGCTATTATTCTCCTGCCACCTCCAAACTAGAACGTAAAGAGGCCAAGCTCATTTGACATGTTTGTTGTTATAGGATTACTCTTATCGGAAAACGACTCTGTTTGTGCTGCACGCCGTCGCACTGAGTATTGGTACACTGGTAGTCGCCCTGAGATTCTACACCAGAATTAGGATCAGTCGGTACCTTGGTGCAGATGACTGGTGGATGCTGGCCGCATGGGTAGGCACTTCTATGGTTACTTGGTTATTATCTCGGGGAGACATCATGCTAATGAGAAACCGGGACCGAACAGGTCTTTTCCGTGATTAATGTGTATCTCTGGTGTCAATGTAAGCTGCCGCCCTCACGATATAATAAAGACGGCAACTGATATTGCGACAGACGTCGAGTATGGCAGTTGGAAACATACAACGGATATAGCTTTTGACGACTACCCGAGATTATTCGAGGTACGCCCCTTCGCGTCGTTGCTTTGCCACCTGGGAGAGCCTTTAATCCTAATCTGCTGATTATAGGTACTGTGGTTTATACAATGGGTCTACACCCTCACCTCTGGTGTACTAAAGATGTCCATTTTGACTCTTTATCTTCGGATATTCCAACTCCAGTCTAACACCTTCCGCTATGTCATCTATGGCTACATGGTATTTCTTGTATGTGGAACGCTCACGGTCACCTTCACGATTATTTTTCAATGCTTGCCGGTGCAGAGTTACTGGATGATCTTTACATCGCCGACTAGAAAGTGCCTAAATCCGGACGTCCTACTATATGTGGCATCTGGATGGATCCTCTTCACAGATGTTTCGATTCTTCTGTTACCGTCCAAGTTCCTGTGGCGTAAGTTATCTGTTTGTCAATGTGGGGTTATGACTAATGGTTCTTGAAGGCCTTCAAGTTTCTACGTGGGAGAAAATACAAGTAGCCATTCTCTTCGGTTTGGGTTTCATGTGAGCTGCCCTTCCCTAAACTTATGCGCACGATCCACTAATATCATCAAGAACCTGCATCGCATCAGCATTCCGTGTGAGGTATTTGCATGCGCTCACAACCAGCCATGATCGGACCTGTAAGCAACCCCTACTTCACGTTCCATCCCTTAACCTTTGCCTCCTTTCCGACTTTCCCACCTACGTCACTAACACTATCGCTCTGGAGATGATGGATTTGAATATAGTTATTGGTCGGACATCGAATTGTTCCTAGGCATAGTTACAACATCTCTACCAGCCTGCAAACCGTTCTTTGTCAAGTACTTTTGGGAGCCGATCCGTAGAAGAGGAGGCAGTAGAACTCTGTCTGGCAGTGATATATCGACACCTACTAGTAGGATGTTCCACAAGCACGAAATTGCACTCACGCCCATGACTAGCCGACGTCACCTCCGATCTCCGAATACCGATGACACGTCTTTGGGAGATTAAATGGATATGGATGCATGGATTCTACATAACAGCCGGCATTGGCTTCAAATTTTCAACCGATAAAGGGAAGGCTCAGCCTCCAAGAATCGCGATGGTGTAACCAACGACACGTTGGTGGATCGCAAGACGGACGGCAGATCTCTAGACACTTCGTCTGGAAACCGACGAGCGAAAAGATGCTGGCGATACTGGCCTTGAATCTAAAGCGCCCTTCCAAATGATGCAACCGCGAAATACCACTTGATCAGCGTCCTATCCTACAGGCCGAACTCTGCCGTCAGACCGGAAGGAACATCAATGAAGCGTGTGTGGTGGATTTTGCCGATTGGAAGAGCAGGTTCTTGCCTTGGAGACTCAAATCCTCAGCCAGGTAATTGAACTTGGCCTGGGATGGCCACCGGATATTGTGACTTGGAGCGAAATGAGCAGAAGGTATGCTGAATGAACCAAGCACCTTTTGGTGTAGAGAGCAGTTATTGTCAGCTCTCCGAAGGTAATTTAGAGGCAGGGCTGTCTTTCTCAGGGTTGAATATCATTTGTACTTGCCCTTGCAAGACATGGATTTTGGGGGTTCCCATGACTGGAGGCTGGAAAGCCGGGAATGAAATATGGTTGTTACTTTTAGGACTTTCTTCGTGATTCCCTTGAGGACATCTGAAGGTTACTGGAAGCTACTGTGTTGAGCCCTAAGGAATTTAATGATTATATAGGCCTTTACACCGAAATAATGGATTGGGCTATCCTATGACGAACCCCCCCCCCCTAGGAGATATCCCTACGAGGAATTGCCCTGGCATATACGACCTTTAAATCCATCTGCCGATTCTCACAGTTTTACCGGGCAAGGGAAACAATCTTGACGCTTTTGCAAATTCGAATTTCATAATAATGACTGGGCCGTGAAGGAAAACCGGTTCTTCAGCACAAAACTCACGCGAGCCAGCTCTTCATCCATTTCTTGATCCACGCCCCTTTAACACCCTCAAGACCTCGCAGCGCCTGGCTAGCATTCTTAGCCTTATCCATGGCCCAGTTAACTTTTTGCTGCCTCATCGCGTCCTCATAAAAGCGAACGAGCTTCAGCGCTGGGTTGACTTTCAGCAAAGTTTCCAGTTCGCTACCTTCGGTGCCATCTATCTTTTTCATATCCTTTTTCACTCGGGATATCCAACTATCCAACGATACTGTTGAGACAGCCTTTGCTTGTGCCTTTCTATTTACTGAGGAAAGACCTTGACTGATAATGGAGAGGAAAGTGTTCCAGTTGACTGGGTGCGGATTAAGAATATTGTATACGACCGCTCCGGAATCGGAAATATCTTTTAGCCCAGTAGGCCCCATGAGATCCATGAGAATTTGAGCTAGAACATCTATCGGAATCCAGTCAATTGAATCTAGGCTAGAACCAAGAGATTCAGGCACTGCTCCAATGTATTGCGACGACCTGATGATGCTAGGGAGCCACTCATTCTTGTCACACTCCTCTTTTCCATTAACAGGGCCGGCTATTTGACCAAGACGAGCGATTTGTGTTTTAATTGAAAGCCTTCGTGCTGAGTAGTGGAGGATGCGCTCGGCTAGATATTTACTTTCGCCGTATCCCGTCGCTGCGGGAACAGTAGAATCATATATGATCTCTTCTGGTATATTCGAGCCGTCAAACGAAGAAACTGCGCTGGTCGAGGATATAAACAGAATTGAAGGATGTTGTTGTCCGGATGCTGCAAAACCGATCAGATTAACCAGCCCCTGGAGGTGAGGTAGGAATGACGAGAGTGGTATGTTCAAGTTGACTAGCCACGCATTGTGAATGATACAGCTGACTCGTTTCTGGAGAGAGAAATAAGCCTCCTGCTCAAGTCCAAAACTTGGCTTTGCGTAGTCAACGGTTAGGAAGGTCACTCGGTCAGCAGGGAAAGAGGTGGTCAACATTCGACTGCTGTTCTGCGCCTTAAGACCACCACCCACTCCTTCATTGGAGCAGTATATATGAGCAATATCGGAGGTTGCTAGGAGGCTCTGTAAGAGATAAGATCCTAATGCACCAGTGGATCCGGTCAAAAAGACGACTTTATTTCCGCTTGTATTTCCATTGGTGCTTGGTTGATTCACAGTGGCCGAGGGAATAACCCCGTCAACCAGAATCTTGTATTCTCTTAATAATGCGTTCATGCGACCACGACGAAATCCCTTGTGATCCGAAGTATGAATTTGCCTCCCAGCTGCGGCCTGCTGAAGAATGTTGGCAAGGGACGAGATCGACGGATTGTCATATATGACACCCACGCCTAGTCCTGGAATTTCCAGATTGGTTTTCAAGTCTCGAGCCAATTGCAAGACCTGAAGGGAATCCATGCCTCCCACGAAGAAATTTTCATCGTCTTCAAAGGACCTTTTTGTGATTTTAAGAACACCCCTTCTCACACAATCTGTTAATGCCGTCGTGCCCTGGTGAGTGAGGGGAGACGTTATTTTACCGTTGACAGGCACCCCTTGAGTAGCAGAGTATAGAGCATTAATCTCGTTAGCATACTCAGCAAGAGCTGCCGCTCTCTGAATCGTGCCTCTCGGAGACCGTGGAAGGGGCCTGCCAGGATCGGTAAGGATGATGTGCGTTTTCGCAATTCTGGCATGGGCTGGATAGCTTCTGTTCACCTCCTCAATGAATGGCCAGATTCTTGCAACATCTTCAGATTTCTGTAGTGCAGTCACTCGTTCTCTACCGGTTAGCTCCAGCAATAGCAATGCTTGAAACCGCTGCGAACCCACGACCAATACACCGGAAATTTCATTGCCGCGGGAGAATATGTTTTGTTCCATGATGGCAGGATTGATTCTTTCGCCCGTCAAAAATACGATAGTATCATCGGCACGTCCAACATGGTGCCAAAGGTCGACTTTTGAGGGGTGTTTGATATAGAGATCCTTCGTTCTATATTCCTGAACGTCTCGAAATGTTGTAAATATTTGGTGTTGATGTTCGAGGCCAGGCTTTCGGACAATAAACAGTTCATGGATGTCTTCCGCATATTGACGAAATTCGGCGCCTGAGTCGGGGTGGAACGCAAGATATCTCCAGTCTTCTTTTGCGATATCATCTTCTTTCCGGACAAGCCCAATACTGGCCCCTTCTGTCATGGCGTAAAAGTTAATAAGTGGAACCTTTCTGGAAACAATATCCCCATATCCTTGCGGCACTTCACCTCCAGAGTACGCTATCAGAGGAATTCTCGAAGAAATATCCGCAAGGAGGTCCGGGGACTGGCTCATCTCTTCTATAACTCCTGGCACAACAAATGCTAAATCGGCCTCCGTAATTTTCAGCGTCTCTAACAATGGGTTTGCCGAAGGAATGGTACCTTCCAAGGGTATAATTGCCACTGTTTGATTACATATAGCGTTGATCAGAACATGCGCAACATATGTCGCCTATCAATAGTAAGCTTAAAGTCCCGATGTTGGAAAGCGGAGAAACGCATGATTATTTGTAACTCACATCGGAAGGGGGAAATGCAACGACTACCCTGTTACCCATGTAATGATGGTCGACATTCTCATATCCTGCAGGTGGGTCTAGTTGTAGCTGCTTTGCATAAGCAGAAGCAAAGCCCTGGACCCATGTGATTGGTTTGGGCAGGCCAGTCGACCCTGATGTGTGCAAAATTACGAGCGGATCCAACTGAGCTTCCTCGAACGTCTTGGGATACGGGAAAGCTCGACATCGTGGTTGCAGAAGCTCATCAACTGTGGGAACTTCCAAAATAGGCAACCCCTCGTTCAAAACTGCAAATATTGGCTTGGGGGTGGGCAGGCGTGATTTTGGTACAAGGAGAATTTTGCAATGTGTGGCTTTGAGCAAGTTAAGTTGAGCATCCACTGTATTTTGAGGCGATAGTAGGAGAATCTAGAGCAGCGAACAGGTTAGCGAGTTGTTCAACATCAAAAATAATTCAGTTTAAAGAGCAGTCACTGGCCTTATATCCTGCTTTGACAGCTCCTAGAATAATAGAAGGGTATGTCAAATCATTGGGGCCAAAATATGCTAGCGTCTCGAGATTTTTCCCTTGACCGATCGTATCATGTAGCCACCAGGCAATTCTGTTTATGGCATTTGCAAATTTTCCATATGTGAATTTCAGATATCTTGCTTCGTGTGATACCTGAGATATTGGAAACTCGGCATAGAGGGTCTCCGGTTTTTTGGCAGCAATACAGTCGACAATGTGATTGAGAAGTTGTTCAGAATGTGAGTGAGTCTTGCTCCTATAACAGCACTGCGTGATGGCCATCCTCAGCCAATGTTCTAGTGCATCCCCAGTCACAGCTTGATAAGTTGAATAGACTTCAACGTAGCTTTTGAGTCAGTCTAGCAGCATTGCTATCCTGTAGGAAGGCCATTTTTAGTTTTATTCTCGGTCTGATTTTGGCCCAGGTCTATTGTGGCATCTAAAGTGCCGGGGCTAAAGGTGCCCCTTCCGCGCCGGACATCTTACCTACGTAGGCAGCTATAGGGAGTATCATGTTGGTTGAAGTCTCAAGGATGTTGGTTTGATCTTCTTGATTCTTGACTGAAATAGGCAGGTAAATATTTTCAAGAAACGGAACCTAGGGTTGGCCATATAAATACTCGCCAAGTACAAAATTTGGTGGGTACATTGCATAAGACTGGTTACACACTGTGGTACACAACGGACCTTGAAATGGATCTGCAGACATTTTTAGTTGGATCTCCGAGACCGAAGTATATTATGACGAGCTTGTGCTGCGAACATTTGTTGATTATCATTTCCCAATTCGGGTGTTATTCTGGAAACTGCTCATATCGAATTGATAGCCCGAAGACTTGGCGGTCCGAATTGTATTTCGGATTGAGCACGGCTAAAAACGGAAATCTGGAGTTCTAAAACAAGTCATGAATGGATGTACAGACAAAAACCACAAACCGTTTCCCGACATGTGATGATACGTACTTGGTTTAATATAATCCTGCACCCCAAATACTTTATAAGCACAGTAAGCCCTGTAGTTTTAAATAACCACATTACGACCAACAGGCTTCTGCGTGCAATTGTGGACCCTCCTAATATCTCAATACTTTGTTTCAAACGCCGATCTTCGTTCACACTCAATCAGGGCAACATTATGTACGCTGCGGAACTTAACATAGGTAGGAATGGGCATAAGCAGGAATGGCACTCTGCAGCGCTCTGCCTAGTTCACACAGGGAGAATCAAATAGCGCCTTGTGGGTAAAGTCAGATCCGTACTTGGTATGCCATTTGCGGTAAATGGGATATACATATGCTTAGTGGAGTTGATTTGAAGGGTCACAGCCATGAAACAGTCTGGAGATGGGACTATAGGCAATGTACTCTCGATCGCACCCCCGGCCTGCTGTTCGTCCTGCGAGTAAAATTCTCATCAGTATCCAGGTCATCAGACTCGACCTTTGCAGCGTGGAATTTTCTTACCTAGACTAAACTCTAGGTTACTTTCAAGTTTCCACATGTCATCCCACACCCTCATTCGAGGGCTCATAGGCTGGAATATCAACAGCCAATTATAGTTCTTGTCATAACTATGTAGCAAATTGGAAGTGAAGGGCACGGCAAGAGGAAATCAATAGCCCTCACCCTTATCGTCTAGAATAGGCCTATGAGTATTCCTAATTCTTACAATAGGCTGTGCAGTAGAAACCGATGAGTACGTAGGTATGTCACGATAATCACGAGGACGGACGAGCACGGTTAGTAGAATCGTTGGTCAGGTTGGAATTGTCTCTGATGACAAGTGCAATGCCATTTCCATCGTGACGTGAAGGCTGCTTTAGTGGAAATGGGGCAGCAGATCGTCGCCCTTTACCAATACCTTCCTAGAAGACTGCCGCACAACTGAAATGTGACATAGAATATCCTCAAGGCGAGCGATGAATTCGTTAGAAAGATGCTTTGTATGGCTCTAAACAAAGCGTTGTTCCCGACATACCAACCGTAGGAACTCGTATAGTTGGTTTGTACAGTTGTACTTCGGGGATATTCATGTGATGTACACCAGCATACCTTAGATGAACCAAAGGTTACACAGCACGTGGGGTGTAAGGATTATGATCCACGAGCCGTTCTTCAGCCTCCAGCCTCATGGGCAGTCTCGCAGACTGGAAGCGGATATCGGAAATCGTGTAAATGGCCGAGACGCGGAAGAGTATAATACACCTTAATGTCATATTTGGCCGTCAGCCTTGACTAAGTACCTAGGTACCTTGGGGATCTATCCAATTTGAAACGGGAACATGAGGTACCTGTATAATATTCAGTACTGGTTCAAATTCTCGTCCGGTCGACCAATACTTGTCTCCCACCTGCTTTTCCCATCTGATCTGATGAAAATGATCACAATATCATCTGGACCTTACCGGAGCCTAATCGAAACCACGATTCGAGTGACATGAAAGTAAGGTTACTGTTTGCCAGCACCGAGACAATTAATTTTCTCGGTACACATCCAAAAGAATTTGCCATCGACAGTCTGCTGAAATATCGGCAGGATCTGGATCTGGCTCTGGTTCAGCTACTTGCCATGACAAAACTGTTTGGGATCACGCAGTTTCACGGAACACATGCGGAGCCTTGCGTGTGAGAAGGCCTGCCCCAGCTTGGGAGGGCAAGTACAACAAAAACAGGTACTTGTATATCCGCACGTCACGTGTATTTAGAATCAGCCACGCTGCTGACAGTGGCTTCCTACCGGGCGTCCCCCTTTGACCTCCTTACTTTGCTTTCCAAGCCGTGCTCTCGGACCCCTTAAGCCTTGATCTTGACCGCGAATCGATCGGAGTGAGGCGGGTAGTGTACTGGAGTCGTAAGGCGACTTTATGGCTCCTGCCTACGAGGCAATGGGGCGCGAACAACCTAATGCTGGATCCCGACCATTAGAGGCATTAACATTCCCACATATAGTATGGGGCGTACACGGTGAGTTTCCGTATCGGTTTATGGTTTAGCCTTGGTTAGGCTAGCTAGCTGATATTGATTCCGAGGACGTTAATCGTTATATAACTCGCATGAGGCGTTTTATCGCGGTCTGGTCAAATATAATTAACATAAAAGAGGTAACTCCAATCGCAAAGGATCGCGGTACTTGGGTTTAATATTCGAAAAGGAACCGAAAACCAGGAATTTGTACACTTCAGATAACTACGCATGTAGTATATCGTCTCGTGGGTAAGTTCGACGGCTATCGTCCGACTCATCGAGGCCGTTTGAGCTAGGACCTCCCTAGCAGAAGAATCTCACTTCCTCGCATTACTTTAGAGAATAAAGCATTGTCGGTTATTTTCTATCAAGTGGATGAGATGTTTAAACCGATATGTTAGGAGCGACACGTATTTGAGACAGGCGCGGCGTTCGTCCCTCTAAGGTGAGGCGCCAGGTTGACTGTCCTTAGGGCGACGATGCGGGATAATCCCTGGAATATGTCAGCGCTCGCATGGCGGATAGGATTGCCTCGAGATTTTGGTTGGAGTTTACTAGCATAGCATGATATAAAATTAGACATTAAAAACCCAGTAATGTTGACCGATTCCCATCCAGCTCGAGCAGAACACGTACCCTGTGGGGAGTCACCCCTATAAGTGGACAGCATGTGCTTTGCTCGGGAGGTGGAATCACGCCCCAAGTATCGGCATTTGGCGTATATATCTAAGGAACTTGATAGCTGTCCCATATCAATCGGGATGATGTCCAAAAGCTGTCAACGCGGCACTTCGCTTGCATGAACTGGAATGCCCAAACCTGCTACCTGCTGCTCAGCCCCCAACTCAACATGAACCGAAGCAACTCTAGCAAGGCAGATGACCGTGGATGGGTCCCGATGACCCAAACACGCCTAGTCAGAACGACTTCTGGTTCATATATCAAGTGTCAACCAGCCGAATCAGCCTCGCAAGATACCTTTGACGGAAGAAGCAATAGTGGAGGGCGTCGGCAATCATCCGTGAGCGAGGCCGGGGCAGTGCAAGATGTCTTGCTTCCCGCCGATCAGTAAGTCTTCATGCCGGCGTCAACTCCCAAAACAGTACTAATATCTCTCTTAACAGGCGTGGAACCCCATCTGAACGTTATAACCCACCACGAGAAACCCCTCGAGGCAAGCCATCTAAAAATACTGGTGGAGATCGACATCAGAGCAGAGAAAACAACACTGACCAAAACATGGGCTTTCGAAATTCCAACTACATCCTGCCCGTGCCACTGCACTCTCAAGGGAGTAGCTATCATAAGACTCCGGTCTCACGGGCATGGATTCCCCGCACTGTTAACGAAGCAATTGACAGCGCAAATATCCAGGCACTTTTCCCACATACAGAAGGTCTCTCGGAAAAGAAAGTTAAAGAACTAAAAGAAACCTGCAAACGATACAGAGACGATGCTTACGAGACTGCTCAGCAGCCTGGCAAAGCAAACGACCGAGCAGCCGAACAAACCACTCGCTTGCCCAATTCGAAGAAGATCAGATCAATTGAACGGGACGCGCAGGCCGCGGAAAATCGACAGCACAAAACAACCCCAGACAAACGAAAATATGGTGGCAGTAGTACGAAAGGCGACGGCCTTGATAAACAATCTAGAGATAAATTGAATCCTAGCCCCAGTTCGCACAAGTGATAATCTGATAGAAGAGAGATCGGCGCTTGGGGAACTGAAATTGATTGTGTTTCATGGCATACCCTCGGAGGGGCAAGGTTTTCGGGAATGAATCATTGGGACGGAAACTAACTGCATTAGACTGGACCTGCGAATGCATGGAGTTAAGGGCGTTTGTTGCATACTTGCACTTTATCTATAGGGTATCGAATTCAATATATGTCCTTCAAGGTCTTTCTTTTGCTATCATGTTTGCGCCCACCAAGCTTTTCTCGATCTTTACAGGGGCCTTGTTTGAGGGCCAGGAGCCGAATATGAGTGATATGTCAAGGAAGTGTTCTAGCAAGACTTGGAAATATTGACAGAAATCTGACAGCCGACAATTACCAAGTTCCATTGCAAGTTTCCATTCGACTTTTGGGGGGTTTGCTGTTTGAAACCAGGCGATTTCGCTCTGAAAATATCGTCGAGATGCATTTTTCTTGCCAGCTAATAATGGTATTGCGGCCCGAACACGTTAGGCGTCAACAGCACCACTAATAGAATGACACTGGCGTACTACCTACCTGTGATTCTGTTTGATTCCTCACAGTTAATGTTTGATGATAGACCAAAAGTTGGGCGGGTGTCTGTACAGAGAGGAAATGAGGTATTCAAACCTACCGAGAATACTTGTGGGACGATAGACGATCTCCTGACGCCTAACTTAGGCATGTGCAATCGAATCATGAGCTCTAAAGCAAGTAACCAAATTTCAAGCGTGTCATTCTCGCCGGGAAGGTCACAATTATGGATAATAGGGGCTCTAAAAATTATCTCTCTAATTCTTACTAGCTGTGGGTGGGATTCATAAATGCCGCACATTGTGGGAATTCGTAGACGTGCTGCTTCAATGCCCATTGGATCGCTACACTTGAATTGTTAGTGTGTGGAAATAAAAGATCTCGGCTTCAGATTCTACGACATAGGGAATAGTACCCCGAATCAAATCGATCTTCGCCTTGCAGTTTTATTCTAGTGCTAGAGATGGACTGCACTGCAATAGAAACTGTAAACTTGAATTTAATTCGCATTTGTATTTCCGTAAATAACAACAGGACTAGGCCAGTCGGAAAGCCGAGACTGTAAGCCGTGGCGTGCACCTGACCAAGAATAGACACAATTTAGACATCGTCAAGAACCCCCGAGAACTTAATCCAGCACCCTCGTTGGGAATTAGACATGTATAACAACGTTCCAGTGGCCTAGACCAGACATCTTCTCTCTCTTTAACCCTTTAACTTACAGCTCAAGGGACACATTTCTAGGCCTCTCAAACATCATCCTCGCTATTATCTCCTTCTAGCGGCTTCGTTCTTGCGGGAATACTCCCATCGGAACTAGATACATCAGACAACGCAGGATCATTAGTATCCGCTTGCTCGTCCTTATCCCCTCCAGGAGAAGGGGAGCCAATCTTCTTGTTGTGACGCCGCCCATCATATTTCACCGGTGTATCAAGATCGGGGCTTAAGCTGTTATGCCGCTGATTGAACCTATTTGGAGTGGGCGGGATGTCTGCATCAGAGTGTCCCAAATCCCCATTTACTTCGCGCCGAGGATTGCCATCAGATGCAACCTCGCTGGCTCCATTGTCGGAAGATTTCTTTTTGTTCTTTCGTGAATTCTTGTGTGCTTTCTTGAGAGACTGAATAGCTGATCCGATATCATCGCTCATATCTGGAGCGAAACCATGGCTTTCACTCCCCGACTCTTGACTCTGGCCTTCCCCATGCTGCTTCATACGATCGCGGAGTTTCTTTTTCTTTTGCTTTGGAGTAACATTTTCGCCATCGGCAGGCTGCTCAGCGCTCGCGGCCGCTTTCGTCACCTTCGATTTGGATGGCTTTTCTATCGCCACGCTTTGGCCAATATTTTGCTCTCCCTCATCAGCATCCTCCATAACATATTCTTCGCTGATGGCCTGTGGTTTCTCTTTTCTCTTCTGCTTTTTACTGGAGCCCTCGCTATTTTCAACGCCTGCCTCGTCGTCATTGGCGTCTCTCTTTCTCTTCTTCTTGCTGGAAGCTTTGCCATTATCATCGCCGAGGGGCCTAATCCTCACGTGTTTCCTCTGACGCTTTTCGAGAAGCTCCTCTTCCGTCCAGACTTCGCCCTTCTTCTTCCGATTCCTCCTAAGGATTATCCGATCAGGCTCTCCTACATATTGCAATTCCGGTGGTTCGGACGGCGCCGTTTCCTCAAAACGACTAATTATCATCTCAAGACAGTCTTTGAATTCCATATCTTTGTAGCCAGTGATCTTCCGCCTGAGATTTTTAAAGCAGAACCTGTAAACCATCCGCCTCCCCTTCTCTTGGCTGACGTCGGCACAAACTATTTTCCAAGGTATCTTGCCTTCTCTAGCAGCGCCACTATTACGGACAGCATAGAGGAAACGTAATATTTCATCCGCGCTCATGGCTTGAGTCTCTCTTTTAGCTTCCTCCAATCGCCAGTGACCTTTACTAGCCTCTTGGTCCTCAGCTGGATCTGGGCTGACTTCAGCCTCACGGTCCTTCAACCTTATCCACTTCTGCAAGCACTGAAGGCGACTTCTAACGAGACCCATCTTGGCACTGACAGATGCCCAGTTCAGAAGATCCATATCGTCTTTCGCTTTGTATTGTGCATCCGTAGATTCAGCCTTGTCCTTACGGATCTGTTCCAGAGATTCTGCAACGGCAGCTCTTAGCTGGTCCTCTTCCTCCCTCGTCCATACGGATTTCTTTCGCTTATCGCCACAGACCAAATTATTTCTCCATCGATCCCGAGCATCTCGTGGGTGCCTATTGACCAGAGGCCCAATATTCCTCCATACACCAGGAAACCTTTCAACGGCATCCCTCAGCTCGTCATCCTCCTCCTTGGTCCATGAGCCTCGAGCGTAATTGTGAAATCTAGTGTTGCACATCTCCCTAATCCGCGGTTTAGGAAGCTCCGGAAGTCTATCGTAAATGAATGTCATCAACTCATCTCGTTCAGGGTTCTTGCCACTCTGGGTATCTTGGATGAGTGCATTGACGTCAAATTGGGTCATTCTATTGGAGTCGCGGTACATCGCAACGGCTGAGTTTATGCCCTCGATGTCTTCAGGTGTAAGGGGGCTTCCTCTTTTGTTGCCTGGGGTCGCCGATCCTGATGCTAAAGTTTTACTCTTAGTTGGTGTTGATTTTCCTTTGGTTGGTTTCCTGGGAGTTGCCTCGATATTCAGTTTGGGAGACTCGGATTCATCAACGGGCAGTCGGCGTTTTCGTTTCTGATTCGACTTCGGGGGTGAGGGCGGATCTTGTGGGGTTGCAGATTCAAGCTCCGGTGTGGGGGCTCGAGGTTCCTCGGTTTCCTCGTTGGAAGGCGAGCGCCGTGCATTGATAGGCGTAAAGGTAGGCGTAGGTCGATGTATTCGGCTTGTTTCCGGTGGAGGTATCGAGGATGGCCCTCCGTCCCCCTTCGTGCTTTGGATGTATAGGCCCTCAGCAAAACTTTGAAGCGGCCGATGACCGTTCGATTGCTGTATCGAATTGGGATGTGATGACGCAGTTAAGCCTAAGTCTATCAGATCGTTGCCCGGAGGGTTTTCACCCTTGTGTTTGCGTTTTGTCTTTCGTGTCGAATCAGGCAGTGACTGGGAAGCCTTCCTCTTTCCCAAGGCGTTTTCTGATGGACGGATTGGAGTCCCATTCTCATGCTCTTCACGGTCTGCTTCGGTATGGTCGTTGCCTTGTAAACCATTTGTGGACTCCAGACTAGTAGCTGCCAGGCTAGGACCTGGTGCCACAAGGGATTGTTTCCGCTTCTGCTTCTTTGCTTTCGCAGAAACGGCCACAAGTGCTTCACCTGCCGGAGAGGCTTCAACTCCGTAACTCGCGATATCCTCTAGTTCGTGGGTAGCTTCATTCTCCTTGAGGATTTTTCGTGCTTTCTTGTGCTTCTTGACTTTGACCGTGCCATTCGGAGACTCCAACCCGTTGGGAGCGCGCGCAGAGGCCTCGTCCACCAGTTCGTGATCAGGCCCGATACTGTGGCCCAATTCGGCATGATCCTTCTCCTTCTTCCTAATCTTCTTGTTCTTCTTCTTCTTCACCTTCAGCTCTTCAGCAGTCCCTCCAACTCCATTATCATTCATTTGCATGGTCGTATCCCCGTCTGCATTCAAATCTAGATCGCCATTCGTAATGTCCGCCCTAGCCTGCTTGCCCTCCTTGCCCGCCATATCTAACTCCATATCTTCGCCACTCTTTCTGTTCTTCTTATTTTTCTTCTTCTTCTTCTTTTTATCTTCCGTCTCCATTGTCACCTCCTCCGCCTTGTCGTCGCCCTCATGCTCGGGTTCCCTCATAACGCTACCTCGCCTGCTTGGGGGCTCCTCGCTAGGTTGCGAGGATCCGACAATTCGTCGAATCATGGAAGATATCATGGCGCAATTCGCTGGCACATGAATTGAATTGATTCCGACGCTATCTTGTGTATCGGGTCGTTATGGAGGGGGTTGGTGATCACCGCAGGTGGATGTTTTATTTTTACGAACTGCTCAAAACGCGATAGGTGCACGGATCATCTTTGGCTGGGTATCCTCAATGATAAACACGTCATCACGTGACTTAACTTCGTTCCCTTCAGGCCACGATAGCATACAAGACTAGTCCTTAGCGTAAGCCTCCGGAACGGAGTAATCATTAGCTATACGGACCTCACTGTATTGAAGTGATTTGGACTGTAAGGGAACACAAGGCAATCAGTTGCGAATACGCCTAGGCAATAGATGTTACTAGTTCTCTCGATATTCACTAGCTAACAGCCAAGTACACAAGATATACATATTATTAAATACTAGACTAGACGCTGAAGCGTTGCAAAGGAACAGGGAGGGAGGTGGGTGGTGCTCTAATACCTATGCTCCTAGCTCCTAGCTAGCTACGCTAAGTCAGGTAACTAGAAAAAAGGGAACTTAGTAACGTGACAAAGGAGGTATATAAAGGGGTTCAGCTCCATATAATTATCCTCCCCCCTATAAATCAAGTCGCTAGCTAGATACTAACTCTTAGTTTCTTGTAAAGAGAATAATAAAAATAATTCTTCAAACTAAGTATATATAAGATATAAAAAATAACCTATAAATTGGATTTTAATAAATTAAGTTAACGATCGAATCCTCTGATGCCATGACCACCAGAGGATAGTAGAGTACTCTCTAGCGATAGTATTTCGGTACGCTGATGGTAATCCTACCTTTCCTGTCCTTCTCAATCCTGACTCCTCCTTCAGGCTCCTCAATTCTCTCCCTTCTGACAACCTTAATTTCTTCGGTGCCTGTCTCAAAGCGGTCACGCTCATAGAGAACAAGATCGCCCTCAGATGCACGGCCTTCCCAACGGATTCGGTCTGCTTTACGCATCTCCTTTTCGGCACGCCATTCAGCTCGAAGAGCTTCCTTCTCGGCTTCGAGAGATTTGATCTCAGCCCGGATAGCACGCTCGTCCTTTGCTCTGTAACGCTTGGGAGGTAATGCTAAGGCTAGAGGACCAACAGGAATGGGGTCAGAAGTTTCATAAACTTCTCTCCCTTTCTCTATGAAAGTGCTTTCATCGCGTGGTCCAGCATCGAGGATGATAGGGCTCCGGCCCCGTTCTTCTTCCTCTACCGGTACAAGGTTGAAGTCAGTGGAGTCGGGATTTTCGACTTCAGATTGTCCCGCCGGCTGCCTCTTCCGCCATTGTTGATACAGGAGCCGTACACGCCTGAAGTCGCTCACCTTATCCTCGACTTCTTTCGCAAGTCTACGTTCAGTAGACTGCGGAGGAGCTTCTGTGATGACAGGGCTATCTTCGATAGTCTCCTCGACGCGACGGAACAACATTCCACATTCGTCACTACTGCCAGTCAGTCCATTTTCTTTTTCACTGACCAATGATTCAATACAACACATAGAACTCACCACTGGATAATCGCGGTGTCCGCAGCTTGAGTTTCTGCTTGGCATCCTGGGCAGGTGGTTGCTGGCTGCTTTTGCTTGAAGACCATACTCATATCAACCTTCTGCCCAGCCCGAAAGCACATGGACCATTCCCTGTTTCTAGCAAGCTCTCTTCCACTTCTGCTCTCTTCTATGGCATATTCCTTGCGAACGACTTTGTCCTTGCCAGGTAGGTGCTCGAAACGTTTAACGAGTATCGTTTCAAACATCTGGTACATGGTGCCATTTCAGTAATTCCTTACACGAGGGGATGAGGCTAATTCAAACTTACGTCCCATGAGTTAATCAGTTCTAGAGGTATCGGTATCACATTTCCCAGCGCATCTTCCAGAGTAACAGGCGCTTGCTGCCAATGTGTTCCAAGACCTCTGGGAGAAGACTGCACTAAGAATACCTGACTCTGGAAAAGTAGCAGGAGCCCTCGAATATCTATGACAGTAGCTCGGATCTGTGTTCTGGGGTTTGTCAATCGACGGCTTTGTCAGATATTTCCAGAAGGTGGAGCACTCACAGCACTCCAGCTCCGCCTTTCACATGGCTCAATATGATGTCTGTTGTCTTGTTTTGTGCCTCCATTTTTTCGTCTAGTGCTTTGAGCCGAGTGATTTGTTCGTCAGCTCTCTTGAGCGAATCCTGTAGCAAAGAATTGACCGCCTGAACTCGGATAGCCTGTAAAGTGTTGTCCAACTTGTTCGATTTGCTGAACCTCAGTCAGTTACCACACCCTCTCTCAAATTAACAGCCGCATACCTCATTGCCGTAATTACTAACATCGTGATTGTCTCGCTACCAGCGTGTAGGTTCCTCCGTAGCTCCGCTATGTCCTCCTTTTCTTTCACCCACATGAACTTCTTCATCGCATCCTTCCTCCAATTCCCAGATCCACCCACGCATAAGTTCGTTCCATATTTCTTGTCAACTTTGAGTTGGAATTCAAGTAGGACATCACGCCAATCTTTCGCCGCGTCACGCGTTATCGTGCCCAGCTCCTCCAATTCGGGACATGATGCGTAATTCTGCCAAAGCGCGACTACCTGCGTAATAAGCTAATCAGCATCTACAATTGATTTTAAGTAAAAATTGATTGTTTACTTGAAGAAGAGCCTTATCAAACGTGTGTAGCTCCTTCGCCAGAGCCTGATACTCCTTCGCAGATCCGCGACTCTCGCTCAACGATTTCCCAAGCCTCCATGCGATCTCCCCGACCGCGATGAGGTCTCCTATCGAGCCAAACGTGATACCGAAGGACATCGAGTATTGTTCATGGGGCGAGGGGGCATGTTTCGCTAAGGTTGTCGAGGTTGACTCAGGCTTGACAGTCGACGAAGCTGAGCACCCACTCCGGCAGACGGCAGAAAGCAGCGCACTTGACGCAAGGCTTTGCAAGGCTCAGGCTCTTGGCTATACAGAAGATTTTAATCAAACCCCTACACTTACATCTAGGACTGTGACATCGAGGAGGGTATAATCACTATTACATGTGCGTATAAGTCGATCAATTTCTTGAAAAGTATTACTCCGATTAAACATTTCTTCGTAGCTCATATCGTGACTGTTGCACGGTTCAATTAGTACAATAGCAAGATCGAGTCTGCCCTTGGCCAGCTTGCGTGCGTTATATAGTGCTTGTCGTGTGACTCTAAGCAATCTACATACATTGAGGGTTGCTACCCATCGTCGAAAGGTTCAAGGTAATCGGACATTATGTGTTCTTGACGTGTACTCTTTGGTATTTCTGGTGAAAGGCCTTTGGATCGCTATAAGATGATTGTGGGTAGCAACCAGGGTGCAAGATAGGAGAGCAAGGATTAAGACAATAGTACCTGGAATATATGACGGCGAGTGATGACGTAAAACATTGATAATAATATGCTAGAGCCAGAGGTACATGGGAGCATCACCCTTGCATAGCGCCTTGCCTAAAACGGCAAAGCTGCGTGTAAGGATTAGCTAAAAAGTAGGATTGACAATTTTTCAGAGAGTGTTTTAATAGCACACAGAAGATGGAATAAACTATGTCAATATGCACCGAAATTCTAAGTAGAAAAGTCACCTTTGTATTGGCCTATTCTATAATCTAGCGCTGAAAAGCCATGGTTGGGTCTAGCTAGACTTGATGATGTAGCCGCAAGTAAGTGAGCATTTATTGACTAGACTTTAACAACAAGCTTGGTCGCGCTGACGCCGGGTCTTAGCATGTCATAGACCTTCTGAGCTGCTCCAATGCCTCCCCCTACGATCTGAATCTTGGGTGCCGGAACAACGATTTTCTTCTCCAACGCATCCGCAAGCCAATCGTTAAAGAGCCAGGCTCCAAACTCCGGCAGATCTGTTCCTGTCCTCAACGCATAGGTCATCGAAATATCAATCCCCTCTGGCTTTGGATCAGTAGCTGGCCACTCCAACACCGTAGCCAATGCCCCGCCCTTTCCACCCCGAACCAGCACATCAGCAACAAGCTGGAAACTTCCATGTTCACTAATTGTATCAAAAGCCTTCGTAATAGACACTCCATTCTTCTTCGCGATGTCGACAATCTTGGAAACGACATCTGGATCGTGGTAATCGAAGGTCTCGGTGGCACCCAGCGATTTAACATATGCGTGATTCTTTTTACTACAGACTGCATAGACAGGGAGGCCTAGGGCTTTAGCAATCTGGATCCCCGAGCAGCCAACCGATGAGGAAGCGGCCCAGACTAGAAGCGCAGTGTCCTTCATATCTGCCGGCAGTGGTCCTGGAGGCCTTGGAATGCCGAGATTCTGAAGAAGAGCCATTGCAGCAGTCGCAAAACCCATGGGGAAAACGGAGCCCTCTTCAAACGACATGCTGTCGGGGATCTTTGTAGTACCGATGTCTCGCAGAAGCGTGTATGTTTGCCATGCGCCATGGTCAATGTCCGAGTTGTAAATTACAGCTGCGAAGCCAGTGACGCGGTCGCCGACTTTGAAGCGCGTGACACCGTCTCCAATTGCAACAATGGTGCCGCAAACATCGCTGCCGAGCACGTTGGGGTACTTGGTGACTAGAAAATCGAAGTCCTGGATTCTCCACTCGACAGGGTTGGCAGCAATTGCATGGTTGAGAACGAGGAGTTCGTGAGAACCAGGTGTGGGAATTGGGCGTTCCTTCACGGTGACCTGTGCCTTAGCTGTCTCGAGGACAGCGGCGATGTTGGGTTTCGGAAAGCTCATTGTTGTTATGGTTTGTTTTTGTGGAGGGGCTGCGGGGTTGAGAGAGTGTTTATTTTGGATAAAATCGCGGAGAAGGCGGGGGTGTACTTCGAGTATATGTAGATGTTAGGATTATGAGATACGAATAAGCGAAAGTGGTAACTATAAGTGAATAATGGTCAAGGTAAGGGTAAGTCAAAGTACCTACATATATATTAGGACGGTTAATCTTACTCCAAGAGTATAGGCCTAGTGGCCAGTTATATAGGGCGTGCTTAGCCAAGCCTAACTAGGAAGTAACACGAATCTATATACGTATTTCTAACAGAATGTAGTAAAACATAAAAGGCAGTCACAGCCCTGCTTTCAAGTCTCTTTTTAGGCAGAAAACCCAGGAGACTGGGTTATGCATAATGACTGGGGACGCTTCCACGCATTTACTGGGTTCTATCCATTCGTATCCACCTACTCAAGTAGACATGTTGGTTCTCATTTTCAAGTGCCAAATTTGAGAGAACCCTTTTCAAAACATAAAGTGCACTTTATTCCGATTACTTGAGTACATACTCGACCAGATATTTATAGCACTGAACTGTTGACAACTCTGAAATCTCTCCTCCCCCC